TTTATGCTATAAAAATTACATTATTTCTCTATATATAAAGAATAATCATATTTAAGTAACTTAAATATTGGCTTATAAAATACATTATCCATTCATACTTGTGATAATTTCATTCGGCTTGCTACAAACATAATTGACTGTCTTTAATTTGGGCAAATATTAATACAGCTGCCTAAAATTAATGAGCTTTTAAAGGAAGCCAATTGGCCGGTAAGCCAAGTTATCTACTGATCGATTTGATTATTCACCTGTCCAAAGGATTGAAAATGACAAAACTTCAGAAAAATATAGCGGAAACAATATAAAGTTATAGTTTATGTAGGGACTTCTTCGTTGTTGCTTTCTATTTAAAAAGTATTATGAAAAGGCAAACGACAGGCCATCGCAGTTTTTAAATTGAAACGGAAGCTTTCTGGCGTGTGATTCACGAAAAATGACTTTAATATGTATAATGAAGTATTTATGACACTTAGAAAGAAGTAATAAAATTGGAAAGTTAGCAACAAAATCAATTTCGTTGCCGACAGTTGTCAATGCAAGCGAAGAGACTGGAAGTAATCGCCCACGAAGCTGATTTGGACAAGAACGCGTTATAAAAAAGGAAACATGACTGATCACACTGGACAGATGGTACCAACCTGTGTGCAACTTTTTGCTGGTCAGAAAAAATTTGTGAATCGCGCAATTTTCGATAAAAATACATAGGGAAAATGTCTTAGAAATGGTCAAATAAAGGAAAGAATCACTTCATGATGCATGAAGCATGCGATATCTACTCATAAATACGGAGAAATTCATCACACCCTTCATAATGTCGGGTATTACAAAAATTATAGAGAACTCATTTCTAATTCACGCTATTAGCGGCTAAAAGTACTTGGAGATGTCATACAGGCTGATAACTTTCTATACAATACACTGGCATAGTCAATGGATGCAAGGAATGTTGGACGAGGAAGATCACGCGAGGCATTTATACTGTTGTTCATCCAAAATGAAAGCTGAGCTATTCTTGACCGTTGCCTTTGCCTCGGTGAGTTTTATCCGTATATGTCTATGCTTGCAATTGACATTCGATTTTCTTCCCCCCGGGCCTATGTAACATTTGAAACATCCTCATAGATACAATCAGATTCATCACAATAATAGGCGATATGAATCAAATATTATTAGCTGCACTTACAGCAGCATTCGGTATGTCCACCGTCTTACCCTTATGGCCAGTTTTCTCATTTCTTCATCCTCTACATCTTATTTCTAACATTAATATGGATTGTCTAATGTTCGGTTTTACTCTCATTAACCTACTTCAAGGAGTGTCGTAGAGCTCATTGACGACTGCCAGGTTAAACATATTCTACAAGCAACACTTGCGAGCTGGCAAAACACAAACAAGGGATTTCGCCAACAAGCGATTATGTGCATTCTTGCTAGCATGGCTGTTAGCTTTCCTGCCGTACTTTACATTGACACTCTTTTACTGCATTACAGTGAAAACAAGCTAATAACAAATGGGTCAGTGATTCAATTGTTCATGTGAATTTTGGCTGTCACTAACAATACCAATGCGGCTGCAACAAATAAGTATTAATCTATCTTGATATGTCTATCGACAAGAGAATCAGAAATACGCATCAAACATGTGTTGCACAGCAAGTTAGGATTAGAGATGCAATTGTGACTGGGATTTATTTAAATGATAAAATAGAACGCTGTTCGCAGATTTATAAAAAAAACAAAAAAAAATAAAAAAAAAAAAAAAAAAAAATAAAAAAAAAAAAAAAAAATAAAAAAAAAAAAAAAAAAAAAAAAAAAATAAAAAAAAAAAAAAAAAAAAAAAAAAAAAAAAAAACAATAAAAAAAATAAAAAAAAAAAAAAAAAAAAAAAAAAAAAAAAAAAAAAAAAAAAAAAAAAAAAAAAAAACAAAATAAAAAAAATAAAAAAAAATAAAAAAAAAAAAAAAAATCATAAAACAAAGTTGAATCAAAAAAAAAAAAAAAAAAAAAAAAAAAAAAAAAAAAAAAAACAAAAAAAAAATAAACAAAAAAAAAAAAAAAAAAAAAAAAAAAAAAAAAAAAAAAAAATAAAAAAAAAAAAAAAAAAAAAAAAAAAAAAAAAAAAAAAAAAAAAAAAAATAAAAAAAAAAAAAAAAAAAAAAAAAAAAACAAAAAAAAAAAAAAAAAAAAAAAAAAAAAAAAAAAAAAAAAAAAAAAAAAAAAAAAAAAAAAAAAAAAAAAAAAAAAAAAAAAAAAAAAAAAAAAAAAAAAAAAAAAAAAAAAAAAAAAAAAAAAAAAAAAAAAAAATAAAAATGGACAAACAAAAAAAAAAAAAAAAAAAAAAAAAAAAAAAAAAAAAAAAAAAAAAAAAAAAAAAAAAAAAAAAAAAAAAAACTATTATTAAAGTTTACGATTCTTTCGGTTCTAAATTCAAGCCCAAAAAAAGAGATGCCTTCAGGTTCACATTAAGGAAAGAGCTGACGCGATTGGGAACGGTCTGTTTGCCTTGTTCCTATAGCTTTAAAGAAAGGAAAGTGAGGTCAAGGCCAAACCCCGGAAGAAGTCCTACACGATGAACCGCATACAAAACGTTTGTTCTATATTCAGCGCTACTGTATTTTCTTAAGTTGTGTCCAGGTTTTCAATGCCTTGGGGACCAGGTGGAAAAAATCATTATCAGTCAAGTAACAATATAAAGGAGAAAAACGGAAATTAGGCCGTTAGCCCGGCCACAAATACTGGGGCTTCCTACTTATCTAAGTACAGGTTTGGCATCAGCAATATACTTCAGCAATTAATCTTCACAATCACATGTCTTTACTGGTTGTAGATTCATCTATAACGCATAGTGCAAAACTCTAATGTTTTACATTGATGTAGATATGACTTGATTAAAAGAAGGCAAGCAGTAAATGATATTTGTCCCTTAAAACTAAAAGAGACTATAGATTTGAATTGAGTAAACTAAATATTCTGCATCAAACACGAATGGAGTGAAATAAGATGTTGCGTTGAAAAATAATGAACGAGACGTGAAAAGGCAAAACAAGTTCAGCTGTAACAAACGCACAACTTTATCTACGGGATAAAAGAAAAGATGAAAAAATGCATCGAAGCTGGACACATCTACTGTTTAACATGATAATAACATAAGATTTAAATAAATGTAAACTTTGGAAAAATATAGAAGCTTAGCATGCTAAAATGCTAATTGAAGCCATTCTTACCAGCATGGTTTGACCGGTGTTACAATCTCTAGTGAAGCCTTCATACTTAAAGATTTTGCAAACCAGGCATATCATGTATTTTTCTTTTGCACAGTTCTTCACCAAATCTATGTAAATGTTCTGCAAGCCCTGGTAAGCGCATAGGCATTCTTATCCAACGCTAATGGAGCCTAGAAATCAAATCCCAATTACACAAAGTAAGATTATCAGGTAGCTCTTTCTTAGCTATAAACTTCAGCTTTTACATTGAAATGGTGTGTTTTTACTGCAGTTAAAAATGTCAGGTGCTTCAATGTGCATGTAATGTAGAAATTTAGGAGTATATCATTATTGATTGAAATCCTGTTACCAGCTTAACCATAAAATTATAGGCAGAGATATAAACGACTTTTGGAGAATGGAAAGGACGTGCTAAGTCGCTAAATTTCGAAGTATTCACGGTATAATGCAGGTATTTAAACTGTAGCAGAAACCAAGTTTCAGAATAGCGTATGCAAACAAGTTGCCTCGCATGTCGCATTAAAGTGAAACTTCCGAATAGCTACCTTCGAAACAGTTCTTTCTAATACACAAAAATGAGCATATTGGATATCATACCAAATCTATAGATGTGTCTCATATTAACGGAAAGAATTGTTGCATTTGAAACCATGATCAAGTTTACCATTCTCTTGCTTTGTCAAAAATATAAACCCCCGACCAAAAGTTTATAGAAGTTAGACTTGTCATATAAAACCGTTTGTGAAGTTTCTTTAACCCCGAGCATTTGAATCTGGTTGCAAAAGAAATGAAATTTATCGGTTTGTATTCTTAGTCTTAATAATCATAAGCGACGACTTTTTACAAGCGCGTCATTTTGAAGGCGTAACGGAAAATAGCTATCTAAACCTGAAATTCGAAGTTAATGTTAAATTTACAACTTAAAGGCATGTCGAGATGTCGCATTACACAACAAACATAAATCACTATATGAAATAAACTATTATTGAAGAGAAGCTGTAAATTTCAATAAATCTTAACAAGAAATATTCAAATTCAAAGGATGCGAAACTTGGATTTAGAGAATTCTTACCATACATAGAGGCAGGACCGTGGAAATACATCAGAATAGAGTGTAGATTAATTACGGTGAGCTCATAACTTGGTCAACATTCTTTATATTTTACATGTTCTTCCAATTAAAAAGGTAACCTTTATTCCCCCGTCATTTAACCCTACCTAATCACAATATATCATATATGACGCGCATCGAAGAAAAAAGACCTTTTCAATGTACTTTTACCAAGAATCATACATCAACAACACTTAATAAAGAAATTGTTAGGAGGGGCGTTATTAATGAAGCATGTTCTCCTGAAATACTCTATAGGAGTTCATAAAAGCAAGAATTAATACATGAGCGTAGATTATAAAAATATAACCAATGGGCATCCAGAAAACAGAGATTTTTCCAAAAATGAATTGTGCCAATATAGTGGACTTACTTTTTGTTTTGTTTCTTATAAAGAAAAACAGTTTCAACTCTATTCATTTCAATTTATGTGTCAACATTGCTGTTGCACATCAAACCTTATTCATAAATTGCTTAAAAGTACTAATTCTAACTTTAAGAATTACACAATTCCTACTTTTTCCACGGCGTTGCAAACACCATCATAGAGAAACGAATGCATAATTTAGAACATCTATTATCAAATTTAGTTAACGCGAAATCCTTAGAAAGGGACACCATTTGAGACAGTCTTAAAAAAGAGTAACGTAAGGAGAGGGGATGATAGAATAGATAGTTTGTAATGATGTTTTTCTTGTAGCAGCACGGAAATGAAAGGATTAATTGCCCAGAAAAATAGCATTCTTATTCATTAAACAGCTCATTCATTTGTGAACACAGAATTCCAAGAATATTCTCCTATAGTTAAAACAATTTATGACATTAAAAGAACACATACACCATGTAGTACCCAGTCGTTCAATATCTGAGAATCTTTTATCAAACGTCGCACGATGAACTTTATTATAACATTCATTCCGTTGTGGCAAACTAGGAGATAATTCGAACTTAAGAATTCACTATTAAATTATATGATAGAAAACTAGTTGGAACGTACAGAAGCTATTGCAAAAAGCCCATTCTGTTTGTAAGCTTTTATTGCGCTGCAATTGCTTTTGAAGAGATTTTTAAGAGGAAAATAAATCTAATTAAGATTAGTGCCACGGTACTCTTCATTTTCCAATCGTTTTAGTCACCCCAGCCTTGCAAAAGATCTGGGAGCGACTTGGATGCTGGGACAGAGCGACTAATCAAAACTGATCCCAGAAACAGAGCAAGTTTCTGTTAGAACCAACTTTTAAATGAATGAAAGAAAAAAAAAAAGAAAATTCACGTTTTATGGGTCTGGGGCGTGTAATTGGCTTACAGCATTCTGTAGGGCCTTGAGTAGCTGAAGATTATCAATCAATCCTACTGCTAGTAGATAAGTAATAAATAAACGCTATCAAAAAGAACAAACTGACAGTTAGAGAGCATTGATGAAATAGACCCATACCATCCGTAAGTAACCTCTATTCAATGAGATGTCTTTCAATGTTGTATGTTTATTATCCTAAATGCCCTAAAGATTACAAAGTTCTACATATCTATCACATACAAAATAGTTCCTTAGCTTATAATCAAGCTTATAAACTAAAATTTCAATTCCTTAAAGCAAATAGACTATTTACTTTATTAAGCTGTTAAACATCAAGTACAACCGTCAATATACTCCTGTTAACAAATTGTTTATCAACAAGCATTGGTCATTTATTTTCACGGTTTTCCGACGAGCAGAAAATGGATCTGTTGTCTACGATCTGTTGTCACAGGACAGGGCTTCTCAGTTTCTATGTTTAATACTTATACTATAATTTGAGCACACCTACCCCTCACATTTCTTTGTCAACTTATCCTACGGTTCCGATATTAGGCGTCTAATTGTCCCTGTTCTTTTTCTAGCAAATCCAAAAAGCATCACAGCTATGCGTAGCCCGATTAACCAAGACTGCAAAATGTAATATGTAAGATGCAATATGCACAAGAAATTTTAGCATGTATATAACCAGGACAAGAAACACAACACCTTTACAATATTACTATCCTGTATATTTGTAAGGAATGTTCAATATAATGATGACGTCAACAAAATGAATTTCTGTCGCCCACGTTTAAACGAGTGACCAAAATATCCTAGTCTTAATCTAGGCCTAATTCTACCTATGTTTTGCTCCAAATGAACGGACACCAAGTGTGAATATCAGTTTGGTTCGGCAAGCAAATCTTTTTGTAAGCTCATCCGCTTCACAGTAAACAGTCATTGTCTATAAATATCCAAACTGTATATTTTCTATAACTTGATGTAGCAATAATGTTATTCAATCACATTTTAATTTCTTATCAAAGGTAACTACAATGTGTTATACCTTAAACACAACATAATTGACTATGCAGACGCAATTTCCTTTCTTATAACCAATGTACCAATGGGCACCACAAATGAATTTATTGAGTTGCTATTACCCTAAGGCCTGAACAGCCGACACAGAGTAACTAACGGTTATATGTTATTGAAGCGAAAGAGGGTTGAATGCAATAAAGTTATTGCAGACTTCCACTCCCATCATATATTGTAAGAAAATCTCAACTGTATATTGTGAAAGGGACCCACTTTTTATTACCGATAAGTGTAAAGGCTATGCTTCCTACTGGCTAGAAGCAATGGCCAATCAGAAAACGAAATAGATCTGAAAAAAATTACAATGTCTGTTTTTTCAAAATGAACACAAAAGGAATGAAGTCTTAATTTTAAAACAATATCCTCTTTAATTTCTGTAAAAGTTTCCACAGTACCAACGGCTTAAAATCTCCATTACAACCATATTGGAACTTATGAACAAACTGACATCAAAGCTATAAAATTTGATACGATTAGTTAACATAATAGTGCTTTGAAGAAGGCAGTCAGGACGTAGTGGGTTTTGGGTAACCCAAGTGTTGACAATTTGAATAGTTTCAAAACTAGACGTTTGTGAATGGGCTAGGTTCTGTTAAACTAATTTTGAATGTCCACATTCGGAGATTCTAGATGGGGATACTTGAAAATGGCCAAAAATGTGAAATGATATGGTTCTACTCTCACAGAATCAATAGACCATAAGGTTCAATTACTACTTATTCACCTTATAACAAAATGCGTTTACAGCGAATACTTATTTATCTAGAAAGAATTACTTCAACCTGAATAAAGGCTGCAGACTCGATAAGAGGTAGTTTCTTGGGAAATGTAATGGAAGTTTGGGTTGAGGATTGGGAAGGGGTTAGATTTTTATAATATAACATACTATCTACCAACCCTTGGGTACGTTCCTAATGTTCCCCAGTAAAAAATACTGCTAATTGAGCATTTCATATCAATTTCGCTTTAAGTAACGTAAAAAATTAAAGTCAAAGAATCGCCACATTTTATTCTGAACATTATCTTCTCATTTTCATTGGCCAGTACAGATTTAGTCATCTGGTTGGAATTGCCCGACTTGATGTAATATCCCCCTTACATTCAATTCGCTATCCATGTCCAGAATGTATTCTCATTATCAATACATTATCGTAGAGGAAATTTTTCGCTATAGCTGGTTTAAAGATCATTTCTGCAGTGATTGACCAAGTATAGAAGTCAGGTAGAAAATTCAGATTCTAGAGCAACATATATCAAGCACCATTTTCGTGTTTTATCGCTCAGGAATGTTTGCGGAACCAAAACCAATTGGCCTTACCACTTGCTATATCTCTGAAATTCGAACAATCATTGACAAAATCACACTAGGATCTTTCAACACTTGCTCGTTTGAGTGAAATCTTAGCACTTACTTAAAATCAATTCAAAATACCACCCAATCCTTAATTCCAAACAGCTATAAACCTTTTAGAGAAGCAGCCCATTTACTATAAAAGTTTTCCCAGATTATCTCAAATTATATTTATGAAATAGTGGTCTAACTTGAATGAATAACTACCGTTATGATTATAAAACTTGATTGAGATATTATGGTGTATGAAACACTAAAGAACTGCCACTATATGAAATGGGCTTTGCATTTATGAAACAGAAGGAAACATCCAATTTGCTACCAACCAAACAGTGGTGGACAATATTTTGAGGGACAATGGTCTTTTGTTCTAAAACAATGGGGAAATGTGATGTCGTCTAATCAAAACAGTAGGCTTGCCGCCCCCCCCCCCCCTTCAATAGTTAGCTTTCAATAGTTGTCAAGTGTCTGCCCTTGCAACCAAACCGAACTTTGTATGCATTAGCAGGGCCCACATCACGAATTTCAATGTAGAGATTGGGCTAGACGCAAAAGGAAAGGAATTTTTTTTTAAAGCTTTTAGCCAATTTTTTGTAAAATGTTTGCTTTTTTCAAAGCCATTTTCAAGTTTTGTACCGCCAAAAAACTGTTCACACTTATTTTATTCGTAAGTTAACTGGGTCATTCAACGTCTTTTGTTGTGACTTGGACATTTTTTGCTTAGCAAGAAGGTGAGGCCCGTGGGGGTATGGGCTGTCAATATTTAAAGGCATGGAATCCTGTATAGACTGGGTATTTGCTTGAATTTTTGTGATTGGTTTGCATATCAAGCCCATTCGATGCAGGTATAATGGCTTGGTGCCGGGTTATTTGATATAGACAACGTTTTGAAAGAAAGTAGTCTATTTATTTAATTTAGCCCATTGCTTTTATTATAATTAGGATAGTAAGGATTTCATGTACTCAGAGTTAATGCACGAAAGTTCCTGTATTAACAATCGCTGTTTTGTTTTTCTAAATTAACATTTTGCACACATAATTTTAAGCATGACCTATTTTTCATTTGCTTCTTTTCTGTCTCATTCTTTCACCATGATATTGTTTCTTCTTACACCCCTTCTAATTATCTTTATCAACTTTTACCTCTTCATTTTCCAGATTCACTATCATTTATTCTCTATGTTCATTTTTACTATTATTTATTGGACTATTTGAAATCTATTTGCTTTGATTGATTTATTCAAGGTCCTGCTACCGGAAAGGAAGTTGTCCAAAGTGCCAAAGAATATCTTTGCGAAAATCAACAAAGGGGGGAACCCTAAAGAGCTGAACTTGAATCGATGCTAAGCAACGTCGTATTGCAACTGCAAAACTTCGGTAAAATTCTTAATGAAATTTAATTTATTCATGGAATGTTAGGGATCTAATTTTCTTTGATAAAGATAATATAGAGATAACTAGGTTTTTCACATGCATATGAACGTCTTATTAAGTGTGGATTGCTTTCGTTAGATTGTTAAAAAACCAAGAATTAAATTTGCATTATTTCTAATGTTTTGTAATGTTGTAGCTGATATGCTACCTAAAAATCATTCTTTGATTGATGAGACTTCAGTTGTTGTTTCTTTGAACAGCTTTAAAAGCAATAATCTTACTGGAGCATTTGTCATCAATAGTTTCAAGTGTTCCCTTTTCAGTGACCAGGAAAAGAACTATTAAAGTATAGTTCAAAGGGGGGTTCAAGTCATCTTTGCTTTTCAAAATACTTATGACTCTCATTGCAGCAAAGGTAGATCATAATAAAAATCTTACCTTGTGGATTTCGATATAGTCCTTCGTTTGAAATTTGGATTCCTCATGTCTGACCAAGACCTCTTCTTTACTCTCACTGAAAGTAATTCACAAGATCTTACAACCATTTTTTGTAGCATTAAATACATTAAAAATTCCAAAGTCTCAACCATGCATACTTTTTGATATCATAATTACCAAATTTTTGATGGGTTTTTTATGTGTGGTTGTAAAATAGAATGTTTTCAACACCTTCCAAAAGCATATTTGGATTTTATTTAAACCTGAAACAGCAATAGCTTGACAACAGCAAAATGAAATACAAAGCGTTAGCGTAAACTGAATCAATTGAGAAGAGATTTAAGTTGAAAACAGAATAAAATAGGAAGTTTTATGTTTGCCAAACAATGTGATATCTTGTTTACATTGATTAAAGGCATAGTTTAAAGTCGCAACGTTTATTATTTTTTAAACTCTTCTAAGTGTTAAGGAATATCTTCATGCTTTTATAAAAATAAGTTAAGCTCTTTGGTTGTAAAATCTGGATGTCATAGGTTATAAGTACTATCATGTTTAGATTATATTTCTTCCATGACAAACTTTTTTATCTTTTGCCAAAACCTGTTCAAAAGTTGTCGAATTAGCTTTATTGGCTACTTATTTAGACGATAAACAATTGAAGGCATAAAATAGATCCATAGGGCACCCCTTGCTTTATTTGCAATAATAAAATAGTATATAATATAATAATAATGATATAACGAATCTTTTTACAGGATGTACATTTCAACATAAAAATGCTTTTATCAACATGTGTCCTGTAAAAGAAAAGAAAAGAAACTCTTATAAACCTATAAAGAAACTCTTATAAAACCTAGCAGTAATTACAACACTCAAAAGATCCATACTTATAATATCACGATTTTCAACTAAAATGCTTCTTTAACAGTCCATCGTATTGCTTAAAAGATTCAGTTTTTCTAAGATCGATTGGTAATTTGTTGTACAGCTTTACACCCATACAATGGAACGACTTCCTAGCATATTCTGTTTTTGATGCCTGGAAGCCTAATTAAACATTCGCTGTGTCTTGTTCGTGTCTTGTGCTGCTGTAGCTCGAAATAACCTTGAAAGTTCTCATATATATCATTGTCCAAACATTTACGCGCAAGTTTAAACCATTTGATTTGGTATTTGGTTGCAAGTAGGCTCGTCAACATTTTTTTTGCCCCAACCCTCCCCCTCTATCATTGGGATCACAATGCAAACCAACTACATTTTTACTTATAATGACATGATAGTAACACTCTTGATAGTAGAAGTCAGGTATCAAGTCAGAAACCTAGAACTTTTTGAGTCGCAAATCTCGGTTGGTCGCAGACAGGGATGTTGAAACTGGAGTTGGAGCACAAGATTTATAGTGCCCTCGAAGCTTGAGAAAATACCCCTTTGCTTAGAATTCCCCTCTTTAAGATCTTTGGAAAATTTTACCGTTTTCGTAGACATAGACCCCGTTTACACTACAGAAAAGAGAACGGAACTCCTTGGCTCATAGTGTCCTAATCTCGCGTCCAACTTCCCTGGTTGCAGGTAATACCTTGGCTGAATGAATTGCTTTTTCTTCTGCTTTCCTGCTACTTAAACAAAATTCCTGTCGTGGTATTCAAGAACAATTGATCTGATTTGCCAGCAGCTTGTGATTGGAAGGCCTGAAAGTAGAACGTATCGGGTTCGCATTCCGTAACTGCGTTTGAATACACAACTTTATTCATATAGCAACCAAACTCAATTCGGGCTTCATATTACCAAACCCGAGTGGTCCGACTTATGGTAACCAATACGCTTTAAGGAGAAAGATATTTAACCCAACCTTCAGCAAGGAGCTTTCAGTTACATCATGATAAAGAGCAAACACGCATGGGAAGAAAGCTGATGCTCTATGACACGTTAGTTGAAGAGCGGGAGCACGGTTAAAGTGAATGAATGATTGTTCCCTAATAGAAGCGAAAGACTCGTGGATGCAATAAACTCCAAAGATGACGATATCAACTTTTCAGTTGATGGAGCTTTTGCTCATTCTATGTGTTGTCAAGGTAGGTTGCTACACTATTTTGACATTTATTATTGTCGAGCATATTATAGAGAACCGTGGAAAACGTCACTCAAAAAACGGCAAACTTTTCAAAGCCGTTCATCTTTTCACATTATAAAAGTGTTGTATCCAGGGACGCCGGAACGACAAAGGGGCAAGGGGGCAAGCTTGAAAAATAGTTCCCAGCTACTAACAATTCTTTCGTAACTGTTACTTTGTTTCGATCTTCTGTAGCTATAATGGAAATCGGCTAACTTTTGGCATAAGATATTTCTTTACAAGTTTTGAGAAATGTCGTTATGAATAAGGCAGTGCATGTAGAGTTTCATATGAATCTTTTGATAAATATAAACAGCCGATGTAAAGTGCATATCTATGAAAAGGGCACTTTGCTCCCCTTGCCTCTTCTATCAAAAGGCAACAGGGGCGGTTGACTCCCGCGCCCCCCTCTCCGGTGTCCCTGTTGATAACCATAATCCGTGTCAGGAATTTGGGCGTCGTCACGGAAAAGTGTGATTGAAATACCGAAGTAGAGTGTGCAGGAGAGGGTTGGTGGAAAATCAAACAAGACAGCTCTGTTTAAAATCTCATAAAAGAAGTTTTAATATAGACATTTAAACGTTCTGTCAAAGGCAATTTCAAATTGAAAACTCTTTGCGTCCTGTCAAAAGCAAATTGATTATTGTGGGGTCTGTTAGCTTTAGATGACAATGTGATCTAGCGTTGGCGATACAATTATAACGGGGTGTCCAAGTCAGACCCACATATACGTAGGCCCCCAAACAATGTAAGCCAAAGCCTATTTACAGAAAAGACTATGACAGGAACTGAATATTACGGGCAGTTTTCAAACAGAAGAAAAAATGTACGTTAGTTATGTGTACACCCCAAACAAATGTTATCACAGAGCAAGAAAACAGTATAATAGACCAGCCGTAAAACGTATTACGCGTAGCAGTGACGGAAATTATAGGGGTATGGGGGGCTCACAAACGCTCCCCCCCAATCAGCGATCTCGCAGGAAAATTTGGGCTTTCGTCGGATATTTGACAACCGTTTAACGTGTCGAAATTACTCCAAGAAAACGGTCTGAAAAGGAATAAGGGGCGTGTTTGCCAAATTTTCCCTTTTTACCCAAGGGGCCTTTATAACCTCTTTGTATCCTTTTCCCAAAAGACTAGCCTGTGCTCTAGACCCTCTTCCTTCAGGTTGGGGGTCTGGAGCACAGGCTAAATTTGGACATAGCATAGCTGATAAAATATTAGACATAGCATAGCCAGTACTAAATAATCAAACAAATGATATATGACAAAAATCAAAACTGTTTGCGAATTGAATATCTAATTTCAATTCCGTAAAGATTAGCCGAACTTTCCATCAGATTCTTCCAAACAAAAGTTATTTTCAAACGTTTCCCCCACCGAAGAAAACAAGATAAAATGCAGAAAATGAACGTTACAATTACAATCATGTTGTTATCATGAGCGACTTGACAAAGTGCAATCGTCGACCTCTTGTATCATCAATTGCCTGATGAGAGATCGATCTTGATATCAAAACTCATAAATGGATTGTTCTTCTTGCTACTTAATTCTGGCGTGGTTAGCAAAGATTTCTAAAGGTTCCCGCCCAAAAGTCACCTATTTTCATCAAACTGTGCAGTTCCCTCAAAATTAGAGATGACCCAAGATGTTATCTTGTCGGAAAATCGTAGCCCTGCCCCCCCCCCAAATGAAAGCCAGAATTTCCGCCACTGAAACGTAGACCGTGTCTGAAGTGAAGTCAGAAAGTGTCTTGACACCCCTGTAACATAAGCCATCAATTGATTTGCTATACCTTTCGTCTCTATTGCAAATATCACAACTTTCTAAGAACTAAACTAAAATTTCATATATAGAGTATATCTGGTGGTGTCATTTTGCTACAGCTTCTGTTACGGTGGTCGAAACTAAGAAATAAAATGCTTCTTGTGGCTATCTATAACAATAAATATAATTCATTTATTTGAAGTTGACACTTGTGATTGCAGAGATGTTAATTCACGCCAACTACAACAAGAAAATTCCTATCTTAAAATTATTTTGAATATATTGAATACACATAAAACTAGAGATTGAACTCCAACATTATAATAAGAATGAAAAGCGGAATAAATGTAAGACAAATGAATAATAAGAATAGCGGAATGAATGTAAAGCAACTTGAAGGGTTTGAGTCACTACGTAATATCCAGTCACTGGTGTTAATGATCCTTCCAATTCAGCATGCACATTGCTAAAATTTTAAATAACAGATGTTTATGTATACAAAGTTTGGAAAAGGTAATGTTTGCAAATGTTTGCTACTCATTTGCTTTGTAGACACTTCAGCCCAATTTTTTTTGGGACACATGAGAAGGCAGAATGTGGGATTTTTATGATAGATAAGTCTCTTGCCCCCCTCCCCACTTTCAGAATCAGAAGTAAGGTGCTGACAGAGGTCCCCCTCCCCTCACTTTTTAAATGCCTGTCCTTTCTGAGTAAAGACAAATACCACTCTGGCAGCAGCTGCAATATAGACAAGCCACATTTTCGCTTATAAAATAAAGATAGCGTCGGATTGTGAACTGAACACGCTATGGTAACAGTTAAAGCCAACCAAGGGCAACTCGAGTTTCAAATGGCATTTTTAGAATTGTTTTTTTCTGTTTACTAATTTGACACCCCCACAGTGGTGAAACTTGAAATTTTGAGCTTCTCTGGTGACAAACGTTTGTCTGAACTCAAGCAATGAAAATTAGAACATTAAAATGTTATTACCTAAAAGATCCAATGAGCTGTCCGAATAGCTGTTACAATTCGCTCGTCATTAGAAGCACCCCAAATATTTTTGCGTTCTTAGATAAGTTTTATTTCGATTAGGTAAAAAGCCCTTTTTGATAGACTGTAGTTGCAAAGCGACGCAGAAAAGCTTATATATCTCTTATCGTCTTTTTGTTTAAGTTAAAAGATACTGAATAAGCATTCTCATTCAAAAAAATTGGCGTTTTAAAACTGGGTGTTTCCATCAGCTTCAAGTCATCTGAAGAGTGTAGCACAAGATTCAATTATTATCTAGTCACACCCCCTCCCTCCATATCCTTGCCGCTTAAATCCGTCCCTTTGTGCCTGATATCTGTTAGAACCTCCCTGATATCTATATAGGAGATTTTCCAACGACGATCTCCACAAACGTACCATACTCCAGCTAAAACATTCAGTCTGTATTCTAGACTGTAATGACCTTATAATGTTCCAAGGTGCAAACTAGAGATTTTCTTACCCAGCTGGTAAGATCTTTCACAAAATCCCGATAAGTCACAATGACACCTTGTGCAGCTGCCACCATAAGCTGCAAATTAAAAACAGCATGATGCAGATATTCTGCGTTAGATCAATTGTATTGTTTTTACATAATTGTTACTGTCGACACAGTTCACATTTTGAAAATTATATGAGATTCTATGGATGGCAGGAAACTGCATCAAAAACATTTATGGCAATGATTTAGACCAAAAAAAGATCCCAGGCAAATTTCTCTAGACTTCTGTCACTAGATCTGGTTTGAACCTGACATTAGGTTTGAAATGTCTTGCTAGGTTTTAGAATAAACTTTTAAGCGTATGAAACAGAACACGATTCATAAATAGAACAAAAATTTAGAACAAGATTAAGTAGCTTTATAAAGTCATTGTGTTATTTTGTAAAATCAGGTCATAGAAATTTCCATGGTAGTCATCGGCCGCCTCTCACAATAAATCCAACTTTTGTGAAGTAAACTAAGTTTAATCCTTATGGATGGCATTGGTGGATATGGATTGGCAAGAGACGCTGGGATGAGATCGCCCCCCAGACCCACCGTTCTTTTTGTACTCACTGGCCCTTCATCCTGGGATGTATTCAAGGCAGTGAGTCGACTAATTGTTTTTTGATTCTGTAGGAGGGTGGGATCTCACCTCTCAGTTCACAGGCTGGAGGGTGGGATGATTTTGTCATTATAAACAGGCCCTTAGGGGACTGTCTGGAGAAAGGATAAACGCGTTTTTGAATTCTGTCATTCAGCTGCTAATAGATTTTTCTAGATTGACCTTCTCGTGACTTTTTTGGCCTATCCTAGAGTGAATTTAAAATGAAGTATGCATTGAGCTTGATAATAACGTATGTTCTTCGAAAGAGAAAAAACAGGAAATCTACTGGCGCAGTCTAAGTCTCCTGAGCAACAAGTTCGGGCACATTTTCCTCTTACTCTTAAACCTTTAGCCTGAGGTTAATATCTTGATTTTGATTTATTTCAAACAAAGGTTTTACTACTGAAATGACAAGTCCGCACAGCTTTCATGGAGAAATTTTTTGGATGAACTTGATAATTAAAAAACTTTGTCCAAGTCTTCCCATTTTAACTTTGATAATAGGCAGGGCATTCCTCTGAACCATCGACCGCATTGCCTAACCTTTGTTTTCTCGGCTGATTATGGAACAATATGATATAACGAATAATTTAAGCTCTTACAACATTTTCAAAAATTCATCAAAGTCACGTTACCGATGACGTCAAAAAGGTTATGTTTCCTAGACTCAAAACCATTGTAACTTCTTGAGTATACGTCTGATGTCAATATAAACGCTAGATTTGGGCTCGCCTAAATGAAAGCTTTCCAATGATATATACACATCAGTATTTTAACGATGTCAGCAATTTTCAATGATGACGTCATCACTCTCAAAATGGCCGTCGACCCGCGAGCTGCCTCTGATTTTGCTAGGCACAAATTCGCATTATCGCAATTAGACATCATGCATGATTTTGCTTGACACTTTCCTTATAACGGAGATGAAGCTGCTCCTTCGCCATTCACAGTTTTCATTCTTATTATTTTAATTTTATTAATTAAACCTAAAATAATTGTTTCCGAAGACCGGACCGAGCTCAAAGGCCAAGGGCTTTTATTATTGGCAGGAGGAAGCAGTTATTATATGGGCTATTACTTTAAAGCATTTGTTTAATACCCCTGACAGGGCTAGATAACTTGCCAATCACTCATAAGACGCCTGTCTGTCTAGTATGCAAGGAATATACCTTGATTCTTTCTTAGATATGATCTTGACATATTTCATGTTTTTATTCATGCGGATGAAATGGGGAAGGCAAATATAAATCAAGTTTTGTGAACGAATGTTGACTTGTATAGTCAGATCAAGGTGCTGATGGGTTGCTTTCATCAACTCATGGGTTCGCCAACGTCTTTTCGAAAAAAACCCACACAGTCAATGCCCATGAGCAATGGCAGATTGATGCAAAAAACTGTTGATTCTTAAAAATCGTCAAAAAACCGAAAAGTGTCTTGAAATCGCTAAGCTGGAGGATTTGTCCGCTTTGTTGAGCATGGTAGCAGCTTTGCAGAAAAGCAATACTAAGCTACAGTGCAAGCAGTGCAATTTTGCAAGCAGTGCAAAATATGATTCTGCTTACATTTGCATTGAATCATATCAACTATGCCCGCTACTGTACATACCAACATCTGCTTCTCCATTGCACTTCTATCATTGCAGGGTGAACAAACTACAGCATTCCAAGATTGGAGCAAATAAGGATTTGGCGGAAATTTCAAAGCAAATTCTCTGCAATTCATTGCGATTTACATACAGAGCTATTTAATCAAGAAGCTAAAGGGACTGCAGGTCCATACAGGTCTGGCTTCAGCAAACGTTAATGCGGTTAACACTTGGATTGCTACGTCCCACATTCATAGCAAGTTTAGAGAGGCTCTGAAGCAATACTTTTTTGTAAAGTCATCATCAATTCACAAGTATAGCATTCCAGGTGGGACAAAGCTCCTTCGGAAGCATAATGATAGCCCTAGAGAACTCTTCGAAGCTATGACACCAATCGGTTTTATGTTGCTTCTGCAAAATCGACTTTAACTGGTGAAGAATTAGATCAATAAAGTTCTACTGACTTCCTTGCAGCGTCGATTAATGGCAGCGTCTTGACCTTTTCTAGATCTGTCTTAAGCTTTGTTTTTCTTGATCGGCGTGAAAAATTAAACGCTGCCATTAATCGACGCTGCAAGGAAGTCAGTAGAACTTTATTGATCTAATTCTTCACCAGTTAAAGTCGATTTTGCAGAAGCAACATAAAACCGATTGGTGTCATAGCTTCGAAGAGTTCTCTAGGGCTATCATTATGCTTCCGAAGGAGCTTTGTCCCACCTGTAATGCTGTACTTGTGAATTGATGATGACTTTACGAAAAAGTATTGCTTCAGAGCCTCTCTAAACTTGCTATGAATGTGGGACGTAGCAATCAAAGTGTTAGCCGCATTAACGTTTGCTGAAGCCAGACCTGTATGGACCTGCAGTCCCTTTAGCTTCTTGATTAAATAGCTCTGTATGTAAATCGCAATGAATTGCAGAGAATTTGCTTTGAAATTTCCGCCAAATCCTTATTTGCTCCAATCTTGGAATGCTGTAGTTTGTTCACCCTGCAATGATAGAAGTGCAATGGAGAAGCAGATGTTGGTATGTACAGTAGCGGGCATAGTTGATATGATTCAATGCAAATGTAAGCAGAATCATATTTTGCACTGCTTGCAAAATTGCACTGCTTGCACTGTAGCTTAGTATTGCTTTTCTGCAAAGCTGCTACCATGCTCAACAAAGCGGACAAATCCTCCAGCTTAGCGATTTCAAGACACTTTTCGGTTTTTTGACGATTTTTAAGAATCAACAGTTTTTTGCATCAATCTGCCATTGCTCATGGGCATTGACTGTGTGGGTTTTTTTCGAAAAGACGTTGGCGAACCCATGAGTTGATGAAAGCAACCCATCAGCACCTTGATCTGACTATACAAGTCAACATTCGTTCACAAAACTTGGTTTATATTTGCCTTCCCCATTTCATCCGCATGAATAAAAACATGAAATATGTCAAGATCATATCTAAGAAAGAATCAAGGTATATTCCTTGCATACTAGACAGACAGGCGTCTTATGAGTGATTGACAAGTTATCTAGCCCTGTCAGGGGTATTAAACAAATGCTTTAAAGTAATAGCCCATATAATAACTGCTTCCTCCTGCCAATAATAAAAGCCCTTGGCCTTTGAGCTCGGTCCGGTCTTCGGAAACAATTATTTTAGGTTTAATTAATAAAATTAAAATAATAAGAATGAAAACTGTGAATGGCGAAGGAGCAGCTTCATCTCCGTTATAAGGAAAGTGTCAAGCAAAATCATGCATGATGTCTAATTGCGATAATGCGAATTTGTGCCTAGCAAAATCAGAGGCAGCTCGCGGGTCGACGGCCATTTTGAGAGTGATGACGTCATCATTGAAAATTGCTGACATCGTTAAAATACTGATGTGTATATATCATTGGAAAGCTTTCATTTAGGCGAGCCCAAATCTAGCGTTTATATTGACATCAGACGTATACTCAAGAAGTTACAATGGTTTTGAGTCTAGGAAACATAACCTTTTTGACGTCATCGGTAACGTGACTTTGATGAATTTTTGAAAATGTTGTAAGAGCTTAAATTATTCGTTATATCATATTGTTCCATAATCAGCCGAGAAAACAAAGGTTAGGCAATGCGGTCGATGGTTCAGAGGAATGCCCTGCCTATAAGGGAAAGGCTGAATTCCTCTCGGAACCTTTCTCAAGACCGAGGCCTCCTATATGCATTTCATTCCCCCAGAAAACAAGTCCCTCTTTCTGGGACTCTTCTCTTTAATTGAATTTGTTGGGAAAAGGCCCTGGGCACCTGTAGCCATGGCCTAATGGGAGGGGCTAAGAAAAAGGAAAGGCAAGATCAAGTTTATTGATTCTAATAATGAAAGAAGAATCTGGGTAGCAAGAAAAGAGTAAAAGTTTTCAGGTTCAATTAAATCATCAATTTATAAAAAATCGATACGATTCTGGGTCCTCGTGCCTTACCTACAAAAATTAGAAATTTTGAAAAACAACATTGAGCTTTTAGTCTCTGTTTTGCCAGAAGCATAAACGATAAGATAAAACAAGTTTTCAATACATTCAATAATGCAAGGGATTAAGTGGCGATGTTTCTTATCCTTTTACATTTTGATACTTTGGGAAAAAATTCAGTCCAGCTCATTAAGTTAAAATAGGTGGTTCCAAAGAAAAAGTTGCAAGGGCATCGATAAACCTTTGTCCAAAACATGAGAATTCAAAAGAGGCGGTTTTACCTCTGAATCTATTTTCAGCTTGATTTAACGAAGTTTAATCACGTTTAATATGTGACAGGGTACGCCGTTTAGGTGCCCCTTGGGCTTCTGTTTTGGACACAGATTGCACGATTGTGGAGTTTGTGTTTATTGTAGCAGAGCAGTGCTCGAGTAAGCATTACATTGTGTCTTTTATACGGCTAAAGCAACAAGCGTGCAAGTTTGCATTGTCCTTGGGTATATAAACTTTGTGTTGGCATAGTTTCATTCGCACACGCTACAAGACAACTTGAAGTTAGACTTAGAGAGGAAAGGTTTTTTCCTTTGCAACCCTGCCAACCCAACCCATGTCTAGGTATTTTCAGGTTATTGGAGGCATGTTAACTTTCTCTTTCTTTTCTTTGTGCATTGGTTAATGGCCATTTGGCTTGCAACTTTTGCATGAACAAGGTGTTGCTAGTCGGCGGAAGAGGGCCATTGTTCTTCTTCTCAACCCCTTCAAAAACGGTTGGGTTTTCATTTATGGCCGTCTTTGCGATTGGCGCACCGACAGCCCAAAAATAAATGGTCCAAATGATGAGAGAACGCCACCTTCAGTCTTATGATTTATAATTGGTCAAATATTCTGAGGACCATCTTACCCTTATTTGCTAACGGTTTTTTGAATGGTAACCTGGGACAAATATTAAAATCGGATTACAGTTTAGATCACGTTTTGAGTGTAACGACAATAAAACAACGTTTACCTGAGACTTTTGGGATCACCGTGGATTTTCGTCCTTTTATTTAGATCGCTGCATTTTAACTGAATGAAGAGGAAACTTACATTTACGCATTTTTGCTTCGATTTGACTATAAAATTATATCATCAGCAATAGTTCAGAACATCAGAAACCGCGAATACGGGTGGGGGGGGGGGGCTACGGGGGCTTTAGCTCCCCCAATAATTTCCAAAATGTATTTTAAACCATGCAAAAAGTCACCCTGCTCTTGGTTTTTAGCATGTTTAGCCCTCTCCAAAAAAAAACGTTTAAGCCCTCTCAATCTGTGATATGCTGCGCGATCCTTAAACAAGTAAGCTTGCTAGCTTTGACTAGGCAAGAAATCTTTTAAACAAGGCTAGCCAGAAAGCAATGTCACACTAACAGTATTCAAAAAAACGGTATTAGCCCCCTCTTGTTGTGAAAGAGAAAGAGCTGCCAATTGGCTAAAAACATGTAGCTTCCAATGAAGCAAGTGTGTAGAAAAAATGCGACTACCATTAGTCTACTTTTAAGATAACTTTCTTGTCAATATTTGCATTACTTTAAATCTTGATAGATTGAATAATTACTATTAACAGAATGCAAAACAGAGTGGTACTGCTCAGCTTACTTTGGGCTCCTACACGAACCCTGACGGCCAAGATTACAAAGGACAACGTTGCGATACAACAATATGGGGTAGTAGCTCATGGAAATGCGATCCTATCTTTACCATCTGTGTCATCGATTCTCCAGATCCAAAGTCAGACAACAACTGCTTAAAGAAAATCCGCATAAAGGGTCCGGCCAACACCAACAGCTATGACTTTAAATCGAGGAAAGAAAGTATAGGCTTTGCAAAATGGAAGGTATGTGTAGCCTAACTATTTTCAAATGACATTTACAGAATACAACACTCTCTTTGATCAGGATAAATAGGGCGGGTAGATAAGTTTTTCACTTTATTTCATCTGTGATTAGAATCAAGCCAGCTCACAACCTTTGACAAAAAATGCCAGGTTCAGTTTCCAAAACAAAAGATGCATATTAGTTGGATTTTATCCTTCATTCGAGGACTAAAAAAGGCCCTGTCTGACAGGCAGTGGCGGTTTAATGGCCCCAGGCCCTGCCCCCCTGGGGTCCCACACCTAAGAAAAAAGATAGAAATTATAAAGAACAAGAGCCCCGCAGATGTTTTTGGCCCCGAACCCTGAATCCCTGAAACCCTGCGGCTGACAGGGACACCGTAAGAGGGGACGCTGGGTTGGGGTTAACCACCACTTTTTCCTTTGATAGGAGGGACAAGGAGGGCTGAAGTGATATTTTCATAAATGTGCCCTAGAGATCGGCCTGTTGTAATTATCAGAGAGATATATATAAAATTCCGACAAGAGCGTTTTTGTCATGAAGTCACTTTTCAAAACTTGCAAATGACAGTTTACGAAAGAATTAGTAGAAGTTGGGAATTATGTTTTTAATTCCCTTTTACTGAAGCCTGCCCCCTTTTCCCTTGGTCGTTCCGGCGTCCTGTGCTGTAGATTAACGTATAATCATTATATACTTATTCTTCTTTTCGTATTCTCGACCACTACAAGATTGGCTCAAGTGATGAAGAAAGTCATGTTTGAAAGTGTCTTTTTCGAAAAATATTCCTCTCGCTAATTGGCAATTTCCCTAGGGGGCTCTGACAACAAGGGAAGAGCTGAGAAGCTGTAGCCTGTCCCGTTCGAAGAATCGAGCGATCGTACCAAAAAGACTGCCTTTTCCATTTCATTGCGACCGTAAAATCAGTCTCACCCTTTCTCTACTGCCCAATCACCTCCTGAGTAACTACACTAGTGATTCAATTAATGTATATCTGTATTGGCAGGGATACCTTGGAATATTCATAAAAGTGATGGATGAAGATGATATAGGAAATCCAGACGACCTGATGGACGAATTCAGCAAAACAGTTTATATAAGAGCACCTAGCAATGGGACGTATAGTGCCCAAAAAGAACTAACATTATCACGCAAAGGACACACGTTCAAATTCAGTATCAGGGTTGCCTGTGATCTGTACTTCTTCAGGAAGGATTGTGGTACTTACTGCAAAGCAAGACACAGTGAAAAAGACGGATATTATAACTGCGCTGCAAATGGCACAAAATTATGTTACAAAAATTGGTACGGAACGAACTGTAACAATTTTTGTCGATCACAGAATGGAACCTTGGGACATTATGAATGCAACAAACGTGATGGTAGTAAGATATGTCATCGACATTGGTATGGAACTGAATGTACAAAATTCTGCAAGTCACAGAATGGAACATTAGGACATTATGAATGCGACAAGCATGATGGTAGTAAGATATGTCACAGTCACTGGTATGGTTCAAACTGTACAAGCTTCTGTAAGGAACAAAATGGAGCTTTAGGACATTATGAATGCAACAAACGTGATGGTAGTAAGATATGTCATCGACATTGGTATGGAACTGAATGTACAAGATTCTGCAAGTCACAGAATGGAACATTAGGACATTATGAATGCGACAAGCGTAATGGTAGTAGAATATGTCACACTCACTGGTATGGTTCAAATTGTACAAGCTTTTGCAAGTCACAGAATGGAACATTAGAACATTATGAATGCGACAAGCGCAATGGTAGTAGGATATGTGACACTCACTGGTATGGCTCATATTGTACAAGCTTTTGCAAGTCACAGAATGGAACATTAGGACATTATGAATGTGACAAGCGTAATGGTAGTATGATATGTCACACTCACTGGTATGGTTCAAATTGTACAAGCTTTTGCAAGTCACAGAATGGAACATTAGGACATTATGAATGTGACAAGCGTAATGGTAGTATGATATGTCACACTCACTGGTATGGTTCAAATTGTACAAGCTTTTGCAAGTCACAGAATGGAACATTAGGACATTATGAATGCGACAAGCGTAATGGTAGTAGGATATGTCACACTCACTGGTATGGTTCAAATTGTACAAGCTTTTGCAAGTCACAGAATGGAACATTAGGACATTATGAATGCGACAAGCGTAATGGTAGTATGATATGTCACACTCACTGGTATGGTTCAACTTGTACTAGCTTTTGCAAGTCACAGAATGGAACATTAGGACATTATGAATGCGACAAGCGTAATGGTAGTATGATATGTCACACTCACTGGTATGGTTCAAATTGTACTAGCTTTTGCAAGTCACAGAATGGAACATTAGGACATTATGAATGCGACAAGCGTAATGGCAGTAGAATATGTCACACTCACTGGTATGGTTCAAATTGTACAAGCTTTTGCAAGTCACAGAATGGAACATTAGGACATTATGAATGCGACAAGCGTAATGGTAGTAGAATATGTCACACTCACTGGTATGGTTCAAATTGTACAAGCTTTTGCAAGTCACAGAATGGAACATTAGGAAATTATGAATGCGACAAGCGTAATGGTAGTAGAATATGTCACACTCACTGGTATGGTTCAAATTGTACAAGCTTTTGCAAGTCACAGAATGGAACATTAGGACATTATGAATGCGACAAGCGTAATGGTAGTATGATATGTCACACTCACTGGTATGGTTCAACTTGTACTAGCTTTTGCAAGTCACAGAATGGAACATTAGGACATTATGAATGCGACAAGCGTAATGGCAGTAGAATATGTCACACTCACTGGTATGGTTCAAATTGTACAAGCTTCTGTAAGGAACAAAATGGAGCTTTAGGACATTATGAATGCGACAAGCGTAATGGTAGTAGAATATGTCACACTCACTGGTATGGTTCAAATTGTACAAGCTTTTGCAAGTCACAGAATGGAACATTAGGACATTATGAATGCGACAAGCGTAATGGTAGTAGAATATGTCACACTCACTGGTATGGTTCAAATTGTACAAGCTTTTGCAAGTCACAGAATGGAACATTAGGAAATTATGAATGCGACAAGCGTGATGGTAGTAAGATTTGTCACAGTCACTGGTATAGAAAAAATTGTACAAGCTTTTGCAAGTCACAGAATGGAACATTTGGACATTTTGAATGCGACAAGCGTAACGGTAGTAGGATATGTCATCGATATTGGTATGGAACGAATTGTACAAACTTTTGCAAGGCGCAGAATGGAACCTTGGGACATTATGAATGCGACAAACTTGATGGTAGTAAGATATGTCACAGCAGTTGGTATGGTAAGAATTGTTCTGTCTATTGTTTTCCCAGAAAAGATTCGTACGGCCATTATTCTTGCAATGTCCTAAATGGTTCCAAAATATGTCACCCACTGTGGTATGGTAAGGACTGTTTGAGGTACTGTCAAGAACAAGATGGCCCGGTGGGTCACTACACCTGTTCAAAAACTGGTTTTAAGATTTGTAGACCACTGTGGTTCTCCGAAAACTGCACTGTATACTGTACGGAAAGGAACAATCGGTTTGGACATTATTTATGTGACAATAAGACTGGAAGTAAGATATGTATGAAGGACTGGTACGGCAGAAACTGCACTGTTCACTGTATGTTGCGGAATGATACATCAGGACATTTCTCTTGCAATAAGTCATCAGGAGCTAGAATTTGTTTCCCAAATTGGTTTGGAGATGAATGCCAAACATATTGCAAACAACGGAATGACTCACAGGGACATTATTTTTGCGAGAATGTTACCGGTGAGAAAAGGTGTTTGGAAGGCTGGTTCGGAAACCGATGCTTGACATACTGCAAGGGAGATCTTCAAAGTGGTTATAGATGTGATAAGGAGGGTAATAAGATATGTCACGAGAACTGGTATGGGGAAGGATGTAAAACATACTGCAAGCCTTCTACAGTTTACTACTGCAATGAGACTACAGGTGAAAAAATATGTAGGAGTGGTTTCCAAGGAAAGAATTGTTCCTCATCCTGCTTGGACAATAGCTGCTACTCTTCAAAAGTTTCGTTTCTAACTTCTGAGCCATTTCCTATTTCTTCTCGTAGATTACCAGCAACGACTATTTTGATTACCTCATACTTCAATAACATTGTGGGTTATTCTTTATCATCATCCGTCACAAAAGTGAAGATAAAACCATCATATACGGATTCTGAGAGAGGAAGCACTGTGACTAAATCACGTTATGTTGGATCTGGTTCTTACTTTTCCTATACAAAGAAACCTATTATATCCAGTATTAAGTTACATCCTAGTATATATTTCGTCAATAGCACAACTCTACCGCTCTCATATCAAATTAAATCATCCACTCATATTAAAAGCAAGCATACAAATTTACAAGCAGATAGCATCTATAGCACAACCTTTCAAATTCAAACACTTGATTCTACAAATTCAAAGGGTTTTTCAACTTTTGAGATTAAGAAACTGTCCACAGCCTCGCATGCTAGCACAGTATCCAGTAATATAGAAGAAACAAAGTCAACAAAAACTGACTCAATATCATCGGAGTTCACAAGACGTATAACTGAATACCAGACCCAGCATCCTTCTTCAACTATACAAAGTAGCAAGACAGACCTAGGCTCCATAGGAACTTCAAGAACTAATGGAGGCACGAAAACAAAGATATTGGGTACAAGAGCTATGTTTCCGACAACATCTGCATCAGACACTATAATTCCTGCCTCCTCCATCAACATTGATGCTTCAAGATCGATTCCTGGCTCGAGCAAAAGCTACGTAAAAAATACTGAATCAATGGACGTTGAGTTGAAAGGAACCAACGCCAGTCAGTCGTTCATAAACACCTATATGCATGCATCATCAACCACTCTATACCACAAAAGCAACTCTGTACAATTAATATATAGCAGTATACAACAGACCACGCCAACACCAACATCAACCAAACATCCAATCATAGAAAAAGCCTCCAAGAAGAGTGCCGTGCATTGGCTGACAGGAACTACTTCTGGACAGCTAACTGTTGTCACTATGTTTGTGGTAATATTCTCCGTTGTCACTGCTTTGATCGTAATCTGGAAACGGTGAGTATAATCCAGAACTATACTGCTCTTGTACTATAGAAACATACACTACTGACTGCAGAAAGTTTTTTCTATTTTAGTTTTGACTCGGTTGAACCAGCCGCGTAGCTGTAGGTGTCGGCTAGGGGGGGGACGCAAACTCGAGCAAGAAACATACCTGAGGGGGGCAGGCTTTAAAACAAGAAAACAGATATATAACAAACAGATATATTGGACAAAATCAAGGTCATGGAATTATGAATATGCCAAAATCAATTGGAAAAATTGTAGCCAGAGGGGGCAAGCTGTTGTCAAATTTTTCATTTTGGGGGGCATAGCCCTCTCCCGTGCCACCTGCAGCTACGTGGCAGAGTTGAACACATGGATATCTCATCTTTAAAAATCCCTTTTCATCATCTTGGACATTTTTTCGTTGAAAATGGAACAAATTAATTACGATTTATTGAGCTACAAGAATAGGGCAAAAATATGATCTTTATCCGCCTCACACACATGATCATATTGGCCTCTTAGGTCTTTGTAATTTTCACAAATCCTGCAAGGATGATCTTTCTCAACACATATTATATCACAACAATTCGTTTGTCTTTGTGATTATAATGGAACAATAGGTCCAATTATTTGTCTATTTTGCCTGTCTCTAATGTGCTACACACATGTAAATCTAAGATTTATGTAATTTTTTAAACTGGTTTAGCATTGACTTGATAATTCTATGTTGAACAATTTTGAAAATGGTGCTTTTTAAAGGAAAGAGAAGAAAACTCAAGCCCAACGTGAATGTTATTTGACAAATATGGAAGAGAAGACTGATGTCGACATCATCTCTCACAACGGCATTACAAACCCAGGTCAAGATGATTATGACAATGAGAGTTACTTCAATGGGTAAGGCGAATATGATTGTAAGCAGCAATGTAAGACTGGCAAAGCTACGTGTTGGTTATATGACTAAAAGTAGCACCATTCTATTTTGCTCAGATCTTGCGCTTTTTAAATCTGTATCACTACATTTGAAGCTCTATCTTTTAAGAGGATTAATAACAAAAGTATTATGCTTATTAACAACCCAAGTTTCAAATATTCACGATAGTTATAGCTCTGGTTGCGTTTGCGTCAGAAACCAAAATTGCCCATCTCTTATCTGGCATTATTATTCATAATGTGATCGGTAAATTACAATATAAGGCGCTATCTGCCGATCATTGAATTACTAGTTTGGGGATATATGCTACGCTTCTTTGTCGATTCGATGCAAAGTTGCAAATGTTTAAGCAATCATGCTAGGTTTTGGCTACACAGGTTACAAAAAGATGATAATGATTTTATCAAACAAAATTAAGCGTTTCCATTTTAGTCAAAATTTTTTAAACCCAATGGCTATGTGCTCTTTCAATGATTGAAGCTTTTTTAACATACTAACTAAGGGGGAATTGGCACTCCAGCCCCGATGATCTTCCAATGTCTAATACAATAGGCTAATCTGAAATGTTCTGCGGGGGCTAAATATGCAATAGGCTTAGAGCAATATTATTTTTGTATTTTAAGTCAATTTTTGACATTTATTTGGGGTGGCTTAAGCCTCCCAGGGACGCCGGTACGACCGAGGGGGGCAAGGGGGCTGGCTTCAGGAAAAGGGCATTTGAAAGAATATTCCTGCTTCTACTAATTCTTTCGTTACTATCATTTGTAACTTCTGCCATAAGAAATTTTTGAATTATGCAGAAATGTCATAATGAATAAGGCACTGCCGTCAGAGCTTCGTATGAATATCTTTGATTATTACAAAAGACTGGTGTCATTGGCACTTTTAGGAGCTTTGGCCCCTTGCACCTCCTATCAAAGGGCAAGAAGGGCGGTTGCCCCTCCCTCGCGCCCCCTCTTCGACATGCCTGAAGTCTCCCCCACTTCAGCTGTTACCGACTCTCATAGACACTGGCATTTGATTTTCCTGTAGTGGCTAAAGATTGGATAAGAAAATATCGTCATGAAAAGGCGCTCCTTATAGCCAGGATAGTACATTTCAACTTCAAAAGCTTGTAAAGGAATCAAGTTCTTTTTAATTCAGAATCTGGACTGCTAAAAGCAACTTTTTTATTTTCTATTAGTTTTCTTGTTACCAATTTAGAAAAGGAGGTTGTTTTACAAATTAACAAGTTTTTAATCTCGTAATATACCACTTTATGAATCGTTCTTGTTTTCTAGAGAAAACCCTCTTTATGGTATAACTCGCACGAAAGACGGCTCTGGTGCTGATGTCTACAGCTTTGACAATCCGTTATTCGCAAACAATGCAGAGTCTTGTGTGTGACGTGGCTTCAGTGTCTAAATGGCAATTTCAACAATATTAGTTAATGTAGATAGAAATTAATTTATATACTAATTTTTTCTCATCATAAAACTATTGCAAACTCACATGTAGAGAGAGCTAAACTGGGGTTCATAACAAGAACAATAACAGGGGTTTTTGAATGGCATAGAAAATTCCTTTCATATGACCATAGCTTATGTATGACGAAGTATCCGTACGTTAAATATGTATATATCAAGGTTGGATATGCCGTTCAAGAGAGTAGCTTAGCCAGGTCTCCAGCATTAGGGGGACAAAGTTTTTAAACACAGGCCCGATTAAAAGCCTGATAAAGCTCTTTCCTTTAACACTACGTCACTGAACATTGCTATGACCATAGTCAATAGCAAGTCTTTATCTATTTATTATCGTCTTATCTTATCTGGGCCATCCCAGGAAAGACTTTACCTAAGTCCTCAAACTATGGCATTACACGTTTTTTTAATAAGGAACCTACCTCAAGGCCTAGTTCCAAAAGTTCCTTATTCGTTTACCTCAAATCATCAAATTGTAGACCAAATGTTCCTTAATAGTTCCTTAATTTGTTCTGACTACAATCAGCCTTAACACTCAATAGAGAGAGGGGCAAGACAGCATATGCCGAAACTACTCAATGAAGCACTTGACACACGAATAGCAAACAATCTATGCGAGTATTGGCTGCAAATGAATGGAACCATCTTTTTAGTTCTTGATGCTTCCAGTTATCAAAATTTTTCAAATCAAAAAGTTCCTTAGGGATTTCGTTTTTAGAAATAAAAGTTCTTTAAATATTTCGGCCTTCTACTAGGTTCCTTATAAAGTGGTTCCTTATAAAAAAAGCGTGTACAGTGGCGTAGATAAAGGTTCTGAAGTTGTCGGAAATATAACATGGTTATCTATTATTATTCAAGTATTACATTTTGAGAGGAAAGATTTCAAAGCTGAATTTGATGACTTCTTTCGTTGATTTGAACAAGATTGGTATAATACTTCAAAGTGTCTTTTGCAGAGAGGACCATAAAAGTCTTTCATTTGTATGATTAATGAAACTTAATTTTAAATAAATGATTAGGCTTTATCTCTAAAGACTTTATGTTTAAATATTGGGAAGAAAATGAAAACCCTTATTGAAGTTTTGTCGTAAAATCTAAATTTCTCGCCCCTCCTATGAATTTTCCTATCTACCCCACTGTTGATTTGGCATATTCAAAGCTTAACCAAGACTTTACTTTTAGTTATCGAAATGTTTTTCTCCTCTTCGTGTCACGATATCCCCTTATTTTCTGATTAAAAGCCTACCTTTAATTGTGCTGAAGCAAGGAATAGAAAATCTTGCTTAAAACTTATTTGGCGAGCCTTAAAAACTGGTTAGTGCCCGGGCACCATGCTCTCATGTGCAAATAGCGTAAAAGCGCTATCAAGCCTAAGGCAGGGGACTTTTTTATCTTTGAGAAATACCAAAGGAGACTTAAGGGTTATAAGAGAGGGAGCTTATTAGAGAGAGGGCTTTTTGTATGTTTCAAGGTTATCGAAATATCTTTTCTGTGTGATTATTCTGCTGTACATCTATGAAAATAGCTAATACTAGCAGCCAGAAGACCATTGGAGTTGAAATTGTAATAAATATGTAAATTATTGTACATTAATGTTTTGATTTTGTAACAAAAACTGTATTATTGCAATTGTATTTTATAATGATAGTAAAAATTATTGAGACTAAATTAATGGGTTTTCATGGAGGTGTATTTCTTGAACGATAGAAAGAAAAAGTAGCGGTGTTAGATTAGCATGTGCTTCTAAATGAATGATGCTAAATGTACACACAAAGAAAACAAGAAAATATCTATGATGATAATTGCAAATTGAAGCAACGAATTCGGTGAACGAAAGATTTAGGACAGGACTTCTCTTATTTTTGTTTCGACAAAAATGTCTAATTTCATTAGCTTAATGTCTTAAAAGGAACTTGATCAAAAGAAGGATGTTCGTGGGTTCTCAAATTCGTAAATTGTTCTTTGCGAGGGATCCCGTACTTTTTTCTTCCAGGCATTACCAAACGTCTTCGTCGATAGTTTATTTCTTTCACTGCAGTTTGTAGCAACAGTAGCAACAAAATAAAGTTTCTTTAGGGAAATTTCTACTGAATTGAAATTGCTAGCTTATTAAAAGAAATGAAAACATAAAATTTGAAAGTCTTTTTTAAAAGAGAGATTAAAGGAGTCATCCATGTTGACTCTTAAAACTCAACTCCAATATGTTGGTGTTCAGGGAAGCCTGCAATCGAAGCGGGGAGTAGGAGCAAAGCGCCAAGAAAAAGGCAGAGCAATAGTAAAACGAAAAAAAATACTCAATTTCGCGAGGGCAAGGACGTTCACGGCCCCCGCTGCCCTCCCCCCTGGCGCAGGCATCCTTGTTGGTGTTAAATGTGTGCATCATCATACTCACCTTGTACGTCGTTATGTCTATGCTTTTGCCTCTCTTTTTCCTTTCAAGTAAACCCTGTATCCACTGAATATTTGCTCTTAAAACACACAGCTGTAAGTTAGGCCAGTTGTCAAATCCTTCTTTAAATCCTGTAGCTTTCAAAATATAAAGCTAAAGCGTGGTCACCATATCCCTATGGGACAAAAAGTTGAAAGCCCAAGACAATTGAGTTTGAATCGGTGAAATTGGCAGGATAGCATTTGGATATAATTGATCAAAAAAATCCACTGGGAGCAAAATTATTGCTTTATCGGCTGCTCGCTTCGAAAGGAGAACGATCACAAGGGAGAGTGAGGAATTCTCTTTGTACAATCAGAGGAAGCTGATTTCCATAAATGCTTTCTGCTGCCAGAATTGTCAAAACACTTTCATCTCGTGCACTCTACCTCTTTTCCCCTGTTAAAAAGCAGGCGTATTCCCGCTCCCCCCTCCACCCCAAGCAACGTTTAGAAGATTTCTACGGAACGTTTTAAAGCGACTTAGGGTGTTTGAAAGTGGAGGGAGGTCGAGTTGCAAAAGCAACTTACAAACTTATTAAATATTTATTTTTACCTAGTATTTTCTGTTTTCCAAAAGAGTTAACGTATGACAAAGCTAAAAATTGTCTTTTGGGTGAGGGGAATGGTCGAAAAGAGCACTTAGTCTCCGCCGATGTAATTTAAGAAATAGATATTTTGCTATAGACTAGACTTATTTTTAACAATTATCCCAGGCTCTGTAGACTTTCTGCCGATTGCTAACATCGATAATCTCTATGCTTTAAAAGTAAACTCAATCGGGGTGTGTTTTATCCGAACAATAAAAGCTGCCAGTGTCAATAAATCAGAGCCACCATTGACGCAAATAGCACACGAAAAGATTAAATAGGAACAATAGGTTGGATCGTCAAAACATTTGCAAGGAAGGAACGCCCCAGTCAGTGGTTAAAAAAGTTATGCTAACAGTTTACTTAACGTAGGCAAGCATACGAAGAATCGAACGACATGGGCTGATATGGGACCGTCGTGGCTGACCTTTTTTCAACAAGAAATGCGCATTCATTCATTCTTAACTTGCCCACAATCCTGGCAGTCAGCTGAGCGGGAAGGGGTGGGGGTGGTTGATGGTTGCCACTCGTCTAGCTCAGTGTACAGACATGTTTGCAAGGAAAGTGTTATAAAACCATATCAAGGAATTAGAAATTGAGGTAAATATACGAATTCCGCCCTAGCTTACAACCCAACCGTTGAAAAATGCGTGGTCTGGATATCCTACTATCGGATATGGAAGATCCAAAATATCCTTTACTTATCGGCCAAGAAACAGCCTTTACCTCTATTTTTTCCTCGAAACATGTCACTTTTCTTAGAATATAGCAACCTTAATTTAAACTCAAAGTAATATTGATTAAAATTTCAAAGATTGAAAGTTAAACTTTTTACTATATAGGAAAATGATTGAGGAAGAGTAGGCCTAAATATTACGCAAATTGGATGAAAAATGATGCAATAACTTGAAGGCTAGGTGGAAATGGAAATAAAGAAAATTCGGATTGACGTTAAAATCATTTTACGAAGGCTTACAAAGTGTATGCTATCCAATGCGTTTAGTGTGTAAGTGTTTTAAACAGTGCGATGGATGTTAAACGGTCAGTTTACAAATTGCAGTATCTCATAATACGTTCACTGCAAAGAGGGATCTTTTTGTCAAGAGAAACAGCGTTCTGTCGGAGGCCTGTACGCCTAGGATCTCTTCAGTTGTCGGCAGCTCGATTACATACTGACACCCATCGTTCGATGCAATCTCACTTGTGACGTAGATGTATATATTTGATACACAGTCAACAATAGCAACGAATTTGTAATCAGAGCCACATATGGTATATTTATGATTCTTCTTTGAGGCTTGGATGTAACCCAAAGCGTTGAATGTCGTCATATGCTTCCAAGTTACTTTGGCCTTCGTTTCCGATTGTATTGGTTTCCACAGAAGGCCGTCAACATCATGGCGGACGCAGAAGCTGGCTGGTTCATTGGGGTCAAACTGACGATTAAAGAGCCATTGGTGACCAGCGACTTGAGTCTATAAAATGAGACATTAATCAAACAGAACCTGCGCTCCTTTGTAGTGTAAGCCAGCTCTCCCATGATTGCAGGAGACAAAATGATTCTAAAGCTACCCAGGATTGAACCCCCCCTCCCCTAAGATTTCATTTTCATTCTTTCATTTATCTTTTTTTACCCAGGCTAGCTCTTTAGTCAAAGGACTAGTTTACAGGTGGGTCCAGCAAAATATACAAAAATATGAAAAAAATAACTGCTCAAAAATTAAAGTTAATCTAAAAGTAACCAAAATAGTGAAAATAACATGTACAAACAAATCAACTATTTAACCAAAAGGATTGGGAAAAACAAAGTTTCATTATGAGCAGTAAACACATTTAGCTCAACCAATTGGCGGCCAATCTCTCTCAGCTTCCCCAATAATTTCGGCACAACATAAATTACTAATAAAGGCTTTATATTTTTTTCTTGGTAAAGTAAATAGGTAAAAACACTCAACGACTGGAAATCTTGGGGGGTAACAATAATCTTTTATTGATTTCTCTTGGGGAAACCCTTTTATATGCGTGCAATTTTATTCTGTTTTTTTTGTCAGCAGTTTGATAAATCAATGGCCGGGGCCGTTTTGTAAATATAAGCACTGGCAACTTGAGCTCTTGTCTCTCAGGCCGCCTTTGAGAAGTAACCATCTCGATTGTTCTTCGTAAAACCTGCTCAAAAATAGAGGAAAGCCTTTGGAAACTTTACGATATTCGCGCATACTGATTTCACAAACTTCGCGGTAGCTTTTTATGGAAGGTTGTCCAATACTTTGTCAAGGCTACCTCTAACTAAAAAGAATTCTTTGAAAATAGCCCCAATGCTTTAGCAGATTTCTTTCTAAGACCTTCTTTAATTCTGTATAAACTCCCACAGCTATTTCTAAGGAATCTTTACCACAAATTTCGCTACTAACGGCAAACAGCTTCTTTACACCTTAGAAAGCACCTTTTCCTGGTCCTGGCAGACTTCCAGGAAAGTGATCAGTTTAATCCAATATTTTACCACATTTAATCTGGCATCTTTCAAAATCTCAATAACTGAGTTTTGACAAAATGTAATTAAGGTATTGAGTTTCGAAAATAGCATAGCAACAAGAAGGGGATGACAAGATTAACCGAGGGACACTGACTGGCCATAAATGCCTGCATGAATCTGACAACTCTCAAAATGTCTGGGCTGTAAGCAGTGCTGTAACCCCGGAGGCATCCGGCATCATAAGGAAAAATACTGTGATTGGGCCCCTATTTACGAGCTGTAGCATGTCAAACACAATAGCAAAAGGTAAAAATGAGAATTTTTTCTTGTTACCTAGGGGAAGCTTGAGTTAAAGAAGCTTTGATTGAAGAACTTTTAAAGTTTTTAAAAAAGACATTAACTTGAGCAAAGCCTTAAAAACATGGATGAAAAAATAATTTGGAGACCTTTAGCTTTTGATCTTAGATCACCTGATCTTTGTAACACGACTAGCTGTAAGATATTTAAGAAAGTTACAAGTTAGTTTATCAGTGATCAACATAGGCCCCAGTAATTGTGTAATAAGTCAAAGTGTGCTTCTGCAAGTCAAGAAACATACCTCTAGCTTGGTACTTTCATCTTTTCGGTCAATCACAACAAGCTTTAAGTCCTCTTCATTTTCGATATCGCATTCTTCCATCTGCTCATTTGTATATGTAGTTGGTGGTACAAGTGGGTCAGAAACAGTCTATCAAAATAAAGGCTAAGGTTCTTCTAAGTTGCTCAAAAAAGGACTGCAAACAAGCTAAATTCAACATTTTTAAAAAAGGAAAGAACTGCTTGATTCTCTAAAAAATTCTGTTATTAATAATTTTACAATAAGAAAGGTAAACCACTAAAATATATAATAAATACTATTCATTTACAAGTGATTTCCAAAATTTGATACAAACCTACTTGGTATGAAGCTAGATTAAATTTTTGCCTTCCAAAAGAATGCCTTACTCTACAAAACATTTAAACCATACATACATATATAAACACAAATTGAAAAAGATAATCGAAAACATATATTTGTTTTTTGCCTTAATTAATCATTCACAAACTAATGAAAGTATGGATAGGAGATTGTTCAAATGAGCAATACACAGGAAAACACAAAACCTCTTAACTGAACCCATTTGCACAATAATAGAAAACAGAAAAGAGCTTTTATTTTTTCTTCATGTTTCTTTGCATTGTGACTCAATATAGCTTAATTTATAGCTCAAACAACTCTGTTTATAATCAAAGATTTCGACCCTTAAACTTGATTTGGAGCAAAAAACTACAATCAAAATTGCAAAATTTGATACCATCAACAAAACTTGATTCAAATAGATTGAAGCATACTTTAGAAAGTGTCTCGTCATATCCCTTAATTCATACTTGCATAAATTTCTGGCATATTAAACAGTATCTGCATTATTTTTTGTAACAAGGTAGAACAAAATTATAATAGGATGCAAATGAAATTTCATTTAGAAGGTGACAATTTTATCAGCATTAATGAAATGTCATGAGAAACATGGAGCAAATTTAGCTACTTAATGCTTATCATGGTGAGGAAAGCCTGCACTCAAAGAGGGCACCAGGGGGCAAAGCACAAAAAAAGAGCAAAACAATTTAGTAAAAGGAAGAAAAATACTCAATTTTGTGAGGGCATAGGGGGCCACTGTCCTGCTGCCCACCTTGTGCAGGCATCCTTGGTTATGGTAATGTTCAAGAGTTTGTTCTAGACATAAATGTAGAAAGATTTCTAAAAGCAAGGGAGGGGCATTGCCCTTGAGACCCTCTCGTTTCCTTTTTTATTGCAGTTGGAAAAAATCATTAAACACAAATTGAAGAATGTCAAATTTAAGGCTTACATCAGGTTCTGCTACCTTTTCTTCATCATTTGCTGGGACTGTTGCGCCGCCATTCTTTTCTTCCTCTGGGATATAAAACAAACAATAGAAATAAATCACTCTGAAAATTTATAATATATACATACAACAAACAGATTTTTATGTAATGAGGAATTCTTATTACAGTTTGTAGAATATGAAATATTGCAAAAACAACCAAAGATGCAAATCAACTGATGTTTATGAATTGATAAATTTATGTTTAACTGATAAGATAATAACAAACCTTCTTGCAGGACACAAAAGCTATATACTCATTTCACACAAATACAACAACACTTCATTTAAGTAACAATAAATTAACAGGTACCACACCTTGCTCTGAACTTTCCTTATTGCCAAAGGTAAAAGGCTTCTGACTTGCAATAATAAGACTGCTAAAATCAGGACTGTAAGTTGAATAAACAGGGATAGATGTTCCAGACAGAACTTTGGTATCATTAACAATAAACTCATCTCCTGCAGAGTTTGAGCCATTTTTGCTATGAATAAGGTGCACTAAATGTAGGAATATTTGTGGATGACTTGAAGAGGACATTTTTTCATCCTCCAAACTTAGAAGCAGACAATATATATTGTCATCATCCTGTTGGCAACACTGGCGTAGGTAGAATGGAAAACCAAAATCTTTAATGAGTGCAGCTTCTTTGCTTTGCCAGTTTTGTTTCTCTAATTGAATGGAGCGGTTGCCTGTTTTTGCAAAGAAAAGTTTCCCTGTTCCATCGGAGAAGAAGCAGACTGTTGGTGATGGGAAAGATGCTGATGGGGAAATGTGCTCATTGATTTTTTCTTCTGGTGGAACTGAAAATTTACACATTGTGACAGGTGATCCATATGTACCACTGGACTAAAAAATTTAACAAAAAGAGTCATTACAAAAGAAAAGGGCTTTTCATGAATTGAGGGGTCAACACTGAAAAAGACCCTTCAAGATTCTAATTTTCATGCTTGGATATACAAATGTATCAGGCCCTATGAAACATATTTGATAATAGCTTCACCTTCACTAATAGTGTCTTTCAGTGAACTTGTTATTACATACATTCTCAGTTATAAATACGAAGTTATATGATAACTACAAATGCAGTTAAAATTCAATTTAACAAAATTTTAATTCTCTATCTGTACATGGAATTTCCTTTCTCTCACAATAAATGGCATCTGCACAGCATGAATAATGATCATAACATTTTTACATTTTTTTTTCAACATCTGATAATATCAGTTGAACACAGAAGACTGTTCATGTAAACCTATCAATATTTGTTATCTACATTCGTTATGTCTGACTAAATAAAGAGAGCTTTAGCAACCTTATCAAAAGAGACACCCATTACGGCATATGTGCTGTCAACGAAATATAAAACATCTTCTTGCTTATTCCACAGATCTAGAACCAATAAATTCTGCTCCGCGTGGGCTCTCAAATGTGAAAAAGAGTAGTGATCTTCACTCAATGGGTCATGGGCGACTGGTTGCAATAGATTCCGACTTCGAAGCTCAAGGTTCACCGTTCCTAGATGGTAACTTTCAAATTTTGCATTTAAAAGTTTTCTATCTGGCTTAAGAGATATGTACTCCATCTTTCTTAGCTAGCAACTTCTGAAAGCAACAAAACCCAAGATGGCGGAGAACTTGAACGTGAAACCTCTTTTCCAAATAACCTCGATTCGATGATGAATTGAAAAACAAACAAAGAGCCGAGCACAGAAAGGGGATTAGTATGGGTTTTGCCACTGATCTATAAAAAAGTCTTTTTATAGATCAGTGGAGTTTTGCCTGAATGAAGTTTCTTCAAGATAAAATTGCCCGAATTCGATATTCGATCTGGGCGTGAAATTCGATAAATTCTGCCTTTAAGGGAGGGGGCAGCCCTGTGTCTTCTACGCCTATGTTGTTAAGTAAAAATAATGGAAAAGATTGATTTCGAAACTATTAGGCAATCTAAAAATGAACTGACAAAGTAAACGTACAAAAGGAAAATCCATGTCTATATTTCCCAGGTAACCCGCACTTTAGCGTTGAATGGTTGGTAAAATTTCCTCGTGTTAAATGGAAATGTCTTCATCGAGAACTTCGTTGAAAGTTTTTACTTTTCATGAACTTCAACTTCTTTCCTAAGTCTTATCTATTAATATCTATTAAAAAAATGCTAGAAAGATAATAACATCAGCACAAAAATGCAGAGAATGAAAAGTTTGTCTGTGACAAGGTCAACCACAAGAGGGAAAGCGACAAAGATAATAGATGATAAACAAACGATGTGTTCCCTCAGAAGTACTCCAGGAACCCAAGGTGGATAAATCGGTATTAAAACTTTGCGGGCAATCAAAATTTTACAACCAGCCCATTTATAACAGCCATGATTTTTATAAAACCAAATATTTTGAATAGCGACAAGGCTATTTAATACCCACTTTTTCATGTATGGATATTTTCGTCAACGTTTTCTTTATGTTTAGAATCTTTGATAGTAAAAAACCCAGCTGTATGGGTGACGCATATTCAAGTTAATATTTTATTGTTACCCACTCTCACCCCTTCCCACCTAGGAATGCTCCATTATGTTAGTAGAAAAATGTCACCATTTGCTCTCGGCACCAACACTGCCCCTCCTGCCCTAATCGTGTGCATTCCTGGTTCTTGGAATGACAAGGAAAATATTAAAATAATGGCTTTCGATGATTTTTCGCATTTTTCTTTCCGAAAAATAAATTCTCAGATACAAAATTTTCCAAGGGAGATTTCAGGTGCTTGCTGCACTTTGGAATGTGGATTAGAAAAGGCAAATGTGTCTAGAAAGCGTCTTCTACCATATGTCCAGAGCTCATATAGTTTTCTTTTGATGCAGTAGAAAGTTATACATGTTACACTATTTGGTGACCTGGCTCGATTAAATAGGGTCTCCCACTAAAGCAGCATTAAATGTTTTTGTGTTATATTTTCAAACTGTTTAAGGAAGGAAGCGTTGTATGGTGCATTTGACAAGTCCAGTCAAACTCTCATAAATCTAATTTCCTCGGACCATACAAAATAATTCGACTTATGAGAAGTCTGACTTACACGTAAGACGTAAATTTTTCGACTTATGCAAATTTTGAAAACTTTCAAACCCATAAACCGTACGAAGCATCAAAGCTGAAGTATATAGCATAGAAAAAAATATCATCACATGTACAACATTAATCAAATGCTTATTCAGCATCTATAAATAGTCATTGCTTGGTTTTTGATGCAAACACTTCGGCATTTATCTTATTTCTTAGATATCTATCCCAATTCTGCTAGCCGAAGCCAAAGCCACCATCTCATCTGCAGATGCATGGTTGGCTATGACGTTTTAAACTTACCGCCCCTTTGTCTGCACAGAAGGTTCACAATCACATTTAACCTTTTTCTTTCAAAAGTGTTTCTCGTGAGGAAGACAATACCTTGGTTTTGTTGCAAAAATCCAACTTAAGCGATGCTAATTTCAGAAAGGACTTCAAAAATGGTTCGAATTACTGAAAAGTCCCCCTTTATAAATCCGACGTATGCGACGAAAGCTGGTAGCTTTTTTACCGAATGGAGCAGGACCAAGCATTTGTGCCCGAGTAACAAAATATCCGTCTTAAGCAAGTGTGACTGTTTATTGAAGGGTAGCTATAGCTAATGAGACCTCCTCATTCTATACCATCTTTACTGTATCTCTAGATTTACCAGGTTGTAGCGCAGGGGCAGATCCAGAGCAAATTTGAAGGAGGGACAGTTGGTAGTGGGGGCGCTAAAAAATTTGCAAAAATTGGTGACGAGAGTTCGCTGTATACAACAATTTCAGATCCATTTTCGGAATAAACAACATAACTTTGAGGTGATCCTTGAAGCAAATTAACTGATCGGTTTCAGAAACGTTTTCACCTGATTCTCATTCTTCAAAAGGGGCGCATAATTTCCAAAAAGAAGGCGCCAGACTTGCTTCAACTCGTTGAGGGAGGGACAACTGCCCCTAGTTGCCCCCCCCCCTGAATCCGCCACTGTTGTAGCGTGCTTTGCAAAAGAATTGCAGATTTAACAGCTTCTGTTACTTTTATTCTGGGTTATGTATGATTTGCACTGACATTGAATAATTTCGTGTGGTGTTGCTTATGCCTCCTTTTGCCGGATGATTCTGTCTCCTTACGTACAAAGTGAATTTGTCTTTCTACACCCAAAGTACACTAACTGAAAGTGTTTTCTGTAACAAATGAGTAACGGAAAATAGTCATTGAAAATCCAAAAAGCTTTTTGTTTTTTGAACCTATCATATTCAGAGAAAAATTTGGGATGGGAAAGACCAAAGTGTTTAATTGGTCCACACAGATTCAAGCACTGAACAACAGGTCGATTTACAGAAATCTTCACTACTCTTTATCCCTACATATACGCCGCCTCATGCTAAAAAAAAAAAAATTCCGTATGTCTTGATAAAAAATGTGAAGTCTATACCTTTCCTTCATTATACAGCAAGCTGCAAAAAACAGGGGGCATATCACTCCATAAAAATCTTAAATCCCTTTCACGAAAACCGTTTCAAGTACCCCCCAAAAAACCCCTCAAAATCCGACTGTTCTTAAAACTTTTGTACGCTGTTAGGAAAGTGTGATATGTTAGCAAAAATGTAGCATTCAGAATTTGCTTCCAACATAGGAACAGTTTTACTTCTGACCAGGTGATAAATTCCTTACATATTAAATATAAAAGATAAAATAGATACGATTAAAAAAATAAAAGAGAAATGATATCAAGGTTGCAAAATACGTCGAAGAATACAAAATTCAAAATAAACCAAAAGCAATAGATAACAGTGTCATATGCTTCATTGTTTACGTGATGTTAACGTTTGTTTTATCAAGTAAGCGCTGTTGGGTCAATTAGCTTCCACATGTGTAATAAGAAAATTTACTTCTAAAAATACACTTACTTCTAAGAAAACTGAAAAAAAAATATAAACAAAAAAATAATATGGAAATTTGAGATATATAATCTGAAACGGCATAACAATAAGGAAAAAGAAAGGAGTAGCTAACACAAGATTGTTAAATTTAGGATGACAACAGAGAATTCAATTCATTAGGTTCCATAAATCATCAATTTGAAGCATAATTGCAAGTAGAAATATAATTAATTAGCAGTAGAAAATTGATTAATTAGGGATCAGCATTTGCTTCTTTTTCATTGGCAGTTTCTTCTTTAATCAAACTACCAGCAATGATTCCTGAAAGCAACATCAAACCAAGCCATTTATTTGATCGAAACTTTGCAGCACAATCATTGGGGCTATCAAAATCAACAGTCAGTGCCTATAACGAAAAGAGGGCAAACATTTGCACCATACACTATATAGCTGATGGATGTGTGTACATGTTTTTTGCAATATGAAAGGTTTACTCATCTGTAAGAACTGAGAAATGATATGTTTAAATCGTTCAAAGATATCATAATGTCGTTTTAAGAATCAAAATTTCGTTTAACAGAGAATCAACAGAGAAACGGCTAGCAAAATCATAAAAAAAGAAATTTTCAAGTTTCTCTAAGAAAAAAAGGTTGTTTTTGGTAACAAAAAATGAATCATTGTGTTTACTTTTTCTTGTGTTCTTCAGCTAAAAAGGTAAACAGGCAGCTCGGATACATGTCTTAGTCTAATGTTATTTTCATTTTCTCCGTTGGGTTTATAGACTTTTATTTTAATATCTGTAGTCAGTTAATGCCACTTTGCATAGAAATTTCTTTGCTATGCACATACTAATTTAAAAAGCTGAATTTGTCTGGTTGCATCTGAAAAATATTTCAGGGTCATTCAACTTGTGTATTCATATTTTGAACAATATTTTGGCGGTGCAGAACTTGAAAAAGGCCTTGAAAAAGCAAAAATTTTACAACATACTAAAAGCTTTTTCGTCTGACACTCCTCAGACGTGGTACTGGTTGGACAACTATACCGCTAATGCGCTCGCGTTTTTCTGATTGGCCTATTTCGATCCACAACTAGATATACATTTTCATCGTGTTCTTTGGTACCCTTATTCTGATGTTTTATACTCTGAGGAGTGTCAGACGACAAAGCTTTTAGTATGTTGTAAAATGTTTGTTTTTTTCAAAGCCATTTTCATGTTCATACCTTGCAAGATTCCTATGTTTTTATGGTTATTGTTCAAAAGTTGAAGCATTTTTCAGCTTATAAGCATTTTTTAGAATACTTAGATTACACAAAGAAAAGACTGCAGATATCTTTCCATTGCAAAACCTAATCAAGTGCAACGCCCTAACACTTTTATCAAAGTGTCAAAGTTCTTTATGAGCCTGAGCTTAGTTGCCTCTGTTTGAAAATAGTTATTCAACGAATCATTTAAACACAAAACCAAAGCTATTAATGACAGAAAATGCTAAATTATTACCTGCCAAGCTAAATGTCCTGAAACACCAGCCAAAGATAAATAATAGGGCCAGGTTTGATCAGCCATGTATCCAGAAAGTGTCAAGCAAGACAGCATTGACAAGGAAAAAGCACCAAGCCAATAAACAGTTTTTTCTTGAAACAGCAGGGCTGTAGACTTTACTCCAATTGAAATGTCATCTTCCTTGTCCTTGAAAAATTAGAAAAAACTGAACTGTTAAAATACAGCTAAGATAAATAAGAAAAGTTCAAAAGACATAAGAATATCTTTAAAAAAATTAAAAAATAACATTAATTTGAAAAAGTTGTTCTTGAGCTATATTGTAAGGTTTCCATTAAATAGATATGAAAGCAGACCAATTAAGTTGTATTATACAGACTACACTTACTTGATGAGCATAGACTGTGTCATAAAACAAAGTCCATGAAATGCAGGCAATGTACAATGGAAGAACAACACTCCAATCGCAGCTACCTTTCACAGCAGACCAGCCAAGCAAAGCACCCCAGTTGAAAGTCAAACCTGCAATGAATTGAGTCAACAAACCAGTGCTTTCCTAAATAACACATAAAGGTTTATGTCATTGAACAATCAATCTACTATAAGCATTCTGTTCTTCCCATTATCTAATGGCCTTGAGACTCATCAGCTGCTGAGCTTGATGTGATGTACCATTGCTGTTAGTTTGTCTCCATCCGGGAAACTCAATGTTTACATAATAAGAACAAGTGATGTTATCAAAGATGCAAAGCATCAGGCACAAGTAAGCCTGCTTAAAATTTTAAGCATCTTGTTTTTAGATGCCATTTGTGATTATCTACATGTTGAGAAAGAATTACATTTGTGGGACTTAAAAACTGCCGCAAGAGTTGCCATTTACCATTAAAATTTTAATTGTGCTTAGTTGCATGTTTCTTGTTAGTGATGTTCATATTTTTTTGTAATATACTCTGTCTATAGGATTTAACGCTCAGGTCATGGTAAAAAGAGGCTTCAATTTATTTTAAACTTGTTATTCCGTGTCACAAACTACAACTTACAGTGGAATTATATTGCCTTAAACAACTTAACTAAAGGTGTGAAAGTCCCTTATCCCTAAATAACACAATATATGACAGAAAGAATAACACAATTATATTTTTTTATTTTGCTTATTCCTTGAGACATGCATGTAATGTTCATCTATTGATGTTTTTGGAATAGTAATGTAAATAAATAAATAAATAAATAAATAAATAAATAAATAAATAAATAAATAAGCAGGTCACTGAATTTAGACTAAGCCCTCATGTAACCAATCACTATAGCCTAGAGTCTCCAAAAACTAGCTCATAAATGCTGGCTTATGACAGAGAATTATGGCTTGTCTGGTAAGAATTTATCATCTGGGATTCCTGATTTTCATACATGGTGTATTATTAAAAACTATTGCCCTTTCTAAAACTTATATATCAGGGCACAGAATTTGGATCAAAAAACTAAGGTGGTCTGATCTAATAAAAAGCTTGCTTCAAAATATCTTTGTACAGAAAATCACTTGAAAGGATAAAATCATAATCAACATTTCTTCAAATCAGTTGGTTGCATTGCAGGATAAATAGAAAAGCTGCTCACCAAGAAAAAACTGTGGCCAATATGTTATTCTTTTCATTAATGGATAGGTAACAACAAAAAACATTGACAGTGTACCAAGAATGATGCTAAAGGAAGGTAAGAAAATAACTGAAATTAGATGAACAAACAATATCAAGTGATTTGAAATTGAAAATTTAAAGAAAAATATAAAATCGTTTTTATCACAACAATCTTACCAAGCATCTGATCATTTTAATCCACAGCATTAGTACAGTACTATGCTTTTGTCCACACAACTAAAAGTTGCCATAAACCCTCACTTGGTTAAATAGTTTCATAGATTTGTAGTAAACGCCTCTAGCTCTTAACACAAGGTTTCTAGTATGTTATAAGCATATGCATAAGGAGCATGCACAGTTAAATGCCAACACTGAATGCAAATTATCCTTGAATGCTGCCTTTTGGGGTTAATAGCAATGCTAAATGGTCAAATTTACATGGTTGGTCCTTCAAAAATATTGTTTTTATTATTTATGCATTAATGATTTCAAAAAGTTTTATAATATAAAGCAAAAGTTACATTTTATCACAAAAGCATCATATCAAGATATTAAGATATATTACCTATACCAGTTGAGCGAGAGCAAAATCATCAACCCACAAGTTAAAACACTGGCAAGAAAACCCAGAGCTTGTTTATGTGTGAGCTCTCGGGCAGCCAGAGGCCTTGTCTTTGTGCGAGCAACCTTCAAGATTATAGAAGCATTTACAGTTTTTATTGTAGGTAGTTCATAACAATCATTTCTAGTAGCAATATGCAATGGTGTGATTAAAAAAATCTCAATAATGGGGGCTGATTTACAAAAATCACTTTAAACCCTAAAGAGGCAGGCAGGAGCATTATTTGAGGTTGTGAAATGTATGATATCGGTTACAAATAGCTGCGAGCAACAGAACATTTATGGCTGCAGCAAAGGCATTTGATGTCGCTTGAGCATATATATATACACCAGACTGCAAAGTTTGGGTATGCGCGGGAACGCCTTCACTGTGCAATAATTTTTTTCTCAAATCCTGTCCATGCATTTTTGCAAATTTAGATTAATCCGAGCAGTTGGAGCATGGACTTTTGTGTGAATTCCGTGCATAGCGTAATCTCAAACCCTAAAAGTGCTATTTAAAAATTAAATCCTGCAGCTTTTAACCTGTCATTTTGCAACATGATTTGTTCCCGCGCAAGCGTAAGCGACAGAAAATAATTCCTGCGCACAAAAAATACTTTGCACTCTGGTATATACATACATGACTTAAGCTTATACACTTATGATGTAATTGACATTGTAGATTATGTGCGAGTGTAAGATATCCTGACCACACATACTGCTGTTCATCTGAAGCACACATATACAATTTTTCAGTCTGGAAATTCTTATGCTTGCTTCAAACTATATGCAAAGCTATTCCATGAACACTAATGTGATCCATTTATTGAAACCCCTATATTGCCTTAAATTTATGGCTTGCATTTATGAATTATAGTTTGGCCTTACTCTTCGATCAAAGTCAGTGTCCCACATATCATTGATTATACATCCAGCAGCTCTAAGTAGCACAGACCCAGTCCCAAACAAAGCAAGCATTTTTAAATCTGGAAGATGACCGGGCTCAGCAGCCATTGAAATACTCCAAGTACATGGTAAAAAGAGTAACCAAGTTCCAATTGGTCTATCAAATCTAATAAGGTTCAAATATGGCCCAAGTCTTGGTGATCGTTTAATTATTTCTTGTGAAAGTGTCGTTTGGAAAAATGTTCGTTTTTCCACGAAGGCAGAGCGCTGTGGGCATAATTTCTCGTATCGTTTAACGGGTAGATAAAGAGTGTTTAGGTCTTCTTTCTGAGAGTTCGACTTTAAACTGCTATAGAGTGTAGTACTTTTTCTTCTGAGATCCAAATACATAATTTCTTCCAACCTCCTTGCAGTTGTTAAGATTCCTTTGCGCTTAGGCAGATGTTTCGCAAAATGGCAAAATAGGAGCATAATGATTTCCTTCCTTTCGCAAACCTCAAGCTTGATATTATATGTGAAATACACCAAACTGGAACCTTCAATTGAGAATGTGGATAGCACACCCTTCCACTCTTAGGGCGCCATTCCAGTCACCATTTAGGGATAGCCTCGAATAGGATATATGAAAACAATCCACTTCAATGAACACAAACTTTTACTTCCACGTCGAATATTTTTTGTGAATGCAGCAAAAGGGGTGGAATAATGTCTGACAAAAAATTCACTGTCCTTTTACCAACATACAACGAGAAAGAAAATCTGCCCTTAATAACTTGGCTTCTGGTTAAAACATTTACGGAACAGTATGTATTCTTCCTTCAAAATCAATTTTTACTTAACTTTCCAATGTGACCAAATCAAATCATTTATATAATATATATAACTAGATAGACTTATTACTTATTTATTAGTGAAGAAATGTTCAAATTTTGCAGCAAAATCGATTACGAAGTTATTATCATTGATGACGGAAGTCCTGACGGAACACAAGATGTGGCTAAACAATTGCAAAAGATCTACGGAGAAGACAGAATCGTAAGATTTATTCGTATACTATTCAACTGGATTTGGTGTTTCAGCTTGGATCGATTTAATATCAAGCTTGGTGCTCCGACTTTTTGGTTTTCGAAAAAAAATAATAATAAAACAACTACAGGCCTGCCAACCTAAAATTTTCAAAAACCTGGAGAGTGGAAATTTTAAATTTTTTCTCAAAAATAAGGGAGATTTGGCCAAAAACAGGGAGATCCCCAGGAAAATGTTGAATCAAGATAAAATAATGAAACTATTATTAGATTATTAGGTTAAATTTATGAACAACATACCTGTAAAAAGTCATGCTGGGCAATCAGTTAATGACAAAAAATATAATAGGAAACTTCTTCATAATGGTTTTTTCAAGTTTTTCATTAATTTGTAAACATTAACAAAAATTTTGTCATGAAAACGCAATTGCAACCATTTTTGTTATAAGAATAGGATTGTCATACCTATGCTGAAAGACATGGAAGAAACATGGAGAAAATCTTAAAAAAATGGGAGACCGGGAGAAAGCAATAAAAACCTTGGGTCTCCTGGCATAACTGGGAGGGTTGACTGGTCTGCAACTCTCCCGGTTATGCAGGGAGACCCAATGTCCTGTAGACATGTTGTGTGGAAATACACTTTTCCAGAACATTACTTTGAATTGAGTTGCTGTGTTTCATTGTTTATCTATTGATATTACCCCATGTATAGGTCTTGAAACCACGGGAAAAGAAACTTGGATTAGGTTTGTATTTTCCTGTTTTATTTTTTTACCTGTTTTGTTTCCCTTTTAAGTGATGAGATGCATTTGTTTTTTAACTGGAATCCTAGGCAGTTTTTACTACTGACTCAAAAATTTTTGAACTCATCGAAATAATGATACTTTGACTAATGAATAAGTGCAATGGCATTGAACCAATGCTTGTATGTATGTAAATAGCATTTAGTTTAAGGATAATGCTTGACAAAATTAATCTATTGCGACTGAAATTAAAAAACACCAATTTTTCAGTTCTAAGGGGCTTAAAAGATTTGGTATCATTCAGTTAAAGAGTTTTGTCATTTTTTATGCTTGATACTTCTTAAAACCAGCATCAAATGAATTAATTACTTGACAGGTACTGCTTACATTCATGGAATGAAATTTGCAACTGGAGATTTTATCATCATAATGGATGCTGACTTATCACATCATGTATGTACAGTTCACAGTTGTTTTTAAGGAATCTTTTACATTTGAAGAACTAATGTTGATTTAATCTACATAGCAGTAAATTTATTTAAAATTATAGGAGTTGTGGGTAGAAAGCAGTAGAATTCACTGAAAAAGGCAAGGAATTACCTTCATTAATCAAGTAATTTTACCAACCCTACTAAAGATTTTCTCAACCAACTGGAGATTTTACTAACCAACTTATGAAAATACTTGGGGGTTTTTCACACAATCCATCAGATAGGTCCTGGATCTTATTGTTTTATGACAATCTGTAAAAATTAGAATTTTGTTTGAATGAAAGTTAATTGTATGCTTGTTGCTTTTCAGCCAAAATTCATTCCAGAATTTATCAAGTAAGTTGATATTTATTTTTGCTGCATTTTCTTGATTTTTATAGAAATTAAATTAACTTTTTTTTTAAATATGAGGTCGGTATCTCTTTATGAAATTATTATTTATCATACCAGTCTTTGTTCTCATTATCCAGGAAGCAAAAAGAAAGCAACTTTGATGTCATATCAGGGACTAGATATATTGGGAATGGTGGAGTGTATGGATGGGACCTTAAAAGAAAGCTAATTAGGTACTTCCTTTAATATGATATGCATTCAATTGTGTCCAATGGAGGTCAAAAATTTCAGTTCATGGATTTTGAGAATGAACTTATTTGACTTATTTCCTCTATCAAAATTAGCTATAAAAACTTTCTTCATATATAGGAAGATTAAATGTGTACTACTGCAGTATATTGTGGAAATGTTGTAGGGTTACTATGAATTTCATGTCTAGGCTAATCCAGTTCTTGTTTTAATATTGAATAGCTTTAGATTTTCATAACTTGTTAATCACAGTCATCCCTTTCTCTTACCATCAACAAGGCCGCTGGCTTGTGAATTTGATTTTTTCAAAGTCAGGGTCTTCAAAAAGTAATAAGAAGAATTGTTTTGTATCTCAATTTAGCCGAACTGCAAATTATATAACTCAAATACTGTTACGACCTGGTGCTTCAGATCTAACTGGAAGTTTCAGGTATGTTATCTGTTACAATACCCTTTTAAGTTCAAACAGTTTTTTGTTCTTTGGCAAAGTATTCTAGTTGGTAAATCATTTGAAAATTACATTGTAAACAAATTGATGACTAAAATCAATATTCAAATCATTATTGACTCTCCTTTGTAAAAATTGGTATTTATGTTCTTGCAGATTGTACAAAAAAGATGTTTTAGAAAAACTGGTCAAATCTTGTGTTTCAAAAGGTTATGTCTTTCAAATGGAAATGATAATAAGAGCAAGACAATTTGGTTATTCCATTGGAGAGGTTTGAAAGTTTTTGTCGCAAATCTTCTATTATGAAATACAGAAAACCATGCTCAGGTTGAGATTGTTAATGCTACCATACCATCTTGCTCTTTATAATTACTCACTGTCCTGGATGCTCTAATTACCTTCCAAATATAATCCACTTCCAGCTATTAAGTTTTTGAGAAGAGTATTTAAAAAAATTGTAATACTGCTGTGCTAAACAAATATTATTAATTTTATTTTTTAAAATGAAAGCATACATAATAAATGTTTACTACCTATTGTTGGGTATCATGTACCTTTCGCTACAACCCAGGACATAGCAAGCATATTATATGTGGTAGGGCATGCCTTTTGAAAATGCACCTATCATGTTCACAAGTCACAAAGAATATCTGAACAAAGGACAGTGACTGCAAAAATTCAACCGGAATTTGGCATTTACTGCTCCTGGAAAAACACTTGTAAAACCTGGGGGGATAGTTCCCCTCTGTACACCCAATTTTTCCCTACATCTTAGAGTACAGAGCAATCAGAAAGGAGGGGACCAGGGCAGTTTCCCAATATATGTTCTATATCTGAAATCAAGGTTTCAATATCCCCAAGAAAGCCTCCTATTTCTCTTTACCTCTCTGGAGTCTTAATGGAAAATAGATTCATTACTCTACTTGCAACCCTTCAATAAAAATGTTGTTTTGCTGGCCCTTCTGCTACATGTTAACTCATTCATGCTGCAATTAAAATGATGCTCAATTTTCAAACTTCTTTTCTTAGGTACCAATTTCATTTGTTGACAGAGTATATGGTGATTCAAAGCTAGGTGGAAAGGAGATAGTTGGCTTTGCAAAGGGACTATTGACTCTCTTTGCGACAACATAACTTTTCGAAAAGATTGTTTTAAACAACATTAAGTGGGAGATCAATTGAATTTATCTAAGAATAGAAGTAGATTATTGAATAAGTGTTATGATGCAACCATTGTCTAGATGGATTGGTCAGAATTTATTCTCAGATTATCTGCACCTTTGATACCAAATTGTACTTAAGCAAAAAAGTTATAGGAGCAGAAGAAGAAATACAAAAACCAATTTCAATATTCCTTTTCATATTGTTCATTGTAAACTCTCATATTTTCCTTGCAATCAAATTATCCAGCAATAATTGAAATTTTATTGGCCCCAATGAATATATGTGCAATTTTTAGCATATAAATATGTTATTATGTTGAAGGTGTTATTATTTGTGACCAAAAGCACGTAAAATTAATTGACAAGCTTTTAGAAAAATAATTGGAATCACTGTTCTTATTAAAACACCTCTACTATCGAACACCTTATAAAAAGTTGTTTGGCTTGATTTAAGATTCCATGCTTCATAATATCAGTCTTGAAACTTTGCTACAAGCATGTGACTATCATGTGACTATCAAAGTTTTATCAAAACTTAAACATGTCTTGCTTAAAAGGAACACAAGGAAGGGAGCAAATCTCAACAGAACAGTCATGTTTTGAAATATCATATGTTGCATAAATAAAGAGCCTTTTCAATTTAATGCTGTTTGGTAGTCTCTGAGAAGTATAAATATGAAACAACACATAGTGAAAACAAACAGAAATGGTTACAAATCTTCTTTAAGGTATACTATAGTGCACAAATACAGGCATAAAAGTCAAAGAAAGTGTTTTAATTTCTTAATAGCCTGTGTGTGGCAAGCTTAATAAACAAGTAACAAAATGTCTGACTAAAATCTGCTGCATTTTCATAATATTGTCAGGCATATGAGCATAACTGTTACCTTTCATACCAGGTTAATTCCTCAAGTTTCTCTGCTCTTAAATGCTATATATACCATCGACTTTTAATAATAGATTGTGAATAAGAATGATTCTTTTAAAGTTTATGCAGAATATTCCGAACCTTCAGAAGAGAATAGTAAGCTGCTATACTTATTTTGACCTTGAATAATGAAGCATCATTGCAACATACAAAATACTACAGTATGTCTAAGAATTATTTTTATTTTACACCAAAACACTTTAGTCACTTTGAGTATGGATATAATAAGCTTTGCCCAGCTCAATAAACTGATGACTCTGGGGGCTGTGGTAATTTCATGTTTTCCTTTGATGTCATCAGCCTAGAAAATGTAAATAAAATATTTACTCAAAATAAGCTTAGCTTAGGGAAAACATAAGGTCAGTTAATTTAAGAAATAGCTAGTCAAAATGTTGATGAAACAAAGTTTCATGGAATACACAGATGACTCAAGCAAGTTTCTTTTTATCATTGGAAATCAGTCAGTATTTTACCTAAAAGCATAAAATTGAATGAAAGATTTTAGTCTGATTGTTCCTAATATAAATTGATGGCAGAAAACAATTTACAACAGAGGGGTGTCACAAAAAACCCTTAAACACAAAAATTATAAAAAGCCAAAACTTGAATACTTGGATAGACCAGACAATAGTCTGACAAATGTGATCTCTAAATTACTACATATGCAAGACTGCAATGAAGCACCACAATCCAAAAATTTGACACTGAAAGTATCAAGCACCAACAATTTAAAAGCAAGCAAGCTCTTTTCCTGAAGAAATTTCTACAAGGGCAATGAACTGACTGCTAGGATGACCATACAAGGGTGAACAACCGCCCAACAATATTTGTTAAACAGAAAGTCCTCCAGGGCTTGAGGGAAGGGGGGGGGCTGGGCTATCAGCTGCTAGGTAGCATCAACAAAACACTAAGTAGAAACCAAGCTGGATATTCAAATAGCTGAAAGCTGACCAAGGAGAATATTCAATAAGGAAGATAGCGAGCCGTTCCAGCATCCTTACTTGAAAACAAATTGTTGAAAACAATGAGTGAGTTTAAATGAAACATGATAAAAAAGGTAACTAACCTCTTTATTTCAGTAAGAACCAGTTTTATGGTATAATTACGATGCCATTTGTTTAAAAATGGAAAAACTCTTTTATCAAGCTGAAAATCAAAGAGACAATTAAAATCACCAAAATTGTGATTTTAAAGAATTAAAGGCTGTGTTTTGCTGAAGATACTTATAATTAAAATGGTCTCAAAAAGCAAAGACTTTGTCTGCAAAATCATAAAAAATATAAAGTTTGAGGATATATCCAGCTGTGGAACAAAAAGGCTAAACAGAAACACCAGGCTCTCGATGCTTAATCGAAAATATAGCCACTTGAGTCCACATGTGAAAACTACTAGCTGGAGCTACGACTGGGTTCTGCCAATTATATATAACACTTTTGCCATTTTAGGTCTGGGCACGATTTGTTTTCTATAAAGGTTAATTCATGACATAATCATGTTTTGGAAGCTGTTTTACATCTTCTAGGCTGAAAGGCTGTTCTTTCAGAAGGAGAGTTTTACTTATTTTGTTGTGAGGAAAATCATGGATTACTCTATCCTTAAATTTTTGGTTGCTCATCCTGAGTAGCTTGGGTAGTAGGAAGGCAACATTGTTGGAGTGTATAACAAAGCATCTTCTGGATACCTGTTCTCCTGGATACCTGGAAACTTGCAAGTTGTCTGGAAGTGTTTCCCTTTTTTAAAGCCATTTTTAATTCTGTTTTGTCAAAAATATTTTTTCCAGTAACAGCATTCATCGCTTCATTGCATAAAGCACAATTTTATATTTAATAAACCTCCTTGATTAAGTAATATGAATGTGTTGAATAAATGTTGCGAAGAGCAGAAATATTCCTGTGCTATCCTGAACTTCAATGATTTTCACCAATAGGCTCAATACCTCAGATTATAAAAAACACTTTTAGTGTGAAGCTTGACAAAAAGAGAGCTTTTCTTTGCTTTTTTTGTAAAAGAGAAATATGTCTACATTGTGATTTGTGTAGAAAAGGACTGTGCCAACTTGGTAGCATGGGACGATAACATATATTTAGACCTTGGTTTATGTTAAATACCATAAGTTAAAACAATTAAAATAGTTCATAAGCATTGTAAAAAAAGCCATTACCTGACCCATTGGTGTTACACCAACCATGTTTATCCGTGTTGTAAATGAAACTGTTGGTGGTTCTTCTGGATATTTTGAATTGCATTCTAATTTCAGAGTGTATATCCTACTTTCAAATGCAGTCTATCAAGCAAAGAAACAACAATTAACAAAAAAAATTAAAACAATTACTTGTTGCAGAAAAATGTTTTAAAGAAGAACTGAGTGAAAATTCAATTAACCTTTCAATCTATTTGATCTATATAGTGGCTGCCAATGAGCCATCCCATAAACTTGATGAATCCATCTGCATCATTTTGTTTTCATTCCCATAAAAGTGGTCATTGGTAAAACTGTCATTAGTAGGCATGCTGTTATAAAAAAACAGGTCTGCATATCTGTCTCCTGCACCTTTTTTCACATATCTGTCTGCATATCTGTCTCATTTTCACATCTGTTACTAAATATTCAATTGTAAAAAATCTTTTGTGTAAGTAGACAAAAAATAGGATCTTTGTTAGATGTATCAACATCATACCCTCGGGGGTCCAATGATTGTCCCTGTCCACCGTGACATTGACATATCATCATCATCCAGTAGACCCCAACTTATAGTCCCATCACCACCTCCTTTCTGCCCGTCTTCTAGCTCTTCTAACAAGCGGAAATTTCGTGGGACTAAATATTAAATAAACAATACATTAATATCTGATCTAAAATCTTGGACACAAAGGCACTGCATTTGACATCCTGTACAAAACAAGGATGCATGTAACTTCAAAAAAACCATAAAATGATAACTTGTTCATCATAAATTTCAGATTAAGTTTCCTGCTGAAAATATTCCATTCAATTCTAATCAAGCCCACATTAAACAAAATGAACAGTCTCCCTAATATTCTTCATCACCTCCTCTCCGCATTGAGGTTCCCTTTGCATGCACAGCTCATTACATTCTGACAAGAGATGTATTTCTATTGGCTATTCCAACTTGTTTGGAAAAAACCAATGAGCTATGCACGCACAGCGACCGCAATGCTACAAGGAGGCTCAAAGAACTCAAATTGAAGTTTGCCGAGTCTCCAATTAGGATTTCCAGTTAAATGAGAAAAAAATGAAATTCATCTCACAGTATGTACCCTTATCCACTAGTTCTGTTATTTGCAATTCGTAGCTATCACGAGAAAACACCACAGGACTTAACATTGACTAGTAACGATTAACTTAAAAAGAATTGTGGTTCCTTTCAAGTAAAATGTGGGGTTAAGCAAGGTTACAGGAACTGTTTCAAGATAAAAGCCTTAAAATCCAGTTAAGCTTTGTGGATAATTTTGTAAAACTTTGTAGATAATTGCATTTTTTTGATTGGCAGGAATAGAATCCCTTTGAATGGATGAAAACATGACCCTAGTAAGGCCCCTCAGTTGAAAAAAATTAGTTCAACCTTTTTTATCTACCTACCATATTTTTATGAAAAATTGCCAATTCAAGGTACTTTTCACAACCAAACTTTTCACCCCTGGGAAATAAGCAAACTTTTCCCCAAACAGGGTTGGAGTGACATTTTCTAGGTAGTCATTATCCAGGGTATAATTTAACCAATTTAGTTTTGGAGAAAATTACTAAGTCGCCTGTAAACTTGGTTTCTAGTAAAAAAAATTTTTTTTCAGACTAAAAGGAATTCTAATGAATATATTTCCCAGCAAATGCTGGTCAAAAAAGACAAAAGTACCATTGACACACAACTTTCCAAACACTTTCATAAACAATCTTTCGGTGGTACAAAACTTGAAAATGGCTTTGAAAAAAGCAAACATTTAGTAAACTAAAGCTTTTCGCCTGACACTCTTCAGAGTTTAAAAGGTCAGAACATAGACCAAAAACTCTACACTAGGAAATATATATACCCAGTTGTGGATCAAAATAGGCCAATCAGAATTCTCACTAGGCAAGGGGCACTGATTGGTCAACCTCAACAGTCATGTGCTTGTGTTTCTGATTGGCCTATTTTGATCCACAACTGGGTATATATATATTTCCTAGCCTAGAGTTTTCGGTCTATGTTCAGATGTTTTAAACTCTGAAGAGTGTCAGACGAAAAGCTTTAGTTTACTAAATGTTTGCTTTTTTCAAAGCCATTTTCATAAACAATTTTTGAAAAAGCCATTTTCATTCCTACGTGTGGATGACTCTAAAACATATCATGCTAGCACCATAGCCTCCTTTGATTTCAACATGAAAAATCCAATTTCCATATAAACAACACTGGCCAATGTGGAAATGCATTTGATAAGCCAGATGACCAACCATTACCAGAAGACACAAGCAAGCCCATCCCATTTGCATGCAAATAGCTTTTCAACAGCAAAAAACCATCCAAGTAAACATTCCATTCAGTTGAACAACTGCCTGTGCTAATGACATTATTTCTTGTTATATTTCAAATGTTTTAAAGAATATTTTTTCCAGTTTGCTCTACATAGTTTAACTGGATTCCTTAAAAAATTTGAAAGTCCAAGAGAAGATAGTCTTGAGTATATGAAAACGATGGAAGGTTGTTCAAACCACAAGGTTGTGTTATGTTTAATCAAACTTTAATCAAACTTGATGTTTATTTATATGATGTCTAGCAAAAAAGGCAACAGAGCTGAGTATTCCATTCTCCTTGTTTCATAGGGAAAAAGATCTGTGACAGGCAACCAAAAAGCAGAGGAAAATAGAAAAATATGTATCATTGTATCATGATGCGAAACATAAAAAACATATTGGCATTCAATGATTGTGCAACTTCTCTGAGCATCAGGTAAGTGAACACCCCTTATCATCCTTGTGTTGAAAATGAAATTCCTTTGGTACAATGTAGAAACTGTAAAAAAATTAACAATGAAAATATTTCTTGATAAAACATAATTGATTATATTTGCTGCAACTTTATTTGATTCTCTTCTTTGAACAATTTGCAGGTACCCTTCGCATTTTCGACAGCGAGTTTATTTTGTGATAGAATGATTTTGGTTTGCTTTATTCAACTAGACTTTGCAAAACCTTGATCTTTACCAAGATAAATGAAGATCGGGGATTTTTCAACATGAAAGTACAAAGAATACTTGAACAGGTCAACACACGCTGCCAAAAACTTGCATGATTAGAGTGGGTCGCGCAAATCAAATTTATTTTTTAACACAAAGCAATAAAGTTGTTTCTATTGAATTATTTACCGTGAAAAACTTTTAACAAATGAACTGAATGCTACACATTGTATTGTTATGTTCATGTTTCCTTCACAAGTAATCGTGAAGGGTACTGTGCGACATAGAGAGGTTTCAATGACTTTAGAAACGTGAAGAAGTTTCAATTCTGTTCAGCAAAGTTACAGGAAAAAACAGACAGAAATAGCTTTAGCAAATAAAACAAAAAGAAGGCCCTGTAACTAACAAATGGCATAGGGGCAATTAATAATAAGTCTGTTGGAGATCAGGCCCTGTTCCTATTAATCCGCTTTCGTGGGAAAAAGAAACTAAATTAATCGTTTTTTATTTTGGGTTCCCATTGGTACATTCAAAAACAGAGACATTTGATAATGATGTTTAAAGTTATCAACTGAAAACAGCGTTGTTTGAAAATGAATCATTTTAATGGGAACAGTGAAAATGAAGTCATTGGAGAACGGAGTCATTTAAAAATGAATTGTTTGAATGGGAGAATCGAGAAGGGAGTCAATTAAAAACGAATTCGTTTATCTTTAGTTTCAAGATGAGCTCGTACAAAAATATGAAAAAGGACAAAACAGTTATGGGAAAACCTTCATTTTTGTTTGCGGTGTGGTCTGAGGCAAATATTTATTATTATTATTATTATTATCAACTCTTTATTTACAATGTTGGCACAAAAAAGGTATAAAATAGCTATACATGTATGAGATAAAATATTTACAAGCATAGCTAATAAAAGCCAACTATTTATAAAAGCCAGCAATGGGAACTGCTCAAGAATAATGGAAACTTGAAACAAGGATTCGATGTCAAACTTCCGTTTCTAAAAAGAGTTTCTCAAGTGGATTGACCTATCAGCATCTGGTAATCGCGCTCTTCAAGTGAAATATTTATCACTGGGCACGTGACTAATCGCTCTCAAAGATAACCTTGAGATCTCATCAAAAACTACCATGAAACCTAGACTAGCCTGCTGCAAATGCTTGGTATGATAATCTTGAGAAAGGCTTTGATTTAACTGTATTGTATTATAAACAATTTCTAAAAAAGCAGTTGGTACCACAAAAGTCTGGCAACTTTTCAGGGTATAAATCATAAATACATTTTAATTAAGGGTTTTTTGTTGTTGGAAATTTCTGATAGTTGGATTTTTTCATGTCATGCTCTTACATAATATCTCAAATGCTGGGTATCAAATGTTCTAACTAATTGTTTGATTTTTCTTATTGTTCTTTCCACTTTTCTTCAACTCCTGAATGCTTGTGTTATATTAAATGGTGCCATCTCGGAGAATCTTACTTGGATAAGCCGATCCTTGTAGAGTAAATACTGCCCATGCGCTTACAACTTTGTGTACAGTCTTGGTTAGACAATAATAAAAAATCCAAGACAATTGTAGAAATTATATCAACAAATCTGTAAGCCTCTTGATATTGATAAAACTAAGATAAAAATCAAATGCAAGTTTTTAGGCTTGAAACGAAGATTATTTTGTCAAATCGGATGGCTGGACGAAAACAAACATTCGTTTTTTAGCTACTTCATTTAAAGATGAGATGCATTATATAAATCCCTAGTTACCGATTTCCAAAGTGGGTGCGCTGGCCAAAAAACGCCATAACCATTTAGATACTAAGCAATGAGCATTTTTTTAATGTCCAGCATTCACCTTTTTTCTCTATGAATCTATCATCTAGGTATTACATTTAAGAACATTGGGCCTGAGCGTCATGCTACTGCCATAAAAAACCCACAAGAATACAAACTAGAGTCAGCTAGTTTCACATGATATTCTGCACAAAAACTACACATAATCAAATAACTAAATCATCTACAAAGTTTTTAAAACACCTATCCCCGGGCACTCACCAACGACTGCAGACATCCTACTCTCATGAGTTCGCGATGATACCGAAGAAGAATTTCAACAAGGATGTTCCCATCTCAATTCAACTCAATCTCAGTTGGTGCATGCTACTCAGAAGGCGTCCTCCGGCCACATGGGTGCGCGGGCCTGCAATCTGAATTCTACTGAAAACAAGCAAAAGGCAAAGATACATACAGGGGTGCTCGGGGGGCTTGGGGGGGCACAGCTATTTGTTTGAATTTAGAGAGATTTTGGAGGGCTTAGCATCCTTGTAACGTATGAGCACAAGTTAGGCTGGACCAATTCTGCATTGTAAATTTCCCAGAATAAGCAACTTCCCATTAGCCTTTTGAGTGGGTGAAAAGTTAAAATTATTTCATCTGCACAGCAGACACCGCACAGTCTTAGATTGGGAGGGCTGAAAAGTGTTTACCCTAAAAATTTTTGATGCCACGCCCTTTAGAACGCTAGACAACACCAATTATAGAAAATACTCACTTATTTCCATAATTTGTTATTTTTAAACAGTCTGATTCAGAGAAGATATCAATTACTATAAAAAGATATAATTAGCTTGAAGATAAATAAACACCAAGCTAATCAAGTAAGAAAATACAACATACCATTAAGCAAGACGAAGCACCAAGAAAATGGACAAGGAAAGGGTTCCCAGTCAAGAAGAACTGCTACTACTTAGGATCCGTTAGAGTAAACTTCTCAGTATTTCTTTAGATTGAACTTTCCACAAAATTGCAAAAAAGTGAGTAGGGGCTATAGCCCTTGCTAGCCCAATGGCTGCACGGTGCCTGATACACAACAGAGAATTTGAACACAAATGCAAGGATTTTTATTGTAGTTGTGGGAATGGCTTCTAGAAGATGCCTGCAGCACAGTCCCCTTCTAACTTTTTAGGACGGCAAGGCAGTCCTGCAAATAAACTCGTACAAATGGCATCACTGACTGTACCAGGAACAACACTTTTCCATATGTTTGTTAATAAGAAAGTGTACCATTGTTATAAAAGCGAGTGCACGGTGTTGTACACACAGGAATAACTTTCAGTCCTAAAGCCAAACAGAAAATTTACTCAAACAAGGGGTGCCGTCCTAAAAAATTTAGGAGAGGGCGCTGTGCTGTCGGAATCTTCTAGGTTGTCCTTGTCCTTGTCCTTGTCTTTGTCTTTGTCCTTGTCCCTGTCCCTGTCCCTGTCCCTGTCCTTGTCCTTGTCCTTGTCCTTGTCTTTGTCTTTGTCTTTGTCTTTGTCCTTGTCCTTGGCTTTGTCTTTGTCCTTGTCCTTGTCCTTGTCCTTGTCTTTGTCTTTGTCTTTGTCTTTGTCCTTGTCCTTGTCCTTGTCCTTGTCTTTGTCGTTGTCTTTGTCCCTGTCCTTGTCCTTGTCCTTGCCTTTTTCTTTGTCTTTGTCTTTGTCCTTGTCCTTGTCCTTGTCCTTGTCCTTGTCCTTGTCTTTGTCTTTGTCCTTGTCCTTGCCCTTGTCCTTGTCCTTGTCCTTGTCTTTGTCCTTGTCTTTGCCTTGTCTTTGTCCTTGACTCATCCTCGTCTTCCTCCTCGTCTCAATGCTAATCCTCAACGCTAGTCTTCACCTTTATCTTTGTTGTGTGTTTCGGCTATGCCTTTAGTGACGAAAGTAAACTAGAGGCTAGTAAGGCTGTGTCTCGGCAGTAATGGCACATGCTGCATCACTCAACACGGTCTTCTATGTTACTTCTATATATATTATGGTTTCACCTGCACCATGAATCTTGTCTGTTTTTTAAACACATATTTATAGCTTCTATGTTGTCTTAACAGAAGTTTTTGCTTATAAGCGATAGGTTTGTATATAAAACGGTTATGAAACCACAAAAACCATGTTTCTTGTCATTCTTTTCTATCAGAAATGGAAACAGGTGTTCCTGGGCTCTTTTTTTAACTTTTCTGGATGAAAATTCTTTACCGGTGCAAACTTTATTTTTGAAGTAAATGTCCTCTAGGCTCTAAAAGTGTCAAATAGATGGTGGGGGTTAGGGCTGGCTTCATATCCCATGAAAATTCTTCGTAATTTGCAAAAACGACTTAAAAGCTTGTGCTCATAATTATCCTTCTAAAATTTGTCAACTAACTATCCGCTAACTATCATACAATTTTTTAAGAACCCATACAGACAAGGCCAGCGCATGGTTGGGTGTGGAGAGTGTGAGATCCCCTTGAAAAAATTTATTGCAAAGCCGAGGTGTTTTTGTTTTGCCACGTAGTGGTGTTTCAGTGGCAAATTTCCAGACTTCTTGGCCAATTAAGGATGGCTTGCCAACTTTTTCTACAAATAGGGCGGACAGCCGCATTAAAATTTCAGCAAAATTTACTAATTGATGGACATTCCTTTGATTTTCACAGGCACTACGGGCTAGGGGGCTGGGAGGAGGGCTTTTATCTTTAGCTTTTTGCAAAAAATGATGTTTTCATGTGAGTATTTTGTATATGTTATTCTGTAGAAATATGTCGCCATGTGTCGGCTACAGTTTATGCCAAGCGTCTCCGTTGGGATCTTAAGTTCTCAACCGAAAAAGGTAGTTTTCTGATGTCATTACAAACTCAAAATTGTACTCGTCGGAGAAAAGTCGAGAAAAGTATTTCATAGTGGTAATCATCACTGGCATGGGGTCTTAATTTTTAGAGGAAAGAAACTTAAAACTATGTGCATTTTGGAATACACAAATATACGTGCAGTGCAAATGAATGCTTTCCTATGACCATGCCTGTAGAACATTCGATTCGATGCTGTGATACTTCTTAACAAGTGTTGACAATTTTACGTTTAGTATCTAGTATCTATTTTGTGATTGGAAACAGATGGTCAAAATCTTTTGCTACTTTCAAAATCAAAGTATTTCTGAATAATTGCCAAGAATTAAAATTTTGGTTGTTAGATAAAGAGTGTATGGCAAGTAGCTTACGAAATTTTGTGAAATATGACTACATTTCAGAAGCATATGCATATTTAGAAAATAGACTTACAAATAGCCGAAATTATATCATTCTTTTATTTAGGCCAATTCAATAACGATTAAATATCAAAAATCTGAAATACTTCTAACAATTTTCTTTTCTTACAAAATTTAAAAATGATTTTGAAAAGGGCAAACATTTTAGAACATATTTAAGATTTTCGTCTGACACTTTTCAAATGTAAAACGTCAAACATAGATCATAACACTACGCTACACAATTTTGTCTTAGCAATTTTGGAGCAACTGAGCTGCTCTATTTTCAGCTCACTTCAGCCAGATCGGTTATGATAGATTGGGATGTAGTATCGCCCCGTCCCCAACACAATTTGCATCTCGAATATCGAGTTTATCTCTGTTCTGTACTTTTCTTGTAAATTCGTCGAAAAATAAATTTTATCAACTTTTAATCAATATAAGTCACACCGAAACCATAAGAGTCGCAGAAAAAAGGCATGCAGTTTTACTGGTGACACAGAAAAAAGGCTTACATCTCAATGCTGGTGACATAGTAGTGACAAAAGAAAAGGGTTGAAAATCCTTACATTTTAGGTGACTTCATTTATTTATTGCCCCTTATAGGTCTGTATAGACCCCTTATGACATGAAATCACGACTGAACGTAAACGCAACGCGTGCGCATTTGCGCATACTCCTAGTCGAGACATTGTGTGCACGCTTTGCCTGATGATCCCATTAAGCGTGAACTTCGGCGTAGTAGCTTAGAGCCGCCTTATTCTATATACTTGTGGAGAAAATGCTGGCCTAAGTCACGCTGACTCGCCAATTATTATGTTCAAGATGTTCATGCAATTAAACGGCTTGAAAGGCCACAATCTTAAACACATCTGGATGATCTGCCTTCGTTGCAGAACCCGTTTCCAACTATAACAATTTTAAACGATGGCAAAAGCTTAACTAGAATTTTCTTTCCTCAAACGCGTGCAACTCTCAAAACTCTTACTTCCTAACTAACTAATCACGTGATCTTACGTTACCGGTAACAAAACAAAACGCCATTTTCTACAATACTAAAGCGTAAATGGAAAATTATATTAATAATACTTTACATGTATCGATAGCATATAAAATGTTTATTCGATTGACTGTTCTTTTGAGATGAAGAAATCAAACGAAGACATAATATTTTACCTTACCTTACACTTATTTTTTAAGTGAATTATAAAACTCCTCATCGCATGTTAATTTTACTAAATTCAATAGAATTTTATCAGTTTTCTGATATATAATTGGAATAATCAGTTTTCTTCAGTAATCTATTCTTGCCAGTGTAGCACAGTGAGAGTTAAATTTTTTTAGGGGAGGGGGGCTTAAGATAGAATTAAAACGTTTGAAAATGTTTCAACTTACTTGTTGCTTAAGGGGGGCATAGCTTTCATGCGCCGAGCCTCTGCTTCCCTGCATCTGCCGGTTTCCTTCTTTTGCTGTCCGGGTATTTGCATAGTGGTCCGGCTGCGGTATTTTCATTGTCTACCCACAATGCACCGCTGTGATTATGTGTGCTCCTGCTACATGTGAACTTTCTCTTGAACGATCACTGAAACCAGGCGCCCTAGCAGGACAAAGCTGAAAATGGTTTGTTCCTTTTATGTGATTTTCCTAAGTATCTGCATCGTCAGCCCAACTTAAGTTTTTCCTTAAATGATTCTCTACTCAAAGGGTCCGAAAAACAGCACATTTCTTGCTAAAATAAAGTAAACCGATGTTCGTTTGCTACGTTGATCAAAAGGGGCCTAGGCAGACCAACAATATTCAACAATAAGTTTGATGAAATTTCCAAATTGAAACTAACTTATACTTTAAAGTCGCATGTCTTATGACAATAAAAGTTGGCAGAATGGAGTTTCCAATTAATTGCAGTTTTGTATCCCTCTAGCCCTTTTTGTTACAATAAACCAACGATAGTCATAACTTTTATTCCTGTTACACAATCCTTTGACCAAGGCCTAGGCAATGTCTCAATTTTTTAAAAATTGGAAGTAAAAAATAAAGGTAAATTTTTAGATGTTACGAGCAAGTATTCAAAACAAACATGCCAGCTGCCTTTAGAAAAGTTTTACTACCTACCGTACCCCTTGAATGTGGAAGGAAACCCAGTTTGGTGAATTTCCTTACCACAAGTTTATGGACCATCTTGCTAAAATTCATGTTACAGGAGGTTGATTGTCTCCATGATTCATGAGTAGAAGACCCTAGAAAGAACATAAATGCTGGCTTGAAATGTCAGTTTTGGTTTGGTGGGAAAAAATAGGTCTCAAAGTACTAAACTACTTATACTAGATTTCTCTTGAATGCTATTTTATATCTAATTTCATAATGCGGATAAAAACAATGGTGGGGACTCATATGCAAGTCTCTGGCAACTAGGGGAATTCCTATTTGGAATTCAAGTCTATTCTTCTTTTTTATTGTATTGTATTGCAACCTAGCATCCAAAGGTAGTTTTAGGGCACTGATCTAATAACCCCCTGCAAAGAGGAAACCCTTAGCTTGAAACTGGTTTGATGATGATTTGATGTTGAAAAGCTGTGCTTAATTGAGCAGTTTCCTGGCCCTCCCTTTCAATGAAGCCACACCTTGTGATTGTTATGCCTTGAATAACAGAGAGCTCACAAATCTTGTCACTTTTGGTGAAAGTTTGGACAAGTCAAGGGAGTAAACCACAGATTCTTGGATCTGTAGTTGGCAAACCTAGCCATTGACCTATCCTCACTCTTAGAAGCCAACTAATTTTTTGACTTGAAATAAGTTTTTTTCTTATGTATGTAAACATCGATATCTTGAAAATATTTCTTTCGGCAGAGCTTGTCAAAGCTCAGTACAGAGTGGTTCTGCTAGGAAACTTTTACACTAATGTCAGTCACTATTGATTTAATTACTAACTCACATAATGTATACTTATTAAGCTATTTCAAGAATAATTGTGTAGAATTTGAATCCAGTTTGATAAAAATTGTATGATATTATTTTCAATGTTTCTAATAAGGCAATTTATTTGTCTGCAGGTTTTCAAAAGATTTGTAGAATCCGGGCGCATTGCTCTTGTAAATACTGGAAGTTACAATGGAAAGCTAGTTGTCATTGTGGATGTTATTGACCACAACAGGGTATGCCATCTCAATTCTATTATTTATATCATTACACTGATTTACTTGGGAACTGTAATGTTTTTGGCATTTTATTGAGAATTTGTTATTTTCTTCCTTCATGAAATACTTTGATAATTTTGGCAAACAGTGGACCTCAATCTTTTTTTCCCTTTTTGTCAAATTCACAAAGTCTGACTTTTATTTTTCCCTGTTAATACTTTAAAGGTATTTGACACTGCCAATGGTTGACCAGTCAAATTTCACACAGGGAATAAAATAGGAACAGTTTTTGCCTTTTTGCAAATCGGCAGAATCCAAGGATGGTACACAGTGATTCAAGAAGGCAGACAAAGTAATATCTTCACCTCCACCTTAGGCTACAAATCTATCAATTGTTTCAAAATGATTGATGTCAGTTATCTGGAATCTTCAATAATTTGTCTGAGTTTTACTTTTGAGTTTTAGTTTAGCAGTTTTCAACTCCTTTCATGCACACATGTTCTGATTAATGTAGCGTAGGTTATTTCTGGATTGGCTGTTCTTGTGCATGTCAAATGCCTTTAAAAGCCATGCAAAGTTGTCACATTGTTTTTTAAACCAATTCAATTACAATATATACAAAAATATTGTAACTATACACTAAAAACATTCATTGCTTGCTGATAGCTTGGTGATAAACTGTTCCTATGGCCAAGTCTCTGTGTGTGCCTGTGAACCTGAATGCTACAGTGAAAACCTGTGTATAAGAACCTAAGGATTTAAGAACCTTCTAGCAGATATTTGCCTTTTTAATACTCCAAAATATAAAAACCTGTTTAGGAAGACAAATTCCCAACAAGTTTTTGTATGTGGTGTTTAACCATTTAGATTATCTACTTTTTTACCAAAAGCCAAAAAGGTGACAGAAAATTTAATTGTTTAAATAAAACTCAAAATGCACAATGTATGTTAAATTTGAACTGTTATTGTGAAACAATTATTGCTACTATTTTATATACAGTACTTTATCATCGATCAGTTTTTTGTGTGCTTTTGGCAACATTGGTACACTATCAAATATTAAGAATGAAGAACAGACCAGATACAGTGCTACTTTCTGATAATCAACAACAATATCTATTCTAGAATTTAAGAACCTCATTAAGAATGTAGTTAGCCTAAAATGTCAATAAGTACCCCCAATAAGCTCTTAGACGTGGGTTTTTACTGTATCAAGCATGTCCCACTCAAAGGCATGCTTAAAGCATAGTTTTCGGGATAAAATTTATTGCCTGATAACTTGAAAGATAACTTGGTATATATACTTATAAAACTTGCAAGCTGAATAAATGAACCGGCGACCATTGGTTTTGGGCTGTTTTAGAATTCATTTCTAGCTCTAAAAAAATGCTGCTTTGATAGAAACTTTCTTTATTGAGTTGTACAATAATATTTCTTTTCAGGTTTTGTGTGATAATCCATCAAATAATGTGCCAAGACAGACCATCAACTTGAAGCACCTGAACCTTACGGATTTAAAAATCAGTGTCCCCCATGGAGCAAGGACAGCCTGTGTCAGAAAAGCATTCGACAAAGAGGAGGTCAATGCAAAATGGGAGAAGACAGCCTGGGCTCAGAGGCTGGAACGAAGAGTCAAAAGAGCCTCACTGTCAGATTTTGACAGGTTCAAGGTTAAGGTGGCCAAACAAAGGGTAAGACTTAACTAAGTTCTTTGTTGGTTTGGTCATTTGTGCTTAAAACATATGGTTCACGTTCTATGGTCACTAGTATGTAGGACAGGACAGTTCATCCTAAACAAGTTTTGATATTTAAGTGATGTTTCACTGTTAAGGTATTAGCATTTCATGTAGTTTTTGCTTCTGCTGCTTTGCAAACTTTCTCTGAGATCCTTTTCCATTCTTTGTGGTACTATGCTGTTGATCTTATCTGTTCAAAATCTTCCCTTTTCTTCAGTGTCAGCATTGAGAAGACTCTTTTCATTAATCTTGTTCTTGTGATATCTTTGTTCAAATTCATTATATATTCTGACCAATACTGACCAGTGTTATCGTTGACCAGTTTTTGGTTCGAGAAGCACCATCAGTGAAAAAATCAGCATTCTGGATCTTGCAGTTTTTGAGATATGATAAATTCAAAATTAAATGATTTCTCCATAAAACAGACTTTAATTTAGGTTTACTCACAACAAACATTTAGCATAAAAATTGAGCCAGTCAAGCTTCTTTTTGCCAAAATCCATAACTTTTGTGCTTGTGGTGAACCCAATTTCTGCATGTGGCACTTCCCAGGGGGACTGGATTGCAATCAAAGTGTCTCATGGTTGCAGGACAAAAATAATTTGCTTGTCATCCTTTGAGCATAGCTTGCAGGTGCAAATGCCCTTTGAACAGAGGTTGCAAACATTTTTGCTCCATGTTCTGCCATCTACCATATCTTTTGAAATTTGCCGTTCTTTGCATCTTTTATACAAGTTTTAATCAGAAATCCTATTTGGGTGTATTTTCCCTATAAGATGTTTCAGTTGTTGACTATGAAAAACACAATGACCTTTTACTAATTCCATAATAAGCTTTAAATGTTTGATTGAAATTGGAAAAGAAAAAATATAACTGTCTATTATCATATTCCATAATTTCAAACATATGAAATACATGTATGCTCCACAATGAAAAAGTAGCAAATCTTGTCAAAACTGATAAACATAAAAACCAAGAATTCAAGATCCCTATGATTGTACTAAGAAATTGATCAAACACTATCAGATATCTAACAATACACTTTACCCTAAGACACCAAAATTGATAAATCTGAAAAGTATGGTGGTCACAGTGCTTTGGTATTACAGTCAAACAGAACTCTTTCCAAAGTTGGGTTCCTAATAATTGTATTCTTTAATCAGCAGTATTAGAAATAAGTTTGTTTGTCTATTGAAGAACTTCAAAGGCCTGGTATTTTCTTAGAGTAAGGTACTCTTTTGGTATTGCTTATCCATTTTTTCATTTTCCCCAACAGAAAAACCGCATTCTGAAAACAGCTGTCAAGCAAATGAAGAAGCAGCAGCAGAAGAAGTGAAAAGCAAATCAGTTTTTTGAAAAATAATTGTCCGTGAAAATTGCCTTCTCTCTCTCTTTGTGTTTGTCTTGTGTAAATAAAGGTCTTAGGAAGAAACAGAGCTACATATCTCAAAAAGGCATATTAATGATAAACATCATATTTGTATTAATTCAAAATGAACTTTCACAGGTTGACTTCTAGCAACCAATATTACCAAACAAAGACAATATTCAAAGTGCCCTCTTTATTGCTTTACAATGTCAATCTGCTTGTAAATTCTTTCTTCTTCAGGCTTCTTCATTTTCTATTACATCTTCTTCATTGCCTTCCTCATCTGCTCCATCCCTTATTTCATCTTCCTCCATTGTCTCCTCATCTTCAGGCACTGCTGTGTAGTGATGAAAAGTTAGTGATATAAACACGAAGTACATACACGTGTGTCTTTTAAAAACATAATGTCAAAAGCCACACAAAGACTTCCGATGTGGCAACAGAAAAAGGTGACTTATTCAAGTGGAAAATGTGACGGAGGGGGGGGAGGGGTGGTTAATAATTGTTTATTCCTCTGCAATGAAAAATATACAGTTGAATTCCATTAAGTTGTATCTAGGGTAACTCAGACTCACTGGTCGGACTGATTTCCAACCCTGATTGGCTGATATTCCTTATTCAAGTCTAAAGTCATATATACTTTAGCTGAGTTGGACAATAGCTAGGTCATACCATTTCCCTTACTTCCCTTGAAGATATGACTTAGTGGGATGTGACTATAATACTGTAAGCACATGATCTTTGGAATCCCCCCAGCCTTGAAAAAGCCATCTGAAACATCAGCCCATCCCTGAAATAACTACCCATGGGAGCTTCAAGAAAATCAATGTGAAAATTGAATAGAAATTCAAACTATATTTAGAACACTGGGAAATATTCATAATTTTAGAACACTGGTAAAGAACCAATTTCAACCGTGACTTCATGCTATAAAGTGGACCCACTATCACTATTCCCCTCTCCATGGCTATTGTATATGGAAAACATGTTCAAATAGATTACATAACTCAAAAACTGGCTATCATTTTCCATATCACAAATTTTCAAAACCCCCAAATCCACAAATAAGCCTCCTGAAAAAACTGCCATGTAGAAACTTTTTTGCGCATAATTTGCTGGGGGCCTATTCGAGGATTTACGTAGGCTGCTAACAAGCCCATCCGGTGCACTTTTACAAGTGGAGATTATTTCAAAATCGCAGGATTATTTTACACCTATGCAAATAGTATAATTCCAAAATAAAACAGCTAGTCTTGTCAATGAAATACTTACTTTTGCTAGTCTTTAATTCAGTATCATCCACGGGCAGTCCAAGAATACGCAGAAGGTGAAGTCGCTCAGTTTTCGCCATCATGCAACGAACAGTCGATTTGCCTCTATGTCCACAAAGCCAAACATCGTTTGACAACTCAAATCTAGGTTGCAAAGAAAGTGTTCTAAGTGGCTCCAGCTTATTTAAACGATAAAACGTAAGATACATGCCCAACATGCAAAACTGCTGGAGCATGACGAAACGATAAAGCTCAAATAAAGCTCAAATATCTAAGCATGGCAGATGACAGTATTGAAAAGTTAAAACAACCTTGTAAAACCATTACAATTAGGTACAATTACCAGTTTTTAAAGAAAAGCGGAAAGGACTAAATGCGAGATGTGGCACCGTTTTGCAGAAGAAAGTCACAAGTGGTAATCTTTGAATTTACTTTACCTTTCGGACTGATTTGTAGAAGGGTCCAAATGCCAAAGTACGCATCCAAAATCTGCAAGTTAGACGAAAGTGAGTGCCGTAGCTTGACCTTCAAGACTAGGAGGGAGGGGGGCTGGGGTTGGAGGGTCATCGATAGTAAATTTACCTAGATGAAGAAGAATAATGAAGATGAAGACGAAATATATTTCACCTACCGATAGGCGATTTTACCGACCAACTGAGAATTTTGTAGAGCAAGTGAAGATTTACCCACTAGCTCTTGAATAATTGGGGGGGGGGTGTCACAACCCCTTAAACCCCGCTAGCTACGCCTCTGAAGATAGTTGCTGGATGCAAAGGCACGAATAATTAGTACACGTATGAAAAGGAAATATGAATAGGAATTAACAAAATTCAGCGTCGAAAAAATATCGCATATATAAAAAGTATTGCATGTACAAATTATTAATTAAGGCTTGCCAAAATAGGGGGGGCAATTTTAATCAAATATGAGATACTGGCAGCCACTACGCTGCCATTTCCATTTACAACTGTTACCTAAATGCGAAAAGAAAACTGAGGTTTTTTATATCTTTAATGCAAGGCAAACTTACAATTCTGATCCAGTTGCTTTCTGGTCGATTCGCAAAGCTTTTCTGTTTTTGGTTCCCCTTCAGTAAGTAAAAGTTTTAAGTCTTCATAGCTTATCTCTATCTTCTGTTTGTCGACATATCTGAATGTGGACTGGATGCCCTATAAAAGAATGTATGGTCAACCGTGATGTAACGGAGGCGCCTTGTGCCCTTAGGAAAAATCTGACACGAGACCCCTAACTATGGACTGCAAGAAGTTCACTTCCAAGAGAGTAGAGCAGGACAACACAAAAGCAAGATGTAAAAATGATTACTCGTCTCGTTAACTAGCGGGGAGTTGGATTAAATGTTTCTGTCAAAGAACTTTTAAAGTTTTTGGAAATAAGGTCAACTTTTGCAAAGTCTTGTAACTAAGAGTATGGATATAATTATATTCTTAGAACCCCTTTCGATAGGAAGCCCTTCTTAGCTGTCGAACTAAGGTACCTTAACTGCCTATTAGCAGCTCTCCATTTGTAAAGAAAAATGCAAAACATAATAAACATCCTTATTCAATTTGTTCCAACTACGACTGCTGATACGACTAGTTCACGAGTGGTCATATATTGGAAATAACAAAATGCTTATCACGAAAATTAAATGCATTTAACGTAGCAAAATGATTGGTGTATATAGAATAGAATTGGAAATAAAGCAACAATTAATTGCGGGGATAAGGAAAAAACTACCTCCTGTGTAAGACGAAAGTTGCAGCCTTGAGTTTCCCCAGTTTTCAAAGTGCATCGGGTGAAAACTTTTAAACCACAATTGATTATCTAAAAAATTAATAATCACGTCAATCAGAAGAAGCTCAAAATGGTAATGTTTAATTTAATTTAAAATTATTCATAGAATCGTTGGACGAAAGACACCAGTTAGTAAAAGTGATTTGACTTCGCATTAAAACAGAATGCCATTTCAGCTTGGCAAAGAGCAGCTTGTTCAGTTTTTTATAAAAACTATAAAAACGTAAAATGCTGGTTAAAACTTCTTTGGAAGTGGCAACGGCTTTGATCATTTGCATTTTTGTATTTTTAAAATCTTCTCCGAATACAATGTTGATGTTGTTGTAAGAACATACATATGATAAGAATCACGCGATTAACAGGCTTCAAAGTCTGGTAATGATACATCATTTTGAACTAAACTAACATTATCTAAAGGAAGAAAGAGGTTGGGTTTTGCATTGAATAAGGCATTTGGTGGTGATTATTATCGATTTACCAGAAGCAAGTTTGATTGGTCCGAAGAGAATCAAAACAACTGTTTGAAAATAAAATAGCCTAACCTTTAAATTATTATAATTGTAGTCAATAATTTCCTTGCATTTTTCTGATACGAAATAAACATGTCTTCTGATGCCTGCTTCTGTTCTTGTTAATGCCTGGCTTTTTGGGAAAGATTGAGGAAAGCCAAAGAAGTTACTGAAAAAAAGAGATCCAAAATGACGCGAATACGAAAACTGGTATGTTGGGACAACGGCTGTTTCACACTCTACCATTAGTCAACAGGTTGTACCTAACCCATTAAAACTGTAACTAAAAGTATTTGCTTCGCAGGTTTGTACAAAGATCTAGTGATTTTTCCTTTTAAAATTAGTGAAAGGTTATAATGAGTGAATAAAAACCTTCTTAAGGGTATAAACCAGGGGTCGGCAACCCGCGGCCCGCATGGTACTTTTGTGTGGCCCGGAAGGCCCCTGTTAACCTGTAAATAATGTGGCCCAATGCACGAGTGTCAGCTCGATATTGATTCAGTGATCTTAGATTCTTGTCTAGATTAGCATTCCTCGTTAACATTACTAGTCACTCGAACAAGCTGAACAAGAAGCTTCAAGGCCATTGTCAATTTGTGAATGTCATGTATGAACATGTCATGTTCCTGCTAATGCTACATCTTTGGAAAACTCAGCTGAATCAATGGAACTTGGTTCACTTTCCATCTTCAAATGGAGTTGATCGAGCTGCAGGGTACCAGTGAATTGAAACAGAAATACAAGGAAACTCAGATAATCCCGTTTTATATGGAGTATCTCCATGGTGGATGATGGTTCATATCAAGGTCTGGTGCAGCATGCCAAGAAGATGTGTTGCATGTTTGGAAGTACTTCTCTCCTTTGCGAAAGTCTCTTCTCAAAGATGAAGCATGCGAAGAGTCGACTGCGATCTCGAATGACTGATCAGCACCTTGAAGGCAACTTGCGGCTGCCAACATCAACAATTCTGCCAAATAATGAGAAGTTGGCCAAGGACGTGCAGCACCAAGTTGCCCATTAGCTTCTTGTAATATACTGATCAGTGAACACCCACTTTACCTCTATGTTTTTATTTACGAACTGCTTCCAAGTTACAGTACATTTACCGATAGTTACAATTTTATTGATTAGATTTGTAGTCAGGTAGAATTGGTATATATTAAAATTATACTGTATTTTGAGTTGCGGCCCTCGTATGCATTTCAAAAATCAAATTTGGCCCCCTGTTTTATAAAGGTTGCCGACCCCTGGTATAAACCATTGAGTGATAGAAATAATGATAACTTATTTGCTTTATGTTGGCGCATAAATCTAATAGCTCCGTACAAGCTAATTAATTCCATATACAGAAAATATATACCTGAAATACAGAAAATATTAAAAATGTAAGAAAAGTATTAAAAAGATTATAACTTTGGGTGATGACTAAAAGTTTGGCCTAGTTTTATGCTCGAACGTACACGAAGGTATGCCAACAGAAGGGAAGCACTTCTGATTGGCTTTATTTTGACCAATCATTTGTCTCCAAGGGCTGATAAGGTTGAAGGTATGAAGTGTAAACATGAGACCCTTCCTTAGGTCAGTTGCAGATCGCTTGTGCACGAAAACACATTAAATGCAACAATGCATCTTTTGCAACAAATGCCATCTTGTATGTAATAGCCTCTTCTTGATAAAATTTACTCATAAAAACAACAGTATATAAGATCTTACATGATTTCATTGAGCAAAGGATCGTCTTCTTTCAAAAACAGAAACGGATCCTCGATAAATCCTTTCCGCTTTACTTTCTTTTTTGGTGGCTCTGCTACTTTTTGATTATCATCTAAATTTGACTCTGCTGAAACTGCATCTACGGAATCACCCTCTTTTGATGCATTGTCCCCCATATCAGACTCTTTGCCATTTTCGTTTTCAGTTTTCTCGGCTTGCTGAATGATTGAAACAAGCATCATTACTGCACTATAACCTAAAAACGGCTTTCTAAAGGGGGAAATACGATGTTTTTATGTTTACGCATCTCCAACATAATCTTCTCCCCATCTGTCACATATGGCTAATATAACTAATTTTGACGTTCTTAATCGCACATTTTTTTTAAATTGACTTAATATAATTGTTTAGACCTATTATATACGTACATGAATTTAGCACTTCATGTCCCGAGATCATATCACTATGCAAATTATAGTGCTTTCTTGAGCAAATTCGATAACTCATTGTTCTTAAACAGTCGAATCAACGAATGACTAAGGATAGTCATTAAACTAATGCTAGCCAGTAACTCACTTTCTGCAAAAATTCCCATGGCAGCAACTTTTTGTGGGCCATTCTTTGAGCTTTGTTTTTACTCTGCCAAGGCAACGGTCCATTCTTCTTCAAGACAGCAATAAAGAATCCGCCAGTATCTTGTTGATGAGGGTACACACGGATACTAGAAAACACGAACAAAGAAATGCACTCTGGGATACAAGGAGAGAGAACTCGTGAATTGACGGTTTCTTGATACCATTGTCCTTCGTTTTGCTTCTTTCATACGATATCAAAGTAAAAGCAAGGCCATTTTCCTTCACTTGAGTTTCACAGTGAATTTCCAATATCAGATAAAATAACAGCTATAGTATTTGTCAAATATAAACCCTTATGCATTGGATACAAGGATCACATAGTTTAATGACGAAAGACAAGAACTGGCAGGGCTGTTGAGAAACGCTAAATGTCTTAAGACTTTATCTACTGCTACTATACAATGGCAAAGAAAACATAAGCAGAAAGAGACACAATACTCTGACTGAGGCAGAATTTCTGTCTGTGAATTAGCTGACTATGAATTCGCTGAGCCAGTGAGCACTAGCAGTTTATTTGCTGGGTACATGCAGAAAACAAACCCAATAGAAAGGAGACCTAACGCAGTAAAGGAGGAGGCCTTGTTTGCTACATTTAAATGCTCACAGCAGGGTCGCTGAAGATATTGAATGAGAATAACAAATACCTTCACCTTTGCAGCATAAACATCAGTCACACCATGTAGGTTACAAAATACTTATCTAAGGCCTCAAAGTAAGATATCAGTCTATTCAATTTATATTTACAGCAATACGCTATCAGTACAAGCTATCTTTTCAAAGTTTTAGTTGATACAAACAAACCTTACCATCGTTGAAGATTTATCTTTTCGTTTTCTTCTGTTGTTGGAGGAAACATGGACTTTTTGTATCCTTCGTTGATGTAGGTTTCATTTTCAATGTCGTCAATGCTCTTTAATTCTTCACCAGCTTTGCTGAAAACCTTTAAAGGAGCAAAGAAAAAGGTTTAGACTACACCAGTCTTGCTTGCCATAAATTCTCGATAAACAACTATGGTATTTTGCAAAGTAGGAGCAACAGATCCATCTTGCATAAAATCATCGATGAAAGCCATCGAAGGAAGATTTATTGATATTGTACAAAAATAGTTAAGACATATTCCATCTTCAAAATCTCCAAGCTGAAGATGAGTTTCATCTAAAAACAGCTTTGTTTCGTTTGGGCAAATTATAATCTACGGAATATAATAAAGTTTACTATAGCTGCTGCTTTAATAAGCTCCTGATATAGCTGTAGATATATGATTGGAAGATTACACTTCACCTTCCATTTTGTCAAGCCAGGTGAACGTTTCAAATTTGGCAATTCACCAGAAACATCAAGAAGCTCTACGGCCCCTTTAGACATACTAATTGCCGTCGCTATCACTGCCTCGTCTTCAAGAGGATTCACCGTACACGTTGAATAAACAATGCGACCTCCTTCTGATAGCAACTCTAATCCTCTGACCAAGATCTTCAGCTGTAGCCTTTAATGTAAACGATAATTTGAATGATGTTGAGAAATGACGTTGTGTTGGGAAAAACAAAAAAAAACGACAGTGTATTCTTCCAAGTACGCTCTTTTACTCAGCATATGAAACATGATCAACAGTAAATTAACGAAATGACACAGTTTATATGTGAAATAAAAAAGAACAAGAAATGAAATCAGATCAAGAAAGTGTGTTTAATCTACTGCCTTCAGGAGGTACGCAGGTCTAAGGAACCTTTCAAGTTGCTTCATACCGATGCAATGATACTCCTAGATGAGGGCTCCATCGTGGCCATATTTGGGGGTTTTTCCTCATTGTTCCGTCACCACTTAAATGAAAATAAAATACGAATTTTCAAATGCTGCGAAAGCGACCAAAAAGGATTAAATCCCCGCTAATAGTTAAAACATGACTCGCCTTCAAGAATCGTTCAGGCATCATCAACATGTTTATCATTCATAGGTGCATTTTGAATTAGCATAAAGCTTAATTTTTTGTGGAATAATTCAAAATTAGATAAGGAGAAACTTGCTAAAATTCAAGTTCTGGCTGTATTACCAAATGCTAGACTCTTTTAAAGCCCCCCCCCCCAACCTTCACTCGTTATGCTTCCAGCTTGTTCATACATCTTCCGGTCTTAAACATGCACCTGGGGACGGACTGTATTCTAGCTTGAATATCTTTCACTAAATAAATTTTGATGCCTAAAAAGTACCTGTATCTTGTAATAAATACTCTTTCAAGGATATTTCCCATCTCTGGTTACCCTCGACTAATATTGCATTTTAAAAACCCTAATGGAAACAATAACACTTCAAAGAATCAAAAACTAATTCAAAATCTTGCTCATGGTCATTATTTAAAAAACACAAGATTGGGCAGTTACTTGCTCCTAGTCCCTTCCTTAGCACTGCTGTACATTATTTCCAAAAAATTCACACTCAATCCTTATTTAAGCATTGTGGATAATTAGTTTCCTAAAAAACGCTTCGAAGCATTGTGGATAATTAGTTTCCTAAAAAACGCTTTAATGTTGTACCTGCACGGCACATCGCAAAGAATGCGATCAAACAGAAATGGTTCGGGGCATCCGTTTGAACTCTGCAGAGACAAAATTTGAAAATTAATTCGTTATTGGGCAAGATTAAAGACATGAAGAGAAATCGTGCTAAATGTTGCCTTACGTTTTATTGACTAAATTCTTTATATCTACCAATCTTGAAACGTTCCTGACTCATTAATTACTATAAAGCATATGTGAAATGCTTTTCAAAAGTATCATAACCCCTTATCATAATTGATGGAGGTGAAAGTGGAAGTTTTGCTGACAAAACTTTTTAATTTCTATGGTTCCCTGTAATGTTTAAAGGAAAAATACATTGTCATCCACACATTTGGCTCACTCCAAAGTATAAAGGTGATATTGGTCTTAAGCCCATCTAGTCAATAAAATCTCGACTTTAGTATACATACGTTGACAGTTGTGAGAAAGGGGTAAACACTGGCATCATGGTTGGTGATCATACAGCATGGGCTCTGAAGTCGTTTGCTTTGATGTACAAGCATATAGCATCGTCTATTATTTGAGTCATTAGCAACAATGACACCAGCTGCAACAAAGTAAAAGTATGATAAAATCAAGGAGAAAAAGATTTTATTGGAGAAATATCATTTATCGAGTCAAAAGTCTACGTAACCCAAACCATAAAAAAGGTTAACACAATCTAATTTGTCTAATTTTCAACAACAAAAATCATGCTTCGTAAAAGTTTTCATCGGAATATCAAGCCAACGGAAGGTTTATTAAAAGAATGTGAAGATGTTTTACTTGGCAACTCTTTATCGCTGTCCTCGTTCATCATTTCTATCAGCTGAGCTGTCTTTGAGCCAGGAGCTGCACACATGTCTAAGACCTGAAACAAGTCAGCGTTGTGAAAATGTTTATAAACTTTCAAAATCATGAAGATACCAGCTATACCTTGTACTTTACCTTGACATTTTTAGAAATAAAATAGTTGATGATAAATTATTTTGGGTACCCTTCAGTAAGATAAAATTAGATTCCGTGTCTTACAATTAATTTTAGATGATTTTTTTACTAAAGGTATCGGATTAGTATAAATTGTGTAAATTATAAAATCAATGTTTCATAAACAACTGACTTACTTAAATAAACTGATTGATATGACATAAATGTCAGGATTAAATGCTGCTTTTTAATTCCATGAAGAAAAACTGGTACCACAAGTTCACGTAATAATAAACACAGCAGTAGGGAAACCTTAAAAAAAATGAGCCTTTACCTTGTGATATGGTTTAATATCCATGAATAATGGAGGTATCATGCTCACAGCCTCTTGTCTTGTTATTGCTCCCTGATTAAAATAAACAAACAAAAGGAAAACATTAAAAAATTGAATATCTATTGCATATATAAATAAGCTGTTAAGATAGACTTAAATTAGCTGTTTTGACTGGGCCACATGACAGTAGTGCTATGTGATGCGACGATGTACCATCATAAATGGGATTTCAATTCTCTTGCAGTGACATTTTGGAAATTTAATGTGCCAACGCAAGATAATTTCACTATTTTTTATATCTTCATTATAAAATGCAAATAATAAGACTTACACAGTTGGTTTCCTGAACAAGAAACTTGTGAAACTGTTTCATCTTTTCAGACTTTCTTATCTCTCTTCTGGCAGTTTTTGTTTCCCAAGCCAATTCATCTGGGTACCTGGGGATAATTTAAACAGTAAAATATGGCACAATTTGTTGGTACTTAGAAAAATAGCATGAATGCAATTACATTTGAAAATTTAAAAAAAATGTCTCAAGACCCAACGGCAACAAAAACGCTGACAAATTTCAAAATATTCATTATAAACTCAGGTTTTTACAAAATCTCATGTCAAAGAGATCTAAATATGTGATATTACATTTCAAAAATCAAAATAATTAGTTGTAACCTATTTTGTACAAGAAAATCTGCTGCCTGATATGCGTGTGAAAAAAAGTAGTATCAAGTTCTTGAAGGCATTTTGCATGGGCCTACTGCTTTGCTGCAGAAAAATACTGACTTCAATGTACAAACACTTTGCTTCCCAATATTTTATACTCTCATGACAAGATTAATTGGCACATCTACCTAAATGGTTGGATTCTTTTCAAAATTACTCTAAAAAATTCATAAATAATGGAAGGTTACCAGTGTAAAGGCGCAACAGGCTTTTCCCTAATATTAGCCTCATCTTCTTCCTGGTTTACAAATTCACTTTTTATTATCCTTAGTAGCTCCTGTGCATGACTATGAGTAAAAACAATACAGAGTAAAGCATTTAAAGCAAACTGAAGACAACACCAAAGACTGACAAAAAATCAAAGGAGAAAACTGATTTTCTATGCCATACTTCTTTGGTGTATATGTTACAATTCTGGACATGAACTCAAAGTGCCACAATTCCAGTCTAGTTTATTTCTACAGTTTAGAACCCTTCTTATCTATCTGCAAGAAATCTGGCAAGCAGTATTAATGCTGATATTTTAATACAACTCATTCAATTTTCATAAAAACATTTATTTTATACATTACTTGATTTGGTGTATAGAAGAGGACAGTTGTAAGTTGTTACTCCAAGTTTTATGCTTAATGTGATCATCAAGCAACTGTATACATTTTATGCAATATTCCTTATAAATGAATATTATTTTGATATGAGCTGCATTTTTAAAAATAAACAAAGGGAAAAGTCTCACCTAAAACACAAAATCCTTATTTTCATAATGCATAACACAAAACCCTTATTTTCAGAATTTCGTTTTGGACATACCAGGCTGTCATTGAGTGTTGATATAGGCAGAATTGTACGCTTTGGCGTAAATAAATAAATATCAAAATATTTGATGACTGAAATAAAGGTCACAAATCACTGTTTTTGTCTGGCATTGTTATTTTTATGGTTTAATTTAGAAAAAAATATTTTGATACAGATTTAGTTTGATATAGAAACCTGTTCTTAGGATATAGCTCCCTAAAAATATGCAATTTGCAAAAAAACTAAAAATGCCACCACTAGACAACTTTTTCATTTTGAACAGATAAAAAATTGAGCAAAATGCTAAAACAACTTTGAATTGAAAGCAATATACCTCTTATTGCCAGTTATCCTAAATGTTGAAGGCAATTCTCTTCTGAGTGCTGTCATAAATTCTTCCCATTCATGCTCTGGTAGCATCTCTTGTCCCTTTGAACAATTATGTTAATTAAAGATTCAGCTCATGATTATAACATGACAAATAGGAATAAATTAACCAGAAAAAAACAGCTAAAACAGGAAAAAATTTATTTCCTTTAACACTGATAAAGAAAGTGGAAATGTCAATGAAAAAGTTACTTGAGTTAAATGTACTTTGGAGAAAAAGGAAATAGGAAACTTCATTTTATTCATTGATACAACTGCAAGCTTCACAACAATTTAGCAACTGGTAATGTGCCAACCTGATGCAAAGGATAAAGGAAGCATACAAATTGTAGCCTTAAAACATTGTTTTCTTTTTTTGGTAAGCAAGAACAAGGTTAAGAGGAAAGCTCAGGGGAATCCCATGATTTATTTCTACAACAGAAAAAGGCAGTCCCATGTTTGATTGGTCATGTATGATTTTTGAAATGATGTTATTTTGGCAGTTTGTTTCAAGATCGAGATCATTGTACTTGACAATGATGAGTTGCATGATGTACTCCAAGACAGCCAATGGAGAGATTAGGAAATCTTATGTCGGTGTACTGGGGTGAAAGACAAGCAATGGGTGGATGATAATTTGAGCTTTCCTAGCAGCATTAGAATTAAATTTGTTTCAAAGCCCACTGTCAGTTAAACTATGTATAAAAATTTATTATTGGTTGTAAGAAGCACGTCAGGATGACAATACACTTACGTTCGAAAAGAATTGCACCACTTCACTCACTAGTAATGGCGATGGAGTTGTAAACAATATGACTTTCAACAAACCAAATCAAATATAACTTCAAAACATTGACAATATTTCAAGTTTAAATTTTGAGAAAAATCTCTTTTCAGAACTTTTAAAAATGCAAATTTTTTAATGGCCAGTCAGGAAGCTTTGAAATCTTTGTACGCCTTGCTAATTTTAATCAAAAACTTTTGAGGCAGGTCATTTTATATGCCACATGATGATTTTAAAAAAAACGTACCCAAGATCACATTTAGGTGTCTGAGATCCCAGATGATCATTACTGACCTTGAATTTTGCAGAAAATTAAATTTTCACGGTGCCATGAGACACATGTATGTCTCTGTTTGTGACTGTTTATAGCAGAAAATTTGGTAATATCATTCAAAGAGGAGAATCAAGACTCTTTTCTGTTCTTTCATTTTCATGATGATACCTTGATAAATTTTTCATTATTTCTACCCAAACAGATATCTTAAAGGGCATGTGTCATGAAAATGATTGGCCAATGCAATACAATTATCTTTTTTATTCAATACAAAGCATGGAATCGAGGTCAATAATTTTACATTGCAACACTTTCTTTAACACTTTTCACTGCTTTTGTATTCATAGCAACACAATCAAGATACTTTGATTCCACACTGGTCCTTGAGACTGACTATTTCAAGTTATCTTATCTTACACTTGGTATTAAAGAAACATTTAGGAAACTTTAGTACTAAAATCAACAAAAAACTAAGAATCCGAAGCTTACTATCTAAATTAGAACTTCGGTCATATCACAATTATACTTATCCATAAATACCTTGTAGCAGGATTCAAATAACTTGTTTTCTCTTACTATATTCTGGTATGAATCTTTACAACGATCATCGTGATCTGGGTGCTTCTTTTTCCACTGAAAAACATTATATCGTATGGAGATCAGAGAAATGGTTTGGCAATGTGCTACAGGCTACATAGGAAAACTTTCAAATAGTTACATTTTTAGCCTACTTACAATTACAAAAGAACATTCTCTTAGGGGTCTCTTAACATTGAGTTATTCTGGTTAACATAAGTCTGTTACAATAATATATTAGATAAAATTTCTTTTCGCCTGCTACCCTTGTCGAGGAAATCTAATAAGTTGATGTAATCAGTTAATTATTATAGATGCCATGCATTTACTAAATAATCTGATAGCATCACGACAACAGTTACACTGAAGGACACAGTAAAAAACATTAAACTCAATTTGAATGCAAATAACCCACCTTGAAAGACTTTTTTGACTTGTTTTTACCCATGATTTCCAACGCACTCAATTGCTAAGAAATGTCCCGTGAAACAGAACCAAAACGTGTGTGATACCATTTTCATCGGGCCTCTTTTACAGAAAATGGTCACGAGGTTTGGAACCATTTTGACTGTGACCAGAAGAAGTCAGGGAGGCGGCCCACTGGTAAAAGCTAGAAGTGAAAATGGTATGATATTTTGTTTATATAAAATAAGTTGTTTTGTAGGTTCATTACAATCGACAGTCAAAGGGTAGTTCTAGCTCTTTTAAATCGATAACTCTCAAGAATTCGATGTGGTCTTCCACAAGTATCAAAAGCGCGAGCGTTTTCATGTTTGAAAGGGAACTGATTATGGATAAAGCTCCTCAAGTTCCGTAATGATTGCATTTAACCTCCTGTCCTTCTCTGCATCATTCTTTCTAACTATTAGAACGACATGGATTTTGGATTGCCCATGTGTGCATTTTTGGGTATTTTTGAAGCTACATCTTACTCAGAAAAAAACAAGGGGTAAAGACCACACCATTAGAGATGAAACAATATGCCGTTACCAGGAATCTTACTCTTTGAAGAGGATCAATGACCTACAAACAGTTCAATAAATTTTCATGATAAAATGATGCTGTGAATAAAGTTGTTGTGTGGATATGGTCAATACCAGTCTTTCCTGCAGAATTTGGCAAATGCACATATAATATGATTTCATTGTTATTTACAGTATACAAGCAAAAAGATTCATTGAATGTACTCATTGAATGTTGCCTAGAAAATGCCAATAATTTTGCAGCACCAGTATTTGTTAATATTAATATTAATATTAATGATAAACTATTTTTAAACTAAACAATGCACCAGCCACACCAGTGTTTTCAAGCAAACCAAATCTGATTTTAAGAAAACGTTAACAACATGCAAATGTTAAGGATCTGCTAAACGTTTTTGACACAATATTTGGTTTTCTCTCCCTAAAAGCAAAACTATTAACGGAATCAGATTAAACTATATATCATTTGATGCACAAGAATGTGGTGATTCCAACCATATCAAAATAACTGGCAAATATTGTAAAATGATACTTTACAGGCATATTTATTGCTTAAATGAGTGTACCACCTTCAAAAGCTTTTTTTACTCTTGCTGTTGAGGTAACAAAATCTGACATATACCAGCAGAAAGCACAGATCCTAAGCTACCAAAGTGTGTCTCAGTTTTTTCAAATTTCTCCTCCCCTTGGAACTATAACTTATCACAACTTGGTAAATAATTTTTCTAACTTCCTGTGGCCATATGTGGTTATTAAAGATGAACCAGAACAAGTACAAAACTTTGCTTACCCAAAATCTGGCCTGGCCGTGTGCAAATTTTTGAGCCATTTGATTGGTTCCTTGGGTACAAAATAGCTTTTTTGTACCTGTATGTAGAGGAATTGTGAGTCCAGAGAAAACAAATTTTACTGATTACTGACCATCAATGGAACTTGAAAGGTACAGACGTAAACCACAATGTAATCTGGGCCAAGTCACTTGAAGCTTAAAGATCATTACACCTGTTAAAATAAACACAGCCATACATGGGATTCATGGATGTGCCATGCAATGATTGTAAATGAGACATGCGTCCACCATTGCAAGGCAACCCTATTGGCTTAAAAGTCAAGAGATTTTCAGACCTCAACTAAAAACTTTGATAAAAAAAAATTTTCCACTTTCAAAATTTTTGTTGGTTTCAAATTTTGTGTCATTGTGTGCCTTGCAAGTTAGGCTAGTAGAATGTGAAGAAATTGGAAAATGGGTCTTTTCATCCAAAAAACATTCACCGTAAACCTAAGTGCATGCAAAATTTCAAGTGTACACTTCAAAACTCGAAATTCTGGTTGTGCTCATGCATTAACTTGTTAAAAGGCCTTATATTTGAAGAAATCCGTTTTAAAATAAGTAACTTCTAACTCTCGCAAAAGTATTCTCACCCAAGGTTATATACTTACAGCACAATTTGATCCTGATTTGCTTTTGAATAAAAACATAATTTTTTGAGTGGAACTATATCATCTATATTTATACAATCTTTTAATCTTCTGTATGAAATTTTGTTGTCAGAGAAATATAGCCAAACTTTTTCAAGAAACAGTATGTGGAAAACTTTGAATGAGATTATTGTTCATTGTTGTTCTTTGTTTTGATAAGCCCCATTTCTGGATGACCCTAGAAAAGCTAAGAAAATCATGTTACTTCCAAAACCAGTTCAAAGACATTTGATAACCACCACACATATTTTCTTCTCTTACAATAGGCATCTACATTGTCTCCACAAGAAGAGCAGGATAAACTGCTAGAAGAAGCTGTTCAAATCGTCAAGACACAATCATTTCAAATGAAAAGATGTTTGGTATGACCAGTTTATATCTTTACTGAGAGTTTTGCTTGCTAGTGTTAATATTTACTTGCATGTGAAATGTTTTTCATTAGTATATCGTAGTCAAAAATTTTTCCCTTAATTTTGGTTGGAAACTGGAATCTTAAAGACCCACTTTCAACCAGGGGCGGACACTTGATCAAATATTGGGGGGCAAGCCTATTGTTTTAATAAGATGACATCACATTTCCCATTGTTTTAGAACAAAAGACCATTGTCCTCAAAAGTATTGGGGATGGTTGCCCCCCTCGCCCCCCCCCAAGTGTCTGCCACTGCTTTCAACCAACAAAGAAGCACTATATTTTACAGGGTCTTTTCTTGTTTTTTAATCAGCATTGTTTGGAATCAGTTGTCCCAGAATTTTTCAACATTTGAGCTGCTTTTAAGCAAAATATTAGTAAAGAATAGATATGATATCGTCCTAGAAAATTCAGAACCAATTTATTCCATGGTAGTTATTGATTCAACCTTTACAATTCCAGTATTCATTAAAATGTATTAAAACATTTTTAAATTTTTTTTATTGCTATTTATTTAACAAATTTTTTTCACAACCTATGTAAACAGTTGTATAAAGGGGAAAATTAGTTAGAGATCTTGATTTGACCTTCAAGTTCACATAGCAACATGAAAGTTTGTATTAAAAGAAGAAACATGTTTCAAAAGTATCTTTTTTCATCCTTTGCTAAGATGGATGTGTAGAATTACGATGATCATTGTTTCTGTTCTAATCATAAAGTTCTTAACCAGATTGTGCTTTGCACCTAGTGTTCTAGTGTTTTTATTTGGCTGTATCTCCACTGTGTGTTTCTGATGATTCATTCGATGTTAACATTTAAATAATGAATACATTCAAACTGTAAATTCAAACTGCCACATATTTAGGACAAGGCAAAGATAATGGATGCACTGAAGCATGCTTCAAACATGCTTGGAGAACTGCGAACCTCTCTATTGTCACCAAAAAGCTACTATGAGCTTTGTATCCTTTTTTAATCTTTAACTATTTCAAATGCCTTGGTGTTTCTTCTTAGTCTTTTGTATATATTGTTAATGAACAGGCCATGATTAATATGTGTCTTGTAGAACTTAAAAACCAAAGACTTGGTCAAAATAGGCAAATGGAAATTTCTTTTTCATTTTGATAAATGTTGTGCGGCTGTTACCAATATTTTTACCAGAAAGTATTGTTCTAGATTGAATGTTAATTAACACATGAACTATAGATTCTATAGCCTTGCTATATTGAATGGATATTTGGCATAAGCGCATATCAGCAGATGTTATTAGCTTCTACAAACTTGCTATGCTAGTTGCTTCAAATCCCAAATACAACGAAGACCACAAGGCTAATCCATTTGGTATAAAATGGTTAATATTATCTTTGGAACGACAAGGCTGATTTTTGTACAGAGAAAGGCATATCTTAAAGCTTTTTTCACTACGTTTATTTTTGCCTTAATTTTATGGAAGATATGAGCGTCAGCGATGAACTCAGCCATCTTGAGCTTTATCTTGTTGATGAGTTCTCCAAAGGCCGGAAGGTCAATGATCTGTATGAACTGGTGCAATATGCGGGAAACATCATACCAAGATTGTAGGTTTATTCTTGCTAATAAGGATTTATTCCTTATGATTTACTAACTTGAATGGCTATTTTGTTCTTGTTTCAATATTCTGTTAGGCTGCTATCAAAGTTATTCTTGAATACTTTGTTAGGGTAATATAACATTAGTAAAAAATAGAACTTTTGATATTTAAAGCCTTTCGATTCCAATAATTTTGCGTTTTTATAGAACTGGTTTCACCAGAGTACCCTTGATAAGGCCTTCTTCTTACTGCATATTGGCCAAATTCTATGATCTGCTTCAATTTTCAAGGGAGAATAGTATTTAAGGGAAAAAATTCCAACATGCTTGGCTAAAATTTTGCTTGATTTCACTCTGTTTAAAGAAACTTATAAACGATATTTCAAACTCTTATAAACGAATTGTGTGAATGTGTCCGGTATAATTTTATGTTTTGATAATGTCCCACATTCTTGTCCAAAGATATCTGATCATCACGGTTGGTGTCGTTTACATAAAGTCTGGCGAGGTAGCACGGAAGGATATTCTTAAAGATCTTGTTGAAATGTGTAGAGGTGTTCAGCATCCATTAAGAGGGTTGTTTCTGAGAAATTTTCTTCTTCAGTCAACTAGAGGAAATCTTCCAGATGCAGATGGCAGTGTGAAGTAAGTTAATCACTGTTAAACAAAGTTATTTGCTTAACTCGTAGCTATTTTGGTTAGTTGTTTGTATACCCGTGGAAGTTTAAGAGACAATTTCTGACGTTGCTGCAAAATTCTATCAAAGGTTAACTGGGAATAAATAAGAGATACTGTTGTTTTAGGAACTCTGAAACAGATGGAAGTATCAAGGACTCAGTGGACTTCATTCTGTTGAATTTTGCGGAGATGAACAAGCTTTGGGTACGGATGCAACATCAAGGGCACTCAAGGGACAGAGAGAAAAGAGAGAGGGAACGACAAGAACTGCGAATTCTTGTCGGCACAAATCTTGTACGTCTGAGCCAGCTTGAGGGTATTGACATGGAAATGTATAAAAAGGTAAATGTTTTAAATAAGATTTTAGATAAGATTTTTCATTCATATATTTAGCGGACTCTCAGTGTGATATTTTTATTTGAAGTTGCTCTGTGGGATTATTTTTGGATGAGTAGGTTTCTTGTGTCATATGTTTCTAATCATGTTAGCAACGGATCAAAAGATAAGCCAATGTGACAGTTTTTTAAGAATAAACCTCGGTGTTATCTTATGTGTCAAGAAATGGCTCACTCACAACCATGATTTTTATCAATTTACAAAAAACTATGAAGCTTAAATGAATATGGTGGTAAAGCAAAAGATGATTTCACGAAAGATCTATTATAACTCATTTTTGGCAGTTTGGAATCACTGATAACGTATGTTGTTGAAATGACCCAGGTTTAGTTACAAAACTAGGAAAGAATTAATGGAGTTGTATCCTCACAATGCAAAAAATAAGGTGTGCTTAAGTCATTATTGTTAGATTCTTTTCATTTAACTTGATAACATGTTTGAGCATGTTGATTAATTCGCTATTCTGATAATTATTTTTGAGTTCTTTTAAGCAACTTCGCTGTTTTTTGCAGGATGTTCTTCCTGGAGTATTAGAGCAAGTTATTTGTTGCAAAGACCCCATAGCTCAAGAATATCTCATGGAATGCATTATTCAGGTTAGTGCTTTCGAAGTGTATTTGACTGTGAACTTTTGCCTATCTTCTTAATGAATTTGGATACAATAACAAGGCCTTTTCTTATTGCATCTCATTTTCAAAGTGGCATAAGCTTTTTAAACGATGCAGAAGGCAAGCTTATTTGTAGTATAAAAAAATGTTTTAACGCTTATCTAGCAAATAGCATCTGGTTTTCGTTCACAACCTAATCAACTGAATTTGCACTCCATTTGGCAGGTTTTCCCAGACGAATTTCATCTTCAGACGTTGAATGCGTTTTTGAAGTCCTGTGCTGATTTACATCAGAGTGTCAACGTGAAGAACATCATTATCGCTTTGATTGACAGATTGGCAATGTTCGCCTACCGTGGAGATGGCTCCGGTGAACCTCAAGATATTAAGCTTTTCGAAATTTTCTCCCAACAAGTTCCTCATGCTGTTCAAGGTGATGGTGCTGGAATTCCTGAAGACATTCGGCTGTTTGAGATTTTCTCGCAGCAAGTTGCCCATGTAATTCAGGTAATCATTTCAATTTTATAACTTCTTTAATTTCAAATTTTGTTTGTTAATATATCTTTGTTCCAGACTTTAATTCAATTTATTTATAGTTACTTTAATATAAAATCATGGCACAGTTAATTCCAGGAATTTTCTTTTCACTGTTGTATTTTGCTAAACCTCGAACTTATGCAACCCGAAAAAGGCTGTGTGCTGTATAAGTCGTTGTGAATCTGAAGTTGGACTTTGAAATTTAATTTCGAAGCCTTGGTTTTTTCTTTCTTCTGTTTACGTCACATTGCGTTTTTTTTTGTTTTTCGTCCTTTCTTCTGCCATGATTTGTATTGCACCTCACTAACGATGCTATGCCATCTTCTTTAGTCTCGTAGTGATATGGCCACTGAAGATATCGTTGCGCTGCAAGTTTCACTAATCAACCTCGCACTGAAGTGTTATCCGGACCGGGTTGATTATGTTGACAAAGTGTTGGAATATACGGAGGAGATTTTCAGCAAACTTAACCTTTCCCAGTGCGTTTCATATTCACCTTCAAATTTAGTTCTTATTTTATTTAGGAAGGTTCAAGATTCTAATTGGATGCAAAGCAAGATATTCCGAGTCGTAGGGAAATGACGTCTTTATATGTGAATAAGTTTTTACGCATGGGTGGATCACATCGACTAGACTGTTTCTATTGAGTACAGGCCATAACTGTTAAGTAAGGACTAGAGTGAAAAAGCACCAGGCCCTATCTAGCTGTTTAAAGATAATATTTTATTTGTTGTAATCAGTCCTCTTGCTTGCCTTAGCTATCTTAGTTGGTTGTTGCATCCATCACGTACTCCATGATGGATTTGAGTCTTAAAGTGGTACTCTATCTGATCGATCCACACTAATTCTTTCCATCACCTTGTTTATTTCTGTTTACCAACAACCAGTAACAAACGTGCTCTAAGATATTTTCTCCTCTGCAGCATCGATAAAAACAACGCAGTTTCCAAAGAACTCATGCGCCTTCTCAAGATTCCTGTTGACGCCTACAACAATGTTCTCACAATTCTCAAGCTGAAACACTTTGCTCCGCTGTTTGATTATTTCGACTACCCTACAAGAAAAGAGATGGCAATGTATGTGATCAACAATGCTTTGGATAATGAAACATTGATACCTTCACAGGAAGAGGTAACGGGATTTTTGCTTATCTTTTTTTTATTTTTGGGATTTTCTGTTGCTTGATTTCGTAAGCTTACAGCTTCTTAACTTTGTAAGAAGTTTTTAAAGTTTAGGAAAGGATTCGTTTTTTCTTCAAAAAGATCATGGTCCTGCAAGCACACAGATAATTTGTGTAAATCGAATTTCACATGGACTCAGTCCGAAAACAACCCAAGTTAAATTCATTCAGCACCTGGTCGAAGGCAAAATAGACAATAATTCCTTTGAGGGCCCAAGAATCTTTCCAAATGCAGTTGACAACTTTGTTTGAATTTCTAGTATTTAAAAACTTATGACGAATCTATTTTGTAGAGGCACATTGTATAGATTCACATTATAAGAAGCACGTTATAAAGTTCAATCATGCTACTTTCCTGTTAAATTTTAAGAGTCTTGAATTTTGCACTTCTTCTTTTTACGCTTGAGGTTTTGAGGCACAGCAGTTTGTGAAGTTTTATCTTCATCTTCACAGTCATAAAATCTGTATCAAAGGACCTCATAGCTGTTAATATTACGCTCATTTATAACTATTTTCGATTTATACCCCCCCCCCCCAGAACTTTCTATTGTAGTCGATTCTATTAAGTGCAGAGCAGGGTTGAGAAATTACACTGAAAGATGCGTTTGGGTGTCACAATCAGAGTAGGATAGGTATAGCGTGTCTTGTCATCTAAACATTTTTTAGAACTTTGATATTTAAGGCTCTTTAATAATTTAAAAACGATACTATTGCTTTTCCCAGTCTAAGAATTTGATAATAACATTGAATATGTCCTCAGGTTGACTCGGTGCTCCGTCTAGCCGGCCCACTTATCATGGATCAAGATGATCAACCATCTGAAGTCGTGAGTGAAACTTAATGTTTCTCGGCTGCTTTCTTGCTTCCTTCTTCTTCTGTGCCTTTCTGTTAGCTTTTATTTCCTCATGTGTATTGTAAACGTACGCCTATCTAAAAGAGTCACTTCAAAGTAGATCACGTGGCAATTAATTTCTCTCAAAGAAGATAATCATGTTTTTTACAGTTCAATATTCTTCATAAATCATAAGCAGTCTTTGTCAAAGACTTTTTGCTTGTCGATGCCTTACTGTTTCTGTCAGATGTTTTTGTAACTTTGTTTTTGTACAGTATATATTTTGACTATTTGTTATATCACCATTGCCTGTTAATTTGACATGTATACAAATTTTGCCCGCAGGAAGACCCAGAAGACTTTGCGGAAGAACAAAGCCTCATGGGAAGGTTTATCAATCTGCTCTATTCAGAGAATTCGGACCAGCAGTATCTGGTAATGTACTGATTATCGGTCATTATCTTCATATTAACTCACCCTTGATTTTAAAAAAATTGATAAAGAACATTACAGGTTTCCTAAAGAAGCTGTAATTATCTTTCATCTGTTTGGTATCCAGTTTCTCCAAAGGTTTGCCTTCGAAAATGTTTTACCTTTAGTAAATTTAATGAAAAGGAAATTTAACATGATTTTGATAATTTCAATTTGAGTTAAAAAACAGTCGATAAACTCTTCCGTTATAAGTGGGATTTAAATCAGTTAAACAGGCTCTACAGTATTTGAATGACTCATCTGAACTTTTTCGCAACGTGCTTTCTCTTCTGTCCTTTGCAGGTTAGTATTTTCTTATATTTTTTTGATAAGCCATATAATGCGTTTTGGTTTATCGTTAGTGCCACTCATGGTAAAAGCTTGATGAACTTGTGTTTTCTCCCAAAAAAAATTGCAAAATGCATCTTAGGTTTAGCTACCTGTTAAGTGTAATTTTGCTTATTCTGTATAAATGCTGATGTGCGAGGACAGAGTCGAAGCTGAAAAACGAAACAAGCATTTTTGAAACCCGGTTAAAAATTATCAAAACAGGTGTAAATAAGCTGCTTAGTTCCATCTAGAAAAGCTGAGCTCAAGGACCTGCAAGAGCTGCTTTATTTACGACTGCACCCCCTAATTTTCCAGTTTTTGTTTTCTACGTAGATATGTGGTTGTATCATTGATAATGTTTGTATTTTGCAGATATTGAATACTGCAAGAAAGCATTTTGGCAGCGGTGGTGAGCAAAGGATCAAGTACACGCTGCCACCGCTGGTTTTCTCCGCTTTTCAACTGGCTTTCAAATACCGAGATGAACAGGAACAGGCAAGAGCCTTTTTCAATTATTAAGTATTAAAGCGTTCGATTTGTATTCAATATTTAAAGACTCATTGCTAACAATGAGCCTTTGCGAGGGTGGCAAATTATCCAGGCGACAATCCAAACAATGGCAGTAAACTTCTACGGATTAACCAAAATTGATTTCAGGCTGTCTGAAAATGCATTATGGGATGCTTGCGTGTGGCGCAAAGGCTCATTGTTAGCAATGAATCTTTAATGTAAATCCAAACGGCTTGTCTGCTTTTCATCCAAACCTTAACAATCCAGACTGGGGACATTGCTACGGCTGTTCGATTGCCGTCTTTGTAACCATTAACTATGTAACCATTTGTAACCATAGTTTGAACAGTTGTAACCATTTTGTAGCGATTGGTTAATTATAGGATTTTGAATGTTGCCAGGACTGCACAAATGTTTTCGCGAATGAGCTGTTTCTTCCAGGAAATTAGGCAATCAGTCTTGGAAAAGAGCAACCTTTAGGGAAAATGTCTTTGGGCTTTTATATATCAATCAATGTGCAGAATTTGTTATGCATTTTCATGCGTCATATCAACAGGAGCGAATCATAGGAAAGTCTGGATATGATAAACCAGTACTTCAGGAAACGTTTTTAGCATTATTGTACTTATTCGCCAGTAGTGCCCTTTCAAGATAGTCCATGGCCTTGCTCCTCCTCCCCCCCCCCCCCCCCGCTCTATCACCAAAACTTTGTTAAAGTTCTTGATGATGCTCGGGGTTGTAGAACTAAGGGGCTCAGGGGGGTTAAGTCCTCTTTGTTAGCTATTGTTTTGAGAGTCCTTTTGTTCTTTTTCATAGCACTCCACCCCTGATGATCATACGCGAGAACTAGTATACAAGAAAGTAATTCTTGATGGAGTTTCTAGGATTCGTATTAATGATTCGTGTTTAACTCTTTAGGACGAGAAATGGGACAAGAAATGCCAAAAAATATTTCAGTTCTGCCACCAAACCATATGCGCCTTGTCAAAAGCTGAATATGCCGATTTATCTTTGAGATTATTCTTGCAAGGTGCAATGGCGGCCGACCAACAGAGGTTTGCTAATGCAGAGACTGTGGCCTACGAGTTTATGAGCCAGGTGAGGTTCTTCATAACTTCAAAGCATCGCTTAAAATCTTTAAGTTATATAATACTGAATTTGGTTGTACTCTCTTGAAAAGAATGGGTTGCTGGATAATAAGGACAGGTGGGGAGACTGTTGATGATAAATAACAGGGGTTTGTGGAATAAGTGGAGTTATTGAGCTTCTGCATAAAGTGTAAGTGTATAAAGGCTGGTGGAATTTAAGTACCCCACTTATGTTGCTCTACTTATGTGCAGTGGTTTTGCATTTGAGGGTCCTATGAATATAAGATGAGGTCGTTAAGAGCTAAAGTTCATTTTATAAATAGCAAAAAAGCTTTAAAATAAAACAAGAAATTTGTCACAATGTGTCATTTAACAAGGAGCTTTTTTACTGTAGACACTGCCTTTCGAGCAAAGAATTTGAGAAAGGAGTCCCTTTTTTATAAGGTTTATGTGCACGAAGCATTAAAAAGATTGTAAAAAAATTAGATGAAGGCAAGGGAAAACTACGTTTATACTCAGATAAACAAAAATAAGATTGAATCAAAGCTTGGGAAAGTTTATGCTATAACCTGTTCCTTTCTCGAGTACATAATACCTGTTTGGAATAGTTTACCAGGTCATGTTTTTGATAAACTTTGTTTTGATACCTCTTTCAGACTCTGCTTTACCAATCTTGGCAGTAGTAATATTATCTTGATTGATGTGCAGCCTCCTCTGGGTCGACTCCTTGTGGTGAAAACAATAAAAACTGCAATGGCTGTTATGACGTAAGCCAATAGGAAAAGCATACCCGATCGGTTTTGTTTTGATCAGCTGACATCTTCCAATGCCTGACGTCATTGATGAGTCAAAAAGAATACATTCATGTTGAGTCTATCTCAGATTTCTCGGCCTTATGTAGACAGACATCAAAACAACCCAAATATTATTTGATTCTTTTTACTAACTTTTTCCAACAACGAACTTGATCTTCATTCGATCTTTTTTTTAGGCCTTTGCTATTTACGAAGATGAAATCTCAGATTCAAAAGCACAGCTTGCTGCAATAACCCTAATCATTGGAACTTTCGAGAAAATGAGCTGCTTCAGTGAGGAAAACCACGAACCACTGCGCACCCAGTGTGCTTTAGCGGCCTCAAAGCTGCTCAAAAAACCGGATCAATGCCGGGGAGTTTCCGTATGCTCCCATTTATTCTGGTCCGGGCGGACTATAGATGGAGAGGATGCTGAGAAGGGAGAAAGTGCAGAGGTAAGCTGAATATGAACTTTTGAGAATTAAGCTCCGATGATGATTAAACGTACGTACTTTTGCAAAATGATAACTCCTGCAAAATTTTCCCTTTTCAGCAACCAATGTTTTTGACCTCTGTGTTTTTGACTGATATTTTGAAAATAAAAGAAAAAGCTTGAATTCAGTTAGACGAGATTTTAACTTTCGTTAAACGTGACTGAAATTTGTCATTCTGTTGCTTTAATTAGTGTCGTGACAGCAAGAGGGTGATGGAATGTCTTAAGAAGTCATTAAGGATCGCCAACCAGTGCATGGACCCGACTGTTCAAGTGCAGCTTTTTGTTGAAATTCTGAATCGATACTTATTCTACTTCGAGAAAGGAAATGATGCGGTATGTATGTTTGTATTTTCTCATCCCCAATATGATCTCAACTGCTGTTTATGTTTTTCTAAGAGGAATCTGCGAATGGAATCTGCGATGTGTCTTTATTCTGCGATGGGCCTAATTTGTAGATGCTGTGAGACTTTGCAGCTAGAGTTGTGACCAGCAGCATTTATCATTATATTTCTGGTTCCATGAAGAAAAGTTTTAATAAGCCTATTTTAGTCGATATGATGTTAATAGCCAGAGCTTGCATTGGTAACAGATCTTTAAATAGACTTGTTCAGTATTGTCTAGAGAAATGTATAGACAATATGATAGTATGAAAAACGTAGGCTATAGTCCAACTGAACTCCAAACGGTGCTATTGAAAACGGTAATTTGTCAGAAGATTCTCGTATGGAGGTCAAGAATACGTCGTCTGTCAAAGCGTTTAATACCAATCTGATTTTGACATCATCTGTTACTGCTATGAGGTAGGGTTTTTTTATTAAGATTTGATTTTCAATTTCTATGTACGACCCTCAAAAAGGATTATTATGATTAAGACAACTGTGTTCAAAAATTGAAATGATATAGCAAACTAAATGTTTTTATTTATGTGAGCTGATTTCTTATTCTAAGAAGCTTGGAAAATATGGCTTATACCAAGGTGTAGCAGGTGTATGAGCTATGTGTAATGATTTTCTAGGAATAGTGAATACCACACAACATCGCATTTTTTGGTGGCAGGGGGTCCGGCTCCTGTATCTCCCTATTGCTACGTCCTTGAGGCAGTGCAACTCTTATGTGTGCTTTATCTGCCTGCTCAGCGTAAATGTGAAATAAGCTCCCTAGATGCAGAAGTCACGAATGTCAACAACTCTCTTCTGTTTAGTTCACGTTTTCTTATTTCCAGGTGAATGTAACGATTTTGGGTCAATTATTGGATAAAATACGGGAGGATATTCCCAATTTAGAGACGAATGAAGAAACAGAGCAGATCAATAAACATTTTCAAAACACATTGGCTCATATTCAAGTGAAGAAAGAAGGTTCTGAAGAAAGTGAACCAATGTATGAAGGGCTTAATTTATAAGTTAATATCATGATTAAATTTTTCCTATTTTGCATTCTTATTACGCAGCCATATTAGATTGGCAAGAGACTAGCTCCAAAGTACTATATTAATTTTTTCTAGCCAAGAGTTTTAGCCACTAGAAGGCCCACTTTCTTCTTAACAAAGCGTTATTAGTTTATTGTTCGCTAGGCAGTTTTCAAAAGATGTTATATTTCTAAATATAGCTTTGTTAAGTCAGCCAACAAGACATAGAATTTGCTGAAGAACAAGGCGCGAAATCAACCTAATCATTGTATTGATTACAGCCTTTCATCTTAACATTCCACCAATGTCCCTGTGCGTAGTACTTTTAGTAAGATGACCAGTACTTTCTATTTCTTTTTAATTATATGTGCACGGTAGGAAGGACACTTTATTTTTATCAAAAGTGAGAATCCCCTGATTCATAGTATTTTATACATCTTTCAGAATGTAGTGATCGCTTATTTCCATACAGGAAATACCGTGATATTAAGTTATTTGGTTCTCAAAGCACCTAATGTTCGTGGTTATTACACTTTTACATTGGTGTTAACCGATTAGGCAATCCTGGTAAATAAAACGTATACTCTCATGGGCTCTCATGGGCCCGTCATTTCGCACCATTCTTTATGCAATGCCAAAATACTCTAGCTCACAATTATAAATACTATCAAAAGGCCTTGGTTGCAAATCCTTGTAATTACTTCATTTGTGTAATTTTTTCGCATAGTATACGTTATTGTGATTTGTTGTTTTGTAAATCTAGAATTTAAAATGATTCCAGAATACCAGTCAAAAAATCCAGTTTGATCCATCGTACCGTCTTCATTTCTCAAGCACGTATTGTCGCTATTTAGTAAATAGACAATTAAGGTGGCATTAGCAAAAGTAAAACACGAAATATTTCAGCAAACTTTTACATAATTGATCTGCTTCATGAAGGCGTAAATGCTTGCTGGTTTTATCTTCATTTCCATTTTATCAAGCAATGATATGTCAACTGTGTAAGTCTGAATCAAAATAAATCTCAATAGTCTTGGTTGATGCCTTATGATAGGTGTTATAGACAAATGCACTGAGATACGTGATGGTTAAGATCGATATACATGTCCAGTGAACTCTCTTTCAGACCTGATACGGTCAGTTATTTATAGGGTTGGTTATACGGATACGGCTAGTTTTCCAACGTCTTAATTATTCCAATGAAAAAATATTTATGGCAGAAAGTTTAAAATGTTCTTAGGCATATGCCTGTTTGGAGCTAAGCTCCTCCTGAGCCCCTCCTACGCCCCTCCTGAACCCCTCATACGCCCCCCTGAACCCCTCCTACATTCCTCCTGAACCCCTCCTACGCCTCATTGTTCTTGGTTTTGATTCATTTTGCTGCTCGAGACTGGAGCAAAAGCCTTACTTTCATAATTTCAGTAATACCAGGATAAGTTCTCCCATATCATTTTCGACGAGTTTGTTTTATTCACGATTTTCTTATAGCCTTACAGCTACATATGCCGTTTTTATATAATGACAAAATGTTTATAAAACTATAGGCCCTATCAATCTCAACATTGAGAAACAGAAATTGCTCGAAATGTTCAGAGTTGGAAATGACCTTTTTCTGACGATCAGGTAGCTATTTTTGTTTGAGTTGCCGAAGCAAAAAGTAATCTTTGTGACTGTTTAGTTAGCTATTATATTTCATGTTCGCTTATGGAGCGTTCTTAAGTTTCTGAAACAGGTTTTTGAATTTAAGAAATTGGTATTTTAAAGACCCTTGAAAACTTTTAGTATCAAAATCAACAAAATATTAAGAACAAAGTACTTATCCTAATCTTAGTTTCTCATAAAGAAATACGTGTATAGACTATACAGTTATTCATTCGTCTCAAATATTTCTTTGCCCTTGGACATCCTTACCCTTTAGATTAATTGCAGTATGTAACGGGATAGGCGCGCATCTCTCTCCTTTGCCCCTACCTTTATCACCTTGGCTACACTATTGCCTATACGCTAGCTTGGCCTTGGTGATTTGTTTTTTTTATATTCTTATAAAAATTTACAACGACAATCAATTACAATACAAAAGCCTAGGGAGCATGGAAATGCATAACAACCCTAAGACTTACACTTAACATAGAGACACAAATATTACAATAATAAGCTACAAAAGTGATTGGAGTGGTGTCGCCCATCGTTCCAATAGCGTTGTAGATATGACAAACACTCACAAAAAGCTATTTTAAAACAAGATATCAAGTCTACCTATGTTCCTTGCTAATCGAACAAATTTGCGCCCAGACATGATTTGTTTCCGGGAAACACATCATATCCTACTTTGTTGTGGTAAAAGCATATCCAGGAAGACATCAGGATAGAAGGCAACTTAAAGGAAATTTCACACGTACAAGTTATGTTGTAAATTGTGTTTGGATGACGAGATATAAAACCCACAACGGAAGAGCAAATGGCTGTTTCTGGTTTATTTGGCGATTGATTGCTTTAACATATGTTATGATGTCCCTATGAAATAGAGGTTTGAAAAATTGGATTTTACGCTACATTGCATACTCGTTTCAGGCAGGAGCATTACTTTTCAACTATCAATTGACTTCCATAACGCCTTAACTCTAGAAACAGCGTAATACGTACAGGCATTTTTTAACGTACTCAGTGGTGGGCAAATTGCTACACCAAGCCCTACGAGTTCCCCCACCACTGATAAGCAAAATTATACTTTTACCCCAGATGCCAAGCCACTTTGGGGCCCTTTCAAAAGAATAAACATAAGGCAAATGTGCTGGCAAAAACACAATAATATATTTTCTATCAATATGATGTTTTGGTGAAATGGCTCCACTACTGCAACTGCAAGCAGTCGAACAAACTATGCCTTCAGTAGGGAGAGCATTCAAATTCTTCACTGAAAATGTCAGGAAGCATTAGAAAAATGGGAGGAAGGAATCTGTTCAAAAGGCACCCTAACAAATATTCTAAAACATTAAAAAACCTGTTTTTAAGGGGCACCCTAACAGAGATTCAAGATAAGTTGAGAAAGGCTGTTTCTGGTGGCCTAGCTACAATGGGTTCCCATTTAGATTTTGAATGCTAACACTTCTAATTTTTTTCATACGAACCAGATAATCTCGGTCAAGGCTCGATGTTCTTATATTTTTGATGATTTGGGGCTCAAGTGTCTTCAATGCTGTTCTTTTTTCAAAGACGATTTGTCTACGAATGCATGCTTTAACTAAGACCACTTAGCAACAGTATTCATAAAAATACTTTAAGCGAGGCTGATTAACTGATAAAATCTGTTCTGCTTTGCTAACAAGAGAGAAATTCCAAAGCAAACATTGCTTCTTTTCTTCTAATTTTCAATCTGAAGCTGATTTTGTTCTTACGTTGTTTTTTTGGCAAATCAAACATCAGTTTTCAAAGTGATTGGTTCTTTTATAGAAAAAAGATGTAAATGCAAACAAAAATTGAGTTTAACTTTCAAGGGGATCTGTCGTCCGATGATAGACATTTAGCAAATTCGTTCAATTTTCCTCACAAACGTAGCTAATAAAAGTGATAATAGGCAAGGTCTGGCAAAAGAAAGCTACAATGAATTCTTGAGAACCTCATTTCTGAAAGGTTTTTTCTCGCCTTTTGATGCAGTAAAGGCAAGAAATACATTGATGAGCATGAACCTAAATCAGTAAAAATTCACTATTCTCTTATGAAACTCCAATGATGATGATTAAACACAAAAACAAGTCGTCATCCTTGAGAATTCAATTGATGAATCTTTTAGAATAAGGCCTAAAATAGAATAAAAAGTCTCAAACCATCGCCAGATAACACTAATGCCGAACTTTTAATAAAATCCGCAAGAAGCTAATTCACCTTTGACTAACAAAATTTTGACAGATTACCTAGAACATTTTGACATAAGAGGAATTGCTACGAAATGATTTTATCGTGTCTTTCTAACATGTCTCTATGTGTTAATGGACTCTAATCAGAGCTGAAGTGAATGACAGATCATGGTGTTTTCCAAGTAAGCCGAATAGGTCCCTTTCTTTTCCATTTATGTATTGATGTCTTGCCCAGAGTCCAGAAAAGATGCTAACCTTCCTCCAGACAAACATCCAAGAAGGCAAACCTTCCTCGCAAAGACATAGAAAGTGGGCGTGGCTTGGGTGTGTCATAGGAGCTTCTATTGTTTTTCGTGGACCTTCCTCCGGTCAGTGGCCGTGCGACCGTAATATTTTCCTGACTCTGGACTTACCATAAGCTTCCCATTTTCTAAAATTAAATTTCTCTGCTGATGATACTTGTATTTTCTTCCCTTATAAAAACTCAAATAAGGGCATTTGCTGTGTCAAACCAACTCCCTTCCCTCCCCTGCACCTTCTTTTTTCTACCTATTCTTCCTCTTTTTATTTCTTTCCATTGTTTCTGTTTATCTTAGTGTTCAAAATTTTAGAAGCAAATCCTACTTTCTCGGTTCACCATAACATAATCTGATATTTCTAAGTAACTGTTGTTGAATTACATTTACAATAAGTTTGAATTTGTCAATTTTTGTCCATTAGTAACCGGCCGACCGGTTTGAGAACTTCTCTACCCTTGTCCAGAAAGTAGGATTTTACGTGTAAACGAGGCCAAAGCACGTCAAATCGCCGGCATCAACCGGATATTTGGATGGCAGGATGCAGAAAGCTGTGATCAAAGATGTATAGGAAATCTGTAAATATATTAATGGATGGTGGGGATTTTTGACCATTCATTTCTTTAAAGAAACGAGCCAGGTACTTGCAGTTTCTTTTTTAAATTTGTTTGATTCAAAAGTGAGTATAACCAACGAAAAATATCTTCGTGCCACACGAAAACTTTCAAGATCAAGGTGTCTGTAGGCCTGCGGATGATCAAAGAGAATGGCCGCTCTTTTGAAACTGATCAAAAAGAAGCAAGACAGTGCATCTAGTGGTAGCGAAATAGTGGCGGTTGCAAGTCACCAGAAAAATAAGGAAGGTATTCATGTTTTGGAGCCCAGCGTTGATAAAAGGGGCGGCGTGGGTAATACAGATGCGGAAAGCCAAGTAAAACCAAAAAAGTCGGCAAAGAATGCAAGCTCTGCAAGAAACAATGGAAGGCCCGAGCTTCGCACTAAAAGGTTAATGAGAGAGTATCTGCAAATTTCCAAAATGAGTGGAGATATAAACTCTTGCTTTTCTGCCGAGCTGGTCGGTGAAAGTTTGTACGAATGGAATGTGAAGCTTCTTAGAGTTGACCCTGAAAGTGAATTGCACCAAGACATGACAGAATTAGGTCATGAACATATCCTATTAAACTTGACATTTCCAGACAATTTCCCGTTCTCACCTCCTTTTATGAGAGTAGTTAAACCCAGAATTGATGGTGGATTCATCCTTGATGGGGGAGCAATTTGCATGGAGCTGCTCACACCCTCTGGCTGGAGTAGTGCCTATACTGTGGAGGCAATAATCATGCAGTTTGCTGCCCTTGTTGTAAAGGGAAAAGGGCGCATTGACAAGAGATCAAAATCTGATTTCAGCAGGAAAGAAGCAGAGTCATCATTCAAGAAACTAGTGAAGACCCATGAAAGGTATGGATGGATAACTCCTCCAATCTCAGAGGGCTAAATAACACATGGGGTCTTTCAAGAATGAAACTTTCCATCCATAAAGGGGAAAATGTTTTATAATAGATATGAAGATGATTCATCTATTTATTAATGTAGATATGTAAGACTAAATTTGTTGCCTGTGAAAAAAATTGTTGCTAATATTGCTTGTGCTAATAAGACACTGGATGTATCTAACTAAAAACCATGTTACAACTTCACTTACTTTCAGTTATAAGAAAGTCTCAATTTCCTAACTGGTAGATAAAATCACATTAACTTGAACTTCAAGGAATCTTTGCTGTTCATGGGAAAAGCTCACAATGTTCTTCTTGCAGCCTTTGATCCTACTTGTGGCTTGCAACTCATGGTCTTTGCAGCAGCCAAAATCATAATGATGATCACTGCAGAAAAAATGTTTGCAGAAAATTATACAGACAAATTTACTACTTAGTGTTTCATCCAAACCGACATTGTTTTGAAAATTACTGAAATACATTTCCTTATTCTGCCGTTTGCCAAAACATCTTACTAAGTCTGCACCTCAAACTTTGACTGATTTCCAGATAAACCAATAGTAAGGTTTGTACACAAAATTTTGTATGTTTAAATATTGGAAAATACCAGAACATGATAAGAGTGCTACCACACCTCAATAATAAAATCATACAACTTTGTTTTTATTTTTTCTTGTGAAAAAGTAGAAGAGTAGGAAAGTTCACTTTGAAGAATTTCAGAAAAATTATTTGACCTGTCTTGGTAGTTAGTGATAAGGAGGGAAAAGAGATAATAATGATGATTTTAGTTCTATAATAATGAGTAAAGCTATTTTTTTGAATTGTAAGAATAATTAATTAATTTGCATTAATTTAGTCAGTGCATTGCACAAGGATGCTTAATTTACTTTTTTTGTTACTTGGTGTATATATTAGCTATTTATTTGGTGTAGCTGAAACTTCATGCCAGTGCTTAGCTACTGTTTTGATTAGTTTTTTATGTTTGGAAATGTTATGAGCATTTCTTTCTCTTGTTATCGATTTTGTGCATCAAAACTTGTGTTCCTAGATATTTTTTAACTTGAGTTTCTGCATTTGATTCTTTTTAAAGGCACACAATTGATTGTAAAGACCAGTTGTTTGACATTAGCTCAGTTGTTGAACTGAACAGCCAACCTTGTTTTATCATACAATGTGTATTGCCAAAGAATGTTACCACTTTTGTTTTGTTTATAAATTCGAACTGGGAATGTGAATGCTACCAACTTAAAACATTCTTATGTTTATTATACTATATTTGAATGCACTTTACTAAACTATGAAAAAAATGTATTGTCCAGCAAATAATAATTTTTGCTGTTTTTCACATGAGAGCAATTCAAAAGAATAAATCACAGCCCTAAATATAATGACCAATTATCAGGTGCTTGTCCAGGCCTGGCCGTTTGTATTTTTATAGGTGAGCTGTGAATCGCTCCCCTCATTTGCTGAGGCGAGCTAAATCAGTAACACATAGAATGTACTTTAAAGACAATCCACAGATGACTTAATAAGCCCCTTTAGTATCTGTCGGTTGCCTTAATGTAATTGCCTCAGTCAGGAGTGTTATGTTTTACTTCTTTCAATTTGTATTTGCTTTAACCGTGACTTAGGCACCCCATTTACTCGAAGTATTTGAACACTCAAGTATTTGAATACTCGAAGTATTTGAAAGAACAGACTCTCTCCGTTTTATATAAAGCTGGCACAACACAAAAACAACAATTCTCTTGCAAAACAATCTTTTTGTTGCACAGAATTTGAAAATGGCTTTAAAAACAAATTTTGAAACGAACTTAATTATACGTCTAGCACTCTTCAGAGAGTAAAACGTCAGAACATAGAAGGAAAACTCTACGCTAAAATACCCAGTTTTGGATCGAAATAGGCCATCAGAAAACGCGAGGACACGACTGTTGAGGTTTTTCAATAAGTGCCCCTTTCCTATTGAAAATGTTACCAACTGCTACATAGATGGAACGATGATCAGGCTTTGCCAATAATGCGAAACATGTCGCCATTATAGTTTTTCACCCAATCTGGGTTTTTCAGTAAATGCTGCTCGATAGTGGAATTCCATGTTTTGGTTGTCGTTTTTGATCTGCAAGACAGAGTACCCTGTTCTCTTTGAGGGATAGTTTTGTTTCTATTGCTGGAAGGGACCTGCTGTCTTATTATATCCCCAATCTACAATTCCTACCCATTTCTTCGACTTTCCTTCCAAAAATATTCCTGTTTTCTTAAGATTGAAAGGTTCTAATCGCTACAAACGTACCTTTCGGTTAACTATCCTTTTCCAAATAGATCGAAGTTTATGCCTATCATAACAAAAACCGCCCAACAAGCAAAAAGTTAATTGCAAAAAATGCAGTGACGGGAGAAATCGCTGTTACAAAAATAAGCCAATTAACCCGTTTTCAGGGTTCTCTGAATAGGAAAAGGGCAAATGAATGGAAATTTTAGGGGAGCGATTCTCCCTTCATGTTCTGTTTAGGAGAGCAATTCATAGCTCGCCTCAGGTTGCGAGGGGAGCGTGGAGGCGAGCGCGAGCTATCGCTCGCCTCAAACGGCCAGGCCTGCTTGTCTTCTTTTAGCTCCAGGGGGCCTTTTGCTCTAGGTTCCATGCTTGTGGTAGCCTGAAGGGGCCCCTCACCTAAGAATGAAAATAAAAATAATTGCTGATGTTTTCAGCTCTGGGCTCTGGCCCCGTCACCCCCTAAAACCGTTGCTGTATATAATACGTTTTGTATCTGTTGTGTGTCTTTACAATGTCAGTTTAAATGCTTAATTATCAAATTTAAAACTTCCAAGAGACTTTAAAATGTTGTTGCATTGAAAATTTTAATGCAGTTTTTTGCATTTATCTTTGCTTTGTCTTCTGGTTGTATTTTAAAAATGTGTCTTCAGAAATTGGTTGCATTTTGATGTCTTTATGAAAGCTTTGTGGTTGACACACATGAGATTACGAGGTATCAGGCAAAAAGCTTATTTCTGCCTTTAATACCAATGAACTCAAGTGTCAACATCATTTTTCCCAGTCAGCTTTGTTTAGACATTCAATTCCTAATTAGCTCCTTATGAACTTTTTGCATTGCTCAAATGCTGTCATAGGTATTTTTTATCCATTATGAACCTAAAAGGGTAAAGAGCAGGGGGTGGACACTTGGTCAAATATTGGGGGGCAAGTCTATTGTTTTGATAAGATGACATCACATTTCTCATTGTCTTAGAACAAAAGACCATTGTTCTCCAAAGTATTGGGGGGCAAGCACCCCCCTCCTCCCCCAGGTGTCCGCCACTGGTAAAGAGTATGCATAAGCACCTTGCTGAAACTCTATCATACCTCAGTTTCTAACATTTTCAAGGCAAGGATGGTAGCTAGAATTACATTAATATATAAACAAGTTTTGAAACATGACCCAAATAATTGCAGGCCCAGTTTGGATACTCTTAAGTTTTATTGCGCAAATTGTCCTCGAAGGGGTACAAATAGTTATGAAAATTTCAATCCCATAAAATAAATCGGAAATTTACTTCTCAAAAAGGCAAAAAGAACGAAAACGTTGGACCCAAGAAAATAAGCCAAGCCTGTCCATCTCACTGGCAAAATTTCTTCAAGCACAATCCTTGGGCATTTACTTACGTTGCAGCGAGTAACAAGTTTCCTAATGAGTTGAGTGTATTCTCGGTGCCAAAATATAAACAAAAAGCATAGGCGCAGACTTACATTTTTTCCAGGGGAGGAGGGGCTCAAAAATTAATTGCAATTGCTAATGGTGGCTGCCAACGGCACAGTGTAGAACGAGACCTACAATCCCGGACAAAAATGGTTCAGACTTTTCAAGGAAAGCTTATATTTTCACTTTCCTTTGAAAAAAGTAACGTTCCCCCCTTCCCAAATTCAATGTTGAATGCATGATTTTGGAGAAGAAATGATAGAACTACAAATCCAACATTGCTTCAGGGAAAATAGCGGGATTCGAATTTACAGGGGCAAGGTAAAGTAGAAAAGTAAAAATATTGTATTTTGTCTCAACGTTTTTGTCAAGGATTCTGGTTGTACTAAGACGATTTTCTTTTACATTGTTCATTATCGTTGTTATTTGATCTTGATTAAATCTCTTGAGATGATTTTTATCCGTGAAACCAAGAATATGAAAAAGTTGGCTAGCAAATCGATAGCCAACTTCCTTGTTTCCCAAGGGGAGTTGAGCCCCTCAAATCTTCGCCAGGACGGGCTCAAGCCCTGGAGCCTCCCTCCCCCCCTAAGTCTATCTACGTCTATGACAAAAAGTGACAAAAAGCACTTATATATTTAAGAAAGGTTGATGACAGGTATCGTGAAGCATTGTTCGATCGATTCTTTTGCCCATCTACGCAAATTTTATGAAACATTTTGAAGAACTTGGTATACCTCAAGAGGGTCTCTCCATTTCCTAATTTGCAGGAATGATTTTAAAATATGCATCAGCTCATTAAATCAAGCTTTTTGCTGATTTTGACTGTTGCACAGGGTTCAATGCCACAAGTTTGAAAGAGGGGGGCCAAAGCTAACGAAAGTTGGGGGCCAAGGCACTTTTCGCCTTTTTACAACTTTGAAATTCTTTGCTTCGCAAGAAAATGGGACCCTGTGGCAAAAGATTAAACAGAAAGATTAAGTCAAAGAATCTGTAAACGAAAGCCTTTACCAAGAGGCATAAATGCAGCAGAAGTGCCCTCCAATTTTAAAAAATATTCTGCATTTCAAATTGTGAATACAGTAATTTACCGCGGTAATTCGATTCAGTCCATTTTAAGCATCGAGCGTTGAAAGAGCCTCCCTCTCGAATAATGTTATGCCGCCTGGTTTTAAAAGAAATTCATTTGATAAAAACTTCTTCATAATGTTCTTTGTTCATCTTCAAGCATAGACATTGAGTTTCAAATAGTGCAATTTAATAGCTCTTCGTCCAGTTCTTTTTCTATCTAGTTTTCTTGTCAAAAATTTTGCTGTTTTTAATGGATTATTGAGCATATATCTCATAGTAATTCTAGAAACTTCATATGCCAAAATAAGCCTCACTTAAGTCTTATTATCAGGATACGTACTGCGATGGCCTTTTAAGTCAGCATCTTTTACTAGCACACAATTACAGCGAAAAAGCTTGTGATATTCCACTTTTTGTTGCTCTCTTAGTGACCAATGACTTTCTATCATTTGATTGATTATTAAAGAGTCAGATCGGTTATTATAATGGTAGAAAGGCGATACAGCATTTTTTGAGTCAGTCTCTTATAGACAATGTTTATAGAATACTATGGGTTGGTCTTCCTCGTAGATGAAGGCAAGGACAAGGACACAAACGAGGACGAAGACGAAGACGAAGACGAAGACGAAGACGAAGACGAAGACGAAGACGAGGACGATGCCTCGTTCTTTATACCGAGTCTGGAATTCGACTGACATGAATGCAGAAGTGTTATCTGTTACTAAGGTGTGTGGGTAACCGAAATGCGCAAAGTCCTGCTCCAATAGGTCAACCGTAGCTTTGGCTGAAACGGACTGTGTGGGATGGATGCATGGGTATTTTGGTATATGCATCTGTAGGCAGCAACCAGTTTGTACCCATGAAATTGATCGCATGGTCAAGGTGTAATCTACTCCAGGGTTTCTCTGGAAGCATCCATGGGTGAATTGCAGATTTGGCTGGTCTGTTCTGATGCTGACCGCAAGGTATGCAGTGTCTGCATGTGGCCTCAATATCCTCATCGATATTCAATATTCTAAAGCACAATATTCAATAAGGCCCCCACATTGCTACATCACGCCACTGACTGAGCAACCCTTTATAAACTGGATACAGCTAAAACAGGGGTTTCTAAAGTCTTCTAAGCGAGGGCCAAATGCAGATAAATTAGCAAAGGGCCGGGCCAAACACTACAGGACAGGCACTAGTATACGATGTGTATTTCTAGACTTAAAATACCATGTACCTAAAAGTTGAAGGAAATTAAAAGTTTTGTGGTTGAGACACGAAGGACTTCACAGATATGGTTTTCCGTCGTCTGGTTCTTGTATATTGAGCCGAAAAAGGCTTATTATTTTCTTTGCGTGGCGTCACGTGAGAGGAAACTTCTCATTTTCCAAACTCTGATAGAATTTAGAGAGGGTGAGAACGTGATTTTGAATCTTTAGAGAATCATCGCGCCGCAGTTCAATGAGCGCCAACTGCAGACCCTCTCCCACTTCTTCTGCACCCACCGAATAGGGGGTCGGCCACAGCTTAATATCTTTCTCAATGCTAGCAAAATCTTGAAAACGCTTGTTAAAATCTGTAACAAGTAATGCAAAGATAAAAACATATTTCTCCTTCATAGTAGGATGGTCAACTATTGCAAAAGCAGACTTGATTTTAAACAGGGAAGGGGAGTGTGTAGTTGTAGGTTTTGTACCACGGCCAGCGAAAGCAGGGGGACCGGGGGGCCGGGGGGCCATGCCCCCCCCCCACTTTTCTGCAGAGCTAAAGGAAAATATTAGGCAAAAGTGGAAATAAATGTAGTATAGCATTCTGTAAGTAACTGTGTTTAGTAATCCCTTACATATGCCTTTAGATTTAGCTTGGTTGCTATGAGTCTACCATAGAAGATATATATAAATTTGAATATGGGAAATAAGATCAAAGAAATCGGTCATTGTCTAAGTTGTAAATTTGAGAAACAGCTGAGCTTAGGAAATAGATCGAGAAACCTGTTCCAGAATAACTTGGTGCCAGCACAAATTGACGGAGTTTCGTTTTTTCTATTGCCTAAACGTGGCTCACAAGGTCTATTTGTTAACAACAAATTTCTCAGGAACATTACAAAAAGAGAGAAATTGCTAGCGATGTGGAAGGGTAAGAAACTGACGAAAAGAAAATTTTTGAGGACATGAGAAAAAAAGAATGGGCAGAGTTGTTCTAAAAAAGTAAAATCAAGAAAACTTCAACACTTGATTGTATCGATAATCCATTCCTACTAAAAAAGAAAATCTAGACGCAATTGTAAATTCTATTAAAACTATTTTTGATTTTTGTTAAAAGCACCTTTTTTCCAAAAATTTAAGATCAGATGTTACAAAACAATATCCCAAGTGTACAATTTGCTTAATTTGCTTTTATTTTAGTTGATAGTTCTTCTGTTTTTGTTGAACTTGTACATATTGATTAAACAAAGCTTAAAGATATTGATTAAACAATTTTAGATACTGTCTCTGGCCATCCCTAAAATACAATAATCCTAAAATTTTCTTGCCGCCAACCATGGTGGCGGCCCAACCTAAGCCCTCTCAAGACCTTCATATTTGGCCCCCCCCCCCACTTTCAAATACGTTTCGCCGGCCCTGTGTACGTGTCTAAAACAAGCGGAGCATTACACATACGGCATACAAGTGTGGCACCAGATGTTCTTTGCATTTTTTTCTCTTGTTCAGGGTATTCAGATGATCCAGTTATTATAAAATAATCGATTGGGTTTAACCCTATTTGTGGGGCCATATTTAGTATTATTTTCAGAACTTGTTGTGGGTCAACAAAAACTGGCCTGCGGGCCGTGGTTTGGACACCCCTGGACTAAGTTTTCTGTTGTCCCTTTTTATGTGGTCCCATAAAAAGGCCACCAGAAGCCCTCGTAAAACCCTGTGAAAATTTTTACCAAACAAGTAATGAACCTCTCTGGTCGATATTCACTCCAAGTTTTGCGAAGTTGGGGGTCTGGTACGAGAAAACAAGAAGAAGCGGGAAAAGAATAGGCGCAGGAGGAAAACATGGCTACTGCAGCTAGTTTGTCCCGGGAGCTAAAAGGTACTTTCTTCCAGACACTTCATTTTTTCGAGGCTTAATTGAGGTGGTTTTATCATATCGCATATGTTATTTGCTCTATGTATCAAGTTTTGGTTTATTTTTGAAATACAAGAGTCCCGTTTTAGCTTCAAAGCCAAAATAACTAACTGATATAGGTTGAACTGTTTTGGTAACCGCTTGCATTGGAATGACACCCTAGAGAGAAAAGACGCATGTTCACATATACCTTTGGGTGTTTTAAATGAATTTGAATGTTTTAAGTAACAGCTTAGAGTTTAACTTGCAATCATTGGGGAAAGGGGCATCATCAACAAATAATTTTAGTCCCAGTTGAATTATACCGTTGGGGGTGGGGTGTTGTAGGGTGAGTTTCAGTTGAAATCCGTTGAAAATTCTGTATTTAAGACAAAAATTCAATTAGATAATTTTCGTATTACAAAATGAATCAAGCAAGTTGATGAGAACTCACACTTGGACTCTTTTAGTTAATCACTCTTGATGCAATTTAGTATTCTTAAGTCTAATGGCTACAGCACCAGGGTGGAATCCATGTGAAGCTCATGCCAGATATACATAAAAGAACAATAAAAGGACAATGGAAAACCATTAGTCTTTGCCGGATATCTCCGGCATAAGCTACACAGATTCCACACTGGGTATAGCATAAGACATTAATTGAATAATTAAAAACATAAACAGACAGTGTAAAACCTGCAGTGACGGCCAGATTTGCCAGGTATGAGGAATTTTTCTTTCTATTTAGAAATTGAGAAGAAGAAGACAAGAGCAATAAGTAAGAGTGACTTTGCTGAAGCATCAAGGCTCTGTAACAGTGCAGGGGAGCTTTTGTCAACTAATGGTACAGCTTTGTCTTTAAATCTTCATAGTTGATGTATTCATATAATGTTAAGAACTTTTTTAACCCTTGTAACAATTTCAAACTTTCATTAGAACTTCCCCTGTCAGTTGATCTATTGGGCATTACACCACAAAATACAACAATCTTTGTTTCATAAATTGAAGTTAATGATAGAATAATGTTGAGAGATCTCAGCATCAATTTTTAGTTTCATATTGTTTCATCTTAGTTAGCATCAGAGTGAATGAAAACCTTTCCATCTGGTTTTCTATGGAATTTCTAAGATGATATATAGTTGAAAAAGTTGATAGGTTTCACCTTGATAACTTGTAAGTAGTTGATGCTGGACAACAATCTCTTAATTCAGGATGCAAATTGCTTTATCATAATTTCTTCATTGTTTTTGCATTTTGTTAGGATTTTATTCTGAAGCAGTTGAATGGCATAAAGAAGAAGTGACTTGCAGTGAAGTAGCCAATGACAATATTGGTGCAGCAGTTGGACATAGGAAAATTGGAGAGTGTCTGTGTGAATTAAGTGACTTTGAAGGAGCTCTAAAACATCAGAGGAAATTTCTCAAGGTAAACTGTTCGGCCATCCAGACTTCTTCATTGAAGGATATTTACAAAAAATTTATAGTGCATGTTTAGTTCAACAAAGATCTCAACATGAGTTGAGGACAAGTCATACCATAGAAGTATTATTAATCATCAAACAGTAACAATAGATGTCCCACAATTCACTTCTTTTGCTTTAACACATGAATTTATGTATCATTGCAATGTTCCACTCTAATTCCTTGAACCATATTGTTTAGCCAGTGTCTAATAAAAAAGCTTTAAAAATGCAAAAACTGAGAAGTATTAGTGTTGAAGTTAAGCTCTTTTATCAGTTTAGTATAGACAAATGAAATGTTGCTGTTAACATTTCTAATGATGTGTCATTTAAGATTCTAAAAGCTTAGAATTTTTCCAATGATCTTCCAGTTTTAACTCACTTTATTGTTGAATGATAGTGATATTATCAAATTATATTGGAAAAAATAGATAGGAAAATGACTAGGTTTGCTGATCAGAAAGATCAAGAATGTTTGTACCAAAAACCAGAAGCAACTTTGGCTTTTGTCAGGATATTTATAAGCTAACATGAATCCAATCAGTGTTTCAAAGGTTATTAACGTTTCTATAAGAATGTTTTTGTTCGCAAATAATGTTTCCTTTCTACTTGCATTGATTCAGCAATAACAAGGGGATGCACCATTTCCTTTACATGGGTTTGAGCTGTTTCATTTGTATATGGTTCAAGTATATCATCTATCCTTTATCATGTTTAGATTTCAGAGTCACTGGAAAACAAAGTTGAAGAGCAGAGGGCTCTTGCAACACTAGGGAGAACCCTATTCTTGATGTCTGACAGTTGCAGTACGGACTTGGAGAGAGAAAAATGCTTAAAAGAGTCTTTAGATGTTTATTTGAAGAGTTTTAGCTTGGCTAATAAATTGAGAGACAAAGTATCAACCAAGGAGATGCTTGAGATGAGAGCAAGGCTTTGTCTAAACATTGGTTTGGTATATGAATGGAGAAATCAATTGGACCAGGCTGAAGTGTATATGGAAAAAGCACTTGTGTCATCAAGGTAGTCTTGAATTCTATTGCTCGATGCAGGGATAATCATTTTTCGTAATTGTTGCTCCAGTGAAATAATAAGGTATTTGCCGCTACTAGGAGTGATTGTATATTCACCTCCAGGAAGACAAAGGATTGCTGAGGTGTCTCAATGGCAGAAGTTATGGTGGTTGGGAGGTAGCCACCCTAATTCAACATGAGTCAGAAAATCTATCACCAAAAGCAAATAGAAAGGAAGAAACTATTTAAAGTTCATTCAAATTTAAAAAGTAAATGAAGCTTAGCAGCGAATCAGGCGACTCAAATATCACCAAATTTAACCTAGAAAAATAGTTTATCAGAGGCAGATAATGGTATCAATAAAGCGCCGATAAAATTTGTATTTGTTGTTAGAGTCACATTACTTCGATGCGAAAACAGATAAATCTGAGTACTTTAAAATAACAAAAAGATGATAATGGATTGAAGTAAAAGTGAGTTGTACGAAAAGGGAGCAAAACAAATACAGAGTAGTAGAGTAATCCCTGTTACTTTTGTTATTGATTCAAATCTAGATAAAAGTAGGAACACTAAAAACAATTTTTTAAAAATATTTTTACTTGGCATAAGCAACTGTCTATCAACAACAGAAACAACTGTCATAATCAGACTATAAATGTGCGTGTTCGTTGTTATCACCCTCATTATGAAGCAGCCTTTTGCCTTCCTTCTACACTCGTTCCTCGACGGGATTCTTTAAAGATACTGTGGAAATGAAGTAGGTATACAGTAAGAAGATAAAGACCAAGGAAGGTATGAAAAGAGAGAGAGATCCAAATAAACGTCAGTTTAGCCAAACTTTAAGAAGTGGTGCCGGGTTTTAAAAGCAACTAGCTTTTTACCTAGGGTTGTTTTTACCCAGAGTAAACAGAAAAGATTTTAATCGCACTCCTGTGCACTGGGCACAATATTTTGTGTGTGTTAGGGTCTTGTCTAGCCGGGGGAAGGACAAAAAGTGCTTAAAAGAATTTGCTGTCTCCCTCCCCTCTACTGGCAAATTTGAGCCCAAATGATTTAATTTTTTGCTCACCCTTCAATACACTTATTTCTCTCTCAGGGAAAATGGGCTTAAGGACAATATGTATAGATGCTATTTGTCATTATCTGGAGTGACAGCAAAAAATCAGAAGTTGCAAGAGTCTCTCAGGCATGCTAAAAGAGCGCAGCATATTGCAAAGGAAAAAGGGAGCAAAACTATGGAAGCAGATGCAGTCCTTCAGCTTGGTCAAGTATGTTTGTTAGGCAGTTTATTTTCATATCGATATGCATTTTCGAGACAGAAAGAAATTAAAAGGCAATCGACATATAAAAAGGGTAGCTCAAGCCAATTGTCAATCAAATATTACTATAACACACCTCAAGAAGAAAAAACTCACTATTCACGTAATAAATTTTCTAATCAACCTTGACTGCGCATGTCCACACTAGAAAGTTACAAAACCGCTTGCACTGTCTCTGTTGACTGCCTTTAAGGGCCAGCTGCATGATAATAAGATAACATATACAGCTCCTTTCCCCAGTGTTTGCCACTATGCAACTGGCCCTTTTAAGAGTGTGTCAAGTAAAGATATAAATGCTTTAATCATAAAGCATATAAGATTCTTCCTGATTTCTGTTAGCAATTATGCTGATTCTCAAGCTTTAACTAATAAGACATCGAAGCTTGTTTTCAACCTCTATGGAAGCTAGTTTTCCCCCTTAATTGACAAAGTTGAAATTCCCTTCATTTTTGAACGATAAATTAACAAAATTGATATCCAATTTTTCTGCTAGACATTTATAAAAATTGGAGCGTTTCAAAATGCAGTCAATCTAATTCGACAGTCATACAAAATGCATCCACCCACGCTAGAGAGTGACCGAAAAACGCTGTTGGAATCACTTAAAATCGGTAAGATCTTCAAAATGGACTTTAACATTGGTTATCAAGATTAGGTTTGCATGCACAAAATCAGTACTTCGTTTATACAATTCAAAGGTTAAAGATTTGAAATCTTTGAAGAAAATAATCTTTGAGCTCTTTGACAGAAATCAAAGTATTAAAGGCTCTTATTTGTTTTCTCTTGGACGTTTCAAGCCCCCATTGGTTCTGGTAGGATTTTAGACAGCTTATCTTCCACTAATTTTACATAAACACAAATTTTCTCTTTTATCCTAATCCATCCGGTTCTGATCTTGCTGCAAAGATATTCTAAACTGAGAGGATTTTGCACTCTAAGGTCTTTTAAAGTTGTATTTTACACCTAATCGTTTTCCTCAAAGTTTGAAATACTGAGAAAAAAGACGCTTTCAACTAGAATGCTTTGAAATCTATGAACATTGAAACTGTTTAATCACACAGAGAAGAGTATTAAAAACTGTTTTTAGTCGAATTCTGTCGTAATATGTGATTAATAATAAAAGAGCATAGATCGGTGAAAATGATATTAAGCTGCGATGTTTTGAAATTTGACAGCGGTAACTGGTGAGAAGTGTATGAAGCAGCTTGAAGGTGACGTAAGCGATGACGTAAGACTAAAGCTTGTTGAGCAACTGGGGGATGTCTTCAGTGAAGCGAAGTCTCCAGAGAAAGCTTTAGGATATTATAAACAGCAGGTAACATCATTAAGATAATACAAATTGGTTGCTAATTGTAGTTTTTTATGCAGCCAATTGCAAAACTTGACTTTAGATTAAGTTATGATCACTTTTTGCCAAAGTACACTTTTGCTTTGAACACCAATCTTGAAGAAAGGCTACTGGCATGCCAATAGTATAAACCAACGAAAAGGAGTAGAAAAACCCTCTATAGCAACCTAAATAATAGTTGGCCAAAGTCGAAGCTCACTTTTCTGCTAAAACTGCTAGAGAGATACTGTTCAGCCTCTTTCCTCTGTTTCTCCAAAGGCTGCACCTAGAAATTATTATCAAAGTGCGAGTATCCCTTACATAAGAGCGGGGATTTTTTCCCTTGAATTTTTCGAAAAGATTTTGCTACTGTGAAATGGGAAAATGTTTTTTCTACGAGGTTACTCTTGTTGGGGCGCAGTTGGTTCCGTTCTTCTCTTTGCTAGCTGTTCCGTTCTGTTTTAGAAACATCACAAGCCTTTGCTTTTAGATAACCTTTGATTTTTCTTGGCCACACAAATCAGTATCATTCTGATTAAAGGAACAGATATCAAATGATTCAACATCGTTAATCATTTGAACCACTTAAGGCTTCAATGATAGGGAATCACTTTCAATGATTGCAGCTTGAACTGTGCCACAAGTTAGACAAGGGAGACCGTGTCATCGCAGCAGTTTACATATCACTTGCAATCACCTATGCTGAAAATGGAGAGGTGCAAAATGCTTTGGAATATTATCAAAAGGAACTGGATCTCCGAAACTCTGCTGGGCTTAACAACGATTTCAAAGAGGTAATACTTTGAAGACCTTTCTCTATTTCAGAGATATAAAAATTTCTTATTTTCCGTACACGAGTTTCAAATGTCTCTTTCTGTATTTTCATACTCAGCCAAATCAATTGCACAAAACTGGCACACAACAAGCTACTTTGTTGAATTTTGTGGTATTACATTAAAAACACCCTTTTCTTTTGCGAGCTTCCTCACGCCGTGCCTGCCACCGTTTTGATGTTTGGTAAATGGGATACCCAAATCTTTTACAGGTCGGTTCACAATGATACAAATATGCTCTTAGTAGACAGTCCGACAAAATTTTTTTAATCTGTACTGCTGCCCACTCTTATTTCGATTATTTATTTATACCATATAATCTCATACTATTCGCTGCTGTATAAGTCTTAGGTGGAACAGTAACCCGGCTGTAGGTGTGAAAGGGTCTCAATTGTGCGAAATTTGGTGATTCTAGAGCTGCACTGTGATTGAAAGTGGCAATAGAAGCAACACTTTTAGGCCTTTGCGAAAAGATTCGTGAAAGTATTTATTTATGAAAAGATTCGTAAAATAAACGCTAGCTGTCCTTTTCTTTTTGTAGATAAGTGCAACATTTTCAGCAATGGCAAAACTTTTGGAAGACAGCAAGGAAGAACAAGGGATTGTTATTCAAGCATACTCAAAGGCAGTTGAATGTGCAGAAAAGTCTGGCAGTGCCTCATGTCTGGTGTGTATTATGTTTTGACTTATGATTCTTCAGACTTCAGACAATTGTGTAAAGTCATTTTGGGAAAATGTGGTTAAGTTGCTGAAAGATAGCTGGAAAGAACTACGTATCCTTTGGTAACTCTAATTTCTCAGTTAAGAGAAGCCACTTCAAGCAAAGTTTTCTGCTGCTGTTTATTTCAAACGGCCAATGTCGCTAGCAAACAAGCTAGCTAACACCAATAAGACGGCACACCAGAATGAAGCCAGGCTTCTCACCTACTTGCTTTTGGCACACAAGGCTCAAATGCTTCTTCTTGCCTGATTAACTGATATTGTTGTCACCATTTTGCAGAATAGGCGTTTACGAAATTAATCATTTCCTGGTCGTTTACTCTATGTTTTTTCAATCATTAATACTAGGTTTGTTGCCTAGAAATAAACCGAATGAAAGACTATGTTTAGAAAAGTCTTGGGTTTAATAGTTTCAGTTAACTAAAGCCTTGGACAGTGTAAAAAGACGCATATTTTGTTTTTTAAGCGAAAACATCTACTTGTAAGATAAATCCGCGGGAAAAGGGTTTCTTTATTGCGTAATACAGGCGTATTATGAAGAGATCACTACCTTTCAAAAAGGCCATTGTCTTTTTGGGGCTCGAGGAAAGCTTTACATTGTAAATACTGATATTATAGAAACAGTCAACTGAAGATGTTCAATCCCCATAATATACAACCTATCATTTATAATATATTTGCCATTTGGATCCTATATTTTTCATGAGCTTTGAAGCATTCCCAAGTTGGGAGACTTTTGCTGTGTCTTCTTGACTATCATTGAATATTTCTTGCTATTAGATGACTGAGAGCCTTTTGAATGCCTCTTTTCCACAGCTTCGGGTCTATAAAGAGCTGAGAGAGACCTACCGAAAATTCGGCATGGATGAGGACTACAAAGAAATCGTGAAGAAGATTTCAAAGTTACAAAAAGAGTATGATGAAGACATGGAAGAAGATTCTCAAGACATAAAGGAAGAAGAGAGTGAAAATCTGGAGGGACTTCTTGAATTTTCTGGTCTGTTATACCAAATTTTTATGCTTTCACCTCATGTCATAATCTCTAGCGTTTTGACTAAAGCAACACTAAAATTAAAATTTGCCCAGGAAGGGTTTGTGTAACATTTAAGGCTTTGATGTGGGCACGGGATCGGTGTAAGTTTTGTAGGAAAGAACCTGTGGCAAAAAGCAATAGCAAGCAAAGTTTTTAATAATATATTGTTTGTGTTTAGAAGTATTTTCTTTCATGGTTACTTGGATGAGTTGAATAATAAAACCTTGTTTTTTTTGTTGCAGATTCATCAGATGAAGAAACTACCACAAGAAAAAGCAAAAATAAAAGGCGGACCAAGGTAATTCAACAAACGTCTTTAGAAGTTATTCTAGAAGGCTTTTATGGTAAGGTATTTTCATATTTGTTTCAGGGAGGAAGACAAAAACATGGCTGACTGTTTTTTGAAAGCACAAAACTGCTTTACCCTGGTTTCTGAGGTCTTAAGTTTTAAGATTATAGTAAATCTTTGTTTTTGACTTGCTCCAATTGACTTTGCATTTGTACATGAGCGTGTTTACAGATTCATTTTACAATGGCACTCCATTAATTTTTTCATAGCTAACTTTATTTTAAAATGCATTATCATATATTGTACTTTATTATCATATATTATACTTTATTATCATATAAAGGCAAGTAAAGTCAACGAAAGAGGTGAAACTCCGTTGCATTTAGCCTGCATCAGTGGAAACCTACAGAGAGTTAAAGAGCTTTTGCAAACTGTAAGCTCCAATTGCTCGTTTTTCTTTGTCGTTTTTCTGTCATTATTATAGTTTTCTTTAAGTTTATAGGACTTTCGGTGTTTCAATTGAAGATTAAATGAACTGTGTCACAACTGTATTTTTGTCAAAAGCTATTAACGATTTGATAAACTAAGAAAGGAATTCCTTTTTCCATGCCAGGAAAGGAGACTTTCCATCACTATCCATTGACTTTCAATTAACTACGCTATCCAATAGAGAAGCGTATAGAAACACAAAAAATAACAATTTTCTGGTGAATATCCGGAACTTTTTCCAAGATTTTTTATTGCTAATTCAAACTTTTAGTTCGAAACCTAAATGTTTCGTATAGTTGACTTTCTTAATTTAAAATTTTTGAATGCTTTAACTCCGTTCTTTAAAGTTTCGTAATTTAAGGAGAATGCCACAAAGTTATCATTTAAAAATGGCTTTGAAAAAAAACATTTTGAATCATAAGCTTTCGCCTGACACTCTTCAGAGTATAGAACGTCAGAATATAGATCGAAAACTCCACACCGAGAAGTATAGATGAAGTTATAGATCGAAATCGGCCAAACAGAAACGCTAGCACATGACTGTTGAGCCATTTTTGAATTCTTTGCCACATAAAGGATAGGAGGTAGTGGTGTCATAAAAATCTATTCTCTGAACCTCTGAATTTGGTCCATCTAATCTAAAAGAAGGCCATGAAATTCGGCTAAAAGTGCAAATTCAGTCAATTATATTACGGACTGCCTGTAAAAAACACAAGCGTAACCTTATTGGGTCTTGGTTCTAAAACTTATGAATAAGGCAAAATAGAGTATTCTTTAATGAGGGTCGCAATTTAACTTGTCATATTTTAGCGAGCTTTCAACATATTTGACTCAATGCAAATAGTCAGAGGTATTTGATAGTGTTATTTTGAAAGATGTTGTCAATATTCAAAGTTCTTGAAATATATATTTATGACGCCATCATTTTACCTCTTTTTGTTACTCCCGTTATCTTGCCATTAATTGTAAATTTTTTTTTAATGTGGGGAAGTTTTTATTCTTATTCTGCAGCTGGCAAAATTCTTAACAACACTGTAAATAACTGTGATTTTTTCTTGCTCCTAGATAATTGCTTTTGTACTAAAGGTTTTTTGCTGGTTCTAGGGTTCAAGTGTTCATAGCAGAGACTTCTGTGGTTGGCAGTCATTGCACGAAGCTTGCAACTTTGGACACTCGGGTATGTTTCTTACAGATGTTTATTAAAGTATTAATAGCAACGTTTAAGAGATTTAAGGAACGGACCTTGAACAGCAAACTGCTGCCACTTTGTGTGAAGAAACGTTACAAGATATAGACAATTGTCATTTTAATAGATATGTAAAGAATGCTAGAGATGGCATTAAAAGCAAAATGTTTTGCACCATAATAAAGTACTTGAGTGCAAAGCAATATTTGAGAAAGTATGCTATGAGAAGATGTAAGCGAGGGACGCAACCAGTGCAGAACTCGAACCTGTCACTTGTGGCAGGAAAAAATAATTTTGTCCAACCCTCAGATCATAAAACATCGGGTAATGATCAAAAGATGTTGTTTATTTTTCCTTGTATTTTCTGGTCATTTCCTGATGGTCATTTCATGATATAAATGATGCGTTTGATTGGTCCCTTGCTTTGACCAATCGGCGACAGCTCAACACTTACTTAATTGAAGAGTTTAGTGTGTTCTTTACTATAATGGGTTATGTTGCCAATTTGTAATTACGATTTCTGTAACTTTTCCGCCAGCACTTTCCCAATACTTTTTAAATACTACCTGTTGTAAATCTACTACTTTATTCGCACCTTAGTTAATATGAAGCTCTGCGTGCTATGTTTATAGTGCGGGGATGGCTCAGTTGTTAGAGGCGCTGACTACAGACCCAAGGGTCCGTGGTTCGAGTCCCTGGCATGACCAAACTTTCACCCAGAGTGAGGAGAGTCGCCAGCTCTCTGTAATTCCAGGCAAAGGAATCACGAGGTGTGGTCACATCGAGAGGAAGGACCAGGACACTGCTCGATAAGCATAGCTTCTCAGTGTCCTAAAAACTACCTTCGGATGCTAGGTAGCAACAAATACAATAAAAGCGTGCTATGCCCTGAAAAGCATTATTCATATCATTGTCCTTTGATGCCTTCAACCATCCTTGCGTTCTTAGAAATTGCAGCCTTGCTTTTGGCCTATGGTGCATCTGTCAACGATACGGGAGGTGATCATTGTGCTCAGGTGACACCATTACACGATGCTGCCCAGAATGGTCATTTGGAGACGGTGAAATTGCTTGTCAAGCACGGTGCAAACCCGTTTGCCCGTGATGCCAGGGTATGATGTTGTTGTAATCTTATTCAAAGTCAACTGGGGCAAGGAACTTTTGTTTTTATTTAAAATAACTCTAGAGCGATGAACATGCACCAGCTATTGTGGTTAGAGCAAGATAGACACTGACATTTCTAAATGCAGAGTCTTATTAGCTGTTGTCTGTCTGTCTTTTCGTCGCCTCTCCATTTTCTGCCTGCCTTATTGCCCTAGTCCTTTATGACTAAAAGCCATAGACTTACTCCATGAGCCTCTGTTTCGCTACTGCCTCTGTTGTAGCGTCCATCAAGTGAGGCAGTAGCGAAACAGAGGCTCATAGAGTAAGTCTATAAAAGCCATTCATTGTAGACAAGGTTGTATACATAATAGTCTACCATTAATCACATTACTTAACCCTTGATTAATTTTGCTTGTTCAGGCATACATTTTCACTGTATGACTTTATATCCAAAAATGTTAGAAAATCTTTGAACTGTTTTATTTCCAAATTTTTACCAACGTGATAAACTTTCTTTCAGGGTCGCACACCACGAGATTTAGTAGAGTTGGCAATCAAAGCCGATGAGGAGGAGCTGGAAGGTTCTGAATCCGAACTTCTTCAGAGCAGGCGTGACGTGCGGGATTTTCTCAGACGGACAATGAACAAGTCAAGCTCAGAGCCTCAGCTTAGAGACCGATACAAAAACGTGTTGGAACAGTTTGCTGAAGAGGATGCGGAGAGTAGTGATGATGAAATGCCGGTTCCTAGAATTGCAAAGGTTCCCGGTAGGGATTCCAGGAGATGGCGTGGAAGAATCGATGATTGTTCAGAAGATTACCAGGCTTGCACCGATCACCAGCCACTGTTTGGTCAGCCTGATGTAGCTAATGGTAATCCATTGGCGGAGCGCGAAGCGCAGAGCACGCAAAGTCGTAGTTTTGAAAAGGCCAGTTCGAATATTGACGATGCAGTTAGTGATAATGGCGGAACGGATGAAGACAGCACATATGCATCCATGGACGAGGATGGACCTGTCATGCATTCACCAATCAAACCACTTGAGCCGATGGGAAATGTTGCTGCTGCTCGACAACAATCCTCTGCTGATGTATTCGATGTGCAAAGTCGTGTTGATGTTGTTCAGGTCGACACTAACGATCTAGTCGCAGGTCCGTCCCATCGTCAAAGCATAAGTGACTACCCTTCAAGCAGTGAGCACATCACTCCATTTACATCAGAATCTGATTCAGATAAAGAAGAATTGATTGATGGGTTTATTATTGATGATGTTGGTCAAAAACAAGCCAGGAAGAAACGAAGAATCGATGGTTTTCCCCGTAAGAAATCAACACAACAGAAAATAACCATCCCCGGAAGCTCCTCTGTCTCTTCTAGTTATAGGCCAACCAGTAACAGTACTAACACAGGGCCAAGACTACAGTCAATAGCATCGAAGCCCAAACGTAAAAAACAGACCAGAATAACTGGTACCTATGCAACTTCGTCCCATCGTCAGTCCAACCAGCCTAGCCAAAGCGCTGTAAGAAACAGCTTTACAGTTAACAATGGTGCGTGTTCATCAGGGACAATATCCCATTTCCCTGATGAAGCTAGCAATACTTTTGATCTTCTTGATTTGCGCCAGGTCAACCAGCCTATGATGGCACCAAGTCTTCGTGTCAGAGTTAGGATCGACAAGGAACAACTTTTAATTCCCTGTGTTGAAGATGGAGAAAGAAAGACTATTAAATGGCTTTCTGACCAGGTTTGTCACTTATTACTCGTAGCTACGTTAAAGATCTAAAAACAACTATTTTGCATTTTTGTTCTGTCCGTTTTCGCAATACTCTTTAGGGATTTATCCTTTAGCTCTAAGTCCTGCAATCTCTCTTAGGGACTGTTCCCACAATGATAGCAGATGTGAGAGCCTTACATTCGCTCAACAAGTCTTCCAGATTTTAGAACATTTTAAGAAAGAAGACTACCAACTATGATTTGTTTTTTTATAAGAAACACCTAAAATCGAGCTCATCCTGTAGTCTTTCGGCCTAAGTTGTTTCTTAGCTGTTTCATTGTATTTATTTGCCAAAAAGGCGATCCGTTTTGAAAACCTTGCTCTTGAAAATTGAGCTTGTAAATAATTGTGAAGTATATCGGCGATAATATGTCTTCTTTTCTAGAAGAATTAATTGAAAGCCTATTTTTTCAGCCAGCCAATATTTCTTAAACTGATCCTAATTTTCAGTAAATCTGACCCTGGTTATTTATATGCATGTTTCTTGAATGTGCATGTGATGCCTTGTATCTTTTTGATTTGTAATCTGTTGTCAGTTTTGCCAGCTGGATATGTCAAAGAATAATACATTTTGATGCTAGTATTCTTTTCAAGCATAAACGCTGTTGAATCATCCCCTATCTAATGTTCTTTTGAGGGTAGCTAATGAATATGTACGGCTCTCTGACAGGCAAGCCAGCGTTACTCCTCAACACACGGAGTTACCCCAAGACTGAAGCTGAAAACCACAGATGGCGCCTGTCTGTGTGAAACTGATTTGGTTACTGATGTATTGGGAAACAATGAAGAGGTGATCGGTGAGGTCCTTGGCTGGAATTCAGGGTCTCTCTGTGAAAAATACCAAACTGAATGTACTGCATTGGGTATTGGTGTGTATCTCCTTTACTTTTCGCCTTGACTGTAATAATGGTGGATGATTCTCATTGTGTTAATAAGGTGCAAGAGAGACCCGGCGGTAATTGCCACTAGAATGATACTCGAAACTGAAATGTTTTACCATGAATCACCAGTCGTTTTTTCATCAATTAGAAAAATATGTTCATGTTTCAAAGAAATTGTCCTCAACCAAATAGACACAGCAATTCAGAACATTTATTTGCTATCATCATTGAGCAAATCATATTGAAGAAGAAGATTTTGCCTTCATATAGCGTCAATTAAAGATGCATAGAGAGGTGTTCGTTGTGGTGCTTTTTAAAGAATGCTAAATTGGATTTTTTTTCACGTTTGAAGTTTAAGCGTTTTTAATTTTTTGGCGACACGCGTTACTGACTGGATAACTATATTGGTCATGTGGTCACGTATTTCTGATCGGCCTATTTGATCCACAACTGGGTATATGTTTTCTTTTTTGATCTTTTTGACCCTTGTAATTCTGACGTTTTATACTCTGAAGAGTGTTAGACAAAAAGCTTTAGTCATGTTGTAAAACGTTTACTTTTTACAAATCGTTTATTAGGGAAAATATACTTTATTATCATTAAAGCTATTTAATATCTTTTATTTACATTTAGTGTATGATGCTTATTGGCCTACGATAGCTAGAATTAAATTATGAATTTCGACTTTCAATGCTGGAAATAAATTCTATCATCGAAGATATAGTGCGTTATTCATGTTTTCATTTTAAAATTAACCTCAGGTATACGTGACGACATCCTTAAAGCAATGTCCCTCGAAAATGAACTCAATCAATTGTCACTCCAAGATTTCAACTTGGATAATCCCCATCTGAAAGCTCTCAGCAGATCGATAGCTGGCCATTCGAACCTTAGCAAGATTGACGTAACTGGAAATTTCGTAGGTTTGTATTTTAAGTATATTTTGTATCCAAAGAAAATATCAGATGAATGTACCATTTAACTTATTATTCGAAGTTTGCCTTGGATCTAGTTGGTTTGTTATCTAGATCCCTTAAGGGTTCTCTGGTAGTTCTTTAAAAAGTAGCAGGTTCGAAAGCACTGTAAAAGCATTAATTGCATCAGCATTTTGATTCTGAAATAAGCTGCTCTTCTTCGAAAAGATTTTGTTTGTGTTATGCCATTTGGAACTCTGCTTTTAGCATTGTCTCATTTGTTTGTAATTTTTTTTTCAAATTGCTGTAAACAATTCGTATGTTTTCAAGATGTAAGAAATAGGTGCTGTCAAATTGTGCAAGAAATAGATTAGATACAATCAGATGTCAATCTAGTATGATTAGATACGATCTAGTAACCAGCTAAGAACTTTGTCACCTTGGACTTTCATTTGATATTTTCAGTATTCAAGCCAATTTTTTTCAACCATAGGACGTTTTCCTTAATAGGTTTGAAAGCCATTGAAAATTTTTTTGAAGCAGTCAACATACCCCTATAGGATTTAAAGTCTTTCTGGGTAGTTGGAGAAAATTTGGAGACAGCGATAGAATTATTGTTCTACAATTTATCATTGTTTTAAAATTCCAACTCCGAAGTAAGGAGTGCCTCTAACATTTCTCCACCCTCTCATCTTGTCTGTCTGATTTCAGGTGATGAAGGAATCAAATTTCTGTGTGATTCAATAAATTACCTACCAAATCTAAAAGCCTTGAATCTTTCTTGCACGGGAACAACTTCAAACAGCCTTCAAATAGTTGTCAGTGCATTACGTCGTAGGTCAAAATATTTTTCTGGGCTTCAAGACCACCAGGAAAAGGTAAAGCTTGATTCTTTGATTATATCAATCATTGAATTTATCTTCTAGAGGTTTCGAGATATGTGTCACATTTAGCAATGTGATGGCCACATTAGCAAAATTCAGGCCAAACTTGGAAAACTTAGAATTACATACTATGTATTATGCTTTGAAAAAAGAAACAATATGAGTTGTTGCATATGCTACATTAGCCATAACTGAATATGGATAAGATATGTTTTAACATTAGTGAGATTTGATGTTCACAAACTATCCTGATATAATTGATTCGTTGCACCTGAATAGATATTCTCCTCTTGCCTGTACATTTTTTCCTGTCTTTTAAGACATTTCTTCCACAATTTTATTATTCAATCTTGCGTTAATGGATTTTGCATGGTTTGAATAGAAGATTAATAAATATTGCAATGGAAAGTACTTCATACAATATTAATCATACAATGCTATTTTTATTTGTGAAATTTCCTTTAATCAAAACCCAGTTTAATCATTTGGGTCAGTTTAGATTTGGACGTGGTTGCAAACACAATAGCAAATTTATCCAAGAGCTCTTAACTACTTTTGAGCTATACTTTTACGATTCCTGTTGCCTTGATGTTCCAAGTGCAACAAGATTTAGATTTCTTGTTTCAAACTAAAACCAATTGCGTGTGATATTCATCTGAAGACAGAGCAGCATGACATTCATTCGAAATGTAAATGAAAGCTTTTGAGTCAAATATAATGACTGTTATGCTGCTATTTCGTCATTTGTATTCCAAGATAATATTGCCATGTTAAAAACTGCATTGTTGCTGCGTTTCAATGAAATAGAATAAAGTAAATTGACATTCATAGCTGTGTCATTCTTTTACATAGCCTTGGGATAAAGTTAACTTTTTTGCCAATTTTTTTTTTCATTTGTAGAACCATTTGACATACTTCAGTGCGAAATTAATTATTCTTCTTGGGTTAGAAATGGCACAATAAGACAATATAATAAAAACTGTGTTATTAAATTCATTTCAAGGGACACCCACTTGAAGAAATAGAGTTCAGTTTCAACAATTTGGACTGCTCAACGATAGTAGTTGAATCATTAATCAAGTTAATGAATTCCTGCTCAAGACTGTCCAAGCTGGTTTTGGATCACTGCTCACTTCCTACTAGTTTATTCTCTGATTTGAGACTTTGTTCCACTCTGAAAGGTATTGTATAAATTATTACATTGTCTTTACTTTATTTACCTACATCAAGGGTTTATGTACCTTTAACTGCAAAGAATGACTAACCAATAGAAGCGAACTAATGATTTTAAGGTGTTTTCCGTTTATTCTGAGTAAAGTTGCTAAGTTGTTAAAATGGCAGTCATACCTCCTAACCCGCAAAAAGGTGGAAGAAAAGGTTAAAAGACGTAAAAAAGAAACAGGGCCCAAAAACTACCAACCTTAGAAGAACCTTTGTTCTTTGCTCAAAATCTTAAAATTTGCTGTTAACAAGATATTTAATACCTAATCATTCAGAGAATAAGCAAGGAAAATGTTTCCCTTTTACGTTTTGATCAGGTTTAGGAGTTCAACAAGTAATTGATTTACTCTTCCGGTATTTAATTTCTGTGAATAGCATACCTTTATAGTAAGTGCTATTATTCAATACAGTGCAATCCTGACATAACGAACCCCGGCTATAACGAACTTCTCGGTTTAAGAAACTAAAAGTCTGGTCCCTTGGATTCTGCCTTACAAACTCCTTACAAATGCTCTGGGTATAACGAACCCCGGGTATGACGAACTTTCGATATTATGAACCAAATTTTTGCTCCCTTCATCATAATTACCCTCCATTTAACGAACTTTTCATAAATGTTTCATCTGCTATTTTTAATTATTAACTTCCGGTGTTCTTTTATCACTTTATCTTGTGGAAATCATTATTTTCGTTAAAACATGCTGACGATACATTTCAAGCCCTGGCTGATAGGCTCAGAGCACGAGATAAAAGTTTGATCGCATCAGAAATTACTGTTAATGAGTACACTAACGTATACCTTCTTACAACTGAGACATTGGCAACAAGCAACAATAAAAATTTTTGAGACCCAGATGAAGAAGCAGAAAAAGACAAACAGAATGTGAAGAAATCGAAAACGTCATCCAGCCCCCACCTAAAAGTGAAGTGATATCTGCTTTGGCAATTTGTATGTCCAAAATTATAAGAGGGACTTAATGATTTTCATTTTCTATGACTAATCATTAGTAGTATTTGAATTCAGCTTGGTTTTTAGAGTAAAATGTGCACAGAAGTTTGAGACAGCCTAAACAAGCCCACCAGAGTTATTTTAGGCGTGTACTGCGAAAAAACCTAAAAAACGTTTTCTCACGGTTTAACAAACTCCTGATATAAGGAACTATTTTCTGATCCCCTTCAGAGTTCATTTTATATCAAGATTCCACTGTAGTTCTAGAGAGTTCAGATGTGTTATTACAGGGAAACTTTTTATTTTATATGTAATTTTTCCTAGGTTGTCAAAATCTCACAAGTTTATCGTTGTCTGGCAACAGACTTGCAATACGGAATTTGTTCCTTGCGCTGCCTTTCAGCATCATCAATCTCAATCTGTCTGGATGCTTTCCCAAGGCTAGTATTAGATCCAATTGACATCGTCTCAAATGCTTCTTTTATGTTCACAATTTGCTAATCCCCCATTTTGGATAACAAATCTCAATTATGCCTTCTTATCATTATATTCTCTCCACATATACATATCTTGTTAAGTACTTAAACCTGTTGCTATATTTGGTATCCTTTCTCTTCAGGAAGGCAACCTTGAACAACTGCTTGAATCATTTGGGTAAGCTTTTCGAGTTTATTCTGCAAACATTAGACAAAGAGACGGTGGCCCACGATGTCCACAACAGTCCTTCTTCATGCAACAGTTATATGTCTCCATGACACAGTATATATTTCCATGGCACAGATGTAGATTCCATTGCACAGTTACATAATTCCATGGCAAAGTCATATATTTCACTGGCACAGTTATTTATTTCCACGGCACACTATTATAATTCCATGGCACCTTTTATATTTCTCACAGCACAGAGTTTAACATTTCTCACAGCAAACTTTCACTTCCACTATGATTATTTTCCATGTTATTATAAAGTAAAGATGGATGACTCCGACTGGATGAAAATGACTCCATTAAACAGTATTTCAATTAAGGCTTTAAATAAGGCAAAATCTGTGCAATGCTTTCAAGAAGGCCTGTGGTTAGTATCAACAAACATGTATATCCAACTGCAAATGTATCTGAACTAACTAACACATGTTAGCTACCTGTCCTATGAAAATATAAAACTGTGCTATTAGAAATATGAAAATGTGCTGTATTCCATAGGGATATACAAGTGTGTCCTTAGAAATGACATGAAATGAAAAGAAATGAAAGTGAAATATAAAGTTGGTCATGAGGAATATGAAAGTGTGCCATTGGGATGTAAAAGTATACTGTGAAAAATATGTAACTATGCAGTTAAAAAGATTGTGCCATGGCCCGTCTTCCTTGGCCCTTGTAAGCCACCCGGTTTGTTTTCAGTTCTTCAAGGCACTTCATATTTTCTCTGAATACTTGCCAATTTTTTTACAATGATCTCAACTCACAGAAACAACGAATGATATAAATATTTTAATGATTTCTAACTCTCACCATCAGAATGTTTCACAGCAGCCCAATATTAAATTGATATAGATATTCCTTAGAACATCTTGGTTTTATTTCCATTCATGTAAAGTTTACCCCTGTTCCAAGTGTTAAAAATAACTTCTTTACCTGGCCAATGTCAGTTCTTATGACAATACTCATACCCTTGCTTATTCCTAAAATCAAATCGTAATGTAACAAGCTTCTATTGTATAAAATTTCTCCCACAAGGAACCTAGAAAATCTGACATCTCTGAAACAACTGGATTTGTCAAGCAATGAATGTCTTGACTCAAATATGGCTGAAGCACTCATGAAAATCTTGGTAAGGACAAAAACATTAACTATTCTGAAAATGACATCATGCAATATCACTGACATATCTGAGGAATTCACCAGATGCTCAATTCTTTGTGCATGCTTATCATACATTGACATTAGTTTTAACAAAATCCTTGTAAACGATAAACAAAAACTTGTAAACCATTGGCAACAGCACTATGGAACTGTTTCATTTTGTATCAACGGTAGTAAATGCAGAATTTCAAATGATACTGTGTATAATTTTTAGATTATTTAGGAGCTCTTTGGTGCCCTACAGTTTCCCCTTGTTTTACGCTTCTTTGCTCTTTCAAACTTTCTATTTGCATTCAGATAGTCTAGTATACTTGTTTTTTGGATAATTAGGGACTTCCATACTTGAAATGAAACCGTTTCTTCGTTGTTAGTTTTGACAGCTATATTCATCTGTTTATGTTATTGCTTCTGTAAAATTCATAAAATGTACCCTGTTGTATTCAATATTTTTCTATTCCACTCACATACAATAAATCCTCGAATTGGCCCCGCTCAAAAAAGCCCCCACCCTAGAACTACAAATTGTCAATAAGCCCCCCTCAAATAAGCCCCCACTGCTATTGTAAATTCTTGAATTGACCCCTCCATTTGATGATTTTTTGCCATCTGAGGTTGCCTATGCCGTTTTATTGAATTACCACAACAAATTCATACTTTTGGTAAGAAATAATTAAATGCTCATTAAAAAAATTTTTACTAAAATGAAGGAGGTCTTTTAATAATGTCTTCATAACATCTACAACAATTTTATAAGCCTCCCCCCTCGTATAAGCCCTCATCCAAAGTATAAAAAAGAACTAAGCCCCCAGGGGGCTAATTCGAGGATTAACGGTAGGTGTCCCCTTCCTGCTATAAAGGCCTAGTAGTCTGAGTCTCATAAAATGGAGTTGAATGACCAGAAATTAATTTGCAGAAAATATTGAACAAGTGAACATAAGGACATAATGTTCGATAAGTGAAAACCCGCTAAACATTCTCTGTAACTGGCTCAAATGGCTTCTATACATTTATAAAGTGGTCCTTATATTGAAGGAGCTTAAAGCACCAGCCAAGAGGTTCTAAAATCTGCTATCTCTCTTAGTGCCCCTGTTCTTATGACGTTATTGCAGCCTGGTTTTTAAGGAAAATACCATAGCTTTGAGAGTCTTTAATAAGGTTTCCTTCCTACAGGGACTTATCTTTATCTTATTTTCACACAGAGAGCCACCCAGCCACCAAAATTTTTGTTGAATTGTCCACCCCTGTTTTCAGAGTCCCCTTTCAAGAGAACACAGGTCATATGTGGGAGAGCACGAAAAGAGATGCACTGCTGGTCTTCCAATGGGAGACTTCCTTTTTACCGGGATTGTCCACCCCTGTCCTATCATCTTGATAAATTTCTTTTGCACAACCCTCATAATGAGTGTTCTATTGTTAATCAGAAAAGTCCAGGTGGATCACACTATAATGCACTTGGAATTAATTTCAGTTTGTAAGCAGAATGTGCTTAGTGCTGGAATTTGAAAATAGGTTTACAGAATTTAAAAGATCAATTTATAATATATTAACTGTTTTTAAAGATTATTAGCAAACAAACAGATCTATAATGACATGTGAATTTGAGTGTTGTATTTATCTAATCAATTTATTGTATTTAAACTATCTTTCAATTTGATGGACGAGCCAACTGTACTAGGGAAAATAATAAATTTATTGAATAAAAACTATTAAATGGCAAGAAAATCTACGAAAGCAACATTTTCACTGTGAATTTTTTTTTCTGTGAATTGAACTTTTATTTCATTTGATTTGATTTTGCTCTTTTTATATCTTTCAAAGATAACAAAGAAAAATAAGAACCTAGTGCCCTTGTCAGGAACCTAGTGCCCTTGCCAGCAACCATAACATGCACTCAAAAAAAATTGTGTTTCCATGGTACCCTAAAAAGTTGCAGAGAGACATATGGATGATACTTGCCCAGTCATTAACTTGTTAGTAAAAGATTCATTTTTTCGAATTTCAATCTCAATTTGTTATGTCTTTCTTTGTTTGGGGTGCAAAGCAGTTTCCAATCAACACAGCAAAAAACTACCGGGCAACCGCCAAATAAAATTACAGTTAATTTTATAAAGGAAAAAATCGTGAATTTTTAATGTTTTTTTTTCATTCTGGATGTTGGTTAAAATACTTTATTATTTATATTATTACTTGGTCCACATGAAAGGTTTTCGACACAAGTTTCATGACGAAAAACTGACAGAAAAAAATAATTGTGTTTTTCAGCCTTAAGAAAACAAACCTAATTTTCTTGCCAAAGAAGTTTGGAATACTGAACTATCCTTTACAACAAATTTTACTCTGACGTTTGTTGTTACCTAACTAATTATGTTTCAGGCCTTTTAGGCACCCAAAATTTGAAGCTGCACTCAATGTTTCTCTCAAATACAGAAGTTTCAGCATTTTGTGTGAGAAAAATTTTGCAAATGTACAGGATAAGAAAGGAATCTAATTTTTGGCTGCAAATGCAGTGTCAAATTTCAGTATTTTTCAATTTGTGTTTGAGCTGTTGATTTGGAAATAAAGGCATGACAATATAAAAAAGAAAACTTAAAATGAAGGATACTAGAGGCATGAACAAAATTTTGATATTTCATTGTAAAACTTTAGCAAAAAGATATTCTGCTACTTTCTCTTACTTTTAGTTTTTCGTCCTTCATTAGGATTTTTTCGAGTGTTCTCTTTCAAATGAAACCCTTTACTGAAAGCTTTACTTGTCACATCTTTGTATGTGAAGGGTGATGTCCTAGCAACATAGTCATCACATAATGGATTTGCTTTCTCATTTGATTTTGGTAATCTTTGTGTTGACATTTTTTGATCTTCTGTCAATATAGCATTTGATGCATGACGTCCAGCTTTGGGCAATGGTATGGCATACTATAAAAAAATTTGAGACTCAATAATAAATATCATCAGATTGCTTTAGATATGATATCACTGTAGTTATTATCATTTTTGCATTGTTGCCAAGAATTTTTCAAATGTAGAAAAATACTTAATTCCACTTTAAAATAGCAATAGCAGCTCAGAACCATCTTGTTATATACACCAAGTGGTGTGTACAGCTCTGCCTATGTGGCATCAATTTTCAATATGCATCAAAATGTATATAGTTCACCCCACTATAAACACCACAAATTGGTTGAAAAGCTGTAAATTTTAGCAGAATCTTATTGTAAGTGGAAAGAGTGTCATTCCATGTTAAACTGCAACAAAATTTGAAATTGTTTAACTTACTACCTCAGATTTAGATCATTTTATAGAAATGCTGAAAACTACATTTTGGAATATCCCTGCTTACTGTTTTAAATTAGCCTGATTTTTGAAACACTTTCAGCAATTACTACAACCAGAGCTTGCTGCATCATAAACGTTTCAATAAATAATAATTTGCATACCTTTGTGCCTCTTATGTTTTGAGGTCGCATTCTCTTTGGGTAATGGTATGTCAAGCTACCATCAAGATTAACACTAACTGACACCTTTTTTAAAGTCTTGTTTCCACAATTCTTGCAAAATACTCTTTCCATTTGTGTTGTTTCTCTAAAAGTAAAAGGTTTTTTTAACATATTTCTATATCAATTATTTAACAATTATTAATCAATCACTTAAACTTAATATAGAATTCAAGGCATAATTTAATAATGAGGATTCTTTGATATTTGTTGTTACTCGCTGTTTACATACCAGGTTTTTCAAATGACACCTTCAAATGACAAATTTTGTGAGAATTGGGTGTGATCAGGGTTACATTGGTAAAGATAGTTCAAATATGGAACAGGAATTGCAAACATGTTTTTTATAATGAAAGCTTGCTGGCTGTCAGTGAATCATACATAGATTGCTGATAGAAAGTTAACGACTTCAATTGAAAATAAAAGAACCTGTAACAAAATATGATATTATTTAAATCAACTTGAGAAAGTTTTTCTTAAGAAAGACCATGAAGAAATCAATACTCATGGATATTATGCTAAACTGAATTTTATTTTGTGAAGCATACTTTCCACATCCATGACATTTTAAAATGTAACTCCTGGCTTGGCGTATCAGCATGCCATCGACCGATATTACATGCAAGCCCATTTGCATCAAAACATTCTAAAACACAAGGTAAAGAAAATTTTTTTTATTCTACATTCCATATAAAAATTGATAGACATCTTTATACAGAACAGACTCATTCAATTCATTTAGTACCTCTGGATAAATTCTTAGACAGATTTTCTTCTTGTTGCCTGTGTGTTTTGTAATTGGCATTTACATGCCTGCTTAATGACCTCTCTTTAAAAGATTGGTTAGTTTATGAAAAAAATTAAAGCAATACTTGATGTATACAACAAATATGCAATGATGTTTTGCAAATTGATAAGCTATGGCTATCTGGCCAACAGACTGTATGTTTTTAGTCTCAATATGGAACTAAACTCATAGATAGTCTTTAGATAAGGCTTGCTAGTATGAACAGACCACATAATAGCTCAACATATCAGAAAATATTTTGAGAAATACTAATTACAATGAAATGTTCCTTTTTATCACAAACTTTTCTTTACAAACACGTACATGATCACATTAAGCATGAAACGCTCCAATAAGCTACATCTTAGAATTCTTGTTCTGCACAGCCAAGCATGAAAAGCTCTGTCAACATGGCACGGAACACTTAATGACAGACCAGAAAACAATAATCTCCATTCTTTAGAATACAATTCTTTAAGGTTTCAAAGATATTTTAGTCACCTGCATTGCAAAATCGGTTGTTAGGCAGCCGCTTTTTGCATTTACTGGACTCTGATCAACATCATCAAAACCCATCTCTTTTTTTACTTTGGATATATTTCCTGGAGTGATCCAGCCTTCATCGTCACCACCATCATCATCACTTTCATCATCACTTTTATTACCATCCTCATTCGAATTAATGACATTTCCACCAGTATTATCACCAACATTTTCTGAAGCAATATTATCAGAACTTTGAAGATCATCCTCATTGACAATTTCTACTTCAACATCCATGACTTTATCAATACTAATATCTTCATCATTATTTTTATTCACAACAGCTTCTTGTGATCCCACCAGTTCTGAACTCTCACACATTTCACCTTCATCATCTACCTTGTCAGTGTTTTCATCATTTTTTTCTATAGAATTTTCTTTTTGAGAATCTTTGCCAATGTGCTAAAAATAAGAAATCACGATTTAAAAGATTTCTGAATATTTTGAGTATCAGGGACCCTTTTGGAGCCCATGGGGGTTGGTGCCTTTAAGAACTTTCGAAAATTTCATCTTACCAGTTGCTATGCCAAGATTATGTGGCATCCTCTATCCAATGAAAATAATTAGCACCTAAGTCAAAAGCAACTTGTTATACAAATGATAATTTGAAATAATTACAAGAATACCGTATTTCCAAAAACTACCTACTGATTTGTTATCAAAGTAAAATCCATGTTCTGGTTTGATTGTTGTTATTCCTCCACCTCTTTTTCTTTCAATCTGCAACAAAAGACATAAGTTGAGTGTAAAAAATAGCAAGCATACAATCTGACAAAGTTCTTGTGAATTTGAGTGGTAGTTGCGCTGTGTTTCTTTGCCAATTTGTGCATCATTTGGCAATAGAAAACGTTTTTTATGGCTACATTTCTCTATTCAATGATCGATCAAACCTGTTACTTTCCTAGAGTTATGGACTCTGTGTTTTCCAGTATATTCTTGTACATTGTGTGATGTACATTGTGTGATGCAGTGGACATTAGAAAATGGCATCTTACATTGAAACTCAAAACACTGCTTTTTGCTATGCTTTTGCAGGATTATCAAAACAAGATTGTTTATGCCATAGCAAGAGCTTATATTTTATCAGTAAGAGGCAAAAACAATGCAGAACTTTGCACATATGAGTTTACTGATTAAATCAAGATAATTCATATCCTCCCTTGTAATTCTATGGCTAGATAATCATTAACAGGGTAATGAAAGGATAATAAACAAAAAATAAAAAAACAATTTTGATAAGGAATTTAAGAAAACAAATGGCATAAAATAAGAATATGGCAACAATAGTGTAGTCATCCCCAATTATAGAAACATTACATATCTGCTGTTAGAAATAATCGGGAAAAAAACACTTTGGCTACTTTTTTACTTGGAAACAAAGATTTCAAGGTCCCCCTGACAAGATTCCAGCAAAAGCAAAATTCTACTGATATACATACTTTGTTAACTGGTTCCTCCCTTATATGCTCCTTGCTACAAAATTCTTTCTCTAATTGATATGTAAGTGCCATGACCTTAATATCCACCGCCGAGAGACTTGGAAAATCACCTGTTTTCTTAGCAAATTCTGAAACTATAAAAAAACAAGACACTATTATTTCAAATTTAATTTAATCAAAGTCATCAACCAAACTAACTTGAGCTGATACAACATTCAAAATTTATAAAACTAACATACATTTCAAAGTCTACAAGTTTGTTGTATCAAAATTGAAAAGGAAACTCACTAGTTTTTACAGACTCAGTTGATGGCTCTCGGAACTCGATCTCATACGGTAGAACGGCAAGCCTTTGTCGTGTCGCCGCGTCTCGTATTTCATGAACGACATCTTGAACCGTAAATATTCTATTTGCAATGTTCTGGAGTTGAGCATTCTTCAAGAAAGCCGCAGAATCAGCCACCAAACTGTCAAACATGCTGTTCGCCATGATGTGAATCGTGAAAGGTTGTTCTTGGAATGGAAATCTGTCATGCAAACGAGGTCGTGCAGACATGGCCTCTCTCTATTCTGTGACATGGCTGACAGTTCAAAGGGCGACTTGTGACTTGTGAGCAACGATGGGGGAGGAAATAGATGGTGGCAACGTTCTTATTCGGTCTCTGAAAGATCATGGCATCGAATACATGTTCGGTGTTGTTGGTATCCCAGTTGTTGAGCTTGCTTATGCTGCCCAGGCTGCAGGCATCAAATATGTTGGTATGCGCAACGAACAAGCAGCAAGTTATGCTGCATCGACAGTTGGGTATTTGACCGATGCTCCTGGAGTGTGTCTTGTCGTTTCAGGACCAGGGCTTGTGCATGCTTTAGCTGGCATGTCGAATGCACAACAGAACTGTTGGCCATTAATTGTGATTGGAGGTGCCTCAGATACAAACCAGGAGAGTATGGGTGCTTTCCAAGAATGTCCCCAAGTTGAATATGCACGTCCTTATTGCAAGTTTAGTGCTCGTCCAAGCAGTATAGAGCAAATACCATTGTTTGTTGAGAAGGCAGTGAGATATGCAATGAGTGGTAGACCAGGTGTTAGTTTTCTTGATCTCCCAGGGGATATGCTGCGGGAGCCAGTCAGTGAAATAAGCGTCCGATGGATGGCCAAATTTAAAGCCCATTCCAAACCATTTGCAAATCCAAATGCTGTCAAGTCAGCAATAGAAGTTTTGCAGCAAGCTGAAAGGCCACTTGTTATTGTTGGCAAGGGAGCTGCTTATGCAAGAGCAGAGAAAGACATAGGACATTTTCTTGAAAAAACTGGGCTCCCCTTTCTTCCAACTCCAATGGGGAAGGGGGTTGTTCCAGATAGCCACCCTCAAAATGTTATTTCTTCAAGGTCCAAGGCATTATCAAGAGCAGATGTCATTTTGTTATTAGGTGCAAGGCTAAACTGGATTCTTCATTTTGGACTTAGTCCACGATTTGCGAAGGGTGTAAAGATTATCCAAGCTGACATTTCAGCTGAGGAAATTGGGAATAATGTCCCTGCTGATGTAGCATTAATTGGAGATTTAAAAATGATTGCTTTTCAACTCTCAAGCCAAATTGACACTCAGAAGAGCTCAGTTGTTTGCAAAGACCAATGGTGGGGTGAACTAAAAGAAAAGATGAAGAAAAACAAAGAAGCAACAACTTTGCTTTGTAAAGACAACATATTACCAATGAATTATTACAGAATGTACGATGAACTTTGCAGGTATATCCCAAAGGATAGCATTATTGTTAATGAAGGGGCAAATACAATGGATATAGGACGCATTATGATAGACAATGATTTGCCCAGACACAGACTCGATGCTGGTACTTTTGGAACAATGGGTGTTGGGTCTGGATTTGCCATTGCTGCAGCCCTTGTTGCTAGGGATAATTACCCAGAAAAGAAAGTAATCTGTATCCAAGGGGACAGTGCATTTGGTTTTAGTGGAATGGAGATTGAAACAGGTGCTAGATACAACTTGCCAATTGTTTTTGTGATTGTCAACAATAACGGCATTTACAATGGAATCAACAAAGAAGATTGGACAGACATGGTTGCATCTGGTGATGACCTGACATTGACATTACCACCAACACTTTTGCTTCCAAGTGCAAGGTATGAGAAAATGATTGAGGCCTTTGGTTGTCAGGGTTACTATGTATGTCGTCCTGAGCAAATAGGGGAAGCAATGAGCAAGGCGCTTGCAGAAACAAAGAGGCCATCAATAATTCACATTGCAGTTGATCCATTTTCAACACGCAAAGCACAAGAATTTACTTGGTTGACAAAATCAAACATGTAAAATGTCAATCTGTCTGTCTGTCTTAAATGTCAATAATTGCAAATGAATGTCATTTTGAAAGTTTCAAAGATATATAATCAGGTTTGGCTCATAATTTGCCACATGTGATTTAGAATCTCATTATAGTTGAGTTACAAGCGCTTAAAAGTAGGAAATTTTACAGCAATGTATGTATTATGTACATTATCATACAATCTGAGAATGATTCATTTGTTGCTCAATGTACTTTCCACTCTATTCCAAAATTCTGAGTTAAATCTAAGGTCAGAGCTGACTTGGTACTACCACACATGAAGGGGCATGCCCTTGAACCTATAAAATCTCAAAGCACAGGACACTCCCAATTATTTTACATTTGTTTTATTTACAAGTAAATAATAGAATTGAGCAAGTGATTTTAAATGATATACATTGTCAGTAGAAGATACCCCCTTTGAAAAAAACTAGTTTCTAATACAAAGTTCTTTGCCACCTAGGGCTTTGTGAAGCCTGTGATAGCCCAGTGGGCAAGAGGAGCACGATTTGAGTGCTGGGCACTATTATTATCTTAATTCCCAAAATTTGCTGATAATATCATACTAATATCTTAAAACTGTTAAGCCATGATTCACTCTTTACGTGATGCCAAAATGCCAACTTTCAGAAACTTACAACGCCTACTATGTAAAAGAGTAACACCATTCATATTCGCTAAAAACTATACGTACACTGTAAGCATAAAGAAGTATATGTATGTGCCCCCTAAATAAGAAATTATTAAAAGCTCGCATTTTTTTGCTGATGAGTTTCCAAAGTGAAGATGTAATCTCAACATATCTAGCCTTATGACTGTTGTTTGTGGTTAGACAGCATTCATGTTGAGCAGTTTCTTGGACATCATGAAGCGTCATAATCTAGGCAAACATTCAAGTCATGATGCAACGTCTCTGGAATGTGAAGATGTCTTGTTACCACGTTATCTTCATGTACTGCTCTTACAGGCTATTAACACGTGCAGCTCTAGTTGGCAAGCCTCTTGTGGTTGTTGATCCATTGGCGAAGAACTCTCGAGATATGATCAATTTTCTTGACAGCGCTTGATGGATGCAGCTAAAAAGTACTTCATGCAACCGTGCTTTTAGAAAATGGGTTGCTTAAGAGCTCTTCATCAGATTTCAAGCAAGGTCAAATAAACATCGTCTTTATAAGAAAGCCTACCAGTACTGCGAGCACTTTTTAGCATCTTTGCCAACTGGTTGATCGGACAGTGCAGAAAAGGTAAGTTAATCTTCTAGTCTATCATTGCGTATATCTATAGGTCATGGTGTCAGAATGAAGCCTATTTTAGTTATTTCTTTTGTTAAACAATTGGTTAAACTTGAGAGATTTATCCAGTATATCATTATGTTTTATGTAATCAACGTTGACAGGAATTTGAAACATTTGTTCATAACCAAGGTTAAATAAAAATATGGTGTAAGATCCTAGTTGCTCCCTTGTAAACAATTTTCTTGAGCTGTTAGTTCATTGTAACCCTGATACAGTACCATTTGAAATCACTGCTAATTATTGTGGCTGTTACATGTTTTTCTTTTTTGTAGCTATGAAGTTGTTGATTGCTGTCTTGGCGTACATCATTGTGGGCGCAATTGCTCAAAGTAAGCAGCTATAATCCATTGACTTTCTTCTAAACTTAACGCAATGTTTAAATATGTAGCTGATAACTTTCTCGTTGTCAAGAATGCTATTCACTAAGAAAACTTTTGTGCTTCTTTGTAGAGTAAGCAGACCGGATTTTCGCTATTTGGATGGCAAAATCCGCTTGCTTGCTAGCTGCACCTTAGCTGTTTGCCTTGAATTTTCACCTTCTGTTAGAAAACATCATTCTTAACCCATTAAGAGATTTGGGCAAGGTTTTTCTCTTAATTTCACCAATGTAAACTATTTGGTCGATGCTTGGGTAAATCTTAGGAATTAGAATGGTGCCAACCAAATGACTTATTCTTGTCTTGAAAACGTATTGTCTAATCAGTTATGTTATCTTCCCAACAGGATTAAAGAAGGAGAAAGGTAAGCAGTAACTTGAAGAGTACTTGTCGGTATAGTTTTCAACCAAAATATGAATCCCTGCATGTCACCAGAACGTTGGAAATGATACCAATAAAATAACATCTTTACAGTTTCCACATATTCTTCTTATGCTTGTTCTACAGAAGACAGTAAGGATCCTCGTAAACAATAGAAATATGATTAAAATTATTGTTAACTAGTCTGTTCCAGAGTGCTTAATGTCGTATAAACTTAGCTCTGTATGCTTTGATGTGTACTGCATCACTTAGCAGTGAACCAGCTTGTTCTGCCCACCAAGGTGTTTCAGAAATATGTAATAAAAACCTTATGGATAGGGAGGGAGACCAAAATCCCAAGTCGATAAAGCTATATTGACTCCGCAAGCTTGTCTTTGCTTTTTCTTCGCCATACATTTCATTCCGGTCATTTGGAATTTATAAAGATTGCTATTTTTCTCAAAAATGATACTCATTCTTTGAAATTAAGATATTTGCTTGCATGCTCACAATGCATTGCGAGCATTACATCACGAGACTGGTACATTGAGATGGGATGAAGAGCTAGCACGTGGAGCCGAGCAATGGGCAATGAAATTGGCAAGAGAAGGTGGACTCAGGCACTCCAGAGGAAACTATGGTGAAAACCTGTATGCAGCCTGGGGGCAGTCAGCCAGTTGTGCAAAGGCAACCTTGGCTTGGTATGTTTAATGATTAATAATTCCTAATTTTCTGGGCCCGTAAGTAATGTTTGTGCAAGTTGATTATCTAATCATTGACATCTGACGTTGGAGAGAGGGAGGATGAACCAGTAAATAGAAGCAGCAACTAAAACTGAATGTAGAACTCAATATACCAATGAATGTCAATGTATATATAGAAATTAATATAGAAATCCTTTTCAGTCAATCAAGCCTATACATTCTTCACAATAACCTGCTTTCGACTGTTAGTTAATCCCCTTTTTGTTATCTTATTGGTCGCTTTTTGTTTACAATCTTATTTTGCCCAAGACAACTTCATTATGCATTTGAAAAATCTCCTCCCATCCAGTAGAAACCGCTCTCCTCAGTTTGCTAAAAAGAACTGACTAATGGTAAACGGTGACTCACTATCTCTGGGTATACCTTTTCCTTTAACAACACTCAGTTCCTTACAGTATCTAATCATCTTCAAGGAGCTGTCGTGAGCAAGAGCCAGAATAAGCTTTCACTATACAGCATGCTGTGTATCATTTTATGGCTTGAGTTTGTCATAGAAACAATGCCATTCTGCCATCTCTTCTAGGTATAATGAAATACAGCACTACGATTTCAATCGTGGTGGTTTTAGCTCAAGGACCGGTCATTTCACACAAGTCGTGTGGAAAGGAAGCACTCACCTTGGCGTCGGCATAGCAACAAGTGGCAATAAGATAGTTGTTGTCGCAAGGTATTCTCCAGCTGGAAATTTTGGAAGAAGATATCGTGAAAATGTTTTACGTCAAAAACCTGGAGGTATATTTTGTTTCCTTGCCATCTATCAACATTTATTGGACATTGCTTCTGTTTTATGTCTCTTGCATCTTACAACTCGGGCAGTAAATATTCTTTTTTTTCCTTTTCAATTTTAGAATGATTTTCAAAATCTTTATTTGAAATGACAATTCATATTTTGAGAAGCTATTATAATTTTTTTTCTCCTTAACAATGTTTCTGAAAGCAAAAATGTCTATATCGACTGTAGAATTTTTGTCAAACCTCAATTTATCACTTCGTGTTTGTTATGCCTTTTGTAATACGTGTATTTCTGTCTTTGCTGTGATTGGTACGACAAAAACATGGCTCCTCTTCCATCATTGTAGCAAGAGTACCAGGACTTAGTGAGTTGGAAAATGGATCCACTGGTGGACCAGAACCACCTGTCACTGAAGGACCAGGACCCATGCCGCCTCCAACGGAAGGACCAGGGCCAGGGCCAGAGCCGCCTTCAACGGAAGGACCAGGGCCAGGGCCAGAGCCGCCTTCAAGTAAGTGTCTGGTTTTCAGCATATCATTACTTTAATTGATAAACCACTTTGAGAAATTTGCCTAAGATGGGCCTACGATGGACCAACCCTGTTATAGCAAATAAGACCAATTTTGCTATATTTGCCAAGATGCATCCGTGAAAATGACGGACTGCATTGTTTTGGTTTTCAGATTGCAGGGACAATTCGAGCCGTTGCCGTTATTATAAATGGAAGTGCAGATCCAGTAATTGGATTCGTAATCGATGCAAAAAGACGTGCAATGTTTGCTGAAGGAGAATAGAAACTGTGATTGATCTATCTGCAATAATCTATTCATGAATTAAATGACTTCTATGACATTATGTTTTTTCTTTTTCCTTCTCTCCTCACTGTTCCAAAATAAGAAAATTGTTGATGCATTTGCTTTTGCACTAGGTGAGCATTTTCTTGATGTATTATTTCGTCTTGATGTTTAAAGACTCTTAATTCGTTAGATATTTCGACCTGTCCATGGAAAAATCCAGCATCAATGGCTGTTGATCTTCACGAGAGTTTTTGACAAAAGTTTTCAAGACAAGAGCTTCTTATTTTCCTTTCTAATCTTATAGAATAATAGTTGTTCTAAAGAGAATTCTTTTATCTAGGAAAAATACTAAAATATTCTAACTGCTGTTTAAAAGTATTACAACTATGCTAATTTCTGTCTCATTTTGGATGATTCAGGTTAAGTATGCAAGGCATGTTTGATAATCCATAGTTTGTTTCGGTGCATTTAGGAATGCAATTTAAGCAGGTATCTGTAAGATGAATCACCGAGAAGAGTTCTTGAGTGATGATGTAAAAAAATATTTTAAAATTTTCAAATTGGGATCCCATAACCTGAAAGAGCGTCATAAAATACCTTTAAATATGCAAAATAAGCTAAATGTGTTACGAATTGGCTGAGATATGGCAAAGTGAGATAGGCTCTTTCCCTATGAATGTAGTTTGGTCCCTTTTCATTACTTTAAGGAACAAAGCCATTAATCTTTTTTCAAACTTCAAATCTTTTGTTGGCCAGATCTCACCAGATTTTTGATGTATTTAACTGATTATGCATGATTAGAAATATTTCTTTTATGCTATGTGGTCAAAATTAGAAGATTCTGAAATAGTCTGTATGACGTCAAGCTTAAGACCTCTATAGCCCCTGCTACTACGAAGCATGCAATGTTATTTTTTAATTTTTGTCTCTACCGCTACTTTCTTTCATGCTACACGTAATGATTCTACATTTTAAAGTAGTTCTAACAGATTTCCAAAGTATGGGAACATATATGAGCTTCAGTGTAAAAGAAATTCTATAAATTATCTTATAAACATGAATATACCATTATCGGATTTTCTTTAGATCTTTGCCTGCATGCACACAATATCCTGAGAGCACTGCACCAAAACACAGGCCCAATGACATGGGATGACGAGTTGGCACGTGGTTCGAAAGAATGGGCAATGAAGTTAGCGGGAGAAAATGGGTTGAGACATTCCAGAGGAAACTATGGCGAAAATCTTTACGCAGCCTGGGGACAGACAGCTAACTGTGCCAAAGCAACTCTTGCTTGGTAGGTTCAACTTTTGACCTGATAGAAGATTTGGATTCCGACATCCTGTCTCCTTTCTGTATGCGGTCAGAATATATACAGTAGAAAGATTGATCGCATTATCTCTTCTCTAACTCATACATAGGTACAACGAAATAAAAGACTACAATTTCAACAGAGGAGGTTACCAATCAGGAACAGGCCATTTCACGCAACTCGTTTGGAAAGGAAGCACACGACTTGGTGCTGCTGTTGTTCAAAGAGGGAACATTGTGGTTGTTGTTGCTAGATATGCACCTGCTGGCAACTTCATTAGTAGATTCGGAGAAAATGTCTTCCGGCAAAAAGTTGGAGGTATTGCTATTGCGCCTAAGCATCATTGCTTGTGTAGTTCGCTTATATTTCTCATCTCGTCCGAACAGTTTTATATCTGTGAAAGTACGCTACATACTGTATCTAATCGGGTAGAATGAACTGTTTGTCTTCGTCTTTCCCCATGTTTAGGTAAAGAAAATATAGCTATTTATAGTAATAGATAATGCAACCTGTTTTGTAGGAAATGAACTGCCCGTCTTTGCTTCTACTTAAACCGTTACCAATGAAACTCATCTTTCTTTTTTCTTTTGTAGTGACAGTACCTTCGCTCAGAGAAATAGAAAGTGGCATTACACCCCCTTCCACCAATAGGCCACAGCCACCAAAGCCACCTACAGAAAGACCACTTCCTCCAACAGACAGACCACTTCCTCCAACCGAGAGACCACTTCCCCCAACCGAGAGACCGTTGCCTCCAACTAATCCACCGCAACCTTCGTCTAGTATGTTTTCTAGAGTTGCATTTCTCTTTGTTTTGGAGACATCGTCATCAGATCTAGCCGACATAAAACATCTGCACAAATTGTATTAGAAATTGACAAATCTAAGCGGTAGCTGTCTTGTCTATGTGATCAGTCTGAATGTTTGAATTTTTCTCAAAAAAATGAAGCTTTCGTGTCATCATGTTATAGCGTTTTGATTTTTGAAGCCAAATGTTATGAATATATTCCAAAAATATCTTCTGTAACAAAGTTGTACGAAGAATACTAGCAGATTGTAGGTTCCAAGCTAAACTGAACCGTGTTATCTTTTTTCAAGATCTTTGCTTGCATGCACACAATGTCTTGAGAGCACTGCACCAGAACACAGGCCCGATGACATGGGATGACGAGCTGGCACGTGGTTCGAAAGAATGGGCAATGAAGTTAGCGGGAGAAAATGGGCTCAGACACTCTAGAGGAAACTATGGCGAAAACCTTTACGCAGCCTGGGGACAGACAGCTAACTGTGCCAAAGCAACTCTTGCTTGGTACGTTCAACTTTTGACCAGTAGAGTTTAAATCAAAGAAAAATTGCGGATCCCGACATTCGATTTCCTTTCTTTTGTGATCAAATTATATAGATAGAAGTATAGCATCATGTTTTCTTTCGCTCGTGCTTAGGTACAACGAAATAAAAGACTACAATTTCAACAGAGGAGGTTACCAATCAGGAACAGGTCATTTCACGCAACTTGTTTGGAAAGGAAGCACACGACTTGGTGCTGCTGTTGTACAAAGAGGGAACATTGTGGTTGTTGTTGCTAGATATGCACCTGCTGGCAACTTCATGAGTAGATTCGGAGAAAATGTCTTCCGGCAAAAGTTTGGAGGTGAATGTTGTCAATGTTGGAAAATTTTCTATTTTATCTTTATTTTTCTTTCCTGAGCATCAAAAAAGTGGCGAGCTAACTTTTGCTTTGTTTTTTTGCAGCGAGAGTTCCTTCTCTCCGTGAACTTGAAAGTGGAGTTACAGCTCCTGCTACCGACGGGCCACGTCCTCCTGTTCCAGCTACCGAGCAGCCCCTCCCACCTTCTAGTAAGTTGAATACATGTTTTAACCCTTAAACCTTTGTCTCTAAACAACCCAGATAAACATTAATACTTGAGATGGCTAAGTCATTGACTTTTTACCGAATGTCAAATTTTGAGGAAGGATGTCCCACGTACCAAGTGGGTCAAAAGGGCGTAGCGAAAGCTGAATAATACCTTGAGATAGCTCTTGATACCGAGATTCTTCTTTTGTCCCTTCAAGAATTTTTTAGCAACTTTGATCAATGAGTCTAAGTCAGTACCTGTATTGTTGCAGATTGCAGGGACAACTCAAGCCGCTGCCGTTATTTTAGGAGGAAATGCAGATATAGTAACTGGATTCGTAATCGATGCAAAAAGACGTGCAATGTCTGCTGAACTGCGATACAAACTGAGATTTGCTACTACTTGTAAACTAGTCAACACAAAGCAAAAGAGCCTGCAATATTTCATTTGTTTTTTCTTCATATCCTCTACTAATAGTAGAAAATATTTGTTAAAACCAGTAGAAGAGATCCTTAAGATATGTCGGCTGAAAATAGGTCGATCAGAAATAGATGTAATTTTAACCATAAGATATAGCTTAAGTTCTTTTTGGGGCTAAATTTTTTAAACTCGGTAAAAAGTTGAGTAACTAAGAGAGTAACTCGTTCAACGGTTCAACGTTTTTCTGTGAATGGTTTTGTGGCAGTTGGTGCAAGCCCACCCTGGGTACCAGAGCCTCAGTCAAAGAGATTGTCGAACACTGCTTACTACCTGCTCTTTCACTGAGGCTCCCACACCCAGAGTAGTGTAACCCATACCCAAATTCCTCCTCAGGCTTGCTCTTCCACGCAGCACCATATCAACTTCTTCAAAGAGACTGATAACTTCTTGCATTAAGTCTCTGCTGGTGGAAATTCTTTCAACATTATCAACTCATTATAGGTTTTAATGAACTGATGAACAGAAATACCATACCAATTGTTTTTTAGATTGCAAGGATATGTTTACCAACTGCGGTGTCTACAGACGAAAATGCAATTCGAATTCTTGGATTCGTAATCGCTGCAAGAAAACATGCAACACTTGTTAGATTTCTTTAGAAATGAATGCTCAGTATCTTTTATTTGCGTCCGTCATTGACCCAATTCTTTCTACTGCAGTTCAGCTAGTGTCTTCACTGCTCAGTCACAAAGAGGGAAAATTATGTAGTCCTTTTACTGTTACCTTTGAGCTTGAGGAGGGAAGCCATAAGAAATCTGTGTATGATAAAAGTGTATCATATTTGAGGGACCTATACTGTTTAAGCACCAAAATTATTTGTTAAATAAACTTGGAATTTCAAAATCTGGTTCTTGTGCAACAAAATGTTATTAGGTTTATAAACATAATCTCAAATCTTAAGGGCGTCAGTATGAAACAGATCTTATAACGCTGTTTCCTCTGTGGGTCATAGTGATTATATTCTGTCCGCTAATCTTCTCGAACTGCATCTTCCAAATTGAGCTTCCAATTGCAGAAAGTTCCATAAACAACTAAAATCCTTTTGAGTAGACGAGTACATGACTCTGGCTAGCGCTTAGGGCAAATCGAGGCTGCCAAGTCTTGTTCTTTTTAAGTGTGTTTCGAGTTATGTTAAGCTTAACAGCTTTTAATGCTGGGTTCTTAGCATTTTAGAGAACGCTTATGTCTAGTTTATGACAAAGATCATATTTAGCTCATGATTAGTGAAAAAAGGAAACATCCCAAATCTAGTGGTGGATCTAGACCAATCATAGACTTGGTTCTAAATGGGATGTGGGATCGAGGCGGGGCTCTTTCTCAGAGATATATTTTAGTCCTGAAAATTTTTGTACCTGAAGGATGGAAAATATTGCCAAAGAGCATTCATAAACCAATAAATCTCTTCATTTGAATGAAGATAAATTTTTCATTCGGTTTTGGAAAAATTCGCAATGGTTCTAAAAAAGTAACTTTGTATGGATCAGCCGTATTGAAAAGTTATCTGCCGCTGCACAGTCAGTTAAGTTATCAGTTAAGTAAGATTTTTGATTTTGTCAAGCAGATACAGAGACCTTGCTCGAAGTGCTTTAAATTTTCATAATCCTTTTTCTTGCAATTTCACTGTTGAAATTGAAATTGTCGCAACTTCTTTCATGAAAGAGACAATTTGTAGCTCTACCGACAAACTAAAAGGTTGATAAGTCTATTTATTTAAAATTTGGGTCGCAAAAAACAGTGTCCAAAATAGGGCCTATCATATATAAGAATTTGACTCAAATCGTAGAGCTGTAACTAAAAATTTCGGAACTTTCTCAAGAGATAAAGTTTTAATAAGCATTTATGGCCAATTATTCTATTTGACGTTTGTGATTTTTCTACATTATCCTCTATTCATTTCATTTATTTGTTTTTGCTCTGTTTTCTTGAAGAATTTTTTTGGATAACTTTTTGTTTTTGCGATGTAATTTTTTATTACTCCTCGCTACGATATCAAACGCCTTCGTAAGTCCTACAGTATCATAACTTACCCAGACAGACACTTTCAACATTTTCAGCCAGACAGATGTTTTCACAATTGAAATGCAGTTTAAACACTTAGTCTCTTTACTAGAACCATTCAGCCTCTTCAATCTCTTAGCATAAATGTGTACTACGCTTATAAAATCTTTCATTTCATGACAATGTAAATAGAAAAATGAATAGTAAGCAATAGTATTATGTCAATATTTCTAAAAAGTGGAGGTAAAACTAATATAACGCCTTATAGGGAAAATACTTTTTCGCAGCTACACGCGTAGAGTTCAGTTTGCTGAGCCACGACGTACAGTGTTGCTGGTCGCAAGTTCGATCCTGCCCCGATCCTGTCATTCACTCAAATTTCCCTAATCATGTGTTAGCAAATCCTGTACTCAGATCTGCTCTTTCTTACATCTTTTCCATTAGTTGGCATGGTCAAAGTCAAAAGCTTTCTTCACTAAAGAAGACTCCTGTTTGTCTGCTAGCCACTCTGCAATCATGTGAATATTTCTAAATCAATGATTGTTCGGAAAATCAGATAACCTGACTAGCAGCTGTATTTACTGACCTAAAATGCATTTCCCTCTTAGATTTTTACCATTCTTGTTTATTCTCTAACAAGGAATGGCTGCAAAAGACTTCCACACATACGTTACTCGTGAATTCACTTTACTTTTAATAGCAAGCAGGCTGTTATGATCCCAAATCACCTAGTAATTCTCACATTCTTTAGAAATCTCTAGCATCAAGCAAAAGTTCTTACAGGAACTACATGATTTAAAGAAAGTTTTCCACACACCCTTTACCCTATCTTCCACACACCCTGGTTTACTTCCAACTCAGGGGCAGAGATGGAAAATTTCTCAACTTGGTATTCAACACCGTGCTCCCCCCCCCACCGAGTTTTTGCAAGTGCCCCTCTGAAATCGTGCTTCCAAGTTATAAATGTTTCCTGTGTCTTCGAGAGTCTTAATCTGTGGCCTCAACGAGTCGTATTCCATCCAGTTTGTATCAGACTAAGTCATTTTTAAGATTCTTATACTTATACAATTTTTGCATAGGCTCGTAGCCTGTAACAGAATCCTACAGGGACCACACGGGTATAAATAATGCTGATATGAATGATGCTACAGGTTCTATTTTAATTTTGTATCTCTTAAGAGATATAGACTCTAAACTTATAGTCTATATTTGAACATTCAATATAATATGTCAGCAGTCTTTTAATTGCAGCAGGCTCTGCCTGTCTTTTAATTGTTTATTACTGTAGTCCGATTGTTGTTGAACTTCAATCGACTAATACATCTGTCATGTGAAAGGGAATTAACTTTTGCCTAACATAGCCAGCTTATCTCTCAAAAATTTCTATAAAAACATCGAGTCGATAAATTTCCTGTTGAGATTTATTCCCCAAGATTGCACTCTCGAGGCAACCTTTCTTGACCGGAGAAGGTAACATCAACAATTGAATTCCTTGAATGTAATAAAAATTGCTCCCTCAGAGGAAAATTCCACAACCCACATCAAACCACATCTTGAAGCCGTCGGTACATCGATACAAATTGGTCTTTCTTACCCATATTAATCACTAAACCTTAAATATAACTTGATGGATTCAAGTTACAAAGCAACTTGGATGCTGGGCGGGAATGGAAAGGAAAAGTTCACTTTTCCTCACCAGGAAGACAATAGGCCAGTCCTACCTTAGATACCTAAGGTATGAGAAGGGAAGAAAAACATCACTTACTTAGAACATATGTGTAGCTGCAATAAAAACATAAAGAATTCTGTGATGTCAATGAGCCCCAACATCTAAGAAATCGATAAAGTTAACAAGGACTGAAAGAAACACACTTTGCTTTATACCAAAAGGGAAAGAAAGGGTGGAAGAAATTAACAGCGTGGGAAAAGCATTCCAAAAAATCACGCCAAACACAACCCAAATCATTTAAATTCATTTATCTGAGTCAAGGTATAAAGTTTCGTGTCAAAACAAAAAACTACAGAACTCTCACTTTTCTATTGTTCCCAAAAGCATCGATAACAGCATATACAGGCTTTATACAAGAATGAAAGCACGAGCGTTAACACTCTGTGAATTCAAGAAATATAAGTTCACTAGTAAAATCAAATTCATCATCCTTGTGCTACTTACAAGTCCCTCTCTCTATTTCTGTTTTCATTAACATGAGGGACTTGCAGCAAGTCCATCACCCTTCAACCTTGTAGCGTACGTCACAAAGTTGCTTAGCCCCAGGCCCCTGAAAATTCTAAACATCAAGTGCTATTCAATTTTCTTTTGATATAAAAAATGGCGTCGTATGGAGGTGGGTTTGAATGACGCCTCAATTGGCTGGTATAAAACGAAGATAGCTTTCTGAAGTGACAGTGCAGTGAAAAAATGAATTTCCCATACTCGTGTATTTTTTTTGACGAAATGTTAGAACTTGTCAAATGCAAATAAAAGACAAAATATGCTATGCTGTGGCGATTGTCGACGACATGTCGGCAATCTAATAAAAAGTACAGAGCGGGTGTCAGCAATAGCATTCGTCGCCTGTCTATGTGTGCTGATTACAGATGGACAAGTGATACCACAGCAGGATGAAGGATTTGATTTCAAAATATCAGAAGTAAAAAATGGTACGTACTTTGATTTTGTTTGGTTGCTGAATTGAATGAAAAGAGGTTTAGATAACTGACTCTGTTTGCATAACAATGTTTTAACGACCCTATTCAAAATGTTAGTTAACAACGTTTGTAAATCTATATTTTGATACTGACGGAACCTAAAGCTGATTGTTTGATTATAAGTATAATTTTATTTTATTTTGACCACAAATTCTGAGTATGATCGCAATGACTTTAATTCAACAATTTTATTGTTTCAATACCATGCCATCAAGTTTTATATTCATACAATTATGATTCACAGATGACGGAATAAGAAAACATGTCCCGTATTTTGCCTAACTATAGGTGTATCACTAAACCTCTAGTATAAATTTTTATGTATTAATCTACTAATAGAGAAAACAGATCTCAATAATTATTTATGTTAACTAACCATATGCTATCATTTTTAATTGAAGTGCCTTGACATGTGGCACTCTTCTGTCCCTATTGTTAGTGCAAAGTCCAGGCTATGTCTTATGCAAATTCCATTCCTTGATTTGACATGGGGAAGTCCTTATACAGATAATCATGCCATGTTGGGGGCGCAAGTCCAGGGAAAATCTCACTGCAACCAGAGGAGGGGCTTTGGGCTATACCTCCAGGAAAAATTCTCAATGCCACCCTTTTTAGATTTGCACTGATTGCTTCTTTTTACCGACTATGTTTACTATAGCAGCAAATGAGTAGAAATGACTGCGAAAAAAAGAAAAACAAGTAGGAAATAAGTAGGAAACAACAATGAAATACAGAAATTGGCTGGAAAAAATTCAACTGAGGCTGCGATTTTATTTATTAAGTAAAAAATCCTGCCTAAATGGCTATGATGATATTTGGAACCCAAATGTTACCAACCTAAAAGAAAGTGAAAAATTTTGAGTTAGGCCCCCTCCCCCTCCCCAAACATTCAAATATTGTTCAAGCAGTAGATTTTCAGCCTACACAGCTTGTTTTTCTTCAATATAAGGGTTCGTTATTTTAGCCCATGTGGATAGATAAGCTTACCTCGTTTTGGAGATTAGTTGTTTCTGCTAAGTGATAAATCATTTCATGTTGTTTCCTTATCGTTTCTCCTCGTTTGTATTAATTTCTTGTTGTTTCCTGTTGTTTCCTGTTGTTTCAGCATTAGTAAATGCTTTTACCGACTACAGCCTTAAGATTTTTTAAACACCTAATCAATGATTTAAAACTGACATGAAAAGAGCTTTTACAATGATATGGCCTACTCACTTCAAGGACTGCAGACTGGATTTTTTGTGTATATTTGTCATATTTAAAATTGCTTATTAATCACTGTTAAATCCTTAAATTTTATTTCAGAATACATAGTAACGTTTAATGGATACTACTCAACTGAAGAGAGAGCAAAGTTCATGAAGAATGCCTTAGTTAATGTCTCAACAAATTGGAAAGAGATAGCTAGAGACAACCCTGCTAGTGGGTTCCCTAGTGATTTCAGTCTTGTTGAGGTAATTTCTCCAAAAATACAAAATACAAGTAATTTTATGTTCAGATGAAAACTTCATACTATTCATCAGGCCTTGCTCTAAGCAAAATGATGGCGCTCTATAAAAAGAGCCCCTTAGAAACTCTAGGTGCTCTATTTTGCACCTCTAAATGAAATGGCCTTGAGAGCATCCTTCAAGAGCTTTGGAAGATCGAGGGCTTCATATCGAGAGCTTTGGAAGAGTGTTAAATAAGAATTTCAACAGTGATACCAAAAAGCACCATAATATGAAATAACAAAACATGCAACAAACATTATGTTAAAAAGAAATATTGAAATATGATAAAACAAAGTCTCAAAATTGTTCAGATTTTTCTAGATATGTAAGTTGTCATCACTACTGTTATGTTCAGCTTCAGCTTCACATATTGCTTCATCAAAGTACATGACTTTAAGTCGAACATTTAACTTTGTTTCCTTTTTTATGATATCCATTCTATAAGACACACTAGAACATCTACTACTCATGAAAGCAAATGAAAACTGAAAAGCAATGCAATAATTTGGGTGGAAAAGGGATCTCTGATTTGCCCAGGTGGTTTTAAGTTATAAAGAAAAAACAGAAAATAATACTTTAACAGAATATTAATGCTTGGTCGAAAATCAAATAAAGCTGGCGGAGAATGCCCTTGATGGCCTATGTCCTTGGTGGTTATTAGAGGGTTATTAGATTAAGGTGAATATTTTCTCAAGAGGTAATCTTATACGCAAATCATAATATTGCGGTCTGCTGGGAAGATTGTTCATGCTTGATCAAGTTTATTCAGCAAATATCAAAAATTTATTTTGCTCTGTGGTAATATTATTTTACGTTTAAGGGGCTCTATAAATTGCTCTCCAAGGCTTTTTTGGGTGCTCTCTAGGTGCATGGGCTTGATCGAGCGCCTTTACATGCAAGGTCTGTATACATCAGTGATAAAGGTTGTCAGCTATTCGTCAATTGGAATAACAGTCAAACCAGTTTGAATTGTATTGTCATATATGATTTTTTAAATTAAAAGCATGCAGTTTATGACACCACAAAGTTATGGTTCTGACACTAAAACTTGTTACATTTTGTTTATTCAACTGGCATACATGCACATTAATTATTTGCACACAAACAGACCATGCGCCTACACACATCCAATAAATCTGTCTTCAAATCTCATGTTAGATTTGTTATTAGATCCTGTAAGTGATGTTATCAGATTTTGCACATTTGCTTTCAAAATATTTGCAATATGTCTTATCTTAAATAATTTTTAATAAGAGCAATGCTTTGCATTTATCTTGAATAATTTTCCTTAAAGATAATTGCTCATGCCATAACAAATTTTCTTTTAGTTTGCTCATGAAGCCCCATTAATGATCAAAGCTCTTTACAAGAGTGAAAAAGTGAAGCATGTTTCACCCCAGAAGAAGGTCACAAGAATGCTTTTGAAAACAACCCACACACCAGATGATACACAGAATGATGAAAACACAAAAGCCTTTAACACACCAGACTGTGAGCCTGGTACTGAAGGATGTGATTATCCTAAATGGTTCCCAAGGTAACCTATATTGTCATTGCTTTGCTAGACTGAAACAAACCTTTTTTCAAAATAACAAGGAGCAGAGCATGCAAAAAGATTTTTGTCTTGGAACTTGGCTATAACTAAAATTTGCCTGTTAGCTTAATTCGAATTTGTTTGCAAGCTAATTTCTTCATAAAATAAAATGGAGTAAGCATCAGGGAATACTGAAAATATTAATAGCCCAAAAGACCCAGTGCTTGAAGTGAGATGATTTAGTTTTAGATTGTTCAAGTGTTTTATAAAATAAGAAGTAACATCTTTGATCCACAACAGGTTTTATTTTTTCTATCTTGTTCTTTCGGAACCCTATTCTGATGTTTTATACTCTGAGGAGTGTCAGACGAAAAAGCTTTTAGTATGTTGTAAAATTTTTGCTTTTTTTAAAGCCATTTTCAAATTATGTATGGCCCAAAGATTGTTCACAGATTTCAATTTTATGTATATTCAAAGGATTAATACATTTAGAATGGATTTATCCTTTTAATTATTTTTACATTGAATCGCAAATACAATCTTTCTTATCCTGTAAGCTGTTAACATTGGTCTATCATTGATATGAATAGCTGCTCCCCAACCAATGAAAGTTTGTTACCCAAGCAACATTGAGACTTTTTATCTAAATGTTTGTCTGTGTTTAGACTCTCCAAATAATTTTGTTTTTGTTTTTAGGAAACTTAAGAGGTCAAGTATTGAGCAGGTCAGTCTGTTCAAAATTTAAGTTTGTTGAATTTCAACTGTCTTCATGAGTATTGTATATTTAAAATTGTACCCTGGTTTTTATCAGTTATATCATTTACCAGCACAGAAGCATTTGGTATCTAGACATTTTTATCATCACATTTTTTTCACAATTTATCTGAAAAAGATTTCTTTGCAAACAGTTTTAGAGACTGGACGTTTTGTTTTGACATTTGTGCTATAAGATATCAACCCACTTTTTGTTGAACTTTGATTAAGGAGGTTTGTAAAGCTGTACAACTTTGAACGAATAATCTTTTTGAACAGTCAAGTGAAGGGCAACTTTTTTAATACCGGTTCATGAATATACTCTTCTCAATATGCTTATTCTGTAAAACACAATATTCCCTAAAAAATTCCCTGTGAGTTTTTTAGAGTTATTCTGGTTTTTTCTTTTTCTGTGGAAGGACACAATGGGGCTGAGGGGCTTTGCCCCCAAAAGAAATTCAAAACCATGCAAAAATTTCCTTGCTCTTGGTTTCAAGTATGTTTAGCCCCCTTAAACTTTTTAGCCTCCTCACTCCATATCATTATCCATGTTCCTTTCCTTATTTATCAACTTATATATTTTTTTCTGTCACAGTTATCTGCAGACCAAGTACTTGGCCATAAATCTCGAAAGTTGTTAAGAACATTTCCCAGACAGGTAAGGCTTGAACTGCAAATATATAAATTAGATATAGTTGATGCTTTTTATATTATCGATTTTTATAAAATCTTTTGATGGTTTATTGTAATCCATCCTGTTATCCCCACATAATTTCTCGTTTCATCAGACTGAAAAATTACCATACTAAAAAATTACCATATTGCATATTATCTGTTTCTCTCTCTTCAATATTTCATTCTTTTAAGGCTCTAATTTCTCTTCTAAATGAATCTTTTAAATATTTGGTTTCAAAGTTTTTAATATTGATTAAGTTAAAGTAGATTTTAATTTAATTTTTTGTCAATTTTTTCTCAGATAACCCAGACAATGCAAGCAAATATACTTTGGGGAATGGGCCACCATGGTAAGTTTTTTCTGCTTTCTGTTTGCTTGGCATGAGGCCATATTTTCAATGTCTTTTTATGGCATTGTAAAAAAGTTGCTTTCAAAGTTATGTAACCAATTATCACGACTGCAATTAGATAAAGCTTAGTTAGAAACAAAAGGCAAAAAGAGAAATTGTAATATTCTGCATCTGATTTAGTTGTTTATTTGCATTTGTTATATCATTAGATCTGTCTATGTTGACACTTTTGTCATTAAATATTTTTAATTATATATCAAAAGTCCATTCTTATTTTTCCATTGTAAATACTGTATATAAATATATATATATATATATACATTGTTTTCTGATATCTGATATAACTTCTTGTTCAAGATTGGATAATATTTTTACCATCTGCTCTTCTACTATTGTATGAGAATTTGTCTTTTTGTTTCAGGGAAAGGAGTCAAAGTTGCTGTTTTTGATACTGGGCTGCCTAAAGGTCATCCCCATTTTAAAAATGTGAAAGACAGGACAAATTGGACTGGAGAAAAAACATTGGATGATGGTAAGTTTCGTATTGATTTTGAAACATGTATTTTCCACTTTCTTTCCTTACATCCACTTGAAATACATGTATATTAACTACATGTATTTGTAAAGCATTTAGAAAATACTTTTTTTTGTTGACCATGGCAATTTTGATGAAAGTGATTGTATTGATAATTCAAAACATCTGCATAGTTGCCTGGTACCAGTTGCATTTAGTATAAAACTAAATCCTCCATCTTTAAACTATCCTGTTCTGCACATTAAATTTTGTATGGCTTTATCTTTATGACATAAAGCACAATAGACAGAAAGTCAATAGTAATCTTCATATCATAAAAGGTTTTCTTTCAAAACTTTGTTTTAATGCTACATCTTTTCAAAGTTTTCTATCCCCTAAGTTATGCAAAGTAAGAAAGGAATATTTTATGACATGAAACAAATTGTTTGAGTTGTTATTGTTTGTACTTTTTATTACAGGTTTGGGCCATGGCACCTTTGTTGCTGGTGTTATTGCAAGCAGCAAAGAATGTCTTGGATTTGCACCAGATGCAGATTTGTACATATTCAGGGTTTTTACAAACAGTCAGGTAGGTAAAAATGTTAGGATTCTGTTTTTAAGAAAATAGTAGATAGTTCAACTGATGATCACAAGGGGTATGAATGAATTAGTTTCTGAGTTAGATGTCTGATGGATTTATATAATTGCAGGAAGGATTACAAGGTATGTCATCAGGTGTTAAAACATAAATTCTTAATCAATATGAGCACAAAATTTCCATATTCTGATAAATTGCTAATATTTATCTATCATTTTGCTATGATGACTTAAAATATGACTGAATTCCAGATGACTTAAAAAGACTGATGATGATGATGATGATGATGATGATGATGATGATGATGATGATGATGATGATGATGATGATGATGATGATGATGATGATGATGATGATGATGATGATGATGATTTTGCTATGATTTGAAAGGAGAATCTTTATACATTTTATATATCATATTTTAGTTAGATGTAAATGTATCCTTTCTTTTCTCCAGGCTTCATATACTTCTTGGTTTTTGGATGCTTTTAACTATGCAATATTCAGCAAAGTTCATGTTTTGAATCTGAGTATTGGAGGTCCAGATTTCATGGACAGGCCTTTTGTAGATAAAGTACTGCACTTATTTTGATTATATTTATATTCGGAACATCTTATTATCTGGGTCTATGCATAGTAGTTTTAGATATGGTCGATTTAGCTTTGATGGAGAAAATCCCAAGAAACTGTACAATATATAAGTATCTTTTTAAGTACAATAATATATCTATAAAGATCTTTAAAATTGCTCCAGTCCTCTTGACTTTTTTTGATGGTTGAAATAAAGTATTGCTATTTCTAAAGCCAGCAATATTTTTTGAGCCATGTTGCTCCTTATTGTCCCTTATTGGTTCACAGTGTAAGGTTTTTTGTACGAATTGTATTGAAATCAATTTACTGCTTATGTGATATCCTGAAACCAAATTGCCATCTTAATTAAATGAAGCAGGGCTCTCCTTAAACAGTTAACTGAATCTTTATCTAAATTTTCAAACATGAAGATTTTATTTATTTCAATTCCAGTTATTTCTTATTAGAATCAAAATTATTATCATTCTCTACCTAATTATTTTGTTTTCAGGTATGGGAATTAACAGCCAATAATATAATTATGGTGTCTGCAATTGGAAATGATGGTCCTCTTTATGGGTATGTTTTTCAGAATGTTTTTCATGTTTTTGTTTAATTGCTGGCACATTTGTTTTCCATTTAAAGCAGGGGCAGACACTTGGTCAAATATTGGGGGGGGAGCCTATTGTTTTAATAAGATGACGTCACATTTCCTATTGTTGTAGAACAAAAGACCATTGTCCTCTAAAGTATTGGGTTCGGTCCCCCCCCTCGCCCCCCATGTGTCCGCCACTGATTTAAATACATACTTGTACAATCTTCAGAGGTTTTTTGTTGGTAGTGCATCTAGAAATAAGAACTTTCGTTTCTTTTCAGGACTCTTAACAATCCTGCAGATCAAATGGATGTCATTGGTGTCGGTGGCATCGACTTCGATGATCAAATCGCCAAGTTTTCTTCAAGAGGAATGACCACTTGGGTAACAAAGTTTTGTTGTATACGAAAAACAGTGGCGGACACTTGACATCACAAACGACCAATTTGTTAGCGCGGCCACCCCCCTTTGGCCCCCCAGGTGTCCGCCACTGTTGTAAAGGAATAAGTGGCATGAAAAATGTCTTTGGTTGCTTTTGATGCAATGGAAACAGTAGATGTATTTTGAGCTCAAATTAAGAGTAAATTAGTTCTAAAATGGAATGATGTGTTTTCAAATAGAAGAAACATGTTTCAAGTTGTGAGTATGGAGCAATTAGGCTAAATATGTTAATATATCACTGTTTTTAACAAAAGTAGGAAAAATTAGTTGAATATAAACAGAAAAAACAGCGAATAGAAGAGATATGGATCTCAAAATATTTGCAGGGAATTTAATATATATAAGTATATTGTATTTTTGAATGATGCTGAAATAGTTATCAATTCGGTTCTGATTACTTGCAGGAACTTCCAGGGGGATACGGACGTGTCAAACCAGACATTGTGACGTATGGATCATCAGTGCGAGGCAGCAATATTAAGTAGGTACTTTACATCTTTTCGACGTTATGTCAGGTGCTTGGCTATCGTAGGCATTTGTTTGAGCCTTAACCTGCTTCAGGCATGCCGACTGGAACTATAATTTTGTTACGAAACTAAAGCAGTGCTCCTATTGATCAATACCCTCTGACTTAGCACCTTGTCGGTATGTTTTCAGTCAAGAGTTCTGCTAGGTTCTGGTGCTTTGCGATGCATCAAACAGGGATCTTCTTGTTCAACCTTTTTATTGCTGTTTACTGGCTTTTGCGGAAAATAATAGTCAATACAATCTGCTTTGCTTTGAAAACGTTTTGCGTCCTTTCCTGCTCAGCATATGCCTCAAGTTATTTTCTCTTATCATTTATTCGCGTACGTGTGAAACCCTAGAGCCAGAAGCTATTCCGGTTGTTATTTGTAATTGTATTCTTTTAACAGAGGAGGCTGCAGATCATTGTCTGGCACAAGTGTCGCTTCTCCCGTTGTTGCTGGTGCAGTCACACTGCTGGTTAGGTATGTAAAATTATTTTTGTCACCGTTTAGATGGCCACTGATTTGAACTGACTTTGAACCCATAAATGAGAAGCCTTTTCTTCTCAGCACTTTTAGTTCGTCACCCTAGGCTCATCCTGATTCTGAGTTTGATATATAAGCAACTTTGTTGAAATTCATGGCAATGATGCAAATATATTTAATAACAGTAATTTTAATTCTGTACAATTTTTGCTATTAATACTTTACCTCTTTTATGGATATTATTTATACATTCAAGACATCATCTACCTATAAATATGATTTCAGTACCAATTGTTGTATATAATCTGCATGAGATATATGTTAGAGTGATGCCTGTTTTCTCTTAGCTCTGTTCTTGCCAAGGGTATAAATATCAACCCAGCCAGTGTTAAACAGTCGCTGCTACGATCAGCAAAGAAACTGCCCAGTTTCAATATTTTTGAGCAAGGTATTTGAATTTTATTGATGGAAGTGCTTTTTAATCGACAAAGAGACTGTATATTAAATTTCTATATTAAAACAAAAACTTATCACCGTCTTAATCATGAATATCTGATGTTTCAATTGCTTGATGGTTGCGTTAGTTGTGAAAATCGGAGTCGAAACTTACTGTAGAACCATTTTTATACATAGAGGCGTTTACAGCTCTGCTTTTACGGCATTGAGCGTTATGTGATTGATCTGTAAAACAGTAATTGTCATTACCTAATGTATAACAACTAAATTATTCTATTGTCTACTACCATAAAACGATACTTGTTTGGTCTGATTTGGCAGGAGGCTAACTTTGCACTGTTTTATCAAACGCAACTCAAAACCCCTGCATTTATATATTTGTGTTGCTGTAGCAATGTTAATGTAAGAATGTTGTAAATAGAGTGGTGTCTTTCCTCAGGCCATGGTAAACTCGACCTTTTAAAGGCTTACCAAACCCTGAGCACTTACAAGCCGCATGCTTCGTAAGTTGAAATTTGCTTTTTGCTTTATTTTATATTTTCTATGATGTATAGAAATTTCAAAGCATATTTCTTTTGCGCATTGAATTATACTTCCTTGCACGATTGTTTGGTTTTCAAAACCTCGAGCTTTATTTTTTGAAAATGACATCAGCCAGAAATGTCGACAACGTCCCTCCAGATAAAAATGTTATAAATGGAGATATCCTCCTGTTAAATATGAACTGGAATTTGGCCCTTCGTTTAATATTCATTTCTTTAGAAGGCTAGAGACAAAAAACAATGTCATTGCTCCTTTCTCTATAATCTCAATATACTCTTAGCTGTTGTAAGTCTAAATTGACCAAGTGAAATGCAAATATTTTCCCTTAATTGATTTGATCATCTTCCCCAATAATCTTGAAGTTATAAATCTACTGCGTGCATCGCCATTACTTCATTTGCGAAATGTCTAATCTCAAGTATATGACTGAAGTTTAGGCGATGTTATTTGGGTTTTTTGTTGTTCCTAATTCTACTTTCAAGTTCCCATGGCTTTTTTAATTAGCTGTATCGTTCATAAAGAAGCTCGCATCGTAGCGAAATCTTCCAATCTTTGATAGCTTCTCCATAGCTTCATGTAATGAGTTTTATTTTGTACCTAGACTTATCCCAAGCTCAATTGACCTGACCGATTGTCCTTACATGTGGCCATTTTGCACCCAGCCATTATACTACGGAGCTATGCCTGTTGTCATCAATGTAAGCTCACTATGCTTTTTTGGTTCTATGATTAAAATTTTGACAAAGACACACGAAGGATATAGAAGTGGCTTAAACCAGGGGCCTTGGCGGGCTTAAAATAGAGAATCAATAAAATCTGTTGTGAGATTTTGCACGTGGTTTTTTGTGTCTTATATGCCATTTTCTCGAATCAAACAAAACTAGTCATTAAGTCGCTAGATAGTACTCCAGCTTCTTGAATATTTCCTTTGGAGAATACGGCTATTTTTCGTTATATCCTATTGCTATAGTTTCATCATGGATCGCGATTAATATACAGCGCTATCTTAAGTATTTTTGCACTGAAGTTTTAACTGACTATCCTTATTATTAACTTTTCAATAAAAACAGCACACAATGCTACTTTCTGTAAAAAATTTACAAAACGTTGCTTTGTGTATCAATGTAAATGCCTTAGAAGGAGAAATCTCTATACTTTTTTCAATCACACTTTTTTGCCTTGTCGACTGAAGCTCATCCTAAAAGTTTACTTAAACCAGTCTAAGCAAATTATTTTGACTTGTGTTCACATCTGTGACTTATTCAGTATGTTTAAATGTAGTTTTGTGTGGGCAATAAGTTTTGTAAATCGTGCTGTTATGATCGTTTTGCCAATTTCTCCCCCTTAGGCAACTATTTTAAATGGAATGGGCATTACAGGCAAAGTCAAAGGGAAGGTAAGATATATTTCAATTTCATCCAAAATATCTTTACTTAAACCCTGTAGAAGTATTTTTATCTACAAAAACACAGCACCAGGAAGTAACTGAGCGCCTCCCACAGATCTGTTTGTGCAAAGCCTTTTTATAGGGTTAAAATGGAAACAAAATTTGGGGTCTTTCTATACCGTGGTTGCTAAACTTTCTCGTTTATCATCGACTTTTTTTTTACTGTTAATTTTTTACAAATTCTTAACTCTGGTTGGAAGGGGATAGCCAAAAGTCCCTCTTTTATACGCTTTTGTTTTTTATATAAGCTAAATATTTTCTCAGTTTATTTGTTACAAAAAATTTTTTAAGTTGCATTCATTTTCTTTCAGCCCGTTTGGCAACCATTTTCCCTTCAACACGGAGAAATGATTGAGGTAAGGTTTTGACAATTAGCATGTAGAAAACCTCTAAATCCCTTGTTTTACAAAATATATGCGGCCTGGGAAAAATGTTTCTTGCATTTTAGTTTTATATATAAAAGAGAAAATTTTGCCAAGCATTAAAGACCTGGTTATTTGTTTCAGAAAGCGTATGTAGTATCTTACAGAACAGTGCTAGATGAATATATAAATATACGTTAGCCAAGGGTACAGCCTCTGGGCATCCCTTTAAACTGTTTAACCAAAGTACAGTATTTATATTTTCTAGTACCTTCACAATTTGAAGTATTCTCGTAACAAGCATTTTCAGTCTTGTTCTTATGTGGTTTTTGGCATATGTCAAGTTGCCCTTAATTAAGTTTTTTTTGTTTTCAATTCCAGGTCGGATTTACTTACTCAGAACTCCTTTGGCCCTGGTCTGGTTTCATCGCCATTTTTATTTCAGTGTCAAAAAAGGCGGCTGACTGGGAAGGAACAGCTCAAGGCCAATTTATCTTGACCATTGTCTCACCCGGAAAGGTTAGTCTTTTTCACCGAAGGCAGACATCCACGGGATCGATTTATACCTTAAATTGTGTTGCTTTCATCTTGATTGCCTAACAGTTAAGACCGATCTTGACTGATTTTCATTTGTCTGGTGCGGGGCCTACTATTCCAGCGTTTAAGTTTCAGTGTACTGGGCTGACCTTATTGGTAGTCCTATCGGCCCGAAGCCTACTACAGATGCAAACGAAATTTGTTTTCCTTGTCCAAAAAGGTCTAGAGAAAGTACATATGAAAGATGTTGCACGGTGTGTGCGAATAAAATGGATGAATTTATCTTCTCGAGTTTTCTCTATTTTGTCTTCTCTTTTGAAGCTATAGAGAGGGCAAATAGTTTAAATAAAAGTTGAAAATCTTCATTTGCAATATGCCAGCGAATTTCCGATATATTTGAAGCAATGACAAAAGTGGTCTATTATTAGGCAAATTCATTCGATCTAGAAATCTTTTAGAGGAGATGAGGGCTGCCTCTTATTTTCAGGTGTACCTCTGAATTTTACGTTTGTTTTGATGGAATTGGTTTTGCCTATAGTAATTCTATTTTGCTTTGTAGGAGGAGAATGAAGAGCCAGTCGAGTCGATAATCAAAGTACCAATAAAGGTCAAGGTGATTCCAACACCACCTCGAAGGTAAAGAGATGAAGACGGGCTTTCATTCTTTGTTATCCGCTTCTAGCTTTTCTGTTTTAACCCTGTTTTTTAGAATAAAAAAGTCTCTCCGTGAATTGTTAAAATATTTTTTATTTATCGGGATGTTTTTGGATGATAATTTAAAGGTTTATTCCTTTTTCTTGTAGCAAAAGAATTCTTTGGGATCAATACCACAATCTGCGGTACCCCGCGGGTTATTTTCCACGTGATAACTTAAGAATGAAAAACGACCCGTTAGATTGGTGAGTCTTTTGGCTCCTTTTAAATGATCCACTATTAGCTAGCACCACGTTATTAGAATATAAAACTGATTTCAGTAGATGATTGCTCATGTCAAATGATATGGTTCCAAGTATTTGAACGTGTTTATTTTCTGGCACCATCATTGGTGACTTTCTGTCAAAGAATTTGCTAATTTTGGATATGTTAAGACTCTTCAATATAATTTGGTCTTGTTTGGTGCCTTTACAGAATGGTTTATTATTGTTTATGTATCAAAGTATGAAAGACAGAAATGAGCAAAGCAGTCTATTTACTATCAAATGTGTTATTGTTAGTAGAAAACGTGGGTTTGTTCATTGATGTTTTTTTTTCATTTTGGAATGTTGCTAAAAACCTTGCTCTCCAGTTTTCGATCTCAAAAAATAGACTATGCTTTTTTTAATCCTATATTTATGTACCCATGATATTCCCAAATATGTGCTGTTTTCTTTAGATATTTTAATCTTACATCCTAGCCTGCAATCTTACATCACAAAAAGTGAACTGCTCAATATTGCATTAAAACATTTCATCTATAGGGTACAAATAGCCAATTACTTGGCTTATATTGACTTCAAATGTAATTTTTCAGCAAAAAATTTCAGTAACGTGTGTCCTGATAGTGTGTTCCTTATATGGCATTTTCCAGGCAAAGATATAAAAGCGAAAGGCGTGCAAATAGCTGTAATTCAAAATAATCATTAAAATAATAAGTTAGGCTCTTTTTTGTCTTTTAGGAATGGCGACCATATTCATACAAATTTCAGAGATCTTTATACGCACCTGAGAAAATTTGGCTATTTCATCGAAGTGCTTGGTACGTAGTTTTACATTTTGGTTGTTTCTCACTCAACAAAATATTGAATCTATATCGATCAATAACTTCCTCAAACAGAATTTAATTACAGATGCATTGTCTAGTCCAAAAACTATTCACTTATAAAAGTTTCATCATGTTTTACATATTCACGTTTGATAAAAGCAATTTGAGCCATCGAGGAGTATTTGATTTTTATTGCATGACTTTTTTCCTTTTGAAATTAGAATTAAAAGATGAATTACTTACTTTATTTGCTTTGAGTTCAAAAGGATTGGGTTGACCTGAGATGTGTGGCGGCAAAAAGTCAACAAAAAGAGGAAATATTTTGTGGAAGATTTATTAATTTTAATTTTTTTCTGTTTTGAATACCAGGTGTTTCGCGAAATTTTGTTAATTTCCTTTCTGATAACAGACAAAATTTGATTGTTTTAGTGTACGATAGAAACAGTGTTTATTAAAACAAAGTTTTGTTAAAGGCAGGATTTCTAAAGACAATATTTGATTTCTGTCTACGTTAGAAACAAAGTTTGCTAAGAAAATGCTATCAGTTGCATGGTTTTCCCCTTTTTCCTTATCTTGTTGAATACGCCCATAACTGGCGTCGCTGAGTTTATTTCACAGTTTTTACATTAACAAACTAATGCAATCATTTGTTTATTTTTAGGGTCTCCTTTCACTTGTTTTGATGCCAAGCAGTATGGTAAATCGATTTACTTTCTGTTTACATTTTTATCATTATATGTTGTGATAGGTGAATCTGAAACTTATGAAAAATTTTGCTGCCTTACAAATAGACCAGTTGTTTTCATTATTTTAGCACCAAATGCATCACTCACCTTCATGTATGCATAAAAGATATATAAGCTTATATTCAATAACGTCACCTGTCCCTGAATTTGTCATTTGTATTCGTTGGTCAAAAAGAAAAGGCCTCAAGCTGCTCATAATTAAGATTAGAAACGTTAGATTTAAGGAATCCCAGTCCTATATTTTCAGCGCATATTCAGAAATTAAATGTTTATGGTCGTTATTGATGCTATGTTAATGATAGCAATGACAATGGGTTGTAATAGATAACACGATGACGATTCGTCTTTGAAAGATCATATAAAGTATTCGTGTTCAAAACCTTATCTAGTCTCCATGCTTGTAATGAACTTATCAACATTGTACGAGGAGAGGGGGGATAGACTAGTGGCAATATTTATAGCCTATTCCAAGGGAAATTAGCTGTGGGGGCAAACCTTTGTTTATATAAGGTGAAGGGCAATAACCTATTGTTTTAGACAATATAGTTATTGGGGCTGCAGAGGCAATCCTTCCCCCCTCTAGTTAGTATCTTGAAAAAGGCCCTGGCAACATTCACACATTGAGGTGGTCGTAAATCCTGGGGTTGTCAGCAATTGGCCTTAAAAATGGTGATATTAGCTGTTTGCTATCATTATTAGCTAGAATCAGCTGATTGCATCCTAAAGAATCTTTTTTCCAAAGGTACGTTATTACTGGTAGACAGTGAAGAGGAATATTTCCCGGAAGAAATAATCAAGCTTAAACACGATATATTTCATCATAAATTATCTGTTATTGTGTTCGGTGAGTGGTACAACAACGAGGTTATGAAGAAGATCAAGTTTTACGACGAAAACACGAGACAATGGTGGTTGCCTGACACTGGTGGAGCCAATATACCTGCGTTGAATGATCTTATGAAATCATGGGGAGTTCAGTTTAGTAACAGAATTTTTGAAGGCAAATTCACTCTTGACGGGAAAGAAGGTTGGTATTTTCTGTCATTTGGTTGTGTGAGCGGTTTAATCATTATTTGTGAATTTTCGAACGATGTCTCACCTTTAATGATCCTTTTAAATAGTCATTGATTGAGGAAATGGCTTATCAGGGCCAGTCCAGTTGTCTCTCATTTGAGGTAAGAACCTGAACATGCAAAGTTTGCGTATGCAATCAATAAAACAAAATAGCAGCTTTTTGTTTCTTGCATTATAACTTTAACTAAGGAGAACAAATCGGGTTTCGTTTCCTTACCTAGATTAAAGATTGTGGTAAATAATTTTCCAACACAGATTTAGATGTTAGTTAGAATCACAGCGTATCTAGCAATAAAGCGTTGCTATGTTAATGTTTTGTCATTGATTAATAATTGTCAAATATCTCATTTCATACTTTTCCAATTCAGTTCCATACACATCCGGAACAAGCTTGGCACAGTTTCCTGACAAGGGTATTGTTATTTACGCTGAGAAATTAAGCGACCAAAAAGGAGCTGTTCTGACTGGGAATCTTAAGGATGAAAATGATGTACCCGTCCTAGGCCTCTATCACCCGACTGCAATTAATGCAGGCCGGATTTCAGTGTTTGGTGACTCTAATTGCCTGGACAGTGCCCATATGGAAAAAGGTTTGTGTTTATGACAGTTCGGGTGAGGTAGTCTTAGCCATGTATGTAGAATTGTGGTACTGTGGTCAGTGTTTGATTCCGGTCCCGGATCTTAATTTGGATTCCTGCTTTGAAAATAACTGGAATCTTGCTTTCACTTTTTCAGGCTTAAATGATGACAATATAAAGCCAGTGTTGTATTGTAATGTAACTAGATTTTGAACCAGAATATCCGTACACTGAACTAGAAAGTGTGGTGTGAGAGCTTTCACAGAAAGATTTCTTCCATGGCCTGCTACTCTCAAACAAGTGAAATTCCTTTATAGATGCTATAAGTCAACATATTTCCGATTCTACACATCTAGTCTATTCAAGTGTGTGCTTTATTATGCAAGTAAATCTAGAGGTGCTGGAGTTGAGTTTTAAAGTATATTGAAAATAATTTATGCATTGAAAATGTTGCACAGCGCTGTTTTCAAAAGAAATACCATGCGGCTCGTCAGTATTAGAGCTGTTTTTGCTTGCGCTAGAGCGGCCTATTGCTAACTGTTGCAATTACCATCTTCTCTTTTGATGATCATGTTTCATTAATATATAGATTGTTTCTGGCTGCTTGATATGCTCTTGGAGTTCTCAGCAACTGGAATAATTCCCAGCGTCTTGCTAGATGCTGCAGGGCCCCCGCTTACAGATACAAAAGCAAAGTCGTCACCGGAAAGGATGTATGGTAGGTGACATCCTTACTTCAAAATTTAGGATAGAGAAACTTGAGATTTCAGGTCTCTATTTGACAAAAGCAGAAGCAGTTCTTCATTCTACAGGGAGTATTTGCATCTCTGAGAGCGAAAAATCTCGTAGCTTCATCGGCAATAAGAGAACGCTTCTTTACTTTGTAAACAAGACAGACCAACAAAAAGAGTTCTTACCATCATTTATTTGGCAAAAAATTATAAAAAAGCTATACCAGGGGCGGACACTTGGTCAAATATTGGGGGGGGGGGCAAGCCTGTTGTTTTAATAAGATGACGTCTTATTTCCCCATTGTTTTAGAACAAAAAACCATTGTCCTCGAAAGTATTTGGGGGCGACCGCCCCCGCCCCCTCGCTCCCAGGTGTCCGCCACTGAGCTATACCAAAAGTTTTGTTTGAATTTTAAAAATTAAGCTTAATTAAGTCCAACACGTAGCGGTTTTTGATAGGTCTACTTGCCTAATTGAATCCCGTTGACTGATTATGCCCTCAACCTTTCTTTTTTCATCAATGCTAGGCATTTTGTTTAGTGCAATAAAAAGTCGAATTCCTGCTTTGTTGTTTGAGGTGGATTTTAGCTCAACCTATAAATATTCCTGATAACCCTGGACAAAAATCGATATTGTGTCATACTGTCAACCGTGACATACGTCCTGTTCAGTAACCCCACGTAAGCCCTCTGGTCATATGCGAAATCTCCAAAATCATGACTTTTTAGGAAGTATCATAAAGATCCTTCTGTTTGAACCAACTTGTTCCCAAGCTGTCACCGTTTGTTTTACCTTTATCCACTTTTAACTAGTTATTTTTGCTAAATACAATTTTTCTGTTTTCAGGTACAAAACTTCACAAGCATTCAAAAGTTCTGGATCCATTAAAAGCCGGTGTTTTCAAAACACGTCCACTTCCTCCTTGTCCATCTTTGAAGTGGGCAGTCTCTCATCCAGTGAACATGACAGCACCTCCAAATATAGTTTTAGGATCACAAAAGGTGAGGTGAGTAATTTACTTCCATTTTTTACATTTATTTTCTTGCTGAAGATTTTTATTTTTCTTATAACAAATGTCTCAACGGAAAATATTTTTTCCAGGGCATTCCTTTATTTTGCCGTAAGCATTTGGTAGGGAAAGTACTTTGTGTATGGGGTAATTCTCTTAACGAGCTATGCAGAATTAATTTGGGAAATAGGACGAAGGGACCGTATAAAAATGCTTTGACAAGTGATGTCCGATATTTTTTTATTTTCAACGTCGATTACTTGTTTCAACAATGTCTTTAATAACTTAGAGTTGAATAGAGTTAAACATATTGTGGATCAACAAGTTGATCAATAATTAAGATCGATATTGTTTTTGCCTGAATAGTTCTGAAATTCCTTTTGTCCACTTGTTGAGTCACAATTTCTTGTGCTTTGCAGCTTCCAGTAATCAAGCACGGCCAGAAGAACCTACTTGATTTCAATGATGAGCAGACACTGACCATTTACAAAGACAGTGAGAATGCAGACTTCAAAATTATAAACGGACTTTTACTAACTTTACCAGCATATGTAGCCCTGCTCGGTATTGTATTCTTTCTATTATGTATCGTTGCGCGGAGGTTCAGGCGAAAGCCAAGAAATATTCTTGTAAGGGTAGGTCGACAAATTAGGAAATTTTAAATTGTAAATAGGTTTAGTAATGTAGAAGAAGTATTAGAAGATTGATTCAAAAAATTCCTTTTGTATTGATTTCTTTTCCTTTTGTCTCCGGAAAATTTTTTGGCTTTTGAAAAGAGCCCTTTCAGATGACAATGGCAGCATCTACGCATATTGGTAGAAATTGTCCGCAAAGTTTCCTAATATATTTTACTTCACTAAAGAGGTTGTATTTTGATCCTTAAAAACAGTTATACAATAAACTTTCTGACATTAGCTAAGCCACTATGTTGGAGCAAAAACATTTTCTGATTTAAGCTTATTAATTGTTTTACTCTCGAAAAGTCCTCTTGGCATAAATAGGCGTAAATACTCTCGAAAAGTCCTCTTGGCGTAAATAGGCCTAAAAGGTAACAAGCCTTTTCGTCTCACATTCCGTTTCGCCGGAGGGGCGATCGCCCTTGTGAAAATTTTTTCACGAAAAGGATTGAAGGTTTTCTGTCATAATTTTCTTTGTTTTGACCACCTGGCTTCACTTGTGTGCTGGATAAGTGTCCCCTTGAAATTCCCTGCCCCTGTACATGGCAAAGCCAATATCCTTGTGGTGTCCGTTTGCTCGCTAAGAAGGTGAATTGCAATTTCTTTCCGATATCTCTACTGATCGTGAACCAGTTTTTTGTTCTTGCATTTGAAAGTGTGAATCAAAATTGTTTCTGTCTTGAAAATGAAAGGAATGAAGTTCTAAAATGGCGTTATTCTCTATAATTTGCTTAAGTGTTTCAATTCTACCAATCAGTGATGCCCCAGAGATAATATTGTCCAATATAACTTCCTTATTTCAGTTAAGACAATTTTTAGAAACCTTTACGCTTTCAAAGAAGCTTTTTATCTTGTTATTGGGGACAAGCATCTTCTTGGGGAATCTGAGAGTATGGTGTAAACTTGGCTATAATATATGCCAAATGTCGCTGAACTCAAACCATCCCATTTTCAGAATTTTCAGAATGTGATTCTCCTTTCTAAGTTTGCTTTTCTCGCAATTTAAACTGATTCAAAATATTTCCTCTATTTCTAAATTAAATAATGGAAAGTGCACAACAAAGCTCTTTCTCCAATGTTTAGTCGATTGAATCCAGCATTAGTTTGCAAGGGTTTTTAAGGCCCACATTGGTTAAAAAGTTATTACCAGCAGCTACTTTTCTCTTTCTTGATTGAAGTCTCAAAAATTACGAAAATAAGTAACTTAAGTAGTTTTCTGAACATAAGTAACTAGACGTGAGATGATTTCTCTGTCAGGCTAACAACTTTGTCGTGTTTGAAGCTTAGAAACACCGAGATAATGCGACAAAAAGCATGCTTGATCATTTACACCTCGAGATTGGGTAATTGAATAAACGCTACAAACAACATTTTCTAACAACATACTCGGAACAAAATCTGAAACTGTCCGGATACTTTCGTGAGGGGAGTGTATAAACAGTTTAACGCTGTAGAGCTTCAGACGGAGACTCTGGCACTACGACAGGGCCAAAATTGATTCTATCCAAAAAAGCATCGAGAGATATCAATGGCGAGAATCTCTTCAATCGATTCAGTGCCCCAACGAACAAGTAAAGTTGCTGACAGAAGTCGTTCTCAACGTGTGCTCGAATTTCATACCCAATGAAATCAAAACGATAAGGCCGTGTCAAGCCCCATGGGTGACCAAGGGTATCAAAGCATTTCTTCGGAAAAAGAATCGCGCCTACAAATCTTTTGTTAGAAAGGGCCGACCTGCAGACATGCATAGAGAAATCCAAAACATGATCTCTCTAAGTTCTAAAATTGTTGAAGATGCTAAGCAGAAATATTACTCCAAGATCGGAACGACTCTTGCAAATCCTACTACTGGTAGTAAAACTTACTGGTCGCTGATCAATAAAGTCCTAAACAAAGCTAAAATTCCAGAAATACCTCCCCTCCTAGAAAATGACATTTTTGTTCTTGACTTCTCATCTAAGGCTCAGATTTTCAATGATTATTTCATCCTACAATGTACTACTTTAGACACTGGGAGTGACACTCCACGAGATCCACCGGAACATGGCACTGAACTAACAAACATCGCTATAACTGACGATAAAATATTGAGAATAATTCGATCGCTAAACCCTAACAAAGCTCATGGATGGGATGATATCTCTGTGCGAATGATAAAAATTTGTGATAGCGCACTTGTACTGCCATTGAAGTTAATCTTCGAGAATTGTTTGTTTAAGGGTATTTTCCCTGAAACTTGGAAGTGTGCAAACGTTGTTCCTGTGCACAAAAAAAATGAAAAGAACTTAAAAGAGAATTATCGACCAATTTCCCTTCTTCCGATTTTTGGGAAAATCTTAGAGAAATTGATTTTTGATTCTTTATATTCTCATTTGCTTTCTGAAAACATCTTGAACCCAAACCAGTCAGGTTTTCGTCCGGGAGACTCAACGATAAATCAGTTAGTCTCTATTACTCATTCTATCTACTCTGCGCTCGACTGTAATCCAACTCTTGATGTTCGCTCTGTATATCTTGACATCTCTAAAGCGTTCGATCGGGTATGGCACATCGGCCTTCTTTATAAATTACGAATATGTGGTGTTTCGGGAAATCTGCATACCCTTCTCTGCAGTTTTCTGTCAAATCGTAAGCAGCGAACAGTTTTGAATGGCAAGTCTTCTAGTTGGGGTAATATTTCTGCAGGCGTTCCACAAGGCTCAATCCTGGGACCTTTATTGTTCCTCATATATATCAATGATTTGACTGAGGAACTTAAATGTACTGTTAAATTATTTGCTGATGATACTTCTCTCTTTACCATTGTAAACGATCCTAAATTGGCAGCTGATGACATGAACCATGACCTGGACCGTATAAGATCATGGGCACATAGATGGAGGATGTCATTCAACCCTGATCCTAGAAAGCAAGCAGTGGAGATAATTTTCTCAACAAAGAGAGACAAAATTGATCATCCCCCGATATTTTTTAATAATATCCAAGTAATGAAAGTGGACGAGCATAAGCATCTTGGGCTTACACTCGACTCTAGGCTTTCTTTTATAAGTCACATAAATGCAGCTATTGCAAAATCAAGAAAAGCAATAGGAATGTTGAAGTTTCTTTCAAAATATCTTCCTCGAGAAACCTTGAATATGCTTTATAAACTTTATGTCAGACCTCATTTAGATTATGGTGATGTGATTTACCACCTTCCATGCAAGGAAATCAATTCAAATAGCCGCGGCAATATCCTGATGCAAAAACTCGAATCGGTACAATATTCTGCAGCATTAGCAGTAACAGGAACATGGAAAGGTACCTCTCGTGAAAAGCTGTATCAAGAGTTAGGATGGGAATCCCTGTACTTGAGAAGATGGAGTAGACGACTTTTCATGATCTACAAGATCATTAACAATCTGATGCCAGATTATCTAAGAGATCCTATTCCCCAGCTGATTCAATCATATTATGCTTTTCGTAATCAACCCGTTGTTGGACAAATTAGAGCAAGAACTGAAAAATATAAGTCAAGCTTTTTCCCAAACAGCTTACATGAATGGAATCAGCTTGACCCTGAAATCAGAGAATCGCCTTCCATTGATATATTCAAGAATAGATTGCTGTCAATCATTAGACCACTTTCTAACTCTGTTTTCGGTATCTATGACCCACGAGGGCTTTCTTTATTAACTCAACTTAGGGTAGGGTTGAGCAAACTAAATTTCCACAAATTCAGTCATAATTTTAGTGACACAATCAACCCGATGTGTCCGATCAACGATGGTCTTGAGGATACGGAGCACTTCATATTGTCATGCCATTCTTTTGAAAAACAAAGACATGACCTCCTCGCTTGTGTCATTCCAGTACTGCACTCTTTTGAATTTACCAACGTTCCTAATCCTATCCTTTTACAGATTCTTTTGTACGGCGACAAAAAATTGCCATTTGAAGTAAATAAATTCATTTTGGAATCTACTATTCTGTATATTTCAAGAACGGAACGCTTTGAATGATCATAAAATCAGTTTCATCAAATATCCCTTAGTCTTGTGTCTCACCCACTTATTTGCTTTTTTCAGTTTTTCAAAACGTATTATCTTGTACCTGTAATCTTCTATATATATATACTTCTTTTCTTTTTTTTGTAACATTGATTAAGTGTAAGTGTAGCGTTCGTATTTGTTTCTCTAGTTGCATGTAATGGCCATGGGGTTGGCATTGTCCATTGCTCTCCATGGTATCGTACCTGTAGTATCGTAAAGTAATTAGCAAGTAATGTAGAATGTAATTTGTATTGTAACATTTTATCTGGATATAAAAAAAAAAAAAAAAAAAAAAAAAAAAAAAAACACTGCTTGGAATGGTAGAGCCTAAGCTGAAGTGGCAAACTGTTTATCTGAAGGCTGCGAATCGTCTTAATTCTTGCCCGAGGGATCAAAATACTTTTTAAATGCCAAATACACTATAACCAATAATGATCCTGTTAGAATATATTACATTATTAAAAGATCTTGATTCTTCAAGTGTTGCCAAAATAAAAGTTTAGGGAATGTTCCTTCAAACGCTGTTAGATAAAAAATCAAGACTTTGATTGTTGGTTCTCAGTTCAATGTAACAAGATGGATCTTAAAACAAAACGATTTCCTTGCAGCCTACGTGGGTGCCTGCGCTTTGATATTGTAATTCTGCAGCGTCATAATTTTGACCAACTGAACCCTGGGATGAAAAAGTGAGATGTCAGTTATGTTACAAGGCTATCAAAAGAGCCCAACGATAACACATCTAAGTGTATGTATTGTATCTCAAAGACAACATGTCATACATTGGCAGCTGCATGTACAGAAAGACCGCAAAGGAGACTGAACTTTGTTAAAACTAAATGTTCACTGTTCCATTCTGCCATGCAAAACACTTCGTTTAGAAGAAAGAGGTGGATGCAGTGACGCCCAATTTTGCGAACCATCTTTTTTCAAGCAAAAAATAAACAATGTTGCACCAATAATGCTTAAAGATATGTAAAAAATCATTGGTAGAGGTGGGAATGAGATGAAGTTTTAAGATGAAACAGTGGATAAAATTACAATTCACTTCAACCGATTTGCTTTTTTGAATGGAAAAGAGGCTGTGGCAAGGCAGCTGTTGAATTTTGATGTGGCAGGATGGCGTCCGAGGCGCCTGATCCCAGTTCTTCGGAACTTCTTACAGATTTTGATATAGCAGATGTCGATAATTGGGATGATCAAAACGACAGTTCAAAGGTGGGTTCTAAGAAGAAAGGCCTAGTTTCATTTTGATAAAAAACTTGCCCGAAACACATGAAATTAGCCAGCCAAAACGAACTCGAATTCCAGCTGCAAAGCGATTTACTCAAAGAAAGGGTGATTCAATTGCAAATCTTCTGGAAGGAGAAAATGAGAAAAATAGAAGGAAATGAGTTAGTAATCGTGAATAGTTAGCTTATAGACAAGACGATTCCAGTATAAATGCTATATTTTAGCGACTGGTGTCAATCTACGGCGAGATAACTGGAATTTTGGGTGTGAATTTGGAAGCCCAGGCGAAGCGCAGATAACAACACATGTTACCGTCGGTCTACTCCAAAAAGGAGCGTTTGTAACGAGGAATAGGATATTTTTTATATTTTGAGTTACAAAATGTTTACTGTTATATTTATGTTAAGTAAGTCGTTTTGCTAGCCCGTATTTTTCAAGATTTTTCGTCTGTTTTATAATCGGCTCCGTCCGAGTTTAAAAATTTTTCGCCATCTTTAGTCTGGAAATGCTGCGGTTTTCTGATCCTCCCAGAAGTCACCTCTCATTGGTTGAAATTTACCACGTGGCTAAGCGTCACGTATTTTGTTGTGAATGGCTTTGTATAAATGCAACATAAGAAGCGGGAAATTCAAAAATTTAAAACGCGTGCCATGCACTCTGATCTAGGTATTATTTTGAATGTTTCAAAATCTGTTTCCTTTGAAATAAAAAAATTTGCACCTTCCAAATTTTTCCTTACAGCACAAAGGTGTTAAGAATTTATTCAATGCCTATATGTTGCTGTTGATAACCTAATATAGAATTAAACTTTCAAAACCATTGATTCAAATTGATCTTTTAATTCCAATGTTTTTTTGGCTTTTCCATATTGATGCCATAACCATAGGCCAACCATTGGTAGCTAGGGCTTTTAACTGGGAATGGCATAATATCACTCTGGCACCCCTTTCAAACAATTCATAGTACAAAAAAAGAAGACAATTCCTTTTTGTTCTAAATGCCACGACTTGCAAACTTTTATTAATCAGAAAGTGTTCTAAATTTAGTACCTACAGGTACCATCAATATGGTTCTTGGAACAATAAAATACCATTTCCATAAACACAAAAATAAATGCTTTTAAAAAATTATCTTTCTGTCCAACAAGGTAAAAAGATAGATGCGATATCTGAAGTCACAAAGTAAATGAATACACCTGGAAGCTATTTGTACACAGCAGAGCTTCACAGAAAATAATTAAGGGAGGCCAGTGTAATATCTTAAGAGTTAACTACTCTGGCTTGTTCAAGGCTATTTGACTACCTTCTCTGTTAGGGTCGTATTAGTTTTAATTTGTTTCACAGTCAGGGAAACTGCACATAATCATACCATATCAGAAGCAGCAATTTGAAGAAAATATAAAACTTCTATATAGAACATTGAAATTCTTACTGCTAGTATTGCATCTAGCTGCTAAAGAATATATTATCAGCAACGCATACAAAATCTATAACCAGTAGCAACTGAATCACTGCCTTAACATCTGTTTTATCCCTTTAGCGAAGCTAATTTTCAAGGGAATTTCTAAAATTTTCAACCTTAAAGGTAAAGAAAAACAAAATTTTTAAGCCTGACAAAATTAAAGCCCAAAACTACTTCCAAAACACTTTTATGTATTATGTATTTGAATGAAATTTAACAACAAAAAGAAGGCCTTGTGTACCTTGAGGAATTCAAAATATATTTATCTTGAGCAGTGCATCCTCCTTTTCCAACTTTATACCATAAAAAGGCCATTTTCACCAATACTTATGTTGTCCCAATTGTTTATTTATGTAATTGTTAAGTGCAAATTGAAGCTTCTTTTGTTGGACATAACCAAGCCACATGGTACCAAGTTTTGGGCATAACCAATGTAGAATTATGTGGATTTCTAAGCCAGTTTTTGAAAAAATGACAGGATCCTTATGACTACAGATTTGTATAGACTTTGAAAATGTTTGTCGAGTAGAATAAAATTTGTTTGTTCTACCCAGAATATTGACTGTTTCTTTAAATGTTTAAAAAACCTTTTTAAGAAGTTAATGTTCATGCAAGGCAGAGTAGGTACAACTTTTAGCTTCACAACTGCTGTTACTAATGAAGTCAGCACTAGCACAAAAGTGTATATTATTCTTTAATGACAAGCAGCTAATCTTGTGGGAATTTGAATTCCTAGAAAAAATTCAGATGATGCTGTGGATATTCTTCATTTTATCTTTAAACTTAATATCTTCTAGCCAAAGTAGCCAAAGAATGACAATTTTTGATTTTATTTACAAATTTTGTAGTTCAAAGTGATCTAGCTAGGGTGGAAATATTGGAGGGACAGAGACGAATCTGACAACATAGGGTGTAGGGTTTACTTTTAGGGGAATTTTCGCAGACCACAGCCTTGAAAATTTGGGAAAACGTTCCATTTTGTAAATGTGTTTGAAATAACCTCTGTGGTTTAGTTGTGGCAATGATTGGTTAATACAGTCACAACAACAACACAACAACAGTCATATGTAGATTATAAAGGCTGGATCTTTCCATTCTACAACTTTCATTTTCCAATCCTTTCAGGTTTTATATTCTGAATTGTGTCAGCGGAAAAAGCTCTATGTGTAGAAACTGTTTTTTCAATGTTGTAAGCAAATATCTAAAAATAATTAATAGTGTTCAAAAACTTCAAACTTAGTCCATTCTACTAGGAGCAAAATCTGTAGAATTCTTTCAAGCACAAAATTATCTATCTTGTAAGAATACCCAATTCTTAAGAAGCTTTGCAGTCAGTATGGTTCAATCATAATTACCTACTTATATATAGTCTGCTTATAAATGGGCTCTTTTGACCCAGGGCTTTATGCTTATTAGAAAACATTTCCTGTTATCATTGTTTACAAATTAACTGCATAATACTTGAATTTGTTTTGTCTTAATTGATATTCACACTCTTCAGTATGATTTCCTACTCCTTTACCATATTTTAGTATTTATAGTTTTTAGTACTTACTCTCACCATACTTACCTGCTAATATTTTGTTTTAGGACATAAAGCTTGTGAAACCATCTGCTCCTTATGTTCCATCTCCGACAATCCCTCAACTAACCTCTTCAATTCAGAGCCCATCAATCACCCAGTCACACTTGAATATTGGCTCACCATCATCAATTTATTTTCCAATGAATACAAACCATTCTAACCAGGTAGGGTACAAGTTTTTAATGTCTAGATGAACAGAATTAGCCCTTTGATATCCTGCAGAAATGCCATCTATTTTCCTAATTGTCCTGATTTTGTGATCACCAATGCTTAATGCAGTTGTGTAAGGCAGAATGAAGATCACATTCATTCTAAATTTTTGCAAATTCCTAATCTAAGATTACCTAGTAGCTGAGCAATTTCATTCTGTTCTCTGGGCCATTCTTTTGAGTACATCTACCAGAAATAGCCAAAGTTTATTTCAGTTCAGTTCAGTTCAATTTTCATATTTTAAATTCCCCACATACAATATATCATAACAAAACTAATTAATACAAACAACTAAACTACAATAATAACAATAATGCGCCTAAAATTGATACAACATACAAATACCGAATAAAGAACAAGATAAATTCATTGGGGGGAGTTACTTAAAGGAGGAGCTCTCTTAGTAGTTAAACTAATCAAGGTGGAAGCACCCCCTGTTTCAAAAATTTCTCGTACAAATTTGATTATTTAAGGCATAAAAGAAACTATGGGCAGATGGCGACTTTCTATATCAATAAGTTTGCAATCAATTTTGGTAATGGTTTTGAAAGAGGAAGGCTTTGAGTTTTTGTCAAAAAATATTAGCAGAGGGTGATTTCTTTATATCCACAGGAATGTCATTCCAGCATTTAGCACCTTAATAGCGCACTGACCTGATACCATATTGCAGAGTATTATTTTGGGTTAGAAAAATATCATTTTTGGTGACTTGCCGTGTCTCATATCGATGAACGGATTCAACTAGGTCAAAGAAAGAATGAAAACAAGAAGTAGAGATCCTATTCACACAATCATATACAAAACTAAGCAGTTTCAATTGGAAGAGATCGTGCAGTTTTAAAATCTGTCAATATAGTTGTGCAGTTTGCACAAGTGTCAATAAAGACACAATAAGTGGAAACATAACACATTATACTGAAGCCCTTTTTGTCTGACATTCCTTAGAGAAAATGTTGTATAAAATTTCAGAAATATAAACATGAGTATATGAATAATACATGTTTCATGCAATTGCTGTTATTGTCAAATCAATTGCTGCTTTTAGTTCTTATTTTTGTCTTGTGTCTTTTGTATACTATCCACTGCTTTTTTGATCAAATAAAAACCAAATTTTCAATTTTAGCTAAATTTGTTTACTCTACATTAAATGCATTTCTCTATTATATATTATTTTATATTGAAAAATACATGGTTGTCAATTAAATATATGGGCATAATTAAAATAAATTATACTAGACACAAATAAATCATAAACAGTAAAAAGAACTATTTGTCACAGTCTAATATCAAAGTATCTGTAGATATTAACTTTTTACTTTAAAAAGTCAATTTCTAAAATTTGTCTTATTTCTTTCGCTGCCAGGTTTATTTTAGCTTTTTATATTTTTATGAAATTTGCAGAAAAACATTTTTTCACTTATAAAAACTTAAAATAATAAAATAAAATATTGATGTATATCGCTCTTACACAGAGCTCTTAAACAAGAATTGCAATTTTGATACTTTCTGTGTGACAAGAATGTTACTATTTTGAAGGAATTTTAGTCCCCCTTCCAATTTCTTTCTCCGACTTTGTGAATAAAAAATCAATTCTTTTCTCTGAACACTGAGCTTTCTATAAATCCATATTCTATACAGGATCAGATCACTTTACCCACCAAAGCTAGAGTCTTATAACCTCTGAAAGTCAATAGGAATGTTTATTGTCAGCTACTGGATATTATAATGGAAAGAATGCCTTCTCTGCTACTTTACAGAAGCACACCTTCCTATTAGATAACAAACTAGACTACACCTATTTCAAAGTCTTAAACATTTTGCGTATCTTTCATAGCGTATCTTCACATCATCATAGTTAATTTGCCTTGATGTTTAAAAGCTAATTATTTTCAAATCTTCTATCATTTATGAATAAATTTTTAAACAAAACTGCTGTTTGTCCCTCGTTAATTTCGGTTTTTGATAATAAATTTTTCCTAGATACATGGTAAGATGCCATTCTTTAATTGTATGGATCTATTATTAAATTTAATCCACTTTCTTATTTTCACTTTTCTGTAAATATTGTTTCATGGTTAATTTTGTTTTTTTTAATTACTTTGGTCGTTTGTATTTTTTATGTAACAGGAACCCAAACTGGCAGTGACTGCATATCACAAACAATTATTTAGTTTATTTCAAGTTATTTGATTTAAATTATTTGCATTTCAGTTTAAAACGACAGAATTATGCATTGGTCTTAATTTCGATTCTAGCAATTAGGTTCTTCGTCTCCAACTTTGCCATACCCTTCTGCAGAAGGCCACGACTATGTCAAAGCTGGCAACTCGTCAATCAATGCACAAGCACTTCTTCAGTCTCAACAAAGAGCAAGCGCTGTTAATGAGAGCATGAAATCAAAACAGCCCCAGTCAGGGCATGCTCTTGAAACACTGCGAGCATTAGCACTAGCCCAGGAAGAACAAGCAAGAAAGCTGAAGGAAGAACAGGAAAGAGCAATGCTTTTACAGCAACAGTCGAAAAGTACTGCAGGTACTTCCCCAAAACCACAGGCTACGAATCTGGTGCAACAAGGTATCCAGCTAACTGGAAACGGTGCCCCCGGTAAACAAGTATGTATTCCATTGACATCCCTGAAGCTGCCAGTCAATGATTCTAAAAACAAAAATGCCAAAGGGAATTCGGTTTTGCAGCTTCGGGGACAACTCGTGAAAACCCCCGATCAGAAGTTAATGCTTGTCACTGAAGTGGCTGGCAAGAAAGTCGGCTACTTGATATGTCCCCAGTCAGGACAGTTACAAACGGCAGCCATGTCAGTCGCTTCTCAGCTTGCCTCAAAGGCAACACAGGGAAATGCACAGTCGCCATCACCAGTCCAGGTAACCCAATCTGCCCAGTCGCCTGTGACTAGCATCAGTTCGTTAGGGAGTTCGTCACCAAGCTATCCTGTTTTCAAGGCGACCAGTCCTGCAGCTGCAAGCACGAATTTCGGCCTGGAAACTGATGCAAATGAAAACACAGGCCTGAGAGAGGAGCCTTCGCCTATGTCAGTTGACAAGCAGGCTAGCGTCACTGTTAGCAGCGATGAAGAAGATGATTCATCTCTTTCGGAAGTTGCAGCAAGTTTGCAAAACACGCATATTCAGCCAGCGGTATTGACGGAGAAGAAGAAAAAAAGAGGAAGACCTAAAAAGAAGAAAGACAAGAATGAGCCTGTAAAGTAAGCATGTCTCTTGCTGACGATTCCTTTTCACACAGGCATCCAAACACTTTTGGAGATTTTATCTTAGCAATTCTCAATTCTCAATTCTCTATAGCAATTCTCAGGCTATTCACTGCATGCCTTTGAAGATTTTTGTCAATACCGCAAGCTGAAGCTCGTTTACTCCACTTTTTGTCTCAATTTTACAAAGCTCAAACTTTTCAGTACTGGCTAAGGTAAACTAGATATAGTGATTTTAGCGAATGTGAACCTTTTTCGCCAAGCTTTGGGAGAGAAAATAATTTCATTACTACTTCTATGTCTTTGATAAATGAAAAAAATGTAAAACCATTCGCTCTTTAATTTGCGTCTTTGTTTCATGTTTATGCTTTTCTTACTATCATGTTTAGTTATATGCCACGTATTATCTTTTTTATGGTTCGATAAAGCAACTGCTCTTCATATTACTCGGCTAATCACCAATCTATATTGCTTTTCTTAAATGACGTCATTGATCAGTTCTCGAATGTATGTTAGTATTATATTTCCAATAACTATGATCTCACAGCCATTCTAACAAATTCAGTATTGATACTGCTAAAATGTTTTATGCAGTAAACGATAAAAAACCTTTCACAACGATCAAAATGTAAAAGAGCATTTTTCGTGTTGCTAACTTGGTGATATCTTTTTTAGGCCTATTTCGCCGTATTTAATGTTTTTTAAAGATGTTCAACTGCGAGTTCGCCAAGAGAATCCGAAGGTAATCGACATGCCTCATTATTCCTTATCTTATTTGGTTACATTATTGAATATTTTGTTCTTATAGTATTTTAAGAATATTACTATGAAGCATATTAAGCCAAGTTGTTCTCTGCAGGCTGGCCTGGGTGAGGTATCGAAAATGATCTCAAAACTCTGGGAACAGGCTAGCAAAGAGGAAAAACAGGTAGCTACTTAGTCCACTGAATATGTTATGAATCCTAGCAGAAAATAAGCTGTTTCAAGTACAGAAGCCTTAATCTAATCTAAAAGCCTCTTTTGCAAAACTTTATAAGACGATGAAGAATCCAATGTTTTCTAAACTCAAATGTGAATGTAGAATAAACAAGGAGTTGCGGAAACAGCACACTGAAGCATTTTTTGTCTGACACACTCTCAATATAAACGTTGCAACATGATCCCGACTTGTGTAGACAGAAAGAGTTTGTTATCTTTCTTGACTCTTGCTGTTTGCTAGAAAGCAAAAAGAACCTATCAAACACGTCTTTCTTCCTGTCATATTGGATCTACACCTGGATATAAATTTCATGCTTACCATTGGTCATATTCCGACGTTTATACTCTGAGGAGTGTGCAAATACTTCAGAATACTATGTTACCCTAGTGTACAAGTTTGTCCGTTGTGTGCCTTGCAAGGGAGAAAATTGTGTTGCTTCTTTAATTTATATTGGACAAAGTTATTCTGAAGTATGTTATTAAAAATCGATCATTATTAAGATTCCGTTGATTTTTCTTTACTTTCAGATATACTTAGCCAAAAGTGCGAAAGAAAAAGAAGAATATCGAATTAAGCTCGCGGAATATAAGGCAAGCATTGGAGAGGGGGTAAGATATCTGTTGTCTGGTTCTGTTTCCTCTCTTAAATTTCTATACAATCAGGGCTGGTCAGAATTATAACTGGACACAGAGCTCGAATTGTTGGTTTTCATGTAACCTGCCCATAAAATGATATTAAAAGTACAATTAAATAAACTAACAGATGTCCAACAAATGTATTTATTAACCTAATTAAAACCTAAATCCTATTTGCAAGAAAAGTTATTTGCAAGAAAATTTAAAAATCCTATATCATTTTTTCAAAACAACCAAGGGAGGATTTCCATGTTATAGAATGTATCTTTCATTGAGTTTGGGTTTGTTTCGGGTATGTGCGTTGATATGATTTAACTCGCACTGTAGACTTAATTGTATCATGTATTCATCTTATTCCCGTTATGAATTTGACCTTTTGTTATAACATTTAGGTAATTATTTGTATTTTACATTATACCAGACGCCTATGTGTTGTATTATCCATTTACACTGCTCTGCAGTATTCTTTAGAGTTACTTTTCAACAAAGGTTGTATCTTTTTACCTTTTATACCTATCATTTTGAATTTTTTTTTATATTAAAATGCTCTCACATTCACTTCCAACATTACGAGTTTTGCCATCATGACGCTGTTTTCTTACTTCGTTACCAGCTTTTGTTTATGTTTCTATTTCCGACTAACTTTTATAGGTTGGCGATGGTTCGGGACGACCAAATGCTCAATTAACTACAATCGAAAATGCTAGTTATAGTGAAATGATTGATGAAAGCTCGAATAGTGGACACAATAATACTCCCATGGTTGTCTTGTCGTCTGACTCATCGCCTGAAAAGAATGGAAGCGAACTTGATTCCGGAGTCACTTCAGGTGTGCAATTCGCGACAGCACAGAGCTCGTCAATGGACACAAACGATGTACAGATTATGGAACCACCTCCTGTTAGAAAACGAGGAAGACCAAGGACAAAGAACCTACTACCTTCGAATGTAAAGAAAGAGCCTAAAAAAACTAAGAAAAAAGAGAAAATAGTCAGTGAAGATAGACCCACTCCGAAGCTTACTATGAAAATAAACATAAGGAACTCACAAATAACAGAGTCACCGACCAAGGCGTTGGAGGATCTGTCTAAAACTTTTTCTGATGACAGAGTTGAAGAAAAACATAAAGAAGAACACGAGGAGAAGCATGACGAGGATATAGCTGAGGAAGATGACATTGAAGACCAACCAAAGCCTACACAACCAAAATCCTTAATGAGCTTTAAAATACCGTTAAAGAAAAATCGTTCAACTGGCTCCTCTGATCAGAAGGAAAGCGCCATTAAGGAGAGTGAAACAGACAGTCAAACGGAGAAAGTAAGTATAACTGAATGATTGAGAAAATACTAACCCTAAAGAACTGCACACAAAGGTAACTAAGGTATACGGCTTTAGCTAAGCTAATCTTTAGATAAGCTTCAGCTTTTGCTTATTTCTATCAAGTCTCAAGGATACATACTTGCTTTGAAATCTCATGTTCTAGCCTGTTTGTTCAGTCTTATTCTATCCTGCTAGATTCACTTCACATAAGAGGATATTAGTAAATGCTTGAAATGTCGTTAAATTACATATGATTTTCGTATCCCGAATCGATTTCGCATAAATTTCATTTTGTAATTCATTATAGTAGTCAAAAGCTTTATTGTGATTTAATTTATTTCATATTCACTTCATATTGAATTAAGATAATCCCTAGGTTTGATTTACTCTTCTTGTGAATTGCCGTCGATTGCATTTTTCTCTTATCAAACAACTTTTCTAGGCTTCTGTCCCTGCCGTGCGAATATGCGCCAACAATGGCTGTGAGAACCCTGCTAAGATCAGTAAAGAGCGCGGGCCCCTGTATTGTAGCAGCCGATGCCTGGTAAACCACTGCAGGTAACCTTTCACTAAACTCTGTTATCAACAACTTCAAGGCCTATTTCGTTTTCTGAGATTCAGATGCCAAACTAGGGTTGTAAGTGGTGCTGAAGATCATAGGGCCTTCTCAAGCCTTGGCCATTCTGCGCGCAACAATGTTGCTCGAAATTTTGTTGATTTTTTTGCCGTCAAAACATTGAGGCCAAACAGGGCAACATTGTCGTACAACAACTATTGCTGATGTTGTCACAACAGTGCGCCAAATTTGATCAGATAAGTGGTTTTCCGCGCCATATTTGATTTGAGCACAAATTTGCATAAGTATGGCAGAAAGAAAGCAAGCTGCAGCCCCTGAAAGCTGATTTTGACATTGTGTTGCTTTTTGCACTCTTTGGTCTAGCACTCGTAGAAGCAGTAACATTTGGCCGATATGTTATTCTTCCTGTAGTCATCACATTTTTATTCAAGCTGGGCAACTTTTGAGCAACACTTGGAATTTGTAATTGTTGCCCGACAATGTTGCCCAGTTTGGCCAAGCCTTTAGTAATATCATTTAGCAAGAAAGTTATAAGCTTGAAATTTTTCATAGGCCGAATTAAAAAACAAGGCACCAGATGAAAGCCAAATATCTCTTGCAACTTTGTATTTAACCAGGTTTTAATTTTTCCATCCAATGTCTAAGATAGGCCTTTTGAACTTCAGCATCTTTAAAAGTTCCAGCATCCTTACCCCTTGAGTAAGTAGCGGAGCATTAGGCTCCAGGAGGGACAAATATGTTTACTAAATCGGAGCTCGTTGTAAACAGAAGTGTCTCCCTTTCAAAAAAATCCAAATATTCAATCTTAGAAGTTTCATTGTTTTTGTTTTGTTCATGAAACTTAAACCGTTGCTTTTTTGGTCAGTATCCACCATCTCTATCCTGTATGATTCGAAAAGTCTTGTAAGTTAGTATTTTGCTTATGTTCTTCTAGGAATGTCTTCGATGCATGGGTGGACGAAAGAAAAGAAGAATCAGTAAAAAATAGATAGATTTATTCAAGCGTTGTAGATATGTCTTCCTCAGTCAGGACGTTAGTTAATCAAATCCAGATGTAGAATCGTCATTAGTTCTTGACGATTTTCTCTCAAATGCTGTTTTATACAATATGGCAGATGTCTCTGACACGTTAAGTAGATGTTTCAAAAAGAAACGTATACTTAGCAGTAGAAAGAAGGCCTTCAGGGTTCTCTCTTCATACAGCTGCATAAACCGTGATGCATATGAGAAGTCGCTTATAGACTTACGAGATATCAGCATTAATATCGAGTAACTGGTAATTTTTATATGATAATTACTAAATGAAATATGTCAGAACCACTGAATTTGATGGTAGGACTTTTGAGGTATTTCAGCATTTTGAAAATTATCTAAATTATGTATTTAGACTTGTACGTGATTTACATAGTATTGCTTTGCAATTTTAGATCATCCAGATTGGTCTATCTATTGTTATATATTTCATAAAATGTTGAAAAATAAAGACATTTTCGATATACTCAAGACAACTGCTCTAGCAGTGATCATTAAAGGAATATCATTCACTCCTTTAAATGACATGTACAGAATCAAATAGATGCCTAGTGTTCAATTCCACAAAGTGTCTTCTGTGTCGTGGCTATTACTTCCTCTTTTTGTACGGGTCTATACAGCTTGGTTTGCTTACTTGACTGTTGTGTGACGTCATCCATATTTTCTGTGACGCCAATCTTAGTTTATTTTATGACGAAATTTTAAACCTTTTAAGTTATTTCAACTGCAAATGGATCAAAATTGTATATACAGTCCCAGTACCAAACATCACGCATTACCACAGCTACAAACATAATTGTATGTTGTTTTACAATCAACTGACTTGGAATCCTATTCGATGGTTTGCAGTTCAATGTTTTGATGTCAAGCAGGACTTTGAAATTCTTGTTTTTGCAAGAATTAATGATTTCTATCACACCGGAAAATACGCTTTTTTCTTTTCCGTTTTTATCAGGAAAGTTTCTCGTTAAGTAAAAAATGCATGGCTGTTCCGTAGATTGCTCTATGTTTAAGCTCGCTGGGATCTTTGGGTACCGCGTCATGGCTTTAATGAGCCCATCGAATCGAAAGCCATCACTATCCCAGATATGCTGGGAGTCCTTGCTATCTTTTAAGGAGCAAATACACAATTTTACATTTACACTTGGATCTTTGCACTCTCTGTAAATACCATACTGCGAAAGTCTGTCGTAAGAGAGAAGTTTCATCCGTTTTGATTTGAGTTTTGGGCTGGTTGTTGATTGCACCTCAACATGGAAGATGTCTTCCTCCTGCCCAGAACCAGGACCCGCCTTCACCATAAAATCCAAAGTTGTAATTAAGTTGCTGCCAGAACTGCGCTCTCTCACGTTGCTGAAGGAAGAAACGAATAATCTGTGGCATTTTCTCTGCTCAGAGTTTTTTTTATCTTTGCTTTTTCCAGTTATAAATTGCGTATCTATCATGTTATTCAGAGAGCCAACTGCGAATTCTACTATGCCAACTTGCTTTGTGTCATTTTTAGCCGGTGTATCCCAGCCTTCACACACGCATAGATTAGGCAAGGCAAGTTCAAGATCGTCACACCGTTTATTTGCAGGAATTACTTCCAGCAACCCGCGCTCTTTAGGAAATGTCCCGCGGGCGTTTTTGGTTGCTATTGCCAACATTGTTTTGTGCAGGTCTATCATCGTCAGTAGTCGTCTCGTATTCACGCGTAACGCCTTCACCGCGTCATCGCCGAGGTAAGATTTGACTGCGGGAGGCAGTATCATGAAAAGACTTGGATGATGCATCTCGAAACGGCCTTCTAAAACAGCACTGGTATATCTTGTGTATGTATTCCCATGATCCGCCATCAAAATAGTGAGGACGTTCTCCATTCTTGCCAGTTTTCTAACAAAATCGGCCAAGTCGTGATTCAAAGTTTGTACGCGCAGTCCTTTGTAATCATGAGCCGTGTTTATTGTTGTGAATCCAATTCGAGGCCGCCGTCTTCTTTTTTTCTGCGCGCTAAAGTATTCTAGCAAATGTTCGAAGTAATAGGCGTGTTGAAACCGGCCATTAAAACATATCTGATTGTCTTCCGGTCCGTTGAATGGAGTCTTCAAGTTGTTGTCAGCGAGGATCTTGCAACTTGCGAAGGATAGGCCTACAAGAAAGCTAATTACAAAGTTGTATCATGGTTTTGTTTTCTACTGTTTTCTACCATAAGTTATCTACAGTATTTCAAACTATCTCTATGCCTTCTCAATTTTCAATAAGAATTTGTCGATCATTTTTTATTTATTGGTTCTATAACTAAAGAAGTTTTCTTAGTGCCATCATGATTCTCAAAGCTAGGTGTTGTTCATTAACCGAAACTTGGCTGAAGAGTGCCCCTGTACAAGTGTGATTTTATTATATAACACTTTGATAACTTAAATGGTATATAAAGAACAGACCCCTGCATACTGTCATGATTCGAAAAAGCGCTTGTTAAATTTTTGAACATTTTACCCGGGCACTTGTTCTTATTTCTTCTATCATAAGATTAAGAAAAGACAGACGTAAAATAATTTCACTCCAGGCAAAAATAATTAATTGCCGATTATAAACAAGTCGAAGGTATCAGGAGGTTTTTAGGCAGCGCACGGAGAATGAACATGTTCTAGATTGGTTGCAGGAGGTTCTTAGGCAGCGCAATCTTTAGTAACTTCTAAAGATGTGTGTTTAAATATGACAATGCAGTTTGCAGGTGCTATTAGTGCCACAGCAAGTGCGACAGAGTTGAGTAGGTAATGTGGAATGCCAAGAGTTCATAATCTATCCTCCCCTATCTAATTATTACGATGAAATATAATGCGAACCATCGGTTTGATTGTATCAAACGTACTCTAAACACGCGAGCGACTACAGTGCCCGCCTGAAGTGTTGGAACACTCATCATGCCCTACTCAAGTCTCCCTTCTCCTCTCCTTCTATACAATGTTTGATTTTGAACAGAAAATGACCATTTGCACACTCGGTTTACCGATGTCAGAAGCTCTTCTTACCCATCAGAGTTTTGCCGGTTTGATTTTAAATAGTGTGAAGATATGTTTTATCAGCGGCTGCCCAAGCCATTCATCTGCTTACCATGGGCTTTTTATCATCTCGACTCCTCTACTTCCTTGCAGCTTCGTTTGAACAAAACTTTTTATTAAGGAAACTCTGTCTATTGAAGATAAGTGCCTTTGACGAAGACTGCTGGTCTTATATTGTTAAAAAGAGATTGCTATCAAGTACTAGGCTAACATTTCGATGCTGTTTGGCGAAAACGAGTATCAGCTGTCGATGCTAAAGTGCCTGACTTGTAATTTTGAAACTAAGATGGCTAAGGTGCAATTACAACATTATTTTGGGGGAACAGACCAACTTAGCTATTTAGGCAAAAATTGAATGTCAGTCAAAAATCGACTGAAACTGCTTGACTGTTCCAAGTACTTTTTGCAAGCCTTGTAGAATTAATGGTAAGTAGACACTCTGCATCGGCTGAGGACAAACCCAAATATCTGTCCCTTGTAAAGTATTTACTCAACAAACGCTTCGTATTTGGGTATTGCGGATATTTGCTAGACCAGGTAATTCTGCGGAACGTTCTGAAAGATCCACCCGATGAAGGCAGATATAGATATTTTACTCTCGCTAGGACTCTTCAATTACGTCACATGTGTAAGGACACTGATGAGTCAAAACGGAACTCAGGCTCACATGATCATGATTATGATTATGATCAGTCAACCCAGTTCCAACTTGAGTTTCACCCCGACCGCGTTCTTGACCTTGGTTGAAATTTCACCCCGCTGTGAAATACCCATGTGTGTGGAAAATTTGTCAACCAAGCTGAATTTTCAACGGCAATTAAATCTTTCCAATTAAATATAAATGATGTTTCTGCTATTCTTTTTATAACTATATATACTGTGCATAGTGTGCAGCAAAGAAGATACATGGAATTTTCAGCAGGGTTTCTGTGCAAGTATTGTGCAAGTGTGAGATTACATAAAGTTCCAACAAGACAAGTGGAAGGAAGTATCGCTTGATTTGACAGAAGAATGAGTAAATCTATTCTGCAAGCAAGGAGTGTATAACTAGATGATACTGTGTCACTCTGAATTTTTTCTTAGTTTAAGAGCTTCTTTGCATTTACCACTTAATTTACTACAGACGTACTTTATTGTCCCACTTATTTGACTTTTATGCTCTATCGTTCTTTACACTTATTCAACTAACTATACGCACGAGTCACGATAAATTCCCTGATCGTCGTAAACCACTTATAATTCGATCAGAAATAACAAGCTTTCTTTTCGCTACAATGATGAGAACTGTTGAGACTCTTGACTGACAAGGAGCTTTGTCCCCTTTCAACTCTGAAAATAAGCCTCATCTCTGTTAAATCACCTTTGGCTGGCATAATATCCGAGCGATCGTTTATTAAGGATAAAGGCATCATACTAATAGCCTGATATTTTTAGGCCATGACCATGGCTTTGTTATGATTTGCACGTTCCATCGATCCTTTAGATTTCTTCATGGTAGCAAGACTTACTTTACTAACATTTATTTCTAGGGGATTCGCTGTTGACTCTGGAAGATATTTCCTCTTGGTTGGGATGAGACGTTTTTGGTTAAACTGTAGTGACGTAAGCGCATCATTAGTCTAGAGCCCAGTTGCGTAATGCATTTCAGGGCACCTTAGTTACTTAGATAATTAAGGGCCCCCAATCTATAGGGGCCTCCAAACAAGCTAATAACCATGTTTTGAAGCATATAACTCAGCGATAATTGTGACATGCCCTACAACATTGGATGCTACCTTTTGGCAGTCCGTTAATAGGGGCCCCGTCGTAGTTTTTTCCCAAGGGGCCCCATATGACTCTGCTCTGCCGTGGTTGGAGCCAAATAATCGATTCTTTTATTAGGTTTAGCATTTTGACTTGTTTTATCATTGTGTGATACGGCCTAGGCAAGTCAGCTCCTTTATGCGAGACATATCAATAGTCTAGTAAATGAATTGCCAAAACTTCTCGACCTGTATCGAAAAGTTTTATTATCATACGTCACCGCCCTTCCCCCGTTAATGCCGTTTGCGTTTCTGCATTCTCCGTTTCTGAAAACCGCTCATTGCAGACCCTGACTGAATAAAAACCAATAAATAAAGTAGAAAGGTAATACCTACTGCTATGATCAGTGATGTTTGTAGCTGTCGGTTCAAAGAGGGTGTCTATGTCCCATTTCCTGAAAAAAGTGGGTGACCCATCCTTGATTTGCCGACAGTTTCAAATCTGCCAACGAAACATTCCTGGATGTCAAAAAACTCCGCATTTTTAAAATCGAGTTTTTTAACGAGGGTTTCCTACACGATTCCTACCCCCCTTCGCTACGTCCCTGGATATGAAATGTGAAGCCTTCATACTATACCTGTATTGTCAATGCAGGCAGATTTAATTGCTTTCTTCATGCCCATCCAATCACGTGGTGCACCCAGTTCCAGCCGCATCCCCCACCAATACTTCCAACAAACATCATCCTGGTACAATGTCTCATAGCCGGCCTTTCGCAAATATCTGTATAAAGTCTCGATGCCCACACTGCTTTTCTCCTTCTCGTTTTCTGTCAGATTTTTTGCAAAGAGTTTCCCCGTAAAGAAAGCATGGAAATTCTCTGCACTGTGGCCATGCACTGATTGAAATAGCTCGAAATCGAGAATTTCAGTATTTGTTTCCGGGTCTGCGTTGATGTCATCAAATGCTTCCAGGACAACCGGCAAAGAGCGAAAAAAATGCGCACGTGCAATCGAATCAAGTAGGACAATGTTCACATCTGGTGTTTGTCTTACTGGTTGATTGAAAATACTTTTTTGAAGAAAAGACAAAAGTATTAACTGACTCTTGGATTCTCTCTCGTCAATTCGGATACACTCCAAGAACAAAAATTTGTTGTTATGACCAAGTGCAATTTTTGCTGAACTTTCCAATTCCTCCTCAAGCCTCGTTATGTCATCAACATAAAGGAAATCTATTTCTCCATCATCATGGCTAAAAACACCAATCTTGCATGATTTAAGCTTACCTTTTCCCGAGCAAGTGAATTTTATTTCATCTACCTCTTGAAGTTCACAGTAAATCTCAGTTTGGTTCGTCTTGCATGTTTGCAGTTTAGGGTCTATTTGGTACCACTCATGAGCTAATTTACACGCTTCTTCGGGAGCCTTATGAGGCTTACATGCGATTTCACTTGTAATTATTTCTACTCTTTGTTTAATTCTTTGCTTTTTGCAGTACTTGTTATTATTCGCTTTACCTTTGTTGCTCAGCTGGCGAGGATTCATTTTCTTGTAACTATCATCGATATCAGTAGTGTTTTTCTCTCTCGATTTCATGTTTTTACGTATATAGGATGGATTCATACTTGGACCTTTCTGGTTCTTCTCATAAATTCTAAGCACGGGATGTCGGTCTCCTTCCCCTTTTGCTTTCCTTCTTTCAACTTCTCTCGTCAGAAATGCGGAGCTTTGTGTCAAATTGTCTCTCCTGTCAATCCAAAAAATACGTTCTTTCAAACTACTTGCATCTTCAGATATATATCCAGCCTTGTATATCTCAAGCAAAATTATGACACTGCAGACAAGAAAGAGAGTAACCACAGTTTTAATCAGCGGGAAATTTGTCCTGATGAATCGTTTCAGTCGCATTGCAAATCAATTCAACAAAACCAGTAAGCCCGTTCTAAATCTTTCGTTTATTTATTCAATTCATACAAACGAATCATAGTCGAAAAAATGCATCCACTGCCCTCCCAATCAGCATGAAAATTTCTGTAGAATTTCCAAATGCTTGGGACAAAAGATTTATGTTTGTCCAGCTGTCCTGTTTTCTGTTTAAGTTCTATAAAATCAGCTCGTTCTCAAAAGTTGAATAAATATCAAACTCTCCTTTCTCAATCTTCTTTTTCTTGCAGGTGGTGTACCCAATAATAAACAAACAGTAATCTTAGCATATTTTTGTTACCTGGCCTATCTCCAAACTTTTCTGTGATTTTACACGTCACTAAGAGAAGCTGTTAGGCTATTATTACAAAGGCTATACCAACCAGCTGAAAGGGTAATGTTTTAGAAACAGTACGGTGAGAAATGTAACGGTTCCCTCGTGAGGGTCGTCCAAGGAGATAACATATTTTGTCTTGCTTGTTATTATCATATTATGTTTGTTTTTACTATTAGTTATGGTCTTTAAATACAAATATTAAGAAATATCAATAAAAATAAAAATACTAAGTGGATGAGAAAGGCGAATCATTTCGGTCTCTTAGTTAAATATAATTACTACTAGTAAAACAAAAATTTTGTTAATTTTTGGAGCATGTGGCCTAGATATGGAACTTGCTTCTTGAACTTTGTAAGTCTGTAAATCTGTGTCCAAAAATAACCCAAGCTAATACCAGCAGTCATCGTATGAGCAGCTTTAAACAGCAACAATATAAGAAATGTATCTGAAAGGTATAATTGCCTCTCTCTCTCTTTTTGGATTCATTATTGCATGCCCACATACATTATTTACCCCGGTTTCTAGCAAATACGCTACTACCAATTACCACGATGACCAAATTCGACTTTTTAGTATCTGGAAAATCTGGAATATTTGTTGAAGTTTTGAAGACAGGCTTACTGACTCTTTGGGCAGGCACACATAAGACATCAAAAGCATGCTAATTGACATGGGGGGGTGTCATGTTACCCTTTAGAGCTCTTGAAATTTTTCTTGCCTCTCTGGGGCAATGTTGAGCAAGGAATTCCACATAAGAAACGGATAGGTAGAAAATCAGCTTTTTTCACTGTTTGTTTATGTTTTTCTTTCAGAAAAGACTGACTAGCCAAGTGCCCTCGTTTTGATGCAAATAAAAGAACTGGAACCAAGGAGAAGCCTGTCATATGTTCAGGTAAATACAAATCTTTTCCAATTTCGTCCTTAAACTTTTTTGCAAGATTCAATGTCGAAAATCATTTTTTACGCAAAACGGATGCAATTTGAAGCAAAGTATTTCCTTTCTCTTTTGCACTACTTTAGGCTTAAATTGAATTGACGTTGAGAAATTGTGAAAAAGCTCTTAAGAACTTTCAACAAAGTTCGAGCTGGCTGTTATTTCATTTACAGCTTAAAATGTAACAGTTTGGACCCTCAATATTTTTATAAGTTTTACAAATGTTTCATGCTATAAAGTGTTCATCAGAAGAACAGGGATGTAGTGCTAGGGGCGCCATAAGGGCTGATTCCCCTTTGTTAATGCCAAAATATAACCAATTTCTTATTTTGCTATTGTTTTTAGCAACATTATGTACAAGAGCCCCCCTTGTTATTTCGATAGCACTACACCGCTGCAAAAGGACTGAAAATTTGATTCAAAGTGAATTTGATAATGAAAAAAATATAATCTGATAGGAAAAATCCTGCTTGAAATTATCAAGAACCCAACAACAATGTTCCTCCCGAACCTCCATTTCTTGATTCGAAAATAATTGGTTGTTGTTTCAAAATAGATTGGAAAACACTTTAGTAAAACCATAGTTACCAGAGTATATCGGTTTTCGACTGGTAAGCATTTGAGAAATGAAAGAGCGGAAGCCAAGGAAAGTTGATTTTGTTATATGTGGGCCTTGCATTCTTTCACTGAATGTTACAAAAAGCCAGATGGCATTTAATTATGTTTGCATGGATTATTGTACTATTCTACACCCACCCTCCATTACAAATACCCAAATTTTTTAATGTTTTTTTAATTCTTGCCAACGATCTGATGTAAATACGTCGCTTTGTTTCAGTACAGTTAACTTGAAAGGAAAATTAAAATCGTGGATCATGTATTTTGATTGCTTATTCTACACACAGTACTAAAGTTAATCTGTATACTTTGCTATTGAGCAGCCGAAGGTGGTAGAGCGCCCGATTCGGCACTGTCGGAGCCCGGTCGTGGATCGAAAAGGTTAGAGCCCGGTCGCTGTTCTATCTAGCAGTCTTAGAATCCATGTATATAACAAATAAAAGCGGTTAGCTTCGTGTCACCATTGAAAGGGCACAGATTGGGCATCCTTAACAATCTGTACAGGTTTCTGATTGGGCTTTCTCGACCCACAACGGCCAGTTGTCAACTGGGTATATATATTTCCTAACTAAACTTTTTCGATAAATATTCTGAGTGTGTCAAACCCGAATTCTATCGGTAAGTACGTTTGTTTTTCCAAATCATAGATAGGAAAAATAGAAAAGGGCCCCAAATTGTTTTTACGTTAAATTTCATTTCTGTCCAAATTTATGTCTATATTAATTCATTGCTTTGACTGGAATGAACTGTGAAAATTAGAAAGAAAATATAAATATTTACACGTATGAATTATTCATTTTCAAAAAGTCTACAAAATACGATTAAAATTGTAACACAAATATTTGTATACTCCATGTAGAATATATTTGTTTATTTTTGATTTAAGGCTAATCTGAAGAGTGTTTGTTTAGAAAAGAAGCAGTGAGTATTAGCGGGTTGTTTTGTTGAGAAATTCAAAGTGATTTTGCTAATTGCCTTCGCCCTTAATGATCATCTCTTTTATATGACAGGGAAAACAACTTTTATGAATCATAAACTGCTCCTGAAATATTTGTTGTCTGTAGCAGGAAAATTAGCAACAAAACAGACTTATTGACAAAACAGGCGTTATTGAGAGTCACAGGGAGAGTTGACTGACTTTCGATTTGAACGAGAACTGTCAAAATATCTGTCAAAATTTCGCAGTGATAACACTGGATTGGAAGTAAACAAAAAGCTACTTTGAAAAATGCAATGGCTATGACTTTAATTAAAGGTAAGTTACTCATGGCTTTACTTATGATATTTAACAGCCATAATATCATAGTCTATTGTTGACAGGTTGACATCTTCGGCATTAACATTTCAATAATCGCAATTAAGCTCTTCCAATGTTGACCCTTTCAAAGTCTTCACGATCAATTCACAATTTCTGAATCACTCATCTTTTCGATATAAAGCTTGAAACGGTGGAGCATTTTACAATCGTCTTGCTTCTCAAATTCTCGTACCCAATCTTCTTTCAAAACTAATCAATAAACTTTATCGCAGCTCCTTTTTTTCTTCATTCTTTCCGAGATCTTTCGGCATGCCAGCTACCGTATAACCCCAAATAATAGTACCCATTAATTAACAGCACATGCACGAGTATCCGAAAGCAGCATAGTGCGTTGTTAGAGTTGCCAAAATTCAAGATTACAAAATAAGAAATGCAAGTGTTCAACCTGCGGCGAGTGGACAATAATTGGACAGTAGCATTTATGAAAAGAGCTGGAAGCAACAGCTGGCAGAAAGCTTTATTAAACCACTAAACATTACCAATAACGATGAATATAAGAAATTGCAGTACCCTTATCCCTCTGTTCTTTAGCTTGTTCTTTCTTTACATATATATATATAATATATATATCCTTCTCTCTTGCATCTTATGCATCTTTTCAGGTTTTGTCACCCAATTTGAATTTCAATTCAAAGCACATGGCGGTTCATTACTTGGAGAAACCAACTCGAGCCTCGTACCCAGTTTTCTAAACTCTTTGGTTTTTCCTATCTACTGTTGCCTTATAAAAAACTCGGAGCTAACACTTATAACCGGCCAGTGTTCTACATCGAGGCGTGATTATGTTTTCAAATATTTCTTAATATCAAGATAGAAAGATCTAGAGGAAAAGGTAAGATACCTAAATTTATTCCAGAATAACCTGATGTATCCGCAGATTTGATCTTTTCCTATGTTTTTCGTTTACTACTATCTTTCTGCCCATCTTTGTAAAGCAATGTATATATTTAGCAACATACAAGTCACAACATACAAGTGACAACTTTTAAATTCTCATCTCATACGTCAATGGCAAGAGACAGTTTGGCTACATTTGACCTTATAAAATGAAGAGGGGAACAATTATTGTACATCGACTTTTATTTTAAAAAATGATTATCGCTTTTTCGTATGGGAAAATCTGAAATCAAACTTGCTTAAAAAAATTAAAATGAACTTTTTGGCAATCTGCCCTTTTTATGCGTTTTGGGTGATTGGCAGAAGTAATTGATTGTAGTGAATCAGCTTTCAAAAGATCTAAAAGAAAGAAGCTTCAAATGAAGATTCCCTAAAAGTTTCTTTGTTATCGTTTTGAGCCAAATTTAGATTGTTTAGTACTCAGAAAAAGACTTTCGAATAGATAGGACATGTCCCATTATCCAGAGTTTGTTACGAATCATTTATTTTTAGAGCACACGGTGAAAGATTTTCTTAGCAGCATATGGTAGCTGAAATTGGCAACCAAGGAAAACTCAATATAGAAATTAATTGTTATATAGGTTTGCTGCCTCCCTTTTTTTCTTGAACATATTTTATGCATTTCCTTGCATGTTTGCTGCCTACTTTCCGTTTGCTTTTCTGAAATTTTTTTCGAAATAAATGTTTGCTCGTATTAAAGCCATTTTCAAATTTCGTATCGTCAAAAACCTTTAACTATAATTTTGTATCTGGGGAATGTTGTTTATAGCGCTGGGTGCATGTAAGATCCTAGTGCATGTTGTCATGAACACTTGGTGTAAAAAATAATTTGGCATTTTCTAAGCATGCTCAAGAAAGGAGCAGAAATTTCTAGTTTAGGATGAACCTACTTTTTGTACGATGCAACGTTATCTACTGCTATACACTTTTACTTTGAGTATAAACTCTTAACATCTGTTCGTTGGTTGGTGCCCATTCTTCTACAATTTTGAGCTAGGTAATAATTATTTTGATGTGCGTCACAATAGCACGTTTCTTAGCTGATTCCTATAGATCACGTCGATTTTGATCCATTTTCTACCCAGGTCATCAATAAAGCTTTTGCCTATGTAATCATGCAGATGTTCCATTCTACTCTTGAGCACACTCTTGAGATTCTGCCAGCATTCAAACAGGTAAATGTTAAAAAAGCAGTAAGGGTTGGTGGTATAGTATCATCCACTTAACCCAAACATCACTAGACAACTTATAGTCAACAACAATCTTTACTAGACAACAATCGAAAGCATGCATAGAAGAAAGTCACGAGATTTCACTCCAAAAGAGGGGTTTGTAGAAGCAACCATTGAAAGAAGCCAGATAGCTTTCCTCGGGGCACTGTGATGACCTGGTTTGAAGCTAAAAATAGATCAACTTTCCTCAAGGATGTCTCCCTAGTATTGTCAATGTTTTGGTTTTGAAACAACAACTGTCCTTGAGCAAGAGGAATGACATAGGAATATTGTTCGAAGTTCTTTTATTTGACTGTTTTGTGTAACTCTACAGTCTCCTATATATATTCTTGAAAGCAGGTTTAGACGTTTTTAAGTGTAACCATTCTAAAACACAGAATTTGAAAAAAGATAACATTATTTCAAGACAGCATGATATCACATGTAAGATTACAGGATGAGGCTGAATCTAGCTAACCTTTTTTATTTAGCTATGCAGTATAACGAAAGAGCAAATTTTTAAAGTCGGTAGTCATCAGGCGATTCTATGTTAATGATAAAATGCTGTAGTTTGATGTCCATTGATCTTATTTTGTCTTCATCCTGGCCAGTTCTTCAAGATTTTTCTCTGCTACATCTTCATACAGTTTTTGCCTCTTTATTGTTCCACTCAGCTTCCTCAAAAGGCTTATCACTCGCTTATACTGTGCCATCTTTTCGTCTTCAGCTGCAACACGTTTTATCTCACGATTATTTTGAAATCCGGAGCACAAATTTTTGGCTTCTCTGCAGTACGTTTTGATCATTTGTTCACCCTACAAAATGAAAAGAGTTATTGAAAAGGGGACTAGAATTTAATCTTCACAACTTGCTTTTATAACAAAAATCTTCAATCGTTAAAAGTTTGTTAATCGAATCAAGACCGCCGTATTTTCTGTCTTCCACTTTTAAAAAATCTTCTTCCACTTTGTAACAAGTTTCTTTTCATGTTTTTCTTTGCTTATATGATATTTTGAAAATACATTAAGTGAAGCTTGAGATGGTGCAGCCGCATTTGGCCTTATTGTGAGCTAATAAGACAGATGCTTCGCCTTTATCTGTATCTTGACCTAGCTAAGGCAATCAAGTCATCATTTGTATTCTTCGATTGTTCCTTTGTTTTACAAATTTCAATTGAAATCTATAAAAAGATTTCCCTTCGTTGACCTTTGCAGTTTTGCACCCTTTTCTCTATAGTTATTTTTGCCATTGAAAGAACTTTCCCAAAAAAACGAGCAAAGCAAAAAGTCATTTCAAATTTCCCCGACAATTCTGCCGGCCTGTGATGACAACACCCCCTTCCCCCTTTCTGGCTACGCTCTACTACTTAAGATATGTAGACCAAAGCAGAATATTTTCCTGTCCAGCAGCTGCATTTAAATTAAAATGAGCTAAAACTTTGCTTCGATCACTTCCGCCTACAAAATTTCCAAGAAATAGAAGCCCTGATAAAGATGGCAAGTTTCATTCAAAATAAGCTTCAATTAGTAGATAAAACCCCTTCTTCCATGCAGACTAAATCTCAAATTATTGCAATGTTATGTAGCATTTTTTATTCACAAAAGAATTTTCCTTTCTTCATATTTTTTGGGAAAAGAGGGAGCTTAAGTAGCTTTCATGTGATTTTACAGATTAGACAACTAAATATAAGTTTTACTCATTGTTTGCTTGCAAAAATTTTAAGCAGGTTAATGCCTCCTTTTTATCCTTAGCAAGTAACATTCTTGCTTCTTCTATGCTTTCGTGCATCTTCCTTCTTGTTATACTGATTGGAGCAGAATGCTGCCGAGAGATTCATTAAACATTCCCAACTCAATTTTTATGTAACATGTCTTTAAGCTAGCTGCTTTAGAACAAGCTAGCTGCAGAGATGTGATCTTTGGCCATATTGTTAGCGCTCATATTACAATATGATGTTTCATGTCAGTCCTCTATCTACCTTTTTCTGGGCACGTTCCCAAAAGAGGGCCAGCTATCCATCAAAATCAATCCATCCCATTTTAAAGAGCATGCGAACATTTTTGAAACCACGGAGAAGTGCTTGTCCGCTGTCATTTAAAGCCTCATTTCGGCATTTGCCTCATTTCGGCAATATTGCTCTTAGAAATGTTTCGGCAATATTTTCTCAACCAGATGGAACCGGTTTGCTTATTAACGGACTTAGAAAGAAAACTGTTTACACAGCTTGCTACATATGAAAAAGTTTTTCTTTGCAATATAAGTTTTGTTCTAATGCAACATAAGCTTTGAACAAACTTTTCTATATACGACAGCCACCAGATGTGGACAATTTTCAATAGAATTTTATCTTGGGATACTTTGATTCTTTGAAAATATTATTTCATCATTTTCACGGAAGTGTGTCAGTGTTTTATTACAGAGCTTTTTGAACAGGTTAGGATCACTGATGTTTATTGCGCATCGATCTCTTATTATCGAGCCATGCTCACAAAATTACCATTCTGCTCTTATGCTTAACGCATTCCCTGCCCTTACATACATAAGATTTTCTCAGTCATTTTCTACTATCAGTCATTTTCTACTACAAATGGCAACTGTTGCCATTTCTTATCCACAATGCCTCAAAACTCACGAAATCATTGCTCGTGAAAAGACATGGACTTCAACTTTTATATGTCAGAACACTTCATCTTTGCTCTTACATATACTATATCACGAGATCTTATCAGTGACATATTAATGATGCGAATAACACCCAGAGATGCAAGCAAAACAGAGCATTGAGACCAGATACATTTCTTTGAATGAAGCTTTATGAAAATCCTATAAACAGCTATTGCTGCAACTGCAAATCATGTAACTAACGACTGACATCGACTAACGTAAGGATTGTGTAGGAAAATATTTTTACCGCATTCACAGTTTGGATGTTCTACCAAATTAGATTCCATCAATTTATGGAAGAAGACTAAAATTGAGGCATTGTTGGTAATATTCTTTCACCAACAAACTGTGTTGTTTCCAAACATGATTTAGCAGTGCTGATTTTGGATAAAATGAAATTTTCTTACATAATACATTCTAAAAACCCAACATACTGATTTTTTTTGCAAATTTTTTTTATTGGCTTTGAAAAAAGTTCAAGGAATTCTGACGTTTCATGCTCTGAGGTATGTAAGGCGAAAAAACTTTTAGTCAATATATTATAAAATGTTTGTTTTTTTTAAAGCCATCTTCAAGTTCTGTACCGCTAAAAAAACTGTTCAAATTTTTTATACAAAAATCAAGCAGAGATTGATAAAAAAGAGACCTAATTATCAAAAGTTTTTAAATATGTTTACTGGTTAAAGATACCTCTGGACGAATATAATCTATACCTTTTGATGGTTAAGCATTATTTTTAAAAGCCAATCGATGATAACTTTGCAGCAAAATGATGCCAACTCTTTCATAAAGCAAGTTTTGTCAATTCCTTATAAATTTCAATCTAGCAGTGTAATTAATTGATAATATCAATCGAAGCCAAAGTAATTTCGTTTATGTCGTATGTTTTAAATTGCGTTTCATTCAAGTATTAACACTTAAGAGAATATATAACTTCTTCATGAGCTCTAAGGACACCTTTAAGAATATGGTACCAACAAGTAGTTCACTCAAACCAACCTCGACTTCTCTTTGATGGGTAAAGAAACATTCAACATACACTGCAAAAATTGAAATGAAAAGCAGGAGGAGATGCACATGATGTCTTGCCATTTCTAATTTGTTGATTAGCTTTCTTCTTTGCGCAGTTTATATGACAGCTTGAAGTCCAGGGAAAGCCTTGTCCACTTATCTTCTGGAATAGTCGCTTGCTTCTGCAGTGAATTTAAAGACTCTTGAAAACACGTCATTTGCTGCTCAGCCAATTAAATGCGCGATACGACATTGCTTTTGTGCATCACGAGCGACATCACAAGGCCCTTTCTTTTGATAACACATATGGGCGTGAATATGAATGAGCCGTTTCGTAATTGGAAATAAAGGAAATTTTCATTAGTGTTCTTCCGTAACAGTGTATCACCTGCCCAACGCATATGCAATCGTTTTCAGCATTTCTATTGAATGTGCTTACTCCAAACAATTAATAATCTTGAAATTCTTCAAATATTATTTCAAATGAAATATATTCTTACTTCCTTTCCGTGTGTTTGATGCAAACGGCTGCCAATTATTTAGATAGATTCTTAAAAACAGCCGCGTGCATATCCTTGATCAAATGCAGATTTATCATTGCTATATCTCTTGAGGTAATATCTCTTGACAAAGCTCATTTCACCTCAAAAATTGATTCCCCTTACTTCGCTAATGATGTCAGTCAAAAGTCATCCGAATGGTTTAGTTTTCTTTTCTGATGAAAGCAGTTTTGGTGATTATTTTTAGACACATATAAAGCAGAACAATAAAAGTTGTAGGGAAGCGCGTTAAGGTACTTGAATGAACCCAAGCATTTTTGAGTGCCCCATATCGTTCTATGCCTTGCTACAATCCCGGACAAAAGAGTTTAGACTTTTTATGAAAAACCTGGTGTTTTCTCTTTCCTTTGAAAAATTTCTTTTTCGTCGCCCCGATTCAATGTTAAATGCATGTTTTTGAACCGAAGGGGATTGAACTTCAAATCCCACATAGATGTGAGATGAAAGAGGAAATTCAATTTTACAGCAGAGGCAACATTATAAAATTGTAAAATTTGCGTTTTGCTCCAACAATTTTGCCCGGGATTTTATCTAGAATATTAATTGCAACATTTCATGATGATTTCTTATTGGGAAAATTCACTAGCTCTATACAGAAATTTATTTCTAAAAGGCCTGTTTTATTCAAAATAATTAACGCTTGCTTTGAATTTAAATGGATTTTTATAGCATCTTTATCAATCATGTGGAGATGCAAAGCACCAGTAATTTCAGCAAAATTTTGCTATCTGTAAGTCAACATTATTCGACTTCTGCACTATCTGTATAGCAATTATATTCGTCAAATCCATTCTGAATAGTTTTCCAACTTTATTTTTCTTACATAAGTACCCATTTTTAAGAGATTTCTCTGTTTTCCTTTGATAGCAGAAATGTTGTTCTGAGATCAGAAAATTGGGTCAGGCAAAAGGTCCCGTTTCATTAGAAGAGTCTTCTAAAGCCTTTAACAGTTGCAATAATGAGACTTCAAACAAACTTTTGCACAAACGTCATACCTTGTGTTCAATGAGCCTTGTACCTAGAGCCGCATGTCCACGGCCCTATTGTCTGAGCCCCGTCTTCATGGCTCCATACCCAAAGCCCTATATCCGTGGCCCCATGTTTACAAGGACATGATTAGCAGACTAGTCTCTTAGTCGCGCCTTCTTGTACTCATGCGTGATTTTGCATGTTGCTCTATCTCTACTTACTTATCACCTTTACACTGAATTTTAATTTTTCTTGTTTCTTGGATGGTAAATTTATGTAGCACTTTCTTCATTCATAGTCGTCCTTTACTATGATAAACTGATACTTTATCATGAAGAGTCACTGAATATTTGATATAAAAAGTTTATTTGTATTTGCATTCAGCTGGATACACCTTCAATGAATGAATCATCAAGAATTAAGTTTTAAAATTTTACTTTGAGCGGAACTAGTTTAAGTCAGGAAGGGATCTAGTGCAGCTTTGTCTCTCTTTACTGTTAGATAGTTTTAGCAACCAGATATATAATCATCAAGTTGGGTACTGTCAAGGGCGAAGTGATCAGTCGATACATCATGCAAAAAATTATGGATTTAATTTAAATGAAAAACAAAAGAAATCAAAGTATGGATAAAACGAGAGAATGGTTTATGCCCCCTTTTTGACAAAAACATCGTTCTCGAGTTCTTGTTACTTCCATGACACTAAGCCATTAGATTCAGTTCCGTCAAATTGAGGTCTAAATGCACTATTGCGTTTCCAGAGTGCTTCTGTTCTGTTAACAGTTTCACCTTAATACAACAGTCATGTTACAAAAATGAAATGCACTGAATGGATTGATCATCGAATCTCCTACCTCTTGTTCAAACTGCTATAGATGGGAAAGATAAAGTGCTATAATTTACCGTAATTGCTATATTATACTAGCAAATTTTGCTAGCATTTATAAGGAAAATTTTACTAGCATTCCGTTAAGTTTTGAGAAATATGCTAAAAATTATCTATGAATGAAAATGTACTCCACTTACGTGTTCTTCTCTTCCGGTGAGATCTCCGCCAGCAGTAAAAAACGACTGCACCAGAGTTGAGCATGCCAAGATTAGAAGCAAAAGGAAAATGTTGCACGGTGTTGATCCTTGGTGGCTTTTCATTGTTTGTTCTTGGTGAGGCACAGTTGGTAGGCAGATTTCGTAGTGTTGAGAGCTCAACTAACAATATCCAATGATCTGCCTTGAACACGAGTTCAGCTCTTATACAGACTTTAAAACACCTGGCTTTAATTGCGGGAAAGCAACTTCAATGCTAGGGATTTGCTGCGTGTAAAATGTATTGGGCAGTTGCGGATACAATTAAGATGCCACCCGTTACTACAAATCTTTGCTAAACCGCGGTAGGAGCAATTATAGGACCTTGATACTAGCTTTAAGGCTTGCTTAATCTTTTTTGACAATTTTGTGAACTTTGGCAGCAATGCTTGAATGAAAATCTTATGTTCAATTGCTTTTTCCCCAACAGTCCCAAACGATTGAATTTTTTTAATTAGCTTCACATACCTTTTAAATGGGAATACCTCAAATTTTGCCCCGTTTGATGATTCTGAGCCTCAAACTTTTCTTAAATCACATTTCAGAAAAGAGTTCTTATCTATTCTTGTCTTTCTTCATCAGGAAAGTCACGCTTTTCTGTTTGCTCAAAATGTAGTATAGATTGAAAGTAAAATTGTCGATGAAATTCAAGCCTGGGTGTAGCTCTTCATCAATTCTTAAACTTCACCGAATTTAAGCCTCAATATTATTTTGAAAGGTCTCATTTTCAAGAATCCAATGCAGTATATCAACTTTAATTTGCTCTATTAGCACCTGCTAATACTTCTGCAGTACATCTCTCTATACGTGTCAAATTTTCTCTAGTAAACGCCGTTCTCTGATAAACGCCCCGTTTATTAAACACGGCATCCAAATGCTGGATTTTATAACAAATGCTGCGGCGTTTATTAGAGGAAGTACGATAGGTAGGCTGCAACAAAAAATCTTGACACCTCCTACACGGCACATCTTTTACGAGCGAAGCCTTCGGTTGTACTTTCAAATATTTCCATAATAATCATCTTCAAGAATTTGCTTCATTAAATTATTGCGTCTTTCATAATTTTCAAGTTCTATTACTTCATTTAAAAAGAACATCGGTCAAATATGCTATAAATATTTTCGTGATCCCTATACTTTATAACGTATAGGTGACCCCCAGGTAAGCAATCAAAGATCGAAGAAGTAAATGATATTTCTCCTACAGACAGATTCTGTAAATTTTTGGTAGATAAAAAGTCCAATGTACCATTTGTGAACTTATATTGATAAAGTAAAGATCGCAATAATCTTTGAAACCACCCTCAAACTGAGTATTTTCTAGCAGTCTTTGCTTTTTTTATCAAAGACTTTGTGGAATTTTTTGTGCAAAATGGAAATTTATGTTTGCCGGTCTGCCATAGAATACTTCATGCTATAAAAAGGCAGACCTTTACAGATGCCTGAATTCGCAATAGGGGCAAAAATTGGAGTTAAAATCTAGACCTGTCCTGTTCTGTTCTACACATAAAGCATGCATTCTTGATCATAAATTTTACATTATATGTAACCATTGTGCATACGTTTCTGTAATGAATGGCCTTACATTTTAAAGGTTTAAAGATGATTCTTCTAACATACATTAAATAACTTTTGATTCCGTACAGAGACAAAGTAGCCACTAGCCATGTTGTGGTTCACTTGACTTCAGTGCTGAGGTATGCGGTTGACAAAGGGAGAACAATGGCAGCAATGAAATGAACAAGCCACTCTACTCGTGATACTGTTGGACAAAATAGCTAACATCTCTAGCAGGCACGTCTGTTATTCGTGAATCGTATCACTGATACGCCTTTACCTAACCAAGCATCAACGTATGTACATTTTTGACTTTGTTACTGCTTTTATTAGAACGTTATAACTGTGCTCTGCACAACGAGCCTCGGTGTGGAGAGGGAGCGATGAAAAATCAGATATCTCCTCTTGAAACAGCAAGTGAAAAGGACGAAATGTGGGAATATTGCGCATTCTTGTATTTGCTAGGCATTTTTTCCTCTTTGTGCACGATCTTTCAGAATATCGACGACGGACCACGCTCGATATGAATTAGAAGCTGCATAGCTATAGCGAGAAAAAATCAAAAGTGTAAAAGACTGAAATCGGTGGCTCCTGTATCGCGACAGATTGTTTAAGAGTTTGATGAGATTGGCAGTGAAGCAGTTTACGCAGGAGCCAAAATGTAGATAGATTCTCCTTTACTTAGTGGTCAGAAAAGGGTGAGGCATTCAAGTGTTTTCGCAAGAAATTATGTTACACTATTGCTTATAATATTCCGCTTTTTCAAATACTCCTGCTTAAACTATTACTAGTCTTTGGAAGTACCAGTGGCCTCAGTTTGGCCGAATCCTCTTGTCCCTTTAAACAAGGACAAGACGAAGTTTTTACAACTTGAATTGATATGGCTGAGGCTTTGCTGCAGAACCATATTCATGGTTTGTGTAGTTTTTGTAGCATTTCGGAATACAGGTTATCTGTTAAAAAATGTATGATTTATAGGAATATCTGTAGGTTAAGGAGAATGGAAATAGGACAATGGTATCTAGTGCTGGGCCGCATTTACATCTGTTGGGACTCTGGGCCCAAAGTTGATTCGGGCCCCTTAAAACAAAAAAAAATTGTGTTACGTACATAGCGCTTGGCTAAACATAGTCAAAACCAACCAGGTTAATAAATAGTTAATAATACACTAAATAGTTTGATAGATAAAAGCTATAATACGCGAATAAACTTGTATCCATTTCGCTTTTCAGTACATTCCCAATTAAAACTACTCAACTGTTGAAAACTTTTCGATGATTTTATTGGGGTTTAAAACTCCCAGGACATCAAAATCTGCTGCCATTAAATATAAGGAAACAGCGCACTATTGTGACATTATGGACCTTAGTTCACTAACTTACCCTTTACAGCATGGTGAGCATTATTTCACCGGAGGAACCTCCGTATGGCAATGTCAAACTGAGCAACAAACTAAGTGCAGTCATTGCAATGGGGAAAGCTCCAGCCAGGATTACCGAAAGTTTAAGATATGAGGCTAAAAAAAATGGGGCCCCCTGCGAGCGGAGCGTGCTGAAAATTCTTGTGACCACGCCCTTTATTCCATTTATTACTTTACAAGGCCCCCTAGCTCAATTCAAACACAAGATTGAATCAAGAGCAATTTTGCTCGGGGCCATCTAAATCTAAGAATTTTAAAGGGGTCTCTGGGCCCGGGCCCATGGATAAATGCGTCACTGATCTAGTGGCAGTGACATGTGATTCCAAGAAAAGACAGTTTTCATTACTAAGAGTCTCTCTAATCCCCCTCCGAGTGCTTCCACCTCGTCTAGCAAGGAAATACCTACAAATAAATAGAGATAAGGCTTTTATTTCCTTTGATGATAGGCAAAAAGAGTTTATCAACAGGGACGTGGGAAATATTAACAAGTTAGGAGGCACGACATCTGTAAAGACACTTAACCTGGTTACCAAGGAGTTATTGCAAAAATTGCGCTGTAATAGTAAATGTCACTTCTTCTGGAAGGGCTCTACAAAAATAAGTGGTGGGGGCACAGTGCCTTTTATGCTTCCCGGTGCTTACGTCTTCAAGTGTCAGAAATACTAATTGACCGAAGGCAAGAACCATTTCACTACTCAAATCCAAAACCTAAGTGAGTTGCAAGGCAGATAAACATTGTAGAAAGTATGCTTGTTCATCTCAAAACTTATCTTGTTGTTTTTCACTATTAGACATTTTAATGAAAATTCTATAGTAAGAGATTTTGTAAAATTCCATACTATCGTAATAGAATACGTTTCTCTGACTCGTTGAAATAGGCCAAATGCAGACCAACATGTTAATGTAAGTATATTTTGTACTGGCGCGCCTTAATCTAATGTAGAATGTTCAGCTTAATGTAGAATATATTTTGAAAAAGATAACTTACACATGCATCAAAATTTGTTTATTGAATAAACAGATAAGAAATATGCTGAAAAGAGTTGACCATTATAAATGAAATTAGATTCTAATACAGTCACGCCCTAGAATACGATGTTCGTGGTAATCATCCTTCTGAAGCAGGTTCACTTTCAAATAAAATATTTGCGATCAGAAAGCCATATGATTGTGTTACTGAAACAACAGAGTAGAATGTTTATGTTTTTCAAGTACAACATGAAGTAATACCCCAACAATGGTGGTTCATGAAACCCAACTTTGGGCTTCTTAAATGCTGAAACCCGAAATCTTCTAACCCTATTAATTAACATTTTGTACAATTACGTAACCCCAGTCATTGATTCTCAGCTATTCAAAGAGGTCATTCATAAGATGTTGAGCATAAATTTGGGTCATTTCAAATCGCTTTTGCCTCAAATCTCCTAGCTCTCTTTGTTTTTTCTTCTTCAACCTCAAATCTTTCGAGTTTTTGTATGCTTCTTTCCAAGTCTATTTTCGCAAAATTTTTAGCCTGGAGACTGAAGGAGAACCAGAAGGTATAGAGGACGTCTTTTCCAACCCCAATTTGAGAATGGATTCAAGAAGTACCCTTCAAGTCCAAACGAAAAGAGGTCCTTGTTGTGAAGTACGTCTTTTCCATAGCTGTTAATTGGAATGGTACTTCAGTTAGCAGCTGTCACTTGAAATAAGTGAGGGAAACAGTTGTATGAAATTATTCCTTACTAGAAGAAAGGTGCCCTCAACATGCTCTCAAATTGCTGCGTCCTATTCACCTTGTACATATCCAACTATAGATGTCCGAACTATAGATGTCCGAACTACAGATGTCCGAACTACAGAGCTGGCCATATTTGGCCGTTTCCCTGGTCTCTAAAAACTTAAAGATGAATTTTAATTTCAATAATATTACGGTTGAACATTTGCCTCAAACTAAACACTCAGCCCTTCAAGTTT